ACCATATCCATTATCAAACTTTTCTAATTCCTTCATACTTTCTATAATAAAGCCATAATTGTGTCCCTTACCAGACCTTATAACATCAATCAACAATAACTTTACAACCAAATAACAGACCAGAGAATGAAATTGGCTCCATCCACTTGAAATAAGCCATAGAATATCCCTATATGGTTATTTCTTAGTTTTAGGAAATTTCATAGTTACAATATTACAATATTATAAATATTCAAGTTATAAAAAAAATATAAGGTCAATAAAAATCTAAACATTAAAAAAAATAATAAAAACATAAAAACACAAGATATCAATACAATAATTATACCCAGGGAAAGAGCATTTTCTGGAGATTCTACAACAGTTTTTATCATTAACAAAACCCTTATATTGATGGAAATAAAGCACAACACTTGATCACCAGAGCGTATCCTACCACCTATAAGCGTCACACCTGCAAGTGTACCACAACACATAAAGCGTATAACCACACGTCAAACGCGTCACACCTGATAGAGTACCCTCCCACCTATACCGCCACACGCACATTAACAAAATCCACTAATAATAGCGTATAACCACACGTCAAACGCGTCACACCTGATAGAGTACCCTCCCACCTATACCGCCACACCTACATTAACAAAATCCACTAATAATAATAATAGGTGACCTTCCACAGTTTTCGCACTCTCAGTACCCGAGGACCATTCAACTGAGAACCACTTCCCAGCTTTTGCTGCTCAACCAGATATATTATTTGGCAAATGCCACGAGTACCACAAATATACAAAACACATACTTCCATGACATTTCAGAAAGACAACTCCCAAATGGTTAAACGTCTTGGGAAACACTATCCCAAGTAGTCTTGTCTCTGTATCTTTACTTTGTATGGAGTGGAACCTCACCATGACTTGACACTCCTCAAGTGCTGAGGACTCACCACTAATGGTAGCCTTCCATGGATTTTCATCCTCAACTGCTGAGGAGCCACCGCTAATGGCAGCCCTCCATGGATTTCCCTCCTCAAACTCCGAAGACTCACCAGCGATGGCAGCCATCCATGGATTTTCCTCCTCAATGGCTGAGACCGACTCGGGAATGCCCGCCACCTCGACCTGACCATCCTCAACTGCCTCGGAAAAACATCTGTTGAGCCGAATCACCATGACAACAAAAACAACAACAAAATCAAAACAAATGATAAACAAACGATACAAAACAAAAGAAACATAGCTACATCAAATCAAACAGCGATTATCACCCAATATACCACCATTATAGTGCAAACACTTAATGCCAAAGCTATACCCATCACATATATATCGTACCCACCACTAGTACTACCACAAAGACACGTCTAATATAAACCCCAAGCCACCGAGACATCTTAATCCCACCATTAAACCACTGAACCACGCATAATGCCAACATCTAAACACCACGATGCTACCACAACTGTCCTACCATCGCGGATGCCAACACTAAAGCCTAACGCTAAAAAGTGGACCACGAACGCCGAAGAAAAAATCCCAACACGTTTTTCCAGGACACGACCACTTTGTGCCAACACTACCCCGTAAACATCAAGACATTGCAAATCAAACACAGGAACATTGGAGCCTAAAACCGGCTCAAACATCAGACATTTTGGCTCTAACTGACCCTGCTTCGCAGGCTCAGTACATAGTCAGAAAGCGAACACCGATTTTAAAGAAATCCGCAAAAAGCCGAAATCACGTGACCAAAAATTACCTAAAATAGCATTATTTATATTATACAGTGAGAAAAATAAAAATAAAAATAATAACAATTATCTATCAATTGTGCTATATTTAATATATTTCAGTGATAAATGCTAGTAATATCACTACTATTTATTGTCATGACACTTTTCTACAGTCCAATCAACCTTAACAGTTGATGATTCCAAATCTATGACGACTTTCCACACCTTTGAGCTCCTCAACCTCTGAGACCAATTCGCGAATGACAACCTTCCTCAAGATTTTGATCCTCAACCTCTAAGACCCATTCGCGAATGACAACCATCCTCACTTTTTTCTCCTCAACCTCTGAGACCAATTCGCGAATGACAACCTTCCTCACTTTTTTCTCCTCAACCATCAAAACCCATTTGCGAATGTCAACCTTCCTCACTTTTTCATCCTCAACCACTAGAACTCTTTCGTCAGTGACAACCTTCCTCACTTTTTGATCCTCAACCATCAAAACCCATTTGCGAATGGCAACCTTCCTCATCTTTGAGCTTCTCAACCTTCCAACATCTACCCGAATGATTACCTTTCACGGCTTAAGCTCCCCCAATCCTTGATGACTGTCAATCCATGTCAGCCTTCCTCACATTTACACCTCTCAACCTCTCAGCCACCCAGACTGTACCATGCTTCTACTACCTGAAGAGCTTCAAATTATAAATACTTAATTCGCAAATGATTACCATCCATACACATTTGAGCTTCTCAACTCTTATGAAGAAGTTCTTGAATTAGTTACTGTCAATCTATCCGACTAATGATATAAGTTAAATCACTACCAAACTGTAATTTAACTTCTTTTTTTTTTTTTTTAGTTTGATGTATTTGATGAACTTGGATGAGGAATGCATTTACGCACGAACCGCTTGGATTGTAGGCTTCTCGCTATGTTTTCATATAATAATTAATTGAACACTTAATTTAAACTTAAGTTATGATACCTAGAGAACATTAAAATAAAATCTAGAATTTAAAAAACAACAAAATATTTGAGTTTCAAATCACACTATTTTGAAGAACTAAGACCTGTTGTACAGTCTTGTGAGCCAGTTATTACTTGTCACAAGCTCTCAAAACCTCAAACCCTCTCAATCTTGAAATATTCCTTGATATATGTGACAAAAGAATCACGTGATCTCATTTTATTTTTGAATAACTCCCCATTCTCCTATTACAAATCAAATATAAATACCTACAGTATTATCAGTATCCTCTAGAGTATCTAACTGCAAATTTATATATGATTCGGGCTTGATTTGAAAAATTTGATTTTTCACTATATTGACCAACTTTAATTACCAATATCTTATGCAAATGAAACGTTTCATGAAAAATGATTATAACCACACTAGTCAGTGCGTTTTAAAGATGCTATATTCTAAGTTTCAAAACAATACAAGCTCAAAATAAAATTTCATTTCCTTAGTTGAACAAAATTTTTGGGCCCCTATAGTAAACAAAAATACATATAGTTCAAGAATTAGATTTGATATCGACTTCAAAGTTTCCATTCTAACTACAATCAGAGCTTCCGCAGTAGATCCAAAAGAAAGTACTAAATTCAAATCATTTTTGAGAGTTCTATTTACCGTTTTCTATATCTTAGCCATCATATGTAATTTGAAATATTTTCCAAACCACAACTGCTTTAACCATCGTTAGAGACTCTACTATATAAGTGAGGCCAAATAATCTAATTACACTTTGTTTTATGATTTAATTGTGATTGAGACAAAAATTATCCCTTGATAAAATTCCGACATTTTGGACAAATTCAAACAACAACCATAATTTTTTGAAAACCAAAGCAATTAATGGAACACTTATATCTATGAGATTCGCCAGGCTCACTTGATTGATAGATCTAGTTAGACTTTGATCAGAAACTCGAAAATATTATAAATGTTGAAATCCTTGTACCTAGTATACACGTACCTGCTACAACCATTAATTACCCAACCAATAGTAAATTGATAACCAGTATTGAACGCTCATCATAATACTACACCACTGCTTCAACAAGATCCTTCAGCAATAGAAGATACATTTATCTTTACTATAATATATCTACATTTTCCCGAGTGGCATCTCCAAACTGTATAAGCACCAAAATTTCACCAGCAACAAATCCCATACCATCTGAGACCTAAACCATTAGCACAGTCGTATTAGGAGTCATATCTACTAAGCTATCTTGACTACTGGAAAAAATGTAAATTCAACGAACAATAGGTCAATACTCTTTCAAACCTCTTAAACATTTTCCAATTCAAAGCAACTTGATACTTTAGAGAACAAACCAATCAATTTCAGTGATAGTCATCTCCAGCCATTCAAAATACTCTATATAATCAAAACTTATTCAACTTCCATCCAGTGGAAATAACTCTTGATATTATCCAAAGTATAGCCGATAATGCTTCTGTTACACCGGCAAGAATAATCAAATTGTTATAACCTTTCCCGTTTCCAATCAAGGCACCTCCAACTGGTAAAGCAATAAGGTTTCCAGATGAAACGAAAAAATAAACAGTACCATATCTTTTCCCGAAATCTTTTGTCTTGCTAATTTGACCACAACAAACTGGTGTAAGTGCTTGGAATGTACTATTGAATAGCCCATAAAAAGCAGCAAATGTATACATTATCTTCAAATTGGAGCCAAATGGTAACCAAATAATGAAGATTAAGATTGTGCAAGCAACAACGGAAATACACATAACATTGAATCTCCCAAAATGGTCACCAGCATAACTGGGTAGAGAACGACCAATAAGACCAACACAATTGCATGTTATTGTAACTAAAAATGCGTCAGACTCTGAATAACCATGGTACATTGTATATGATGGCATATATGTGAAGACTAAGATCAACGAAAACTCACCAAGTAAAATAGCAGCTGATAATGTCAAGAATCTAGGTTCATGGATTAAATCCATCATGACAAACGAATCCTTGATAAAATTTTCAGACTTTACAGCTGGTAATCTTACTTTAAGCAAGTATGTGCTTATACTCAAGCATATTAATGATATCAAACCCATTAATCTTAAGCTCCATTGAAATCCAATCATTGGGAAAAGACTTCTAAACATCAAGGGCCATATAACGCCTCCTAAAGATCCACCAATAGTACATCCGCCTAATGCCAGTGCCCTTCTTTTGTTGAACCAATGTGAAACCGAGCCTAAAGTAGCTGTCATCACGAAGCTGGACCCCATTCCAAAAACAAATCCAAATGCTAATAAAAATTGGTAAATTGTGTTACAATTAGCCGTTGCAAATAACCCACCAACCATTAAAAGAGATCCTATAATCATAGATGATTTGGCGCCTTTCGCATCAAAGTATGGACCTGTCAAAATGGAACCTATAAAAGATACAAAGAAGTAGATCGAGAAAACCCAACCAACACTTGTTGTTGATGCTGTTTCCAATTGGTGTGTGGCAACATATGCTTGAATAACACCAACAGAGTTCATAATACCAAACGTTATTAATAATCCTAGAAGTGAACCAAGCACCACCAAGTTAGCATCTTTACCACCTTCAGGAAAGTCATCATCTTCTAAAGTTTCTTGACTTGTATCAGGGGTTGTGAGGTGAGTTTCATGGAGTTCGATATCATTGGAGTTGGACATGCTTTAACAATGGTGTTGAAGCAAGTTGAAACGGTGACTCAAAAAAAACAAAACGCGAAAAATACAGGGTCCAAAAACTTTTTTAAAGGAATAAGAGATGACTATTGTAGCATTCTAAAAGCCACTACAGGGTATTATTCCTATAAACATCTATTCGTTTAATCTAAATAGCTTTATTTAAAACCTTATCAGTCAATTCTGCAATTTTCAACAATTTCTCATCTTGTAATGTTCTACAAATCAATTGGACATGACCTGGACCACCATGGTAAACTTCTTTATCATAACTTGGAGCGGTACATGGACAATAATCAATCTTGACATCATCATATTGATCAATTTCTTTATCAACAGCACCAAATGGGATCACCATTGCTGGGAAATCCACTAAATTCCATACTGTTGTATATGGTGCAATACCAAAATCATCATGTGGTGAAGCGGTATGTGGAGCACCTGGAGCTAGGATAACATCCAAATCATGTTCATTAAATAGATCAATCCATTTATTCTTAATTTCATTTTTTTTTGAAACTAATTCAAAAATTTCATCAGGTATCTTTGGAGGCGGTCCATAAACTTCCATACCACCTTTTGATAATGAATTAATCATTGGTTCACCAGACTTGAAAATATTTGCAATTGATTCATCTTTAGGATCGGATATAAATAATTTAAAAGCAGTTGCCCACCCTTCTTTATAAGATGGGAATCCTTTCAAATAAATGATTTCAAAATTTGAATTTTTATCTAGTTTAGAAACAGCTTCTTTAATAATTCTTTTCAATGGAGGTTGGATAGGAACTGAATCACATTCCAAGACAACACCGACTTTAATAGTACTTGGTAATTCAATTTTTGAATTCCAAGGAATTGGAAGCATATCATGACAATACTTTGAGGCGTTTGAATGATTTAAAATCAAATCCAAAACAAAGTTTAAATCTTCCAAGTCATGAGCAATTGGACCTGAAACAACAGAGATTGGACAGAGTGCGTTTTCTCTGGTTGGTGATTGATTACCTTCAAATGGGAATCTATGAGCAGTAGGTCTAATACCATAGACACCACAAGATAATGAAGGGATACGAATTGAACCAGCAATATCAGTACCAATACCAATAAGGGACCCTCTTTGCTTAACTAAACTTGCCTCACCACCAGAACTACCACCAGCAGTTAATTTCAAGTTGTTTGGATTTAAAGTTCTTCCAAAAATGTTATTTTCAGAGTCACCAGTCATCATTGTAGTTGGAACATTTGTCTTTACATGAATAACAGCACCTAAATCTCTCAAAATCTTAACCACCGCAGCATCATCTGTGATTTTTGCCTTATTACCAATGAATGAAACATAACCAACAGTAGAATCAACACCTTTAATGAAATGAGAATCTTTAACTGATATTGGTAAACCATGAAGTGGACCAAAAACCTGTCCATTTTCTTCCAAATAATCATCCAACCATTTAGCTCTCTCAATGGCTTCTTTAAACAATAATTCAGTGCAACAATTCGTTAACTGTGTGGAGATTGCAGCTCTTTTGGAAAATGCAGTAGCAACTTCAACTGATGATAGTTCTTTGGATGCTATTTTGGATAAAAGTTCTTTAACTTTGTAATTTTTTGTAATTGCAATTTCCTTTTCATTCAATATACCAAAAGTTTCATGAAGACCTAAAACACTTGTACCAACTGTTTCATTATACTTTGATTTGATTTCTGTTGGAATTCTCCATTCTTGAGGAATTAACTCGTCAACAGATTTCTTTTTAGCTTCAGCAAGTGTTTTCCAATCGTTTGTCATGGTTGTGATTGTGATACTTTTCAACAATGTGGTGAGTTGAATAAGGATAATGAAGAGCACTTATACCCACAGACCTGGGTTCTAAGGGCCCATCCATATTAGGCAGTTTGAGCACATGATACTGTACACTAAAATCTTTATGCTTGTTGTTTTGATAAAATCGAGAAAGAAAAAAAAGTGAAAAAAAACGTCGAGAGATAAGGTTTTTAGAACCCAGATAAGCAGCTTTGAATAGAATTTGGGGATGCTTTTGTAAGATCGCTTTCCATTTGTGGAAGCTCAAAGACAATGCGAGAATGTTTACACAATCTTATCATAGGTGATGACTTATGTTGGTTATATGTAGCAGCATTACAGTGAGTGTAACGGTGCAGAGACATATACGATAAGATCAAGAAACAATCTTATCTCTCACAGGTGTATATAAGAACAAGCTAGTTTCACTCCAACTAGATCTTGTTTTTGCATTAAATAACTAATCACTGTTCCAGAATCATGTCCCAGGTTGATCAGTTAAACACCATTGAAAGAGATATTGCTGAAACTCCAGGTACCACTGTTATTAGTGCTGATAACCTTAATGATATTGCAAATGTTGGTTTAAACAAGAAGAAGGGTTCTCAAGGTATTATCTTAATTCCACAACCAAGTTTGGACCCAAATGATCCTTTAAATTGGTCAAGGTTTAGAAAAGAGTTACATTTTGGTATCTTGTGTTTATTCACTATTTTACTTGCAGGATTTTCAGCTTGGTGTCCACCTCTTTATTCAGTTTTCATTGCAAACTTGAATGTCTCCATTAATCAATTAAATAATGGGTTAGCATTCCAATTCTTATTTCTTGCTGTTGGTTGTGCACTTTTACAACCTTTAAGTATGAAGATTGGTAAAAGACCAGTCTATTTGTTAGAAACAGTTATTGCCTTGGTTTCACATGCAGTGCTTTCTACTGCAACTGATGAAAAAAAATATTATGCCTTTGGAAGTATTAATGGGTTCAGTTGTGCAGCTATGGATAGTTTGATTCAAATTTCAATTGCTGATATTTTTTTCCTTCATGAACACGGTTCAAGATTTGGTATTTATGTCTTTTGCTTGAGTTGTGGAAGTTTTTTCGCCCCAATGTTATCACCATTAGTTGTTAATAGTATGAAAGGGGATTGGAAATGGTGTTGCTATGCTATTATTATAATGGCTTCAGGTCTTTTCATTATTCAAGTTTTCTTTTTGGAAGAATCTTTATTTAAAAGAACTTTATTTGAAACACATGAAAATGATGAAAAATTAATTACTGTTGCCTTATCAAATGTTGAACAATCCATGAGTAATGACCCAAACCAAAAAGAACTTTATAACATTGTTAGTAAAAGAGTTCGTGAAAACTTGGAATCAATTACTTCACGTTCCAATAATGATAAAATCAGTACTAGTGAACCAAAAAGTGAAACAAATACAAAAATTGATACTGTTTTGGAAATTCCTGCAAATAAAGGGTTTATTAGAAGAATGTCTGTTTACAATCTTGAGCAAGCTATTGATACTAAACTTTGGAAATTAACTTTAAACCCATTCAGAACTCTACTTTATCCAGCTGTCATTTGGGGTTCATTAGTGTATGGTATTCAAATTTGTTGGTTATCTTTAGTTGGTATTACTCAATCTCAATTCTTCTTTGCACCACCTTACAATTTTTCAACTAGCTCTGTTGGTTTAGTTAACTTGGCTTCATTTGTTGGTTCTATATTTGGTGCAATTTACCTTCATTATACTGATACTTTCCAAGTTTACAAAAGTAAGAAAAACAATGGTATTTTTGAACCAGAATTTAGATTATGGACTATGATCCCAGTCATCATCATTAATTCTTGTGGGTTGTTGATGTATGGTCTTGGTGTTCACAGTGGAGTTCATTGGATATGCCCAGTTATTGGTAATGCTTGTATTGCTTTTGGTCTTGGTGGTGGCTCAGCACTTGCCATGGTTTATGTTCTTGAATCATATCCAAAACAAAGTATGGAGACAATGGTTGCTGTTTTAGTCGTTAGAAACTTACTTGGTATGGTTTTCACTTTTGTTTTCCAAGATTGGTTAGATGCTATTGGGTTAGTCAAGACAACTTGGATGCTATTTATGTTTTGTGTTCTCATCAATGGGTTTTTCATCTTGTTTATTTACAAAGGTAAGAAATTTAGACAAATGACTGCTAAACTTTACTTTTCAGCAACTGCTGAAGCAAACTATAATTGAGATATATGGTTTATATATGTGAGAAATAAATGTGTTAAATTCTATTGCTTAGTGTAGTTATTGATATTGGTTCCATCTAGGAAGTTCATTCTTGATAGTTGATCTTTTACACCTAATTGTAAAGAGTAAAAGCGATAACAGGCATTTGGTCAATGTCCGAAATTGCAGGTTCTTCACAAACCAAAACTACGTGTTTTTCACTAAAAAAACAAGTTTACATTTATATTTTCTATATCTATCTATTTATGATTAATCTCAATTACCATTTCCCTTACCATATGAAATTTGATCCCCTGAATCCTTCCCTCCATGAACATCATAATCAATTCCTTCAATGAATTCTTCATCAGGTAAATTAGATTTAGGACCAATATAGATGTTTCTTTTCAATGAAAAGTAATAAATCAAAGCTAATGACCAAGCTCCAACATTAACAACAATGGCATAGTTCATAGTTTTTGCATCACTAACATGACTTGTAGTTGGAAAAAATGAAAACACAAGAATCAAATATTGTGCAAGAATTGATACAGAAACAACAATTGGTGAAAAAACTTTACCTAAATAAAATGGACCAGGTTTGAATAGATTTTTTGAAAAAAATAAACGCAAGACTTGAGGAGTAGACCAACTAACATAATTACCAATGATACTGATTGAAAATAGGGCATTTGCAGCAATTGGACCAGCCAAAATTAACAATCCCATAGTGGCAGCTGCAATTGCACTAGCAACAACTGCTCTAATTGGAACAGCAAACTTTTTGTTAACAACTTTGATGAATGATGAAAAAGGTAAACCATCATCTCTAGCAAAAGCCCAAATTTGTCTTGAAGAAGCAGTCATACAACTTGCAGCCATAAAGAATTGACAAATGGCAGATAATGAAATGAACGCAACAGCCCATTTCTGACCTAAAGAGTCATAAAAGATTTGAGCTAAAGGTTGACCAGTACTTGATTGTAAGATTGAAGCAATATCTGGAGTAATACAAGCACCAATGACAATCATGATGAAGAACCCAGTGATCCAACAAACAGTAATAGAGCCAATGATACCATAAGGAATTGATTTTGAAGGATTTTTAGCTTCTTCAGCCATATGGATACAACTATCAAACCCACTAATGACCCAAGCACAACCACCAAACCCAAATTGAATAAAAGCCCAACCTGATGGCCAAGTACTTGAATTTTCAAATTTACCAAAGATAAATGAAGCATCATTAAAACTTGCATTTTTAGCAGTACCAATAGGTAAGGCAATGAAAAAAATCACAATTAAGATAACATTTGCCACAATTGAAGTTGTTTGAAGTCTTGAAATAGCACCAGAAGCAAAACAAGTTATCAAAAATTCTGCAATGATACCAGCTGCAAAGACACCAAAAGTCATTGCATTTGTAATTTTAAAAGAACCATTACTACCTAAATAGGCAGCAGCTAATACTTGTTGAGCAAAACCATAAGTAATTGAACAAACACCACCAGTTAAAGATAAAGAGTTTGAAGTACCAATGATGAATGATAACGTATTTTTCAAACTTGGTGGGGCGAAATAATGAGTCCAATAATAAAGACCACCAGAAGTTGGAATTGAAGAAGCCATTTCTGACATTGCAATACCCATTGTTAAGATTAAAAAACCAGCAATGAACCAACCCCAAAGTAGAGTGACAGGCCCACCTGTTAAACCCATGCTCATCACAGTTGCAATACTTGGAAGTAAACCCATAATAGAGAATGCAATACCAAACACTTCCAAAGTACCAAAAGTTCTTTTCAATTCAGGCTTATAACCAATCTCAGCTAGCAGCTCATCGGGATCTGTGACATGTCTTGCATCGATACGATGTGATATACTGGTTGAAGGATCATGAGAAGAGACTTCTCTTGAAGTGACATGTGTAAGTTCAATCTTGTTCATGGCTTGTGTTCATGAGGTATGTCCACTTTACAGTCTCCATAACCTTGTCCAGATTGGATATGATATATATATGTTCATGAGTTGTTGATTAGTGTAGAGCTTTCAAGTGAATCTTGATAAAGCACAGTGTCAGAATTGATGTGGTTAATATTTCATGGCCTCCAACTTCCGTTTTGGGTCGACACTATCTATAAAATTTTCCAAAGGGCAACATCGTGGGCGTTGATTTGCTGATAATAGATAGCTTGCAACGACTTAAAAGAGCACCCGAGAACTCGGTTCTATAGAGCTGTTAGGCTGTGATAGTTGTTATTATTACTTGTGACGTTGATCTGGTAATCTGTGTGTATGGATGATCGGTGCTTAAAAGTTCAACGTTCATTTAGTCATTTTATACCTCCGAAAGAAGTCATCTACAAATACATAGACAGCTACATAGTGTATACCATTTGATTGTGTCACATACATGTAGCATTGCAATTTTGATTATCTCTAATCAAGTGCCAGATGTCAAATGTGCATACTATCTGAACAAGTTTGAATCATGTCTTTTTATTAGGAAGGTTGTGACGTTTTAGGTCATCAAGGAACTATTGGAATATTCAAATCAGATACCCATCAGTAACTTATCTTGAAGATAGTGACTTAATATGTATCCATGAGAGTAGATTGGTGTGCTTTATACCCTGGAACAAAGATATTACCCCTAACAGTTTTGTGTATACTCAGTTTTTGTATCCCAGGAGTGGTATATTGAATTTTCCAATAATAATCCAACTCTCTTAGAATCAGCTTGAACGGTTTATCAACATCAACATTACAAGAACCACATTGCACCTGTAATATCACCTGAATATCCATTAACTTTCTCTCAACAGTGAAATTTTTGGACACTTGGTCAAACTTTTTTTCTATTAGTTCCCATTAAAGGGTCAAACTTTCAGCAAATATTCATAAAACCAGACTAAATCTTGAAAGCCATGATTGAAGAATGAAGCTGTAGCTCATCTGATCATAATAAAGCAATATTCAGCAATATTCAGCAATATGATTAGTTGAATGATAACTATAGCAAGGTGGTGGTGTCAAAGAATTGTACCTATTTGAAATGATATTAAAAAAATACAACAAATTCAATGTTTAGTCCACCATTCTACTGTGAAGTAGATACACTGACGCATTCAAAATCCATCATTAGCTCCACCAGGATTGTTATAGATTTAGTTTTCCAAGACCAGGTCATTTAAAGTTGAACAATATTATTTCTCTCATTAACAAAACTACCCATGGCTAAATCGAAGCAGAACTTCTCCTCTAAATGTACCTTAACTGCAAACCAATCTTCACTATTTCCCCAACCATAAGGAGATTGATAAATGTAACAGCTTTCTGAATTATTGATCTTCAAGATTCAATGTACACCGTAAAAATGAAACCCTTTTGAACGATATTTGGTGGTATTAGACTTTATACGGCCGCATGACTGACTCAATGATATAAATTTAAAGTGCCACTGGAAATCTCCAATTTAAAGCTCCTCTTTAAAGCTTTTCTCCATGTTGGAAAAATTTGTCTTGGTGCTCATCATCAAACCGTTTCGCAATGTTTCGCGAATGGTTTCAAGCAAAGAAAACAAAAACTCTCCGCTAAAATCCATCAACAAATATTCAACAAGGACAAGCACAAATGTCAATGTACTTGGGGAAGACAATCCATGTTATTATTACAGTGGATTTGTGTCTTTATAGAATCCCCTCGAGTAAGAAAGGGATTTATATAAACAGGATATGAATCCCCTTGATAATTCATTTACCTAGTTCAATCAATACAATTTTATCAAAATGAACAATAACCTCAAAAGTGACACTGAAAAACCAGAAGTTGAGTTTGTGGAAGACATAGCTCCAAATAGTGATAGAGATGTTTCATCCTCTATTGTTAATGATGATGCTGATGATTTCTCAGATATTAACGAGAAGAAAGTTTTAAGAAAAATGGATCTTCATCTTATACCATTATTAGCATTGTTATATTTGATTTCATTTATTGATCGTGGTAATGTGGGAAATGCTAGAATCGAGGGAATAACTGTTACTTTGAAACTTACAGAAGATGAATTCAATATTTGTGTCACTATTTTTTTCATAACATATGCCCTTTTTGAAATCCCTTCAAATATCTTGTTAAAGAAAATTGGTAGACCATCAATTTATATCCCATCTATAATGGTTGCTTGGGGAATTGTTATGACTCTGATGGGGTGTGTTCAAAACTTTGGTGGATTTTTCGCATCAAGATTGATTCTAGGAATATGTGGTGAGTAATGGAAAATGAATTTTCTATCATTTCAAACTAACATGATTTTTCAGAGAGTGGACTTTACCCAGCAGTCTCTTATTACCTTACTCATTATTATTGTAAAAGAGAGATGCAATTTAGACAAGCTTTGTTTTATGGTTCTGCAACCACTGCTGGTGCATTTTCAGGTTTATTAGCTTTTGCAATTGCCAAAATGAATGGTGTTGGAGGTTATGAAGGTTGGAGATGGATTTTCATTATTGAAGGGTTGTTAACTATTGTTGTTGCTATTTGTTCTTATTTTTTGTTGTATGATTATCCAGAAACTGCTAGTTTTTTCACTGAAAGGGAAAGAAAATTTGTCATTTGGAGATTAAAGAATGATTCCAATGCAACAACATCCTCTGCTAAATTAATTGATAATACAGATGAATTGTTCAAAGAAAAGCAATTGAGAAAGATTCCAAATTTTCAGGCATTTTCAGAAACTGATGATATAACAATGAGAGAAGCATTTAAGGCAGTACTAAGGGATTGGCAATGTTATCTTACAATGCTCATATTCATTTTCAATACTTCATGCTCATATGGTATTTCCCTTTTCTTACCTGCAACAATTAAAGCTATGGGTTATAGTAATTCTCAAGCTCAATTGTTAACAATTCCAATTTTCATTGTTGGTTCAATGTGTACCATTGTTCAGTCCCATTTTTCTGATAAGCTTGGTGTAAGATCAATATTTATTATTGTTGATTTCATTATTGTTATTGTTGGATTCATCATGGCCATTGTAGGGCAAGAAACAGGACAGTATAAAGTTATTTATGGTGGTGTGTTTCTTGGTGTTATTGGACTTTATTCTGGTTTCCCAGGTATTGTTACGATTCATGCAAATAATTTGGCAAACTCTAATAAGAGAGCTATTGGTATGGCATTCCAATGTGGATTTGGTAATTTTGGAGGTGTATTTGCTGCAAACTTTTATAAGCCAACTAAATTAACATTGGGTCACTCTTTAGAATTGGGATTTTCCACAATGGGGTTATTATGTACACTAGTACTTGTGTTTTCTTATAATTTATCCAACAAGAGAAACTTGAAGGCTTTGGAAAATGGTGAATTTGATGATGTTAGTGATTTGGAATTTTTCAGAATGGGAGACAAATCACCTTATTACAAATACAGATTATGAAGAATGATGTTTATGAATTGATGGCTAATGAATGGATATGATGAGTTTGATGAGTGTAGTATGTACCCGAAAACTACATTAAAGTTAGTACATTGAGATTATGAACTTTGTTTGCACTTTCGAACTTTCATAACAACCCACCAATTCCATGACCTGTGAGAAATGAAATGAGCCAAATGTTTACATCTCTAAAATGAATACTGTTGGCAAGTCCTGGACCTGGACAAATACCTAAAATCCCCCACCCTAAACCGAATAAAACGTTCCCAATTAAAAACCTTGGAGGTATTTCTGTAGACATGGCAAGATCAAAGTTTCCAGTTAGTAAAGGTTTCTTTATATTTCTCCATATAATTACATTTGGTATCACTGCAAACACAATAATCATAGCTAAGGATGGATCAAATTTTTTCCAGTCTAAAATTGATAAAAATCCAATTGTTTTCGTTACATTAACCATTCCTGAAACATGAAGACCAATACCAAACAAAAACCCACTTAAAAACCTAATATAATTACCCAACAAACATTTGTAAAATCCCTTAGCTTTTTGTGATAGATATGGTAATAAACCATAAACTTGAATAAAACCTGCAATTAACAATCCAGTGATTAATTTGTTTTCCTTAAAGAACCCCCAACTAAGCACTAGTGTATAGTTTGGTTCAACGGCACTATGTAATCCCAAGTCTAACAGCTTGTTTAATCCAATAGCAGCTGCTGAAAAAGTTGCAACTGCAGCCATTGATCTAACTCTAAGTCTGGATAAACCACCAATCATATGTCCAGATGTACAACCTGCACCTATTTTTGTACCTAGTCCTACTAAGGCTCCAGCAATTGAAAATAACACCAATTTATCGATACCAAAGTTTGTGATTAGGTTTGAAGTTGGGAAATCTGGTAAAAATGAAGGAGCATATTCTTTGATGAATAAGGATGAACATAAAACACCAGTTAAAAGTGGGATATTCTTTGTAGCCTTCTCGAAGATGGTGTTGTAAATAGCTGATGAGAAGCCAATAGTCGAACCAAGTTGCCAGTAGTAGTTTGTACTGGCCAACTGAATGAACAGGGCACCCACACTAGCTTCGATTATTGAAAACATGATGTTTACATAGTTTTGTTAAAAGTTGTAGATTTTTCCAAAACGGTTTGTTTTTTATACAGAGTCGGGCTTTGCCTACACCAAAAGACCGCTTTTGACATTTGTATCCGTTTATTACACGTTATCATTATCATCAGCTTCTCGTGACAAGTTCTTGATGAACTCAGATGCTGCGTTGAGACTCACAAGATAGTACTGGACCTCACTGCTCTTGTTGAAAGAGAATCTCTCTATGAATGCTAGATTGGAGTAAAGATTAGAAGTCTGTGTCTTGAGAACAGTGTATATCAACAAGGGTAGGAACTCATCTGCATTTTGAGTCTGATCATTCTTCTTAATCAGCTCAAATAAAATCTTGCAACAGTTCAATATACATATCACTTTCGCCCTTGGGGATTTGAAATTATTCAACTTGTTAAGCTCATCACCTGCAATTTTTATGAAATAATCACCTTTGGCCGCTATAGATTCATCAACATCAAGTTCTTTTGCAGTCAAATCCTTGTATTCTTTATAATTAAGTTCTAATATTTCATCATATTCTAAATCTTTCTTGTGTGTTTCATCTATAATATTGGACGGTATTTCTGGAGAATACGTTTGTTCATAAAGTTTTGTCATAACCAACTTCTCCACACCAAACATCGAGTTTTCGAAATCATGCTTGTCCATGAAAGAGAAAGGCTCATATTCTTGCATTCTAGCTGCTATGAACTCTTTGAAATCCATCACCAATTTGGTTTGTTCATCTGTTGTCCATTGTTTTTGATTGAAATTCTTTAGAAATGATCTGATATAGCGAAGCACCGGATCAGCTTTCCTGCTTCTCAAATGTTTTAAAAACAGCTGGAAGTCGAATTTGTTGGGCTTCTCTTCTGGATTGTATGCCTGGATAGATGACATTATTACGAGAGATTGATGGGAAATGGGTATGTGATTTTTTAGTTGATGATGTTGATTTTCCTTTTTTTCTTTCTTTCGTTATTTCCGTTCTGAAATTCAAAATTTTTCATCAAGGTGTAAATGGTTTAATCAAGAGCTTTGACAATGTGTGGTATTCTCTTCCATTATAATCAAAATCAAGCTCTTGAAAATGGTGTTTTGGAGTTTCAGGAAACCCAGGTTCTTGATATAATCAAAAATGGGTTGGGTTCCAAAATACCGAATTCTAGTCAAATATTCAATTCATTAGTTCCTAAAATATGTTCAAGAGGTCCTAATTATTCAAGCCTATTGGTTGAGAATAACAATATGTTGTTCTTCAGCTCAGTGCTATCCCTCAGGTCACCATTCACAAAACAACCTTTGGAATCATCAAGATACATTATACAATTCAATGGTGAATTATACAATAACGACATTGATGGTAATGATACACAATACATTATGAACTTATTGGATCAAAAATCTGTGATAGACACTATACATACTCTTGATGGGGAATTTGCATTTACAATTTATGACAAGAAGGAGCAAAATATTTGTTTTGGTCGTGATCCAGTAGGGAAAAGAAGCTTAGCCTATTATCTGAAAAATGAAGAATTATACATTTCAAGTGTTCAACCTGGTTTTGAAGAAAGATCTGATTTTATAGATTGTGATAATGGAAGTATCTATCAATATTCATTCAAAAATAAACACCTGGAAATTGTTGAACATGCTGTAACCTATAATATCAATAGCAATACTGATAAAGATTTCAAAAATATTGAAGATAGACTAAATAAATTAAACAATGTGCTAATCCAATCTATCAAACAAAGAATTCACAACATTGACCCATTCCACATTGAATCTGAAACTGACCCATTATATGCAATTTTATTCTCCGGTGGTTTGGATTGTACAGTGATTGCTGGATTAGCAGCCTCAATTTCTAAACCTGAAACATCAATTGATCTTTTCAATGTTGGGTTTGATAATCCAAGGACTGGAATGAAAGCATCTGAAGCTCCAGATCGTAAATTGGCCATTGAGTCATGGCTAAATCTAAGCAAGCAGTTTCCTTCAATTAATTTCAATTTAATTGAAATTGATATCCCATATGAAGAATATTTAGAAACAAGGCCAAAAGTTATTGAATTGATGTATCCTAAAAACACCGAAATGGATTTATCAATTGCAATTGCATTTTATTTTGCATCAAGAGGTAAGGGAAATAGATTATCATTACATGATGTACCATTGGAACAAATATCATATTCTTCGGCAAAAACAGTGGAGCATTATCAATCAAAGGCAAAAGTTTTATTAAGTGGACTTGGAGCTGATGAACTATATGGAGGATACCATAAATTTGCCAATAAGGATAATGAATCATTAGCAGAGGAATTAACAAGACAAATTAATAACATTCATGAAAGAAACCTCCAACGTGATGACAAAGTGATTTCCGATAATGGGGTTGAAGTAAGGTACCCTTTCTTATCTCATGATGTTATTCAATTTTCCACTCAAGAGATTGAAATCAATTATAAGATTTCAAAATTAATTTTAAGAAAATTAGCATCACAAATTGGATTAGAATTTGTCTCTGAAGAACCTAAAAGAGCTATTCAGTTTGGTGCTAAAAGTGCCAAAATGACTGCAAATGGTAATAAAAAGGGAACTGATGAATTGAAATAACAAATATATTAATAATCAGACACTTGTAGCCAAATATGTCAGATACTTGGCTGCTTGTTCAAAGTTAAATGCCAACAATAATGTAAATTCATTGAATAAACAAATCCTGTTTATCTCTCTCAATATAGATTCACTATTTTCAACGTCGACAACTGTTAATAACAAGGCATTTTTCTTGAGTAAAGGTTTCATTTTGTTTTGTATATACTCTGGATGTAATTTATGATATTTCAAAGATAAAAATATGACTTGTCGATTTTTAACCAAATAATCATATGTGTTTCTTGATTCAACATATGTCCAATTTACATTTATGATATGTTGAAGTAATGGGTTACCAGTTTGAGTCTTATTGACAGAGATGGTTGAAGGTTTTGGTGATCCTGATTTTTGGAAAGGTTGAGTTTTAGGAGAATTGTAACTGGCACGGTCTTGGTTAAAGGCATTAGTTCTCTTCTTTGAAGAAGGTGCTGGTTGTTGAACTTGAGCTTGTGGTTGTCTTGTAACTGGACTCTGTTGAGCTATTGGCGCACTGTTGCTATCATTGCTGCTTGGTTCACCTCTGAGCTTCTGTACACCGGCTAGAATACTCGCAAATGAGGTCGTATCGGTATTAGATTGTCCATTATTGTCACCCATGATTCCTTAAAGTGGTGAAGAAGGTTACAATGTTATAATCGAGTTCAAATCTGTTTTTGCCTGATGATTACATAACTTCAACCATATTTTTTCTTTGAAAAGCTGTCTAAAAAATCAACAACAAACTCATTGAATTCACTATTAAAAAAGCATATACAAAATCAAAATGGCTGAACAAAGAAAAAGTGAGTGTTGATCTTTTTTGCAAGTGATTGACTTTACTGACAAATACGACCTAAAGTTGACATATCGAAGTTGGAACCAGAACAAATTGCATCATTCAGAAAACAATTTGAGGAAGAACTAGATCATTTCAGTTCATCATTGAACGCTCTAAACTTAGCATTGAATAAATATAAAGAATGTGTTGTAAACATTCAACAAGTTGGTGATGAAAAGAGTGAGGGTAAAGATATTCTGGTGCCATTATCAAGCTCTTTATACGTTCCAGGTAAAATCAAAGATAATCAAAAATTCTTGGTAGACGTTGGTACTGGTTACTATGTCGAAAAGAATGCAGAAGATGCAACTAAATTTTATGAAGCCAAAATAACTCAACTAAATAAGGATTATCAACAAGTCACACAAATTATAAACGAAAAATCACAAGCATTACAACGAGTCGATCAAGTGTTGAGACAAAAAGTTCAAGCAAGAGAAGAGCAACAAAGTACACAAAAGAAAGACTAACTAAACCAATGAACATATTTGTATACTAATTACCAATATCACTATTTTGATATTGTATTCTTGATGTATTGCAAATTATATAGCACCTCGGAATAGATTTTCTGAGTTCCGGCTCATCTCAAATTTTTTTTTTTACATAAACTTTTCATACTTTAGAGAAGATAACCAACATTTGTATTCAGACATAGGCTCAAAGTAGAATGGGAAAGAATATTAAGAGAAAGACAAGAGCAAAGTCCAACAAGAGGGCTCAGAATGCTTTTGAAATAGCCCAACAGCAAGAAAGGGCAAGAAACGGTGATTCAGACAGTTCAGATGATGATGGTGCTATCATCAATCCTCGTAAAAGATTTGGAAATGAAGACGGTGAAGATAATAACAGTAATAGTGAATTTGAAGATGAAGAATTAGATTCTGATGAAGCACTAGGTTCTGACGATGACTTTGACATCTTGAATACAAAATTTTCACAAACAATCAGAGATAAACAAAAGAAAATAAAGAAAGGTGAAATCGAAGAAGGTGATGATGATGAAGATGAAGGTTGCCAAAGTGTTGATGAAAGCCAATTTTTACCACTATCAGCTGTATGGGATCTTGATGATAAAGACTTGATTGACTCTAAAGATACTAAAGATGTCATTCTTGATGATAACTGGCAAAGTGAATCTGAATCTGAAGATGAAACATCTGATGAATCTGAAGATGAAGAGGAAGAGTTCCCATTCGAAAACCAATCTGGTGATGAGGATGAGGATGAGGTGGAATTGACAAACTTGAAGAAACAGCTTACGAAGAAAGACAAAAGAACAAAAAGTCAATATCAAGACCTTCATATCCAAGAGAATGAACTCGCTTTACCAGGTGGAGGTAATGAAATCACTTTAGCCGATATGTTGTCAGTTGTTGATAACGATGCATCAAAGAAGGCAATGTTAATTGATAAAGAAGAAACTGAAGAGAGTGGGAAGTCATTAGCAATTCCACTTCCAAAAAGAATTCAAGATAGACATGAACGTAAAGCTGCCTATGAGATTTCTAAAGATGAAGTGAATAAATGGAAGGAAACCGTCAAACAAAATAGAGAATCTGAGGTTTTGTCATTTCCTATGAATAAGCAAATTGAACATAATGCACCATCTACGTTCCAAGAAACACCAGCGTTAACTGATTTGGAACAAAAAGTTAACAGTGTGTTGAATCAATCATCATTACTTGATGACAAGAAGGAGTCAACATTCGAAGAAATTGCTACAGCTAAAATGAGTGTTGAAGAATTGCGTAAGAGACAAAATGAATTAAGAAAGATGAGAGAGTTGATGTTTAGAAATGAAAGAGAAGCAAAAAGAATCAAGAAAATCAAATCAAGATCTTATCGTCGTATTAAAAAGAAGGAAATGCTAAAAAATAAATCTTTAATTGAAGGAGAAGAAAGTGATGATGATGAACATGATTCCAAACGTGCCCAAGAAAGAATGTCTTTGAAACATAAAAACAACTCAGCTTGGTCAAGATCTATGATCAAATCAGGGTTATCAAAAGATCAAGAGGCTAGAGAAGAAATGGAGGAAATGTTGAGACGTGGTGAGTCGTTAAAATCTAAAATTTTAGATCGCGACGAAGATGAAGACGAATTTGGTGATTCTAATGATTTGAATTTGGATAAGGATGTTGATTATGACTCAGAAACTGAAGCTCGTGAGAACCTAGGTAAAACTGGGGTACTTAATATGGCATTTATGAAAAATGCAGAAGCAAGAGAGCGTACAAGAAATGAAGAAACTAAAAATAATTTAAGAAGATTACATGAGAATGAAGATATTGAAGAATTTGACGAGTCTGAAAGAAATAATGCCATCAACGTTCATATCAATCCTGGTAGAAGAATCTATACACCGGGATCTGGGAAATCCAATGCGGAAATGAAGGAATTATCTCAAACTGTTTTAGATGAGGATGAAATTGATAATTCGAAAAATTTAACAGCTAGATTATCTAAAAGTGACAAAAAACAGGATTCTTTATTAAACAGAGAGGCTGAAAAGCAAAAAATATCCACAAAGGAAAACGCTGATGAAGATGAATCTAATCCATGGTTAACTGTCTCAAATAATGTTCAAAAATCTAGAAAAATACATGTCACAGATAAAGAGAGCTCTAAACTTGAGAAGAATGAATCAAAGATGAGTAAACAGAGAAAGAGAAAAGCTAAAGAAATTGAAGAACCAGAAGAAATAATAGACGTTAATGAAACGTTGAAAATTGTTGACCCTCATGGTGATGATTCGGATGCTGGTTCAGATGTTGATGCTTCAAAAATACACATGTTTAAACAACAAGATTTGATCAAACAGGCATTTGCTGGTGACGATGTTGTTGAAGAATTCGAAGCTGAAAAGAGACAAGTTATTAGAGATGAAGGTGATCAAGTTGAAGATTTAACATTACCAGGTTGGGGTGACTGGGCTGGGGGTAAAAATAAGAAACCAAAGAAGAATAAAATTGTTAAAAGAACTAAAGGTGTTGATTTTGACAAGAGAAAAGATAAAAACTTGAAGAATGTTATCATTAATGAAAAAGTCAACAAGAAGAATGCTAAGTATCAATCATCAGCTGTTCCTTTCCCATTCGAAAGTAGAGAACAATACGAAAGAAGTTTAAGAATGCCAATTGGACAAGAATGGACATCAAGAGAGACACACCAAAGGTTAACAATGCCAAAAGTTACAATCAAATCTGGTGTTGTTATTGATCCACTGAAAGCACCATTTAAGTAAAATAACTGTACAATATATGTCTAAGCATTACACTATAAATCTTGTATTATACAAAAGTTCATTATAAACTTTCTAATCTATCATTGATCTCTTGTGGTGATAATTTTTTGAATCTTGGACCAACTTGATTTTCTGCACCTTGGAAACCTAACAAATCATCATTTGGTTCACCAACAATGGCAATCTCCACTGTATCACCATTCATATCACCTTCAATTGATTCTTTTAAAGTTAATAAAGCAATATGGATAGCATCTTCTAGCTCTAATTCGTCATTCCATCTTTTTTCCAAAAATGTTTTCGCAGCAACAGCACCTTTCCCAATTGCAGTTGCCTTCCAAGGAAAATAAGACCCAGAGGGATCAACTTGATATAATCCAAATTTATTATGATCATCATAACCTGCAATCAACAAAGACACACCATATGGTCTAACACCACCGGATTGTGTACTTTCTTGCATTATCTTAGCCACTTCACTCACCAAAATCTTTGTTGGAGGATATTCGTTATACACTCTTTTATAGTTTGTATGTGATATTTTTCTTGATTTATCAACTAAAACTCTAAAATCTGGACCCATACCGGAATAAACTGCACCAATATTAGGAGTTATCAATGATATCTTGGATAATGTATCTGAATTGACTAATGAAGATGATGATTTCTTTTCAGTAGCGAGCACAACACCATTGGTAGCTATATTAATGTTAGTGAAGAGCACAACACAATTGACCTTAAGCACATACCTTTTATACCTAGAGATGTCACACCTTGTTTAACGGCACTTAAAGCATGTTCAATTTGAACTAGTTTACCACTGTTTTATAACATTGTTAGTATTGATCAAATGGAAAGAAAACATCAATCTCAATTGAGGAATCAACGTACCTTGGAGAAAATGTGGTTAAGGAAAAAGAGTATCTGTCAGCCATTTGAAAGATAGGTTAGAAGGCAATTCTTAGGATCCAATTGGCGTTGTCAATTTTGTTGAATATGTTGATGTGTTTTTACGCTACAGATTTTTGCCATCAGAAATCCAAAAATTCGAGAAAGCAGATTTCGGTAACGGCCACTACTAAGAAACAGTATGAAAGATGATATAAAACTACAAAACTGCTTTTAAGAGAAAGATTTGCTCATAATATATATTATATTAATGATAAGCTGTGCAGAGTTTTTGGTTATTCATTTTTGAGCCGAAAAACGTATTCATTTAATGGAATTGTCACTTCGAAAGTCAAGCTGTTGAGCTATTTTAGACTCCCAATCCATAATTAAGTGAGATATGGGTACGTAAAAAAACTATCAAATCCATTGACACAGATTCTGACACAATGTAGAGCTTCGGGGAAGCCAGCTATTAAATTTCGAAGAACTGGTGATATATTCTCCCTCTTCACAATGCCTTTTTCTCTTGGTAATACTTCTTTTGAGATAGTCTCATTTGCTTCAACAACTCCCTACTTGGTCTCTTAACATGCATGAAATTACACGTTCCTCCCCTATCACAAGACTGTGTATCATGTTGTCTGCATGAACTTCCTCTGAAATCAACAACTGGACTTAATTCGCAGTAAACAGGTCTCGAATTGTACCATCTTGTACTGAAAATGTCTCTCGCCTTTCTGGCAGCTTCCTCACTGACAAACTTGATGTACACATTCCCGTTCAAATGATCATTATGATTTTCACAAACTGTTAATTCATCAATTTCACCAATTTGACTTGCCTCTATGAAAATGTCTTTATAAAAATCTTCAAAACTTGGAACGATATCACTTGTGGGTATTCTGTTTGGTTTTTGAACATCTGGATTTTGGTATAGATTTGCCATCATGATGGTTTTAGAATGTGTTGGTCTTGTGTGCTTTCGTGAACATTTTTCACCATGTCTACAAGCACCAATCTTTGTGTAAAACTGACTATTGAAAATAAGTTAGCAAATAGCTCCAATTGTATGGAAGAATATACTCACCAATTTAATCCAAAATCAGCCATGATTTATAAGTTGTATTATTGTTTCTGGTGGCACTGGGTTGATAAAAAAGTTATGTTTATTTTTTTTTGGTTTTTTTTTTGGCTTTTTTTGCCATCTCTCTCAACTTTGAAGCCAAACGAAAGTGAAAACCTAGAAGTAACATTCCCTTCAGATTACAATGGGTGTAGGTTTTACTAAGGATGAATCTGATTGGAGCTAGACTGACAATATCAACAGGCTGATGGTGGTGTTAAATTACAGAGAAAGGATTTGATCAAACAAAAAAAGTCGTCAGAATACGATGAAGCCAGTGCTGAAGCATACAACAAGAATGGAAAATGGACAACTTGCCACTTGTCAAACAAGCCATTGGCCATACCCATAGTGAGTGATTATAAGGGTAATTTATACAACAAAGATAGCATATTGGAGTACATTTTATATCCGGACACTATAAGTACGAACCAAAAGCAGTTGGTAGAGCATATAAAGAGTTTAAAGGATATTGTCGAATTGAAAATACAGACAGGTAATGACAATGCTGAATTTACATGTCCCATAACAGGTAATGTTATTGGGAGTAATGGGATTACATATGTATATTTGGTGAGTTGTGGAGATGTGTTCGCTGAAAAATGCTTGAGAGAAGTCAATGGTGATGATCGAAACTGTCCTGTTTGCAATCAACAATATGAAGACCAAGATGTCATAGTTTTGAATCCCATTTCAAAGAAGAGTATTGAACACCTTGAAGATAGAATACAGCTGTTGATATCTAGAAATTTGACACATTCAATGAAAAAACAAAAGAAGCAAAAGAAAAGAAAATCTGAGGAAGCAGTTACGCATAAATCCAAGAAGGTAAAGGTATAGCTAGAAATTTATGATTGAAGCTTGTACGCTGTTGAAGACCAAATCCCGAAAATAAATCATTTTTTTTTGTATTTTCAACAGTATGTTTGTGTATAAATAAATAGATACAAGAATACCCAAAACCAAAATAAACTAAGATATGTACAGTATTGTAGACTCGGTGGCACTGGAATATAAAAGCACTCCGTTTTCCTGATTTTTGAATCTCTTTAATCCTTCTTCTCTTCTTCAGCTGGTGTCTAAAATAAATGGTTAGTAAATGCAATCGCTAATTAAGCTTCATAATACGCACTATAACACCTTGAGCCAATGCTTGTTCTTCATATTGTTTACCATTAAGATACACTTGATATGACATACCACCTATAACGTATACTAGTTTTCGTTAGTTCATCAACTCTTCTTTCTCGCAATCTTGGATCACTTACATGAACCACCAACTAGGGAGAGAACTGTTAAACGGTGTGCAGCATCAGCAACTTTTGTGTACCATGGATATCTACCAGACATTATTATGAAATCTGTTTTCTTTTTGGACTTTTGTGACGTCTTGAAACGGTACAGTACTAGATAATAAGTTCGTTTCTGTATTTTTTTTGTCGAGATTCTACATCCCTACACCATCATACTCCGGAACTTCACCTGAAGCAACTGTCAGATCAACTACAGCAAACAAAAAAATAGACATAAACTCATTTTATTCATAAAAAAATAGAACACGTAAATTCGATAAGTTATTGATTGGTTCAATGGTTAAACGTGTAGTAAATGGTATTGTACCAAGTTTTCACATAGTAGACAATTTTGTTCCACAAATTGACACCTGTAAGTTTGGCATTAGCAATAGCACTACCAGTATCATAGTTGGCACCACTGATAAACCATCTAGTATTAGTTTTAGCAAGATCTAACAATTGATCGTGTCTAAAGTTTTTAGTATCATAAATACCAAATGAACTTAAATATTCTCTCAATTCAACGTCAGACCAATAATCAAAGAAAGAATCCCTTGCTGTGCTAAAATGGTTTGAAGCTTGATTGGCATAACCAGAAGCTTGGGCAGCTGCATCTGTGGCATAGCTTGAAGCTTGAGAAGCTGCATCTGTGGCATAATCTGAAGCTTGGGAACCCCATTGAGAAGCAGCAGTTGAAGCGTGTTTGGCATAAACATCAAAATTGGCAGCTAAATTCTTGTAAGCAATATTAGCCTTTTCCAATAAACCTTTTGATGTTTTAGAAGCCGCATCATTTTGTTCATCAACCCATTTTTGAATATTTTCTTTTGACCAACCTTGGAAAAAATAATCATTATTGAAGTTTTGAATTGGTTTGAACTTGTTATCTTTAACTAGTTGAATCAATTCATATTTGGTTGCAAAGATAGGGACCGAAACACCACGAGCAGCTAAAAAGGCCTTCAAACGATCTCTTGACCATGATTCAACACCGACGAAGAATGTATCATTAATAACGTTATCAACCTTGTCAGATGATTTTGTCAAGAATGGTGAAGCAGATTTTGAAGCTTTTCCACTCCAATACTCAATATCATCTTTCAAATTATCTTTATGCTTTTGAGCTAGTAATGCCAATTCTTCCTTGTTTGTCTTCAATGATTCTTCAACATCAACTTGGTGAGTTTTTAACCATTTGTATAATTGAGATGATGACCATGTATTGAAAATATCATCTCTAACTGTACCAGCTTTGTCAAACAACGCCTTGCTTGACAAGTCCAAAGATTCCAAGATACCTTGACGTTCTTCTTCAGCAACTTGAGCAGCTTGGTATGAGTTTTGACGAACTTTACGAATCAAATCCTTTTGAGAATCTCTGAAACTGGAATAATCAATACCATACTGGTCCAACCATTTCTTCAATGATTTTTTGTCCCAATTAGAGTACAACCAATCACCTGGGTAGTTACCTGAAGCGTTATACTTCTTTGCAATTTTGTTATAATTTGACTTTGCTAATTTAACCAAATCATCACGTTTAGCTTCTGGATCAAACTTGATATCAGATTTTTTCAAAGTACTTTTCAATTGATCAATACCCCAAGTAGCAAAGACCCAATCTTTTAAATTGCTGTAGTCAACTGAGGATGACGAAGTTGCAGGGTTTGATGTTAAGGAGTCTGTAGCACCGTTGTAATAATTAAGCACTTTTTGCTTCACGACATTAGGATCAAACCATGAAGATTGAGATTTGGAATGTTGCAATTCCCAGTGTTTTTGGGAAAGGTCTTTAATTTGTTCAACAGTAGCCTTCTTTTCATCGAAAGGAACTGAATTATCTGATAAATACTCTTTTAAATCATTCAAATCCCAAGAGTCAAGAACTGTGGATGAGAACAATGCAATTGAGGAGGTGGATAGTAACAAAACCGACAACAAATTAATGACTTTCATCGTTGTAGAATTATTGATTGTTAGTCCAGTTGCTTTGTTCCAAGCTCAATCCATAACTGAAAGAAATGTCTTTTTATATATGATTTAGACCCAGGCGTGTCTATAATTGTGTCATTAGCAATCCCACACTCAAATTTTAGTTGAAACAGCAATTCAGCAACTGGCCATGGGCCTTGTGGTTTCTGGCTGTAAATAAGGGTAAACTTGTGAAATTAGGATCATTTCAGAGCACACAATAGAACCTTGTAGAACACCATAATAACCGACATCATTTAAACCAACATCATCAACTGAAATTGTTTATAAACTTCATCTCTTTTGAACTTTTGAAATTTCAACCTTTATACCACCTCGGAATGTGTGTCATCACGTGCTCACATAGACCCTCGTAATTCGATTCTCGATGAACGATCAAAAACACGAATAAAAACATGAAAAAAAACATATAAACAACACCAAAATTATCCAATCAAATCAGAACATCAACTTTATATATCATCAAAAGAAAATGTCGGTACCTCAGCTCCCTCAAATAACACCAACTGCCATAATAGTACCATCCAGTGATCAACAACAAAGCTCAATTTACAACAACTATGCCCAATTAAATCAAAATTTGTTCAGTCATCCAGGTTCTAATTTCCAAGGATCCGATCTAATGACACATTTGCAATTAAATTTGAAGGCTGGAATCAATTTGGATTGGTGTTCGAGGACAATACTTCATTTTAGCAACTCGGCACCTTACCTGGTTAAACACCAGTGGATATTGGACTACTTGTTGAATGATTTATACGATAACTTTAACAAGACATCAGCATTGAGTTTAAGAAACTTATCACAAGACGGTGATTTCACACAACTATTGGCATTACATCCAAAGACTAAAAAAATTTTGTATGAAGTTTTGAGCCATTTTGAAACAGATGATCAACCTTCTCCTCTAATTGATGATGTTGAAAATACATCCAAATACTCCAATTTAGACAATGAATTACTGATGTACACAGTTGATATTGTTGAAAGTGTGTCTTCTTATATTGCACCGGCTCCAAAAGATGATGATTTATTTGTTTGTTTAACCAAGATTTTCCAAACTCATAATGATAGATCATTATTAATTTCAATAATGAGATCATTTGCAAGATTTCTTGTTCGTTCAGAACTTAGTGTTGAAAATTGTTCAAGTAACTTAACTTCCAATATATTGGATAAAATTGTTTCATTCTTATTAACAAATGATTATGATTTAATTCTAACTTCGTTAGATATCCTTTATCAATTTGCATTGCCTGGAAATCTAAGAATAAATGCATTATTAAAATCATCAACAAGACAAGAAATTCTAAAATTGAAACTTCCACAATTATTAACATATCAATTGAATATTAAAGGAAATCCAAATGATTTTTCACAATTGGATTATTTGAAGTTGATAAAAAGAACAAAACCACCAATGCCAACATCACCACCTGTTTTATCACCAGAACATTATAAAGATATAATAATTTTAAACGAACCATTAAGAGCAACTTCCTGGATGAGATGTTCTTATAAAGCTGTTGAAGATGGTGAAGTTACCCAAATTTCTTTATGGAAAGCTTATGAAAAACAATTTGAAAAAGAAGCTGTTCAAAATAAAAAAAATTACTACCAGCTGTTGATTTCATTAAAAATGTATCCAATGCATTTCCAAATTCAAGTGCCATGGTTCTGAATCTACCAAGTGGTCAAAGAAAATTTATAATTAAAGGGATTGAGCCAAGATTTCAGTCTGTTGATATAAGTACTGGTGAATATGAAGCTTTTAATCAAATTGAAAAATCGCAAAATCATGATTTGAATTTATTGAACCCTCTGGATTCAAAACAAGAACCATTACCAATTTATAATCCACCACAGCAATTAAACGATGTTAATAAGAGTTCTTCAATGTTATTAACTTCATTAACTAATAACTCAATTGGTAAAGAACTATTTAAACCTGTTGAAGAGGAAATTTTCAAAAAAATTGAAGCTGCTCCAGTTTTATTTGATGAATTAGCTGATTCTTTAAAATATCTACAATAGAATAGTTTATAATAAATAAATAATGTCATTAAAATTGATTGAATTAATCAAATTATAAGTCGTCATAGTTCGTTCTGGTTATGCGCGTATACATATCAAAATAACAATTTGATTGCATCCGCAATTGTTTCTGATTTGAGATTGTCAGAAGTTAAGTTATTTTCTTCAACAGTTTGTTTGAAAAACTTTGTCAATTCATCTTTAAACTCTCTAGTCTCAATGTTTGGAATTTCCACATAATAATTGTCCAAATCATGAAATTCAATAATCAACGATGCACATAATTCCAAAGTTTCTATTGAATTTGGAGACTCTGAAGTGAAAACCGAATTGAAAATTTTGTAAAAGCCATCATAATTTTCAAGTTTATCTAATTTGTAATCTTGAACCAATTTTTGGAAAAATTTTGTTTGAATGAGTTCTTGTGGTGACAATGCTGTTGTTTCGACAGAAGTTAAATATGATAAAAACTCAAATCCATTATTCATTAAGCATCCATGTAAATTCAAAATCTTTGTTGTCAGCTCAACGTTATTCAAATAGTAAAAAACCAATGGGTAGACAGACATATCAAAAGTTGTCTTTCTGATAAATGATTCTTTAATCACTTTTAAAACATATTGTTTATGATCGTATTGTATTGCAGAAATTAAAAATCTTGATATTGAGTCATTAATCATTACTGGGTCAATTAAAATGGTTTCTAAATTCAACTTGTTTAATTTTGTCTTTGCATCTGTTTTTGGTAAACAAACCATATAATTGTAGATTCTTTCAGCGTCATTAAATTCTTGAGTTTGATATAAAAGATTTGAATAAAATTCATAAGAAAATTCAGGAATCCAATCAATGCTATTAAATTGAGACCAAATTTCTAAAGCTTTACCAACATTTTGCTTTGAAAGGGTAATAATGTATGAACTTAACAGCATTGTTAATTTTGGTTCAAATTCTTCATAATTCTTAATAGTGCTTAATAATTTATCCAAAAATTTTGTAGCTAATGTAATTTCACCTATAGATACCAAAGTTGAGATAAATGTTGAATAAATTAAAAATTGCTTTTCAGCTAATAATGGTGATGTCAAGCTTTCAGTTTTGAATTCCTCATATAAACTTATGGCTTTTTCAGAATCATTGGTTAGTTTGCAATTATTTATTAAACCAATGTAATAAATATGACTCTTGTTGAAATTTTCTTGTTTGTCTAACAGATTCATCAATGAATCCATGTTCACAACGCCTGGATAAAGGTTCATACCGATTAAAATTGAATCAATTAAATGATTATCAAAATTTTGAACTTGTGAACAATTTGAAGCATTGAAAATATCAATTGCAATTTTGAAAAAATCTGCACCATTTGAACTGATATTAGAATCCAATGAGGATTTGATTGAACCCTCTAACAAATCATTAATAACAACGGAATAAATTGCTAAATCTGGTTTGATTTTATGTTGGATCAAATCTTGATAAACGTTCAGCATTGTGGACAGTTTATCATCTAAAGTATCATCAATTGATCTCTTAGATATTGAGGATAAGACAATGGTATAAATTTCTCTTGAAGGAACAATGTTGTTTCTTTTGATGGCCATATAATGAGAGTGTATTCTTCTATATCTATGTTGATCATACGCCACGTAAATTCTTTCACTTTGTTCACGTAAGAAAGTTGCATCACTCAACTCGATATCAGGTATTTTCTCAGTTGTAATTGGTTGAAAAAATTTTGGTTCTTGCTCTTCAGAGTTTAATAAGGTTGGTGATGACTTGATGTCCTCTAGTTTGTTATGTACTAATGCAGATGTGTGTAAATGATGTCTTTGGATAGCTGGTTGATTCTGCTGATTGAATAGATGTGATTGTGGTTGCAATGATGGTGATGGGGATAATTTGGCACTTGAATTCAATACATCAGTTACATTGACAGCGGGCACTTTCTTCAAAATCTGCTGATAGTTCGATTTGTTGATTGCTAGTGCTACCTGTTGTAGTTGGTAAGGGAATATGAGTGTTATTGGGTTGCTGAGGTGTGTGTGTAAAGAGTCATCAATTAGGGTGTTTTCATTACTTTTGATGGTGGCAGGAGACACAGCAGCATTGGAGGAATTATTATCATCATCATTCAGCAGGATATTATTGTTGGAGTTGTAGTCAAATTGAAGGTAGTTTGTTGTTGCTGAATTAGCAGGGTGAGGGTTTGGGTAGTTTCTTGCGCCATTTGATATTGATTCCAATGATAGCAGGTGGCTATTTTGTTTGATGTAGTTGAAGGATGAATCAAAGAAGGCGGTAGCGTTGTGCTTGGCCGCTGTGTGGTATCTCTTTGACGAGGTGTAGAAGTAGTTGTACTTGAAGCACTTGAATGGCATTGTGGGCACTCTTCTCTCTATTCTTCCTTCGCCCTAGTATCCTGTTGTTTTTGATTCAGCGGTTAACGGTTGATTGAGATCTGGAATATTCGCTTCTTTTTAAGCATTTGAAAAAAAAAAGGTTAGCCTCCAGATTGTTACATAAGCGCTGGTTCCGAGCCCTGTTCAAGACGAAGCTGATTGGCCACTTCAGATCCCGATGCTGCGCATACCAGGGCCCATACAGTAATTGGCTCGCTTCTATTCGATGCTGACAATTGACCAATACTCGTGAGACTATTATTTTATACGAAAGCGTAGTACTTGGTGAACTGGCAGTGCCAGGACTAGAGAGTGCACTTGTTCTGGTTGTCTTATTGAGAGGTCTATTCCGTTACAATACGATCAAGGCTTCAGTTCTAGTACATGTTTAAATTTGAAGATCAGACGTTGAAACTTTTTTTTGTGTCAAACGACGTCCCACGAGCTGTTGGGTTTCGGCTTTGTATCTGGTGAAATACAACAATCACTGTTCACTGATCAGCAATTTGTACACTAAACTTCGATTGAGACAGTGTAATGCTCAACCTATAATGAGTTAGGTATCAAGACTGTTTACCTGACTACTGATTACTCCTTTTACAAAATTTTGATAGCCTAGATGTCAATAGAATCACTGAACAACTACAAAATATTTTGGATTTGAAACGCAATTAAGTAGCAATCTGATGTTCCTATATGGTAACTTATTCCTTGATAGCATATTTACGGTGGAATTTGTCATTAACTTCAGTTAAATAATAAGAACCTGAAGCAATATGATCAATTGAACCAGTTGGTTTGAAATCTTTCTTCAAATGAGCAGCTTCTCTCAATGCTAAAGCAGCTTCATATTCTTCTGGTGAGACATAGTTTCTTGAAGCCAAAACTTTATCAAAGTTCAAATTGTTTGTAATATGTGAAATATCACCTTTAACAACAGCTGAGAATAATGAAGCAGCTAAACCTGAACCATATGAAAATAAACCAATACGTTTGCCTTGTAATTTATCATTACCAACATAGTATAACAATGAAGCTAATGAAGCATATAAAGAACCAGTGTATAAGTTACCGGTATTGGTTGGAATTTGTAATGCAGGTTGAACTCTTTCTTTAGTTAATTCTTTGGCCAAAGCAACAAAAGTTTTTTCAACAGTTTTATCAGTTAAACTTTCTTCAGGTGATAATTTAGCTAAATTAGCATCAACTTCTGGGTATAACTCAGGGTTTTCTCTGAAATCATTATATAACAATCTAGCATATGATTTAACAACTAATTTACAAGTTGGAACATGGAAGGCATTATAATCAAATCTTTTAGTGGCACCAACAGTCTTACTGGTTAATCCTTCAACACCAGCTTTCAAAGCTTTTTTAGAATAAGCAGCATAAGATTTATCTAAAGCTTTAACATAACAAGCTAAGGAAAAATGACCATCAACATATGGGTACTCACTAGTGAAATCTGGTTTGTAAAAATCATAAACATGTTCGAAATATGAACCTCTGATGTTATCAAAGACAATTGGAGCATCTGGACCAATCAATAAGGCAACAGTACCAGCTCCACCAGTTGGTCTAGCAGCACCTTTATCATAAATGGCAATATCACCAGCAACAACAACAGCATCTCTACCATCCCAAGCTGATGATTCAACCCAATTGATAGCATTGAAGACTGCATTGGTACCACCATAACAAGCATTAATGGTATCAATACCTTCAACATCGGTGTTTTCACCTAATAATTGGACTAAAACTGATTTAACAGATTTGGATTTATCTAATAGAGTTTCAGTACCAACTTCTAATCTACCAATAGAATTAACATCAATGTTGTAGTTTTTGATCAATCTGGATAAGACAGTTAATGATAATGAATAGATATCTGTAAAGTTAGTACGATCTCCTGTTGGCGCTTAACAACTATACTTACCTTCTCTATCGTTAACAAAAGACATGTTGGTTTGACCTAAGCCAATGGTGTATTTACCGGAAGAAACACCATCAAATTTTTCTAATTCAGCTTGGTTGATGGCCTTAGTAAGAGTTAGTAAAGTGCTTTAGCTGTTGGCGCTTAAGGATACTCACAAGTGAAGGAATGTAAACTTCAATGGCTTTGATACCAACGTTTTGTGGGCGAGCAGCGGCAGTCATTTTATGAATATGAAGATTGGGAATAAGTTAACTTTTCAAAATGGATGAATAAAAGTACCAAAAATTAAACGATTGAAATATAGTATCAATGCCCAATAATTAATGTAAACTAGTTGCAAGAAAGTTAGTTGTTATGTTGAACTTGGTTTTTTTTTCAACAAAAAAATGTCAAAAACGCGAAAAATGATCGTTTAAAAATATTGAGATTTTATTAGCTGATGTGAACAAAGGAAAACTGATTGATTCTTCGATGAATGGGCGTCGTTTGAAATCAACTTTTCTTTATTGAAGCTTGAAATTTTTTGTGGGTTGATAATTGCAAATGAAAATAGGAAAAATCAGGGAATACGTACCTCTTCTTATAGTCTGTTTTTTTTTTGCGCCAGTTGGTACGATCTCGTTTAAAGATTCAGAATTGACAGATTTCACGGTTGAATAAAATTGTTGAACTGAAAAACTGTGTAATAAAGGAAGCTCGAGATCAGGATCAATCTTTCTGTGAAATAGGCAATATAATTCAATGCTAGGTTACTAGCTCGGTCTTAGGTTTCTCTCTTTATTGAGCTACTCGATAAACTGCAAATATTCTACCTAATAATCTACAATAGTAATAACACTGGATGAATCCATAATCATTCGTACAACGATCTTCGCAACGCCTCCTGGATCTGTTTCTCAAAATCATCATCTTCAATTACTCGTGTGGCATTGCTTTCTATTGGTTCTCGTTTAGTTACGCTAGACTGTTCTATCGCACCGGTATAGTTATCACTTGAAGCACCACCATCATCCCAATTGTCATTTTTATGTTCTAATTTGGAAAGCTCAAGAGCTCTAGATAACTCTGCATCAACCTCATCACTATCTTCATCTTCAAGCTCTTTTCCAGTGTTGTGTGATTGATCATTTAGAGAATGGTTCAGCACCATTGCCAGCTCCATTTCTTCCCATTCGGTAAGATCCACTCCATTATATTTATCGAGTAACTGATCTTTTTTGTATTGTTCATGAGCTTCATAGTCTAACTCATCAACTTCATGTTTGATTTTCTTTTTCAACTTAACCTTTCTATCACTTAAGACACCAGTTAATAATTTCTTCTTCTTTTGGCTATTTTGAACATCATGTAAAGCCTTACCAAATTGAAAGTATTGGACAACATTATTAACAATCAAAACACCATTAGTTTGATTTTTTGGAGATAATTCAACAAATTTCACAGGAATCAAATAAGGCGGTTGAGTTAAAGGCAAATGCCTTTTTGGGATTCTGTTTGATACCAGTTTGATGAATTCACCAGTTAACACCTCATATACAGCCGCAAACCCATTATAGCTTCCCAATAAAACCACTGTGGAATTTATAGATATTGAACTGATTGGTGGTATCCCATCTGGAATTCTAAGTGTATCAAAAATAGGGACTATTTCACACTGCGGTTGAAGTAGACCCGTACTAGCTTTCAATCTCAAATCTCTAATATTAAAAGTCATGACTCTACCTAACTTAGTCACAACACCGAAATTACACCCATCATATCCTGCAATTTTCAAATCCCTACTTGAAATGGTTTTTGTTTCTAAAGCAACCTTCCAAATTTCATCCTGTTCACCAACAGATAACTTTGTTTGTCTGCCAAAGGAGGATCTATGATATGAATACACTGATAATTCATGATGATTTCCAACAATTACTAGTCCACCACTAAAATCAACTTCAAAGAAATCAGACCCTGAGGAATGTGGGATAGATCGCACGGTATCACTTTCAATAATGTAGACATTTTGAGAGTCTAATGCAACAATCAGGTTATTAAATCCTTTAACACTAATGATAGCTTCATTTGAAACATCAAATTCTTGTATGAATTCACCATTTTTCAAATCCCAAGTGAACAATTTGCCTTTTTCATCACCACTATAACACATTGAATCATCATTATGAATTGTAGTGACCATTCCTTCGTGCGCTCTATTGAATTCTGACATGGAGCTTAAAAAAGATCTTGTTGCCAATAACTTTCCAAAGATTTTACCATCAATTCTACCAAACACTGAAGCAGATGTGTTAAATGAATATGACGTGCAACCATTTGGAGTTGTCATTGGAATTGTAGTTTCTGTTTTAGCTCTTTCTAACGAGCTTATATTGATATCCCCTTGATCACTGAAAGATAACAATTTGGGATAATTTAAAACAACCTTCTCTATAGCTGTACTGTTTATTGTGAAAATTCTATGCATACCAGTAGATTTCTTCCAACGATGAATGATTTCATTTCTTTCAAATAACTCAACACTGTACCTGAACGAATTGGAACTTGAACTGAAATGGTTTGTGTGAAATCTCTTCATAAACAGATTCTTCCAAAGCTCTTCATCATTTATAATATGATTCAATGACTGACAGGTTTCTGCAATGTTATAGAGATCACTAACGTCTAGATAACTCAATATCTTGATGACGATTTCCGCCGGCAGCTTTAGAAAGCTAGTCATTTCCGGTTTGGTGACCTGGTCCATATTCTTTTTAAGGGTTGAAGGCCTTAATGGTGAAGCGAGGTACATCATAAATACCAACACGGTTTTCAACTACACGAGTGCGATGGCGATCAAGAGAAAAAAAAACAATTCGCGAAACCATTTACATAATATAGAAGAGATGCTTTAAAGTTTTATTATTAATCTATCTAGTTTGACAATAATTTTATTAAATAGTCATGTAGTTGGACTTGCTTAGCAGTAAGTAAAATATTTGAAGTATCCATATTAAGGGCCTTCAAGTATGAAATCACACCGTAAATATCTTCAAATACCTCTTCTTCTGTGGACCATCCCAAAATGCCATCATAACCTTTTTCCTTCATAAATTTTACCAATTTATCACTCATTTCAGAAAAGTGAGATTTGAGTAATTTGGTATCATGATCTGCTAAATATTCTATGCTGTTTTGAACCATTCTCGCTAATTGTGTGTGAAGCTCAGACTTGTTTCTATAAAAATTGGCTTTTTCAACATTGAACAACACTTTATCATTTCCACTTGTTGGACTAAAAGATGGGTTAAATTTTAAAGCCTGATGTAAAACCACATGTGCTGAAAGTTCATCTTTTCCAAAATTTTGAGAAAATTGATCTCCATCATACCAAGAAACCGAGTTTCCACCAAAATGCGTTGAAGCTAACTCTCTAATTTCATCGTCATCATCTGATAAAAAGTTGTAGAGTAACCATAAGACATCTGAAGTTTTACGTTCATTTAAAAATCTAAGAACAGATTTCAATGCTGACAACCTAATTTGATAAGGTTCGTTATCATCTGCATTTTTAACAGCGAGTTTATACCAAGACTCATAAATCTGGCAATTGTGACTTTTAGCTGCAATACTTCCTAGTAACTCCAAAGATGATCTTTTGATATCTTCACCATACACATCTTGTTTTTCAACAAATTCAAATATTTTGTTCGTAGAATAATCCTCAACCAATGGAATAGCTTTTGAACGAACATAAGTCCAACAGTCATCATCGTTAGCAATTTCAGAAAGAGCTGGAAGTTGAGCCTTTGATTTGGCACAAAAGTCGATGGCTTCCAATTGAACCTCAAAAAATGGGGACCTTAAACCTTGATTCAGCAAATCAACATCATTGCTTGAAATAAATTTGAAAACTTCTTTCATTAATAAATGTCTGGAGCCGTCGATTTCAAACTGGCTATTATTCTCCGAAAACCAAATTCGTGTTCTTTCAGTAATTTCCTCATTTGGGAACTCCTTGCAAGCAGCTGATAAGAGTTGTACGTAAATCATACTTGTTGAATAGCATTTGTTGTGAATAAAAAATTCATCAAATCTTAGGTACAATTGTTTTACTAGTTCCTCAGAGTAAACATTCAAGGATTTGATAGCTAGTAAATGACCATGCATCTTATTTTTGTTCTTTATACTGCATGTCTCCAATAGTGACACAGCTTCTTGATTTGGATCTGTTATCAATGCAGGCATGGCACGGGCAGCTGCTTCGCGAATTTTCCAGTATTTGGTAGCAAAACAAACTCTTAGCAATGGTTTAAACTCATCTAAACCATCATACCCTGGATTTGCTTCTAGTTTCGATAGTATAGTCAACACTGGGAACAAAGTTTCAAGATTTCCTTCAGCAATGGAACTCTTCAAAATTTTGATCAAGATTTCTCTAATACCTTTAAACCTTGAAAAAAACACTCTTGCGCTCATTTTCTTTCTCCCAAATAATCTATTTTGTAAAGCAGTGAATAACATTATTGAACAATTTCTAACAGACCAAATTTTGGACGAAAAAGTTGACAGAGCTAGTTCAAGACCTTCATAAATATATGGAGCAACTGAAGTTGCTAATTGAGATTCAATGAAAAGTGTTTTGATGCAATTGAAAGCATGGACTTGAGCTATATCCATTTTCTCACTTTCCGCTTTTTCATCGACTGGTTCTCTTGCAATCTCTAATAGCCTATCAAAGGTATATCTTAATAAGTCTCTTTCCACTGTCACAATTGCAGTTATCAGAAATGGTAATCCCCCTGATCTTCTTGTGATCAATTGAGTCTTTGTTTGAATCAGTGAAATATTAAAATCTAGCCATTTCTTGGACTGGTCAGTCACCATTTTTTGACAAATTGAAGCAACTTTGATGAATGTAGGATAAACAGCAGAGAATGCACCTCTATGACGAACAGTTGATAGTTGATCCAGCGCTAATTCACCAACTCTGAGCAGTTGAGATTTGGTTAATTCAAAGTCCAATAATCTCTGTAGCAATATGGTGGACTCCTTTGTTGCTCTCCACGCATAACTCAGAACTAATTGAGCAGAACCAACACCATATTGGTCACAGCCTTCAGGAGAGTCATGGCTTAAAATTTCTCTCACAGTTTCCCAATTCTTTTCCACAATCTGTATAACTTGTTCACAATCGGAAAATTTGTTCATTCGTTTTAAAATCAAACTCATAGCTTCAAAATAGCCGTGGACTGGTGAGTAAACAGCTTGCTTGATATCTGTGTTTAATGGAATATTCGAAATCAAATTTTTCAATATCAAATCATCATTTTGTAAAAGATATAAGCATTCAAGAATCATTGCGCCTGCTTCCGACTTTGTATAATCACCCAACATATGTATCCCTTTTTCAATCAAAATGCATTTATGCTTCTCATCTAAAGTTATTTTGGAAAGGACAAGTAATGAGACAGCATTCATTCTAGTGTCTTCATAGGTACTCAATATATTATCAAAGAACAACCTAATAAATGATTCATCAAACATTTCAATATTGAATGGATAGTAAATGTCTAATTTCACCGATATTTTGGAATCCAACCCTGTATCGGCTAAAAACTGTAAAATTTTGAACCCTGTACTTACTCTCTGATACTGAGCTCCAGGTTTTATCTGCTCTTTTATGAAAGACAATAACCATTTCAAAAACGATTTTATAATATTAACTTGTTCAAATTTCAATTGAGCTTCCTTCAACATTGATTTCTTTTCTAGTTTGGTTGCATCCCTATGGAGAGCATAAGCTGAATCTTTTATTCTAAAGATGAATTGCTTGAACAAACTATGAAATTCATTTCGAGTTTCCACTTCACAGTCAGTGAAATAAACATCCAAATTGTTTCTCATAATATCAAAGACTTCTGAACTGATAGGTCTTGAACCTTTTGGTGAATATGTCAACATTTGAAATATTTTTATTTTATAAGCATCATTAACCAAAAGTTTATTGACAACATCTAAAGAAACTAGATTTGGGAAAGGATCCTCTTCGATGGCCAGAGTTTGGCCAATGTTTAAACAGGTGATGAATAAATCAATATCATCTTGTAGGTCATTAACAAACACCTTGAAAGCAGTTTTAGAAAATTTAAAAAGATTTGGCAAAATATATTGCTCGATACCTCTTCTAAGTGCAGGATTTTTAATTCCCTGCTTTATTGGCGACCAATATAGTGAAACCCATTCCTCTGCGTGGTCCTCATCTGTGTATAGTTTCTTGTAAATTGCACTTACAGCTTTTCCTATTGGATTCGCCAGAGCATTTGATGACATTAATTGGATGGTGTCACTAACGAAACTTGGGTCCTTGATTATAAAGTAGTCATTTTGTTCAATTTCTTTGCATAGCAGCTCAACCAAATAATATTGAACTCTTCTTCCATGTGATATTCCCAAGGTTTCATCCGCCCAACTTCTGAACAACTCTTGAGGATTATAGCGCTTCAACAATGTTAAAAGCTTTGTGAAAACATCTCTCAGTGAGTTTGATAATGGAGCTCCAGTTTCATTACAGTAATCAACAACATAACGGAAAAGAAAAGTTGAATCATCGTTTGCAAATATCATATCACCAATGGTTTTCTCAAATTTTGGACATTTTGAGCACAGTTGAGATGCCCTGAGAAGCCAAATTGCAATTGTATCAGTGCATGTAATTCTATAGTTTCCAACACCTGTAGCGCTTTTCAAAGATCGTATCAATAACGGAAATGTCTTGATTAAAAAGTCATCATAATGATCAACTTGAACAGACTTTTGAGCTATGAAAAATCTTCTAAGTGAAGTCAACTCATCTATTGTGAGCTCTTGAACGCCTTCACATGGTGGATTTTCCAACGATATCATGTCACCAGCCATTATGAGCCCACACCAGCGTCTTGTTGTTTGAAAGAAGCACTTGTCTAGTTTCGATTAGATCTCAGAAATTTTTTTTTTGTATGGATTGTGTTCATTTTGAGCATCGCACACCGTAAACCGATAAAAGCCATTAAAATGATCGAATTGGAAGCAAATTGTTTGTCAATCGAAGTTTTGAAAGTGGAAACTTATTTACGCTAATATTCTGAGACATTTCACCTCCTAGATTCCCTTTTGAATTCCAATTTTCTAGCTAAATTTTCATGTAGGCTAAACCTTCCAGGCAGAGGCTCCTTCTAAACCTGTTGATCCTCCAGGCAGAAAACCTGCTGCGCCAACACTTTCGCGAAAACTTCTTCTTTGAAACGCCAAAAAAGAAAAAAAAAAAAAAAAACCAAAAACGTCAACAAAAAAGAGAAAAAAAATGAAACGTATGGTTTTGATTTCATCAACTTCTACAACTCAACTTCTAATAAAAATCTTCAGGTCAATCTTCCACCTTACACTCTTTTTTTTTTCAATTCTATAAGTCATCAACTCCATTATCATCAAATAAACGATTATGGTTGCAGATAAATATATTGGGCTGGCCCTTGCCATATCGTCGTCCTTCGCGATTGGTACTTCATTCATCATCACAAAGCAAGGTCTAAAAGATGCTTCAAAGCAAGGTTTTGACGGTGGTGGTCATGAATATTTAAAGAACCCTATATGGTGGGCTGGAATGTTAACCATGGCCATTGGTGAAATTGCAAATTTCGCTGCTTACACATTTGCACCTGCTATTCTGGTGACCCCTTTGGGTGCATTATCAGTTATCATTGGTGCTGTTTTAGCTGCTGTGTTTTTACGTGAAGAATTAGGAACATTAGGTAAAATGGGATGTGCCATTTGTCTATTGGGAAGTGTGATTATTGTTTTGCATGCTCCTTCTGATAAAGATATTCAAACAGTTGATGAGATTTTGGATTATGCCATGACACCTTTATTCATGTCCTACGTTTTCATTGTTTTGGTATTTGCATTAGTTATGATTTACAAAATTGCACCAATTTACGGTACCAAGAATCCAATCTATTATATTTCAATCTGTTCAACAGTTGGTTCCATTTCGATTGTTAGTATTAAAGCGTTTGGTATTGCATTGAAATTAACATTAAGTGGTAACAATCAATTCACTCATGTCTCAACATACATTTTCATTGCTGTTGTTGTTGTTTGTATTTTAACACAAATGAACTATTTCAACAAGGCATTGGATCAATTCGATACATCTATTGTTAATCCATTATATTATGTCACATTCACAACTGCAACATTACTTGCATCATTCATTTTATTTAGAAATTATAATGATGCTGGACCAAAAGATTCAATAAGTTTGATTTGTGGATTTCTAATCATCTTTTCAGGTGTTTACTTGTTAAATATTTCTAGAAAGAAGAAGGATCATCAAGCTGTTCTATTCAGTCAACATGATGATTTAGGTGATATTCCAATGGAAGGTAGTGTTGGTGCTTTCCAAGCCAGAAGATCATTAAATATACATAGAACTGCTGGTTCTCACTCAAATGAAAATGAAGAATCAGTTGGATTGAGAAGATTTGATAGCTTAAGTTTAGATGGTGATAGTGATCGTGAGGCTGATAGATTTCGTGTTTAAGCGAAATCACAAAAACGGTAAAATACATTCAGTTCTTTCAAACATTCATATAAAATTATTTTCATAAAATCATAATTATACGTCATCTTTGGGAACAATAGTTGTAATCTACAGCTTTTTGCAAGGAAATTTATACTAAAATCTTGAATTTTTTTTATATCATGATAAAATCCAACCCGAATAAATATACAAAACATGCAATTACAAACGATCTAATTTGAAATACATAACCAAATTAAGCAAATAATGAAAACAAAAGAATTTAATGAACAGAAATGAATAGTTGAGTGAATCGATTAGATATCATCAATATCCAATTCTTCATCATCTTCTTCATCGTCATCATCAGCAGCACCGAATTCGAAGTTGACATCTTCTTCTTCTTCGTGACCAAAAGTATCAGTTTCGTTGATTTTAGCATTTTCTGGTAATTCACCTTGAGATTTCAAAGCTCTAGCTTCATCAGAGTTATATTTTTGGATAACATCACATTGATCATCTTGGAAATCTCTTAAAGAGACTAAAATAATATCACCTTGACCCATCCAAACCTTCTTACGAAGTTTACCTCTAATATGAGCCATACGTTCAACACCATCAAAACATGAAGCAGTGACTCTACCATTACCTAACATCTTGGTGATTTGAGCATATTCTTGACCTTCATCTTTATAAGTCAATTCTCTCTTTTGACCTTCGTTATCGTTCTTTCCTCTTCTTCTGTTTTTACCACCCTAAAGTTTTGTTAGTGACTGAAGTTCAAATAGAAGAGAATATATCTCCAAAATATCAAACCACATACTTTTCCTTTACTTTTAGGCATTTTGACTTGATTGTTCTTATCCAAAAGTTTCTAATAAAAGACTTTAAAGTACCTTTTTTCATCAAATTTTTTTCTCGCCACAAGAAAAAAAAAATTTGAAAAAAAAAAAATTAATGTCATCTCTTATATAATCATTCGCGACTATTGAAAGTATAAACATTTAAGAAACAGAAAAACAGTGTACAATCGAATAAATCATCATCAACATCATCTCCAATGACAACCATGGATCCATTTGAAGCAAGATTACAATTCATACAGATACTGGAGCAGCTAAACCCGTCATCTCAGGCAATCACGAAAGGTGTATCGTTTGCCCTCAAGAATAAAGAATTACATGAAGATTTCCATTCATGTATCCTAGAAGTTTTAGATAGAATTGATTTAAATTCAAGAATCAATGTGTTATACTTCATTGAATCGTTAGTTTCAGCTATAACTACAAATATTTCCAAAACCAAAGATGAAATAAGTCCCTATGTTAATAATCTTGAGAATGATTTCCCAATAATACTCAAGAAAGTTGTACCTAATCAAAATTTAATAAATTTGAAAAGTTCAAGTGATATTTTAACAAATATTGAAAAATATTATAATATAGATAATACAGAATTGAGAGATAAATTTGAAGAAGTTTCGCTAGAGAATATAGATCAGTTATCTACTGAATTGGGTGAAGAAAGTTCAGGTTTCAAAGGTGCTTGGAGATTTTTAATTTTAAATAAACAAAATGGTTTACAAGAACGTTTAAAACAATTGAAAGGATCTAATAATGATGATGATGATGAATCAAAAGATGCCAAGGATTCAAATGGGTTGGATACAAAAGCAGTTGCAGGTGAAGATGCTTCTTTGAAACCTTTTTCAAAAGATCAAATCTTGAGTAGAATTGAAGCTGATAGAGAACGTCACAAGAGATTCAAAGAAGTTAATTGGATTGTCAATAGACCAAATGGGAAAATTGATTTCAATGAATTTGAAAAAATATGGGATCAACATGATGAGTTGGATGAAGATGATTACCAGGATTTACAGGATCTAAATCAAATAGCTAAAGAAAGTTATCAAGTATAGATATCATTAAACGTTTTTTTATTTTGATTTTATCCAATGTATACATTTTCTATTTATATTCCGTTACCATTCATGACGCAGCACTGTTTAAAACAGTAAATAATTCATTCAGACCTTCAACATGTTCTTTTGCATTAGAAACATCACCACCAAATGCAATGGTGAAAACATGATCAACATTTTTCAATTCATTTGCATATTCCAAAACAGGTTCAATAATTAATAAACTTGAATTTCCAGCAATTGTTAAGAAATCCAATTTTTTTGGTAAAAACTCCATTTGTTCATTACCACTAATTGGACTTGTTGGTGAAGCTGGTGTAATTAAATTAGCATCATTGATTTTACCAGTCTTTGTAATGTAATTGATCAATAATTTAACAGCTTTTAAAGTCAAATCTGATTCTTGAACAATCACAGTATTATTGATCAAAGTAGCATGAATATTTGAATCACTATTATTAACATGGAAAATTAAATCACCAATACTTGAACTTTTACGTTCTTGATCTTCAACTTGTTCAGTGTGAAATTTTAAAGTACATTCACCAATTTCCACATAAGAACCTGGTAATCTTTCAGCAAATGAATTTGCAACTTTTGAAGTTGTTTCAATCCAATCATCATTATTTTTGTTAGAAATTGAAAGCCATGGGCCACCATTTTTCAGTTTAATGAAACCACCATTTTCAGCAATCAAACCTAATCTTGGAACTCGGCGATAAAGTCTTTCTAAATCTATTCTTTTAAAAGTGGACAACATATAAACATCATTGTTGAAACTTAATTCAGTTAAAATTTGTAAAATTCTTTCAGTTGGAATAACCGCAAGATTTAAAATTATTAATCTATTTTGTGAATCTTTATAACTTGAAATAAATTTTTCAACATCCAAGTTATGATAATTTTTCTTTTCTTGTTGAGATCTCCAAGAATCTTCAATGAATTTTAAACTTGATTCAACCCAATAATCACAATCTTGTTTCATAACAACATTATATAAATTTTTCCAATTTTGTTCTTTTTCCGTTTGTGTTAAATTGAAAGCAATTTCATAACTTTCACTAACTTGTTTAATATCCCAAGGATTTATTAAAATTGCACCTTTTGTGAAAACATCTGCAGAACCTGTAAATTCACTTAAAATTAATGGAGATTTTTTTTCATTCGTAGCCACAATAAATTCATGACAAGTTAAATTCATACCTTCTCTCATTGAACTAACAACAAACAAATCAGCTTCAGAAATTAAAGCTAAATATTGGGCAAAATCAATATCTTGATGTAAAAATACAACTGGTTGAGTATTTGAAATATTTGGACTTAATGAATTGATACGATCCACAATTGACATAATTTCAGTTTCCAAGACTGGATCAGTAGCACTTGATCTAAGACAAACTTGAATTAAAACAGCACTTTCAATAAATTTTGGATTTTTTTTCAAAAAACCTTCATAAGCTAATAATTTTTGTTTAACACCTCTAATTCTATCAAATTTATCACGAGCAACAACCAATTGTTTATTTGGCCATCTTTCTCTTATTAAATGTCTCCAATTTTTAACCAATTCACTATGTTGTTGTTTGATTAATTTATTTGCATCAATCCCCACAGGTGAAGAGGCAACTTTTACAGTTTGACCTTTATATCTTAATTCATTATCAGTTATATCAGCTAATAATAATTTATTACAAGTTTGTAAGAAATGTCTTGCATATTCATCAGTCTGGAAACTAACAGAATTTGCACCTAATAAACCTTTTAATAAATTTTCTCTTTGAGCAAAACATCTGAAAACTTCACTTGATGGGAATGAAACATGTAAAAAAAATCCAATTTTAGCATTTGGTAATTTTGATCTAACCATTTCCGGAACTAATAATAAATGATAATCATGAACCCATATAATATCACCATCTTTATAAATTTCCACAATTTTATCAGCAAATTCTTGATTTAAATTTCTATAATGTTCCCAAGAATGTTCTTCAAAAGCTTTTGAATTTGGATTATCAGGGATTTGATAATGGAAAGTTGGCCACAGGATTTGTTTACAAAAACTTTTATAATGACCTTGAAAAGTGAAATCACTTGGTAAAACAGATTCTGAATGATAATCATTTCTCAATTTGTTTGTAATTTTTGTTTTAGTGTTATTAGGTAACTCATCAGTTGGAATACCAATAGTTCCTAACCAAACATAATCTTTAACAATTCCATCTTCCAAAGAAGAATTGATTGCATTTTTCAATCCACCATTACCTTTTGCAAATTCAACAACGTTAAAAGGAGCAGTTTCAAAAATATTTGATTTATCATGGTGATTAAAGATTTTCTTATCATTTGAGGAATAACCACCAAATTTTGGTAATTCATAAGTACGACCATTATCATAATCATCATCCAATTCCAGATTATTGATTGAATTTCTATGGATATTTGAAATGTTTTCTGTTGTTTTTTCATTATCAACATCTTGTTCATTAGTTTGATATTTTAAATTTGATTTTTGATGAATTCTTTTAACAGCAGGGACACCTAATTCAAAACGGTTTGATTTTTTAGGTTCGACAACTGAATTTGGAGGAGGTGAATTAACTCTTGATTTGGGGATAAAAGTTGAAGAAGTTGAACCAACTTGGTTTAAAAACATTGGTCTGTCAGATGATAATGAATTTGTAGAAGTGTTGTTTAAAGCTGCTAAATTTGTTTGACTTAAAGTTTTTTCCAATTCATCAACATTTTTAGTTGTAGCATTAGCTGCAGCAATAGCTAAACTTGGGGTTGAACTTGAAGGGAATTTTGAACCAGGATGGAAATTAGCAGTTGAGGCGTTTGGAGAATTTGCTTGAGAATTGTAGAAAAACTCCTCGACAGAAGAATTGTTTGTTTTATATTGATCATTTTTCTGTTGATGATTCAATATTGAAGCAGGAATTGGAGTTGCAGTTGGTTGATGAGATCCAACTGGAGAAACAGTGCTTGAAGCATTGATTGAAGAGGTTCTTTGCTTTGGGATTTGAATAGGATGGGATTGAGCCAAGGCTTCTATAGGAAGTTCATTGTTGTCATCATTCATTTGGAATTCCACCGTGTAAGGTAAGAATCTAGAAGGTTAGCACATGGTGACATATAATTGGCATAATAATGGTACTTACAAAGAAGCAACGATAAGCGTCATTTTGAGTTGTTGTTTTTGAAGCAAAAGATTTCAATTGCAATTGATGAAGCGCTCTGTTGGAAAGATTGGGATAACAAGTTCAATTTATAGAAGTTTATGGATTGTTGTTGTTTGTGGTTTTTTTGTATGGATTGCTACAAAAGGGAAAATTTGATCGTACAATTTGATTTTGACACCTTGTGTTTGCGCGAAACGTTGATGATGAATTGCTGGAAATTTTAAAGTCGAGTTTCCCGATGAAAATTCTAGAAGGATCAAATAAAGATTATTTTGATTATGCTGATAGATGCTCATTGTCATGTTTCTACCGAGTGTGATCCTCTAAGAATTGATGAGTTGGTGAAGGAATATGCTCAGTTTGAAGATTGTTTGAAGTTGATTTTGATGTCAACTAATCATATCGATTACCAATATGTTGACAAATTGGCTCAAGGTTTAAGTGTTATGGTTACACCATGTTTTGGAGTCCATCCATGGTATTCACATTTGTTCTCACTTGATGGGATCATTGGTAAAGAAGAGCATTATAGACAAGTGTTTGGGATCAAAGAAGAATCTAATCTTGATGATGAGATCTTGGATATCTTGCCAGATCCGATTGATTTTAACCAACATTTACAAATATTGAGGAATTTGATAAACAAGTATGATATAGTTGTTCTTGGAGAGATTGGATTGGATAAGTTGTTTAGAATTCCAACTTCTGGGTTCTATGGTAATCCAAAGTTTAAAGAATCCAAGGATGTTGTTGGATTAACTAATTATAAAACTACTATGGAGCATCAAAAAAGAATATTTATCGAACAATTGAAGATTGCTGTTGAATTGAATTTACCCATTTCTGTTCATAATGTAAAGACTAGTGGAGTTATACATGATATTATATCTAAGGAGTTGTTGAAAAGTGATTATAGTTCCAGTGTGTGTTTACATTCATATACAGGTTCAATAGAGACTTTGGAGTTGTTTTTGAAAAGTTTCAAGAAATCAAAAGCATCTTTTTACGTTTCATTATCAAATTTCATCAATAATAGTGAAGCTAAGAAACAAGAATTGGAAGGGATCTTGAGAGTGATGCCTAGGGGCAATGTATTGACAGAGACAGATATGACTATAGATAATATGAATCCAATTGAACAATTAAAGAGTATTAGGGGAAGTGTATTGAGAAGGGATGATGAAGATGATGATTCCTTGATTGAAGGTAATTACCATCGGTATTTAGACAATAGATGACTGTCAACAACAAGAGTGCCACTAAGCGCAAGTAGACATACGTTCTCCTCTTTATTAAGATCATATATCCCTTTCAAGAAATGCTAAACGACGATTGTTGATTAGTTTAGGCCTGAGCTTGGCTTGTGTCCAACAGAGGTGTTGACAATTGACACATAGCAGTTGGTATTCAACAAATTGAGCTGTACACAACAAGATGAAAAGGGTATAGAGCTCAGAATCCAGATTGATTTGAATCTAGCCGTACTACCTCTTACAAGCACTTATCCATCGGCCAGCGTCCCAAGGCCATCGGATCGGAACCGTTGGAGCGTGTGGTAGTGCTGGATTAATTCACTATGTAATTTGTTAATACCTATCCATTTCTCCTGGCTCGTGAATGATGATGGTGCTATTCTCTCGGCCACCGATCCCGAGGAGCGCGACGGGTCGTGCGAACAGAATAGGGACCAATAGCAGGAGTGGTAATGGAATCAATTGTATATCGCCATGTCCTGGTTGTGAAGTTGAAGTTGGTGATGTGTGTATCCTGGTTATGCTGTGGTCTCTCTAAACTGAAGAGGTCTCTGCCTACACCTCCTATTATCTGCCTAATATTCTCTGCCTATTCTTTCTGCCCGTGTCTGTTATTCGAGTCTGCACACCCCCGGATCTCTCCTCTGTGGCCTAAAACCCCCCATAATAACATCTTCTTGTGTATATAAACCCACTCCCCTCCTCGTTGCGACACATTTAAATAGTCACTCGTTTCTGATCCAAAGTCAACAACAAATACAAGAGAAACAACTGGTACCAATGTCACAAATCTTAAAACAGAGAGTGAGATACGCTCCATATCTTCAAAAATTGAGAACTCCAGAACAATGTGTGGAATTGTTCAAAAATGGTCAATACTTGGGTTGGTCTGGGTTCACAGGTGTTGGTGCTCCAAAAGTGGTTCCTGATGCTTTGGCTCAACACGTTGAAGACAACAACTTACAAGGTCAACTACAATTCAACTTATTTGTTGGGGCTTCAGCTGGTCCTGAAGAAAGTAGATGGGCTACAAATAATATGATTGCAAGAAGAGCTCCTCATCAAGTTGGTAGACCAATTGCTTCAAATATTAATGATGGTAAAACTCAATTCTTTGATAAACATTTATCAATGTTTCCTCAAGATTTAACTTATGGGTTTTATACAAGAGAAAAGGAAAATGATTTATTAGATTTTACAATTATTGAAGCTACCGCTATAACTGAAGATGGTTCAATTGTTCCAGGTCCTGCTGTGGGTGGTTCTCCAGAAATGCTTTCAGTTTCTGATAAAATCATTATTGAAGTTAATACTGTTACACCATCTTTTGAAGGTTTACATGATATTGATTTACCAATTAATCCTCCAAATAGACCTCCTTTACCTTATACTTCAGCTGATCATAAAAATGGAAGAATTTCAATCCCTGTGGATCCAAATAGAGTTGCTGCAATTGTCGAATCAACTAAAAAAGATGTTGTCCCTCCAAATACTCCTTCTGATCAAATGTCAAAAAACATTGCAAGTCATTTAGTTAAATTTTTCAGAGATGAAGTTAAAGCTGGTAGAGTTCCAGAAAATTTACATCCTTTACAATCCGGTATTGGTAATATTGCAAATGCCGTTATTGAAGGTTTAGCTGATGCTAATTTCAAACATTTAACCGTTTGGACTGAAGTTTTACAAGATTCTTTCTTGGAATTATTCCAAAATGGTTCTTTAGATTATGCTACTGCAACTTCAATTAGATTAACTGAAAAAGGTTTTGAAAAATTCTTTGATAATTGGGATGAATTTTCTTCAAAATTATGTTTAAGATCTCAAGTTGTTTCAAATTCTCCAGAAGTCATTAGAAGATTAGGTGTTATTGCTATGAATACTCCAGTTGAAGTGGATATCTATGCTCATGCTAATTCAACAAATGTTTCAGGTTCTAAAATGTTACATGGTATTGGTGGTTCTGGTGATTTCTTAAGAAATGCTAAAATTTCAATTATGCATACTCCAGCTGCAAGACCTTCCAAAAAAGATCCAACTGGTATTTCTTGTGTTGTCCCATTTGCTTCTCATATAGATCAAACTGAACATGATTTAGATGTCATTGTTACTGATAAAGGTTTAGCTGATTTAAGAGGTTTATCTCCAAGAGAAAGATCAAGAGTTATTATTAAAAACTGTGCTCATGCTGATTATGTTGATCAATTATTAGATTATGTTAATAGAGCTGAATTTTATGCTCAAAAGACTAAATCTTTACATGAACCTCATATCTTGAGAGATGCTTTTAAAATGCATTTGAATTTAGCACAAAATGGTACCATGAAATTAGATTCATGGGATCAAAAATTTGACTGATTATAAAAAAAAACATATACAACCCAACCCCCAAAACACTATTATTGAATAATAGTTCATGATTACATTATGATACACCTATATAAAGATTCCTACCCTTGTTTAATGATTCAAAATAAAAAATGTCTTAATTAGAAATTAAATTTGTTTTGTAGTTTAGTGAATTTTTCATTTTGACAGGTTTATGCCCCTCCCCTCGGAATCTCCACTTCAAAACAATACAACCGTGAAAATCCTCGGATCTAAGATCATCAACTTGTACACCCAAATTTCAAGATTCCAAGAAAGCTTTTGATTTTTGGATTCTTGATTGGGTTATTGCCCTTACGCTTCTCAGCCAATCTAGTTTATAATATTTGGAACCTTCTTTGTAAATGTTTGTAAATTAATCTCGATTCCTCGAACGTTTTCTTCTGTTGTTGTTAAAGCCGTGCCATGGGGATTTTAGATTTTCAGATCGTGTGTTTTTTTTTTTTTTGCTTGATCTCGATTCTCTGAAATCAAAACAGAACATATCCACAGACATCCTGAAAGAATCAGGATTCAAAACAAGTGCATAAGCAGACGCTAGGTCGGAATTATAAAACTTGCAACAAACGTCACCCGTTGATGAACCATCTGATGATGAACTGTTGAACTTTTCAAAGGGTGTTTTCTATGAAAGTCCGCTGGAGTAGACCCTGAGTCCTGATTCAATTATCAAATCTTTGACTAGGAAGTGATTCCCATATCAGAGACTTTTGAATTATTCAAGGTGTACAAGTAAATCCTAATTCTGAAAAAGTTCATGTCGAATCAAGATTCAAAGTGATACGTAAAGTTGTTTTAACTTTGGTAGAATCAAAGTGATACGTTTATAAATTTGGTCTACATGCTGAGAACGCTGGGATATCAGATCGTCAAATTTTAAAGTTCTATTATCAGATTTTCCTCAAATTATAAGTTTTGGCTACACTTTAAAAATGCTCCAAGCTTTTGAGTTGTTAACTTTTAACGCCTTCTAATCATATTGTTCAAAACCATCGTTTTCTATTCAATTAACATGAAACAGTAAAGCTACCTTTATTTGATACAAAATGTTGAACTTGTCATATTGGTAACTCAACCACCAGTAGGCCTGTTAATATCTTATAAGGTTTTTTTTAATTATAATAGAGTAATAAATTGGCTGGATATTACCGATGTATATTGCTAGTACTTATTAATATTTACTAACTGAACCGGTAGCGCTGTTTTTATATATTGAGCAGCGAAATACCGCTCAATAGTCATCTAATATTTGTATTATTATATAATTAAACCCTAGGCACCGGCATAGCTTCAGACGTACCTAACTCAGCATTTATATTCTGCTAGTACTAGTACTACATCTTTCAATAATTAAACAACAGATTTGAGTAATTATGCGATCTAACAAATTACGTCTAGTGAGTTCGTTAACACTAGCACTGAATTTACAAACTGTGGTCGGTATATAATTTGAGCTCTATGCTACATAAAATATCACTCAAAATAATTAATATTAATCATATCAGTAATACGTGTCACCTATGAAACATTAACTACTTGGATATAATATTAGTTCATGAAGTCACGTGACCTCCTGCTATTTAAATGTAATATATCAATTAGCGCAATAATCTGAGATCGAGCCATAATGATATTGTCCGTACATCTTAAAACTGAAGTCTAATTAACGTATGTGTATCAATGATCTTTATAAATCGAATTATAATTTTTCTGAAATTATTCAAATTTTAAATATTTGTGAAGTCAATTTCTGATAATACATTTCAAAAAGTAATAAACCTAGAAAACATAAGTTTTCAATTAAAACGTTGAATTAATCACTAAGCTACTAAGAATGATCAATTTCAATGACATTTGAATAAAATTAATTAAGTTTCACTAGTATTATCTCAAGTTTTAGCATTGAAGTGATGTAGTTGATAACATAACACTGACGTAAGTGCTTACTAAGATTAACAGATCTCGATAACAAAATGTGCTTTCTGCAATGCTAAGCTCCAGTAGATATAAATACTTCGAAAGAATCAAATAATTGTTTAATAAATAAAATATTATTCACAGTTTAAAATGCTTTGGAAAGAGATAGCATCTCATTGTCCAGGTGAAATTCGGCTTCAGATATTACAATCCTTAATAACTTGTGAATTTTGCCTTACAGTGGCTCAAAAATTGAAAGAAAGAAATAAATTCATGTTATTTTAGCGCCAAAACTTACAATCTATATGTTTAAAATTATGGCTATGACCAATTGATCAATATATTATCAAAAGCCGGTTATTTCCGTGACAATTGGCGCATTTAACCAGCTAATCCAGCGCCCTAATTTTTTTGATTTCCGGTCTAGTAGTGTAGTGGTTATCACGTCTGTTTCACTCACAGAATGTCGCGAGTTCGAATCTCGCCTGGACCTAATTTTTTGAAACGCTTCGGGCGATTTTTTTTGCTCTAATTTACATATTCTTTAGAAGTAGGCCCTTCAATGACTTAGCTGCTCAGTTTTTGTGCAGTTTTGGCCCAATATAGGCTGGGAAATTGCATTTTTAGGTTGTTTTTGGATTCGGTGTTTTATCGGAAAAATACAGTTCAAAAAAAAAACATCCATACTTTCACTTGTCCACTTTGTAGATTCAAGATTAAGGCTAACACTTGAATGTTTGAAAATGGTTGGTAATATATTGAGGTTTACCAGGCACTTTTCGAGCTTTTCAGCTTTGAAAAGGCATCATGATTTCAAAGAGTTCGAAACAATGTTTAAGCAAAGGTTTACCCCAAAGAAGGGTGTGACAATAAAAGAAGCAACGCTGATTGAATCAATTCATGATATTATAAAGTTTAGGTCACATTGCAAGAAGATTGATGCTCCGTCAGTGGACGGCCTATTCAATGAAATAGTTGAAGCTCCAAACTTTAGAGTTGATGAAAAAGGGTTGAAAAAGCTTTTGTTGATGAAATTACCAATCGAGAACACATTAAGTCTTATTAAATCGTATAATGTGAAGAATCCAAGCTCTGTTATATCAAAAGAAACTGCAATGATTCCATTGCGTAAATGCTTATGGGATGGTGATGTTGATGGTGCAATAAAAATTGTTGATCTCACCACTGGATCTGATAAATATATTTCAAAGAAAAAGTTTGACCACGGAAAGGATCTTTTCAAATATTTTGGAGGGTTTGTGGGATCAATTGGTGTTGTAGATTTTGGGCTAAGATCAGTTGGGGTGGAACCAATGATGGGGATGTATGCTATGTTTGCCACATATGTTTTGAATATGACATTCTTCGCAACAATGGCATTTAGTGGGAAAATCGCTGGTAAAAGTGACAATCTTCAATTTGTGCAAGGTATTCCTCAAACGTATAGAGTACTTCACTCTGATGAACTTGAAATGCTTTCCCGTACTGCAGAAGTAGATGCCATAGTAAATGGTGTTGATAATTTTGCTAGTGCAGAATTTGTTGAAAAAATATCTGGGAAAAATCTTGAATTAATTGAGCCTGAAAGTCAAATTTTACTTCAAGAATACTGGCTTTCCGGAGGTGATAATTTTGAATGGGTTGAACCTGATCAAGACCCTGCTGAACTTTTATGGAAACAAAGGTTACAAAAGCTCAACCCTAAAACTATCAAGGCTGATACAAAGTGGACTGAAAAATTGATTGAAGCCAAAAGAGATGGGAACTCAGAAATTAAAAATTCAATTGCATGATAATTTGGATATTTATTTATTATTTATTATTTATAAAATTTATTTATTTTCTCTACGACTTAATTAATGTCATCATATCATAATATTAAGTATATACAGGCTTCAACTCGCTGATCTTCACTCCTTTTCTTCAACAACTTCTCCTTCGTTATGATTTGGCTCCACAACTATATCACCATCTTTAACAACGACCTTGACAGTTTCATTATTTCCAATTTGCCCTTTTAACAAATACATAGCCATTGGATTTAATAGACGTTTTTGAATCAGTCTGTTCAAAGGTCTAGCACCGTATAAGTTATCATAGCCATGTTCAGTCAACCAATCTTTAGCTTCATTACTTAAATCCAAAACAATCCTCTTATCAACTAATCTTTCTTGAACTTCATTTAATCTGATATCAACAATGTTACGCAAAACTTCCTTTGAAAGTCTATTGAAGACCAAGACATCATCAATACGATTGATAAACTCTGGTGGATAATTGTGCTTCATTGCTTCAATGACTTTATTCTTAGTAGATTGTGACACTTTACCAGTATCATTTTTGATTTCTTCATCATGCAATAAGATATCTTGGCCAATATTAGAAGTCATAACAATGATTGTATTTCTGAAATCAACTTGTGTACCTTGGGAATCAGTTAATTTACCTTCATCTAGCACTTGTAGTAACACTTTACAAACGTCTGGATGTGCTTTTTCAAATTCATCAAACAAAACAACAGAATATGGCTTTCTTCTAACAGCCTCCGTTAATTGACCCCCTGATTCACTCATGACGTAACCAGGTGGCGCACCAATCAATCTTGAAACAGTATGCTTTTCTTGAAATTCAGACATATCAAATCTAATGACATTACTAGAGTCATCAAACAAAAACTCAGCTAAGGATTTGGTCAATTCAGTTTTACCTGTACCTGTTGGACCTAAAAACATAAAGCTTGCAATTGGTCTTTTATCACTTGTTAAACCTGCTCTTTGTAATCTCACTGCATCTGAAATGGCATGTATTGCTTCATCTTGACCAACAACTTTTCTCTTTAATGAATCCTCCATATATAACAAACGATCTTTGTCACCTTTAACAACAGTATCAATTGGAATACCAGTCATCTTGGAAATAACTTTTGAGATATCTTCAGAAGTGACTGATTCATGTAATAGTGAGTCTGGTTTATTTTCTTCTTGTTCACTTAATTCAACTTTTTTTTGTAAATCTGGGATTCTTGAGTATCTTAATTCTGAAGCTTTCCCATAATTACCTTCTCTTTGAGCAATTTCTAAATCAACTTTAGCTTGTTCCAAGTCCTTTTTAGCATTCTTTATAGCATCAATTTCAGCCTTTTCTCTTTCCCAAACCTCGGTCAATCTTGATAATTCATCTTGTTTCAGTTTCAAATCTTCTTCTAATTTTTCCCGTCTTTCAACTGAAAGTGGATCAGTCTCTTTCTTCAAAGATTCCAGCTCAATTTGAATAGTCATTATACTTCTATCCAAGATTTGAATGGAGTCAGGTTTTGATTCATGTTGTAATCTTAAAACAGCACAAGCTTCATCAACCAAATCTATAGCTTTATCAGGAAGGAATCTGTCAGTGATGTAACGATTACTCAACACAGCAGCGGAGACCAACGATGAATCATTGATACGAACACCATGATGGACCTCGTAACGTTCTTTCAAACCTCTTAGAATACTAATAGTATCTTCAACACTAGGCTCATTCAATTGAATTGGTTGGAATCTTCTTGATAAAGCAGGATCTTTTTCAATGATTTTATATTCATCCAAAGTAGTTGCAGATATACAACGCAAACCTCTAGCAAGCTTTGGCTTTAGGATATTAGAAGCATCCATTGAACCATCTGTTTTACCCAATCCTAACAACATATGAACTTCATCAATGAAAACGATAATGTCCCCATTAGCCTTGTCAATCTCTTCTAAAACGGACTTTAATCTCTCTTCAAACTCACCCCTAAATTTAGCACCTGCAATTAGAGCACCTAAATCTAGAGCGACTAGCTGTTTATTCTTTAAACTTTCAGGAACTTCACCTTTAACAATTCTCTGTGCTAATCCATCAATCAAACTTGTTTTACCAACACCAGCACGACCGATCAAAACTGGATTATTCTTTGTTCTTCTTGATAAAATTTGAATTGCTCTACGAATCTCTTGATCCCTACCAATAACAGGATCCAATTTACCTTGCTCAGCCAATTTGGTTAGATTTGTACCATATTGTTCTAAAGCTGGTTTTTCAGGTTCTTGTTGACCTTGGTTCATATTCATTCTGAAAGGTCCACCATTCTGGCCATTGCTCATGAATCTAACAGGCTGAATCAAGGATACATTTGGTTTTGAAGCGTAATTATGTTGTCTTTTAGAAAATTGATTTTGATTGTTGATGATGAAAGTTGAAAGAGCTCTTGTTGATTGGCGACCAACAGCACCTTCCAACTTCACTGCGGTTCTCAAACTAGGTTGTAATCTTATTCTGTTCAGCATTGAATGTTATAACTCGTTTAATTGATGAGCTAGTTGAAGTGTCGGCCTTGACAGCAGATTTGAGCTTCTTTTATACTACACTAATTTCTAAAGTCACCTTTTTTCTAGAATGTGCCAGAAATTGCGAGAGCCACTCTTAGTCGAAGCGATTTTGCCTACAAAGAAAAAGACACCATAGAAAAGTGATGATTATTCAGAAACTATCATTAATCATTACTATTAAAGTCATTAACTATTATCATTGCTATCATGTCTAGGTGTATTTGTTCTTGAAGTTTGTTGTTCCGAGTTGAGGTGGTTGCTGATTGGAGTTACTCGACTTCCAGCAAATGTTGAAGGAGTATTCCTCAGGTACCGATGGTCAACATTGAATTCAGGATGGTTATCATTCTCATACGACATGGCTGACCCTTGGTAGGAGCTCTGTCTTGAAAGATCATCCACCATCTCGAAGAATGACACGTCTTCATGCTGATCAGTGTTCCTTCTGGCTGTTGAACTTGGTAAGGTTAACTTGTTCTTCAATTCTCCACAAATTTTAAAAGATGAAAGTATGCTTAGAACATTGATACTCTTCAAGATGTAGCCATTGTTATGACGATGTTTAGGATCCAAGTTTGGATTCATTGGGTCTTCCAAGAAACTATCATTTGAGATTCTTCTCCCTAATACTGCTTTTCTCTCATATCTTAATTCCAAACTCCTAATAGTATGAACCCATTCCCATATCACAACAATAACACAAAACACTGAAAATGAAAAAATATAAGTTGACCAAGTTCTCAAGGTCTCTGAGCATAGATCTATTGTGGCAAATATAAAAGGAACTATTAATGTTATCCAACAGAAAATAGCCAATGCAAACGCTTTTCTATGATATGCAAATTTTCTCTTCTGGAACGTATATCTTGCAACTTGAAAAGTGAAGATAAGCAACATAAGATAATCTAAGAAAAAATGTAAAGCTTTCACTCCTTTAAATTTTGATGTGTGATGATCGTACCTTGTGTACATTATACCATAAATTAACCTCACAACAAAATTACAAACACTTAAACCAATCCCCCATATTATGATTCTTCTTTTATATGAATATTTTGATATTTGGATCATTATGTCAACCCATGAAATCCAAATCAATAAGTTTGTGATAGAACGAACTATTAAGAAACTTGTTCCAAAACTCAAAAGTTTTTTAATTTCATCCATATCTGAATAGTTGTGTTTATATTGACATTTCAAAATAGAAGTTAGCTTTGTTAGCATAACGCTATGTCCAACTGAATAAAATAGATTTGTTAAAATCAATGAATTTGGAATAGTATTGGAAGCTAGAAACAACAATAAAAATAACATCCAACTTGCTGTTACTATCCCACTTAAAACAAAAGAGATTGTCACAACTCCACCCATAAATGACTCCTTATTATAAAACATAGGGTATAGCTCATTTGAAATATTGAGTATATCCTTCTGAAATTCACTGCTATTGAAAACGTTTGATGTGACATTTGCAAGGAAATAAGCAGGATATGATAAGTTAAACAAGCTTCCATCTGATACGTCAAGAGTCCCTGCTGTCAACTCATAAACATCAAAGCCACCATACGTAGCCATAAGGTCCTCGAACAGGTCATAAACATCTATCTCGTCCTTTATCATATTAGCATCTTTTAATCAAATGGGTTGTAGTTTCTCCAGAGTGATACTGCATTTCTTGATTAAAAGCTACAGCCGTATTTTTTTCTTTGTCGGATTTTCGTTTTTCCTTACATAATTGTTTCGCGAATTGGTTTTACAAATTAAATAATCTTCATCTAAAATTAATCAACTCTTCAAAATTCTTTTTGGCTGTTTTGTATATTATTTTCTTGTCCCCTTGAAATTTGAATCGTTAAGTTCACCTTCTTGTGTATCCTTGTTTTCTAGTGAATGTGGCATTGCCATATCTAGGTCTTCCATAATTGCCATTATTGGCGTTAATGTTATTACTCTTTTGTGACAATTTATAACCACTGTTCTTCCCATTCAGTTCTCGTAAACCAACATTAATGATATAGCATCTCATCTTGAAAAAAATGTCTTCCTCAGATTGTATATTGGTATTGATAGAAGGCAGTGATATTCTCACCTCAACTGTATCTTTGGATTTAGAAGTGATCAGTTTAGGTTGTAATTCTCTTACAAACATGAAATTGTTGATTCCTCTTTTATAGAATGTTGATGCAAACCCTTCAGGATAGTATTGTTCTTGTGGTTGTGGTCTTGGTTGTTGTTGATGTACTTCTTGCTGTGTTGTATATGACCCTGGAAATGAAACAGGAATTGCTGTGTTATTATTTACATTGAAATGTTCAGGAAATAACTCCTGTTCTGTTTGTAAGGTTGATGTTTCCAAATGATCAGAATATTTTTTCTCTGGACTTATTAATTTGATTATATCATTTATGCTATCATCAATGCTTTTTGACCTTGATATACTTGGTTTCTTCTCGGGCGTTCTTCTTGCCAAAGTTGGAATATTTTTAGTTTGAACTCCAAATGCATTTTCTTGTTCAATTTGAGGTGATGGGAAAAACCTGGAGGTTGTTTGCCTAGCTTGTGAATCCAAACCAAGTGACTTTAATGGATCGTCAAGATCTTTTCTTTTATTATTAAATGGTGACCATAACAACGTAGAATCACTTTTGGTGGATAATTGACGATCATCAGAATTCCAAAGGTTATAATTTTGATTCCATAAGTTTTCATCAACATAGTTTGGAGTTGGTGGATGTGAATTGTATCTTGAATCATTGGAAACTTGTCTTGATTGTAAAGTAAATAAATCATTAGGCTCATTGAAAATATCGTTACTAGAGCTTACCAATGGCGATTGATTCAACGAAGAAATAGTGGGAGTTGTACTTTTCCTGAAACTTGAAATTTTTGAGCTAGGGGATGACCATAACGTTTGTTCATTTCTCGTTGGTGGTTTTGTCTCATTGTGTATTTGGTTTTGTAAATCAAGCCATATGTTATCTTCATCCTCATCTGCCCAGTTAAAATTATCAACAGGTTCCTGGACAACAGTAGCTTCGGGAGTTTGTGATTTTATTGTCTGTTCAACTGGTTTTTCTTCTTTTTGCTCAACTTCTGGTTCATTTTCCTTATTCATTTCATTATCTTGATTTGTTTCCTTAACTTCTGGGGATTGAGATTTACTCCAAACAGGCGGTGATGTCTCTTTGGATACAGCTTTTTTCTTCTCCAACTTCGTTCGATTCACAGTATTTGATTTCTTCGATACCAACTTCAATTTCGTAGCAGAACCTGTAGATTTCTTCTTTATCAATAAAGGATGTTCGTGGTTATTCCCATCTGATGAACTTGAATTGGTGACCTGCTGCCTGAACAAGTTATTAACCGATTGGGATTTGAACTGCTTCTTAGTCCTCTGGGACTCATTATCAGACATTCTGAAAACACAAACCAAACTCCTCAGCGAGGCTTTTCTTGAAGTAGAATTAGTTCAATGTATTAGAAATTTTGTGGGTCAAAATTGATCCACTTGCAAAAAATAAAAAAAAAAATTTACACAATCGAACAACAAAATTACATAATCAATATACCCATTAAAAGACACTATTTATTATCTCAACATGTCTGGATCTCTCATTGAAGCTTGATGAGTAGGTAGAATCATCATGTCAGCAATTTGTACGTTTGGTGGCCGAGAAGTGCTCCAAATGATTCCTTCAGCTATATCTTTGGCACTCAAAGGCTCATAGATTTCATACACTTTATCAGCTTTGGAATCATCACCATCATGTCTAACCGAAGCAAATTCAGTTTTCACAAGACCTGGTAGAATTTCAATGACTCTAATATCAGTGTCCTTATACTCTTTCCTCAAGACATCGGAAAATGATGAGATTGCTGTCTTTGTTAGACAATAAATTGAACCACCAATATAAGGGTCTCTACCACTTATGGATCCAATGTTAACAACATCACCACTGTTTCTTTTCTTGAAGGATTTCACAACAATTTGGGTCATTGTGATCAATCCTGTTAGATTTGTGTTAATCATATTAGCAACATCTGTGTGAGGTATATCACCAATGTTGTTTAGACCATGGGCAAATCCTGCATTGTTAACCAAAATGTCAACTTTATCAATCAATTCATGGTTATTGGAAGTGAATGATACAATATCATCAATCTTTGAGAGATCAACTGAAAAAAATAGTGCTTTTGCAGTTGGATAATCTTGTTGAATAGCGTCACAAACCTCTTTGAGCTTCTCTTTTCTTCTGGCTAAAAGAACTAAAGTAATTTGACCCTTGGTGACTTCTGCAAAGAGCCTTGCTGTAGCTTCTCCAATTCCACTGGAAGCACCAGTAATAAGCACAACTTTACTATTCAACGATTGGAACATTTCTCAACTATGGGATGTAAGGATGTATAGAAGTGAAGTTCAGGTTGGATCATATTGCCTTCTTATAGAAAGGTTTTCTCGATTTACCCCAGATTTTCAATTTTTTTCGAGACGTAAACGTGAAATAACTCAACTACGTCAAAAGTATCAATTACATAGCATTCGTCATCATTTCAAAATATATAAATCATCTGTAAGCCTTATCGCTCATTGTAGCTTGATGGGTTGGTAAGATAATAACTTCACTAATTGCACAGTTTTCTCTTCTTGACGTGATATAAATAATTAAATCCGCAATATCTTCAGCACATAGAGGTTCATAATCTTTATAAACATTATTAACCTTTGATTCATCACCATCAAATCTTGTTTTTGAGAAATTTGTTTTAATAATACCTGGTTCAATCAAGACAACTCTAATCTTGTAGCTAATCAATTCTTTTCTTAAACTAGCTGTAAAAGCAGCAACAGCAGCTTTTGTAGAACAATATGCAGAACCACCTGGATAAGGATCTTCAGCAGCTAAAGAGCCTAATTGAATAATATCACCTTTATTATTTTTCTTGAAAATTGGAACAACTAATTGAGTCAAGGTAATCAAACCAACAATATTTGTACTATACATTAGATCAATATCTTTTTGATTAATTTCACCAACTTTTTCCAATCCTCTTGCTAAACCAGCATTATTGATCAAAATATCTAAGTTATCAATCAAATCTTTTGGAATCTTATTGAAAAATTCATGAATTTTCTCAGATTTTGATAAATCACCAAAACTAACATAGACATCATCATCATTTAATGATGAATATTTGGATAAATATTCTTTTTTCAATTCATTTAATCTTGTTTCATTTATATCAATCAAAATGAATTTGATCTTTCCTTCAGTTTTTTTCAAGTATTCTCTTGTTGTAGCTTCACCGTTACCAGAAGCTGCTCCCGTAATTAAAACAATTTTATTATCAAGACGTGACATGATGATTGATTGTTGAGTGTAACAAGCGACGTGGATAATTTGAAACCCTGGGTGGATTCATGATGTTTTTATACCACCATTATACTCCACATCCTAAAAAAACAGATCATTCTTCAGCCATTTTCCATATTTGAGGCCGTTTGTTGTTAAAGGCTCAATGTTGTAGTACTAACAGAATGGGTATCGGGTATCAATGGGAAACCCTTTGGATAAATTTCTCTCTTGAATCAATAGTCATTTAGTTGAGCGTGGGGGTGATTACCAGGGAACAATTGGCCCACCATTGTCAATTTGGTTTTGTAAGTCTGTTTGTTAACTTTGGAGATGATCACGACGATGAGTTTATTTCTGAAAGGAAAAACTCCATCGGTACGAGACGCATTGGTGTGTCATGTGATCTGTATCACGTGACTGTTTTTAAAAAAGCCTAAAATAGGCTCCACCTAAAAAACATGTTCGTTACACATCAGTACTATCGAGGATAAATGGTTAGAAGGTTACGAGGTTTTCTATCTTTAATCGCCACAGAATAAGGGTATAGTCAATTGAATACGAGCAATTGTAATGGTTCTTTGTGTTAGAAGATACATCCAGATCTAATTTTGGCTTGGATCTGTGTTTTATGTCAAGAAAAAAATTCCTGCTACAAATACCTATATTTAGTGGATTCCCAATGTTACACAAACACACTCGTTAGAGAAGATAAAACACATTGCTCATTAGTTTAAACCTCATTCCAACTCACCACCCAGCTCATCATCACATTGTCATCCAAGGCTCTTTACAATAGAAATGTTGTTCAATATCCTGATCCTTTCTGCCCTTTCACTTCAATTATGTACATGTTTCCACATCAAGAGAAATTTGAATGGTTCAAATGATGTTATCTGGGATTATTATGATGATTCCAAGAAGGTTCAAGGTGTATCATTGGGTGGTTGGTTTGTGTTGGAGCCTTACATTACTCCTTCATTATTTGAACAATTTGGTGATGATGAAAAGAAAATTCCTGTTGATGAATACACATTCACTGAACAATTAGGTAAAGATGAAGCTCAGAAACAGTTAGACAAACATTGGGCAACTTACTTTACTGAAAGTGATTTCAAAGACATCAAAGATTACGGTTTAAATTTGGTCAGAATCCCAATCGGTTATTGGGCATTTTATCTATTAGAAGATGATCCATACGTTCAAGGTCAAGAACCTTATTTGGATAAGGCTTTGGAATGGGCCAAACAGAATGATTTGAAAGTTTGGATTGACTTGCATGGTGTTCTAGGCTCTCAAAATGGGTTTGATAATAGTGGTAAAAGAGGAAATGTTACATGGCAAGATGATGAAGAAAATATTGAGTTATCTTACAAAACTTTGAACTATATCTTTGGTAAATATGGTGGTGAAAATTTAACTGATACTGTTATTGGTATTGAAATTGTTAATGAACCATTCCATTCAAAGTTGAATGAAACTGATATGTTGGATTTCTATTACAATTCTTATTATGATTTCAGAATTAAACATAATTCAAGAAATTTCTTTCTGATTCAAGAAGCTTTTGAGCCAATTGGATTTTGGAATACCCATCTCAATAATGATTACACCAATGTTTCCAAACCATTCCTAAATGATGAATTATTAGAAGAAGGTGTCCCAAAGAACTATTTCCATGATATCGTTTTAGATCATCATCATTATGAAGTTTTCACTGTGGATCAACTTGATAAATCAGAAAATGCGAGAATTCAAGACATTAAAAACTATGGAGAGAGTGTTGCTAAAGAACAGGAGTATCATCCTTCATTAGTTGGTGAGTGGTCAGGTGCTATTACTGATTGTGCTAAGTGGTTAAATGGTGTTGGTACAGGGGCTAGATATGATGGCACTTTTGATGAATCACAATTGGTTAGATCAAATGCAATTAATGGTACTGCTGAATCCCAATTCAAATTCAAAGATAAAAAGAGATCATGTGAAAACGTTACATTCGTTGAAGATTTCTCTAAGCAACATAAGGAAAATATCCGTAAGTTTATTGAAATTCAATTACTCACCTATGAAAACTCAAACTCAGGTTGGATCTTTTGGAATTATAAAACCGAGAATGCTATTGAATGGGATTTCAAGAAACTTGTTGAACATAAATTGTTTCCTCATCCTTTTAATGAATACAAATATTTCTATGAGAATGGTACTCAAATTGTGGAAAGTGCTGCCTCTGGAAATTCACAAAACTTGTTATTCATCACATTATCAGCTTTGTTAGTTTCATTATCAACATTACTTTAGATTAGATAGACTAGATATACTAGATATACTAGATATACTAGATATACAATTCATTCATTTTATCAGACGTAGACTTCCTGATTGGGATATGAAAAAATCAGTGCACGTCATTGTACACGTTTTTTTGGCGCTTTCGCGACTTGATTTTTGGCGAAACGGTTCCAAAAATAAACTGCAAAACCATCAAAATAACTTGCAAAGAGGGCTGTATTACACTTTGAAAACACACCAAGACAATAGATTTCAAATATTTCAAATCTAAAACTTTACAACTCATTTGATCTAACTTCAAAGACACAGATCGTTATCTTAATTCCTGTTCTTCAATATTTATTAAGTACCGGCAATTGAATTCTTGACAGCCGGCCTACAAATTTGATTTAAAACACCGGCGTTGTTTGCATAGAGAATTTACTTGGCTTTTAAACAGGTACCCATCTTCAAAACATCAGAAAAAGTGCACAACATCTACAACTAATTAAACAAAGACATTCATTACAAGACAACTGATTTCCATATACACCATGAGGATATCACAATTATTTACAGTATTTGCAGTGGTTTTCACCGGTTCATTTGCTATTGAACTTGACATCAAGGACAAAGATTCAGTATGTTCAGCTGCTGCTTTAGTAGCTGATGGTATGCTAAACTATTATGAAGGTACCAAATACGGTGGTACAGTGGGTATGTTTTCACAACCATATTATTGGTGGGAATCCGGTGAAGCATTTGGTGGATTAATTGATTATTGGTACTTGTGTCAAAATGATACTTATGAACAATTGATTTATGATGCATTGATTGCTCAAAAAGGTTCTAAAAATGATTATATACCTTCAAATCAATCAACAACTGAAGGTAATGATGATCAAGGTTTTTGGGGGATAACTGTATTAGAAGCTGCAGAAAGAAATTTTACAAATCCAACACATGGTACACCAGGTTGGATAGCTTTAGCCCAAGCTGTTTTCAATACAATGTGGGCTAGATGGGATAAGGATTATTGTGGTGGTGGTTTAAGATGGCAAATTTTCACTTGGAATTCAGGTTACTCATATAAAAACACCATCTCTACTGCTTGTTTATTCAATATTGCAGCAAGATTAGGTAGGTATACCGGTAATACAACTTACTTTGATATTGCAGAAGATGCTTATCAATGGTTAGTTGATGTCAAATATATTGTTGAAGGTGACTCTGCACAAATCTTTGATGGTGCCGAGATCACTGATAATTGTACTGATATTACAACTATTGAATGGTCATATAACTATGCTTTAATGCTTGGTGGAAGTGCATATATATATAACGCCACAGAAGATTCAGCTTGGTTACAAAGAACCGAACAATTCCTAGAAGGTGCTAAAGTGTTTTTCAATGATTCAATCATGTATGAAAGAGCATGTCAAGGAGCAGGAAGTTGTAACAATGATCAACGTTCATTCAAAGCTATATTTTCAAGATGTCTTGGTCAAACTTCAGTGCTAGTGCCCTCTACAGCTGACACCATTGATCCATGGATTCAAGCATCTGCAGAAGCTGCTGCAAAGTCATGTTCTGGTGGTTCCGATGGTATGACTTGTGGATTGAATTGGTTTTTAGGAAATTGGGATGGTAAATATGGGCTTGGTGAACAAATGTCAGCTTTAGAAGTTATACAGAATTTGCTAATCCATGATAGAGAAGCTCCTTATACCAATCAAACTGGTGGTACGTCTCAAGGTGATGCTGCGGCAGGTACTAGTGGTAATGGTCAAAGTGCTAATTTGAACAGTGATGATTTAACAATCACAGGGAAGGATAGAGCTGGTAGTGGTATTATCACAGCTGTGATATTAGCAGTCTTGGTGGGTGGTAGTGTATGGATGGTTATCTAATGACATTCTTTTGTTTATTCTTTTGTTTATATTATAATTAAATGTTCTGTATAAGTTAGAGATCTCATTTTGGTAGTGCGAATCCACCTGACCAAAAAAAAACGTCAAATGTAACGTTCAAAACACAACTGAACTACAACTCCATCAATAACATTAACACCTATAGCTAGCCCAATCGAGTCATGTCCAAGTCACCAAATGCACAGAAAAAGTTCCAATCGCAGCTACACAAATTTACAGAAACTAACACATCTTTCAAAGTTGTCTATTCAACTCTTTCAACCCACATAACCCCAGGCACCACGAGACTGTGTATCCTTGATTCATCTTTCAACCCACCACATAAAGGACATCTATCACTTATAACCAAGTCAATCAACCACTCCAAAGATCAAACCTGCTCTGTGTTGTTGTTGCTTTCGGTTCAAAATGCTGATAAACTTACACCAACACCAGCTTCATTTGAAGATCGTTTAGATATGATGTGTTTATTAGCTGATTACATCCAAGAAAACTACAAAGTTGCAGTTTCAGTCGCATTAACAAATCACGCAAAATTCGTTGATAAGTCAAGTGTTATTCAAGATTGGGCCAAAGAAATTAAAACCAAGGAATTGAAATATTTGTTTTTGGTTGGATTTGATACATTAATAAGAATATTCGATCCAAAGTACTATAAACCATTTGGTATAGATGAAGCATTAACAGACTTTATGCAATTGAATGAATTTTTTTGTTTGACAAGGACTGACGAGAAAAATGATGATGTGGATGCCCAACATCAATATGTTCATGACATAGCAAGTGGTAAGACAGAACTTCCGAGCGAATGGGCTACTAAAATTCACCTTGTTGAAGGCGATGACGATTATTTACATATTTCATCTTCAACGATAAGGAAACAGACCAATCAAACTAATTGGGAAGCTCAAGTGGTTCCTACAATTGCAGAGTATATAAAACAAGAGGATTTGTATTGATTTTAATTTGTTTCTTCTTCAAAGTTCAATGCGTCAGTCCAAAAATTCACCTCCAATAAAGCAACATCTGCAAATATTTTAACTAATTTCAAGGCTTTATCTGTACTTATCCCAATAGAATGTCTTTCTAAAGTGATTCTACCCAATTCCACAGCATCTGAATACCCTTCAGATTTGTAATCATTAATCCATTCAAGATATTCACCTTCACCGACAGTAACTTCAGCATTGAATGCAGCTTCACTATAACCAAATAAACATGGTGCCATTGCGACATTAATTTCAAACCAGTCACCCCCTTTAGCAATAGCCATCAAGTAATCAGCATACTCTTTACCTGCACGACTTAGCTTCAATGAGGTTAAATCAGTTATACCATGTTTAGCTAATTTACCAACATGTAATTTCATTTCATGTGCAATATTCTCCAAAATTCCAGCTTCCCTTTGAATACATCCAATATCTGGGGCAACACTAGCAGCTAAAGAATGAACACGAGCATAGTTGATTAAATATGCATAATCTTGTTTCAGAAAATGAACAAACTTATGTTTTGGTAATGAACCATTGGCAACTTGGGCAACAAATGGATGATTCACGTACATATCCCATATTGGAGTAACAGTTGGATGTGATTTCAAGAAGTCAACGAAATGACCTTCAAGAAATAAGGTACTTAAACTATGTGTTAATGCTGGGGTGGAGACAATATGATAAACATGATTCAAAGGACCGTTACCATGTCCAATCTTGGAAGCTGCAACGATACCACCATGAACATATCTTATTGCTGAATCTATGGCATGCTTAACATCATACCCTTTAGCCAAATTAGCACTAATTGATGAAGCTAAAGTACATCCTGTACCATGTGTGTTTTCAGTAATGACGAAATCTGATTCGTAAACGGTGAATGAATCATCAACAGAGTGATACAAAACGTCAGTGATTATAGCTTCTTCACCTTCTTTTGCAACTTTATTTTGTGAGTTCCATGGGATGTGACCACCTTTCAATAACACACTAACAACTCCAGTCTTGGATTGGATTATTTTAGCAGCTTTTTTCAAGTCTTCTAAGTTTTCAACTTCAAAATCTAAATCCAAATGTTTTAAAATTTCTTTGGCTTCAATGAAATTTGGAGTTAATAATGTGGCCTTTTTAATTAATTTATCAATTGCTCTTAATAACACTTCTTTTTTACCCAGTGTAGCACCTGAAGTTGCAACAAGAACAGGATCTATGACAAAAGGTTTACCAACGTGGTATTTAGAAACAAAATCAGCTAACACATCAATTGCATCAACAGTCAATAAACCAGTCTTTACAACATCAATATCTATATCTGAAAAATTAGCATTCAAAATTTTTTCAAACTGAGTTTTATCAGTGTAAACAACACTATCAACACCTTTTGTATTTTGAGCAGTCAAAGCAGTGATTGCAGTCAAGGCATAAGCACCATTTGCAGTGATTGCTTTAATATCAGCTTCAATACCAGCTCCACCTGAAGAGTCAGAGCCTGCAACAGTGAGCACCGTAGATAGTTTTGATGGTTCAAGCTTTGGCCATGTAATTGGAACAACAGTGGTGGACATGATTGAATGGATGTTTGTTTGGTAGTTGAGCAAGTATCAAGGTGGGTTGAATACTTGTGGCTATATATGATTTGAAGTGCCACCGTCAGTCGATGTTGAAGGAGACAGCCAATTGTGTTGAAATGTGAAGATATATGCACTTAATGCTCTTCAAGACGACATGTCTTGAAAGCGATGGATATTAGCTCTTGAAACCCATGGAGGTATATTTCTAATTAGTTGATGAATACAGAGTGATAGAATTCTCTGTGCACTCAGGACAGTATCAATACAATAAAGCTCAAATCAATCTTTGGTTGAAATACTTTAATGCACCTACAAATCTTCACTATGCGATAATTTCAGGGTTTTAACTTTTTGTAGAACGCATTCGCGACAGTCGAAGTAACTCGAGGGCTAAGTCACGTGTAGATCGAGAAGTGGTCGGATTTCGATCTTGATTTGAATTCTTTTTGACAACATAAACACCAAAACAATTCGAACAACTTCAAAAGATACAATTCAATTGAATAGCCAATGTCATCGTTAAATGTGCCCTCTGCCACAAGAAGGACTCGTGCACTTTCAGTGAACAAGACTGATGAAGCACAAAGATCCAGAATGGAACAGTCACTTGATAACCTTCAATGTTAGTATATTTGGGTATAGCCGGTATTATTAGATCCTGTTATTGACATTCTTTTTAGACACGTTATCAGAAGTTGAATCGCATTGGAGTAAGACTATTGGTGATAATGCAAATCCATTAGATATTGCCTTGCCGTTGTTGGATAACACATCTGTTGGTTTAGCTCATAGACACCGTGAGTTTTTAGATCTAAAAGATAGAATCTCCAATGGGCTACGTCAGGCTGTTAATGAACATTTCCAAGCATTCAATGATAGTGTTGGGTCATATCGCTCGGTTGTGCAAAATATAGCCAACTCTCAACATAATTTGTCCAAAGTTAAAGATACAATCAATTCAACTACAAATGGTTTGAATGAAAAAGGCGATACTATGAACACACTTAATGAGAATTTGAAAACTTATAATGATATGATTGAAGTATTGAATGTGATTGAATACTTGAAAAAAGTTCCGAATGAATTAGAAGATGCTATAAGTGAGAAGAATTATTCAAAAGCTCAATTTTTATTACAATCAGTGTCTTCAAAATCAAAAACATACAATTTATGGGAACTACCAGCTTTATCAAACCTTGAAAGTTATTTCCAACTTCAAACACAACAATTGTTTGAAATATTGATTGAAGAAATACACAATATAATTTATTCCAAGAAATTGTTCAACACTTTCAACAGTGCTAATGAAGTTGGTAAAGATTCAGATATTTCAGATTATTCAAACATTGAAAAATATTTAATGAATGCAATTGATGTTGATATTTTAGAAGCTGCATCTGTCAATCATTCCAACATTGAAAACTTTTTGTCATTCTTGATCAATTCATCATCGAAGAATAAGGAAGATCCAAGTCAACTAGACAATGAAAATGATATGGCAAATATGGTTGCACTAGATGACGTTAATCCATTCAATCAATTATTACATCTCTTCACTATTATATATCGATTGGATAAATTACCCACTGCTATTGAAATTATTATTCAAAGAAATGCAAATGAAATTAATCAATTGGTGAATAGAATTACCGAAGATACAAAATTAAGACATCCAAAGATTATCAAGTATCTAAATTCTAATATAAAATCAAAAGATTTATCAAGAGGATTGGGTATCGATGATTCATTAAATGATGATAATTTTAAAACAATGATTGTTAGAGACTTGTTTTGGAATTTTTTCAGAAAACTTTTATTTTTAATACAGAGTGTTCGTGTTATATTGGAGATTATTAAAAGTTTGGAAAATGATAGTTTTGAAACTGTTAGTGTTGATGTATCAAATTTGAATGGTACAAGTCCTCATGGCTCCAATGACTCTTTGCTAACTTTAATCAAACTATGGCACTCTTTGAAATTTGAAGTTAAAAACTTCATCACTTCATATATTACAAATAATGATTTATCATTAAGTTCAAAATTGACAAATACAAGTTCCATTATCAATCAAAAGGACAAGATGAACAATAATGCATTATTTCAATTTTATAAAGTTAATTATGATGAAGATCATTCAAACCAATTAAAATTAGTTTTGCAAGATTTATTCCCAGGTTTTATAAATTCAAATGATATGTCAAAGATTGATTCCCCTTATATTGAAGATACAAAATTTTTAAAACAAACAAGAATTATTCCTGCAAATATTTTCCATATGAGAGTCATTTTAGAACCTTTTTTAGTATTTATTCAAGGCTCAAAGTTGTTATTGAATGAACAAGATAATGATGAACCAATTAAATTTTTCAATGGATTTATGAATAATGATTTTTTACCGTTATTAGAGGAATCTTTTATCGGTTTTTATATTGATGAAGTTGAAGAGTTAGACCCCTATGAAATTTATGATGATGTTACTGAAAAATCTACAAATGTTCCACATAGTCAATCAAGTGGTGTCAAAATTTTCAAGATTTTCATTGAATTTAAAAGATTTTTCAGTGATATATGTTTTGTTTTAAACACATCATTACAATTTAGAAAAGAATTTTCTGGAATCATTTTCAAAATTTTAAACAAGTTCCATGATAAAATTGAAGAATTTAATCAAGAATTATTGAATGAACTAAGTAATTACTTTGAACCAAATAGAGAAATTATAAAAGCATTAAATGACCCTTCAGCCAAAATTAGTGAACAAGCATTGATTCATCTGAATAAACATGAATTGAAAAGGCTCAAAATCATTGAAAACTTCAAAGTTTTAGATAATTCATTAAAATTCCTACTAGAATGGTTTGAGAATCATTTGATTAAAAAAGTTGATTTGAATAAGACTGATTTGAACTTGTCAACAATTGAAAAGCTAAGAAAAAATTGGTCATTCTTTGAAATTAATAACTTACGCACAATTGGCACTTTACATGAGAATGAACTAGATTTAAAACATTCAATCAAAGTGATTTTAAATGATCAATTGACTGAAAATTTCACAGAAATAGTTCATGATTACAAGACGATTGAAAACCAGGTGCAAAATGTTTTGAAAAGATACAACCAGTTGATTAAAGCATAGATATTACGTATAGCATGATGAATTATGAATTATTAGTGACGTCAACTGTAATTATCCAGTAAATCATTATCTGTAACGGGATAACAATTGATCCACCTATATGCATTACACTAAAACTCGGTGTTACCCAGGCGACCAACCTTGAATTTTTGGTGAAAACTCACTTCAATTGACCTTTGAAAGGAGAAATAAGAGATAATAAGAAAGCCAGTGGGTCTGAAAAGCAATATAAAAACTTACAAACATTTCTATCATGAAATCATACACATTCCTATCACACAATCTATGTTTTATTGTTATTCTGAGTCAACTCCTGAGCTTCCCAAAAAGGCAATGGTTACGGCTCCCTGTCGCTGAGCGCAAAAAAAACTTGTAGGGGTCAAATTTTCTCTTTTTCCCAGAGTTTGCCACCGGGCTCAACAACCACCAACACAACAACAACAACAAGCACTACCACAAGAGAGCATTTACAAAGGGGGCCCACCAACAACCACGTCACTTCCTGCTGAGCAGCACTCCCATATACAAATCCATCTACAGAGTGACAATCGGCTGGCTTGTTCCAATCAACTAGAGAGAGAGGCTTCCACAATCAAAATCCACAAAAACCCAAGGTTGAATTTTTGCTTGTCACGTCGTCGGCCGTCGCTTTTTTTTTGTCGCTGGAGTTTCGCAATTTTTTTTCGTCAAGTGGCTGAAATGAGAAATGGTTGCGCCACTACCTTCTTCTGCTGGTAATCGGTTTCGTCAAAGAAAGATCTCAACTAAGCAGACCCTTCAGATATTCAAACAGTCAAAAGTATCTGATATAGACAATGAGGACTTGCAACAAAGAGATCTGCAAGAAATAGAGACCGGTGTTGAGAAAAATGAAGAAGATGAGGTGCATTTGCAAAAGATTTTGAAAAATACTGGTATCACTTCAACTGCCGAAGCTTATATTCCAACCCCAGATGCATCTAAGTTATGGGAAGAAGCTTCAAAATATTATACTGGTCAATTTCAACAACCTGAGTCTTATATTAAATCATCATGTCAAGTGGAGGATTATTCAGGTTGTTTGTATAATATGGATGAAGAGGATGATGAATTTTTATCAAAATTGAACAAAAAATTAATTTCCAAGAAAATTGAACCTTTAAGTGATGATGAATTTGAAACAATCTTTTATAATTTTGAGAAAGTGATATCTGATAAACAACCTTTTTTGGTTACTGATCCTTCACAAGTATTACCTCTTGATGAAATCAAAATGGCTATTGTTAAATTTGATAAATCTTCAGTGGAGAATATCAATAAATCACTATCAAGTGAATTACAAGTCCATCCATTTGTTACATTATTTGATGCCAAATTACCCAACAAACCAAGAACTTTGGAAGTTTTAGTTGAAAAATATGGTGAAGATGTTTATGAACATTTCAAAGAAAGGAAAATACAAAGAGGTGGGAAATCTGTAACTCCAATCTTGAAATTTAATGGTGAAGATGATTCTGATGCATATGTTTGTTTCAGACAAAGACAATTTAGACAACAAAGAAAAACTAGAAGAGCTGATACTCAAAGTTCTGAGAAATTGATCAAATTGTACCAAGAATTGAAGAATACAAGAGAATTAGTGTTTTTAGTTGCTCAAAGGGAACTGAAAAGATTAGAAGCTTTACAAACTGAACGCGAAATATTTGAATTGAGATGTAAAGTTAAGAACTATAAGCGTGATTTAGGTATTACAGATAGTGATGAAGATTTAGTTGCTCATAAGAAGAGAAAACCAGCTCCTCCACCACCTAGTGAAGCTACAAAAGAAGAACTTAATAGAAAAGACAAGAAAGGTTTATCTAAAATTGGTAATAATGCAAATACCATGGAAAAATCAAAACCTGGTCAAGATCTGACTGGTTCAGATCCAAGCCAACAACAATTTCAAGCTTATGTTAAATTACCACCTTCCAAGATTCCTGATATGGAATTGGAAACTGTTCAACATTTGTTAAAGAACAAAGACGTTAGTGTTCAAAAATTTGTTGAAGAGAAACTGAAAAAAAGAAAACAAACCGATGTTGGTTTTACAAATTTCACTGATGATGTTTATAATCCATTTTTTGATCTTACACTTTCAACCAAAGACATTATTGATTCTTCACACACTCCATATTCTTCAATTACTTCATCTTTTTATGATGTTCAAAGTCTTGGTTACATTCCAGGTATCGATAAATACATTGAAAATGGTACTACACCTAATGATCATGATTCCTTTGAATTTAACCTTGAGTCTGGTTCAAGATTCAAAAGACCTCAACAATCAAAATTCGTTCCAGAACGTTTCAATCCATTTTTCCAACAATCTGTTAATACAAGTGATCCAGCTTTCACTTTAAGAAAAAGAATTGGTAGATATGGTCAAGTTTATATTGATAGAAAATCAATGGTGAAAAAACCTGAACAAATTGAAGAAGATGAAGATAATGAGCAAGATGTTGAAATGTTGGATGCAAAAGAAAGATTTGAAGATCGTTGGAAATATGATTGTGATCTAAGCTTAATGGATCTCAATGATAATGAACCATTCAGTGATGATCCTTCAAGATTAAACTCTATTTCGAATGATACTCAAGTCATTAGATTTGGTGGTATGCTTTTATCAAAAGCTTATGAAACATTGAAGGAGGCAATTATGCAGCAAAGACATCAACTTTACCTACAACAATTGCAAAGGATGCAACATCAAGCTCAAAAGAATCAACAAGCTCAACAAAATCAAGGCCAACAACCAAAACAAGGAACTCCAAATGGTTCTTTAAATAATAAACAACATACACCACAGTCACAACAACAACCACGTTCCAATTCTGTAAATAGCCATGGACAAATGAGATCACAACAGTCACCTCCATCAAATACACCACCAGCCATCAATAACAAGTTTAAAAATAACCCCACTCCAATCAAGAGTGAACATTGATATTGATTGATGATCTCCAAATAAAATACAACAAAGAGAAATACCTGTACATTAAGCACAAAAAGGAGAGAAAAAAAAGGATAATAATGATAATAGTTTGTATTATAAAGTCATTTAAGAGTTACGATTCATTTTATTTTAAAGGCATTTGATTTTTTAATTAATTCACGACATGTTTTTTTGGTTTTTTTAAGAAGTTGTCATTGTAGCAAAATTTTCAATCTGTACATTTTTTACGTGTCGCGTTTTGTAGTAAAAAAGTAAACAAAGCAATATCAAAAAGTAAACAACAACTTTAGTTAATCACATTGGTTAAGAAAGAAAGTGACCATGGCAGACCAAACACAAGAAGCAAGACTAAATAACGCCTTGAAAAGCGTTGAAAATACACTTGTTTTGAATGCTGAGAAGGACTTCAACGAAACTTTTCAAAACATCAATGGTTCAAAAGCAAAACCTAATCAAAAATATGACCCAAGAGATCTAGATGGTCAAATATCCAACTATAAGGTGAGTATAATCTAATTGATGGCTATATAAGAGGCTAACATACCTGAAAAGGACTTTTATGATAGATTGAAATTCTTGTTTCTAGAACAAGAGGCAAAAGAGAAATTTCTTCGAATGATATTGGAACAATCACCTAAAACAATTGAAAAAACAGATGTTTTCAAAGCAACTGAAGAGAGAGATTTGATGAGATTAACGGTTGAGGAGAAAAACAGACAGATTGGTGAACTAACTGAGCAGATTGAAGTAACTGTACAAGAAAACATCGATAACTATGAAAAAATTCTTAAAGCTGAAGAATTGATTAAAGATAAATTAGAATCATTAAATGATAAGAAAATCCAGCTTGCACAATCTAAAGATAAATTAAGTTCTTTCAAAAATAGTGATCCCTCTTTACCAAAATTACAAGATTTATTCCGGAATGTTTCAATATTATCTGAAAATGTTGATGAATCTGTATTAAATTCTATAGAAGGTATGCAAAGACTTATTGATGAACATTTAGGGAAAATCCATTCAATTCAAAAACAAATTATGGATGCAGAAATTGCATTATCAAAAGAACAATTGAGAATCAATAATGAAAAATTAAAATATGATGAATTGTTCAAACAAAATGAATCATTAACTAAACAAATTGAATCTATAAAGCAAAGTTTAAATGATGAAAATAATTCAACACCTGAAAAATTAAAATTACAAAATGATGAAGAGAAATTGAAAACATTGATGAAAATTTGGTTGAAAATAACAAATATTGAGGATTTCAAAATAGATGATGTTGATGGATCTCTCAAATTCAGATTCAAAGATTATCCAGATCACGATTGTTTAATAAGTGTTGATAAAAATCACAAGATTGCAAAAATACATTATGAATTAGTTGGTGATGAGGTTTTAAACGAGATGGTAATCAAATCCAACAAAGCCAAAGATCCAGTGGAGAGTGTTGTGATGAATTTATATAAAACCATATCGGATAGTTAGCACAAATATTACATGAGTTTATTTCAGCAAGTCCGTAAAGTCATTTCATTTAAAATTAAATAAGAGCAATATCTTTCTAATCCTTCTTCTTCAAAATGTTTCTAATTTTTGTTTTCAAATTATCATCCATTTTAAAAGAATTCTTTCTACCCCAACCTTCGGGTTGTTTTTTTAAAAAGGCACCTAAAGCACCTAAATAACCTTCATGTCTCAAAAAATAAGCTCTTTTAGTTCCTTGGGACCAGAAATTTATGGCATATGATAAAGTATTCATCGTTTGAGGATGACCTTGAATATAAGAACCACCAAAATAAATATGATTAACTTCATGAATTTTTGCTTGCAAATAAGCAATTTGACCAATATTATTTGATATAGCATATAATAAAGATCTACTTATATCAGCACTTGCAAATAATTCAGAATCACCATTTTTAAAACTTTGTTGATGTTTTTTTTTGAAAACTTTACCAAATGAAGAAGCAATTGTTGATTTTTTCAAACCAATTTTATTATAATCAGTTCCATAAATATCACCAACCAACATATCTACTTTTGAATTATCACCTTTTGCAGCATTTGTCAACATTTCATCATACGAATTAGCATCTGTTAATAAAGATAATAACCCCCAAAGAGTACCACCACCTAAGGAACTTCCCCCGACTCTAATGAAATCCTCCTGATTTGGACCCATAACTTTGATTATAGAAACACCTGAACCAATGTTGACTAATAAATAAGGATAAATGATATTTTTGGAATGATTAACAAATTCCATTGGATTTTGTTCAGTGTATAGGAAGACTTCATTTGGTATTTCAGTTATAAAGAAATCTAATCCACGAATTAAACATTCCATTTCATCTTCTTTTGAAACTTGGACATTTAAATCTTTTTTCAAACGATCATAAAATTTTATTGAACCACCACCAGTAGCCATTATATGTATTTTCTTGTTATAAAATTTGATCAATTTAGCAATAAATTCAATAAATTCATCAATTCTTTCAGTTTCAATTTTGTAAAAATTTAAACGACCACCAGAATCTGATAAATCTGTACTATTCTCATTATTATTTGATTCACCATTTGATATTATTTTTTTACTTATTTGGGGTCCCAAATCTTCTTGACTGTTATTTATACTTTGATTAGAAGTGAAATAAACGATTTTAGCTAAAGAACCACCAATATCAACAGCAATATGTGAAATATTTTCAGCATCTTGATATGGTAAAGCAATATCACTAGTTTCGGGTATTGAATCTTCATCTTCATATAATTCTTCATCCACTATGAAGGCGCCAGTGACATTTATTTGGATTGAGCCTGGATTTATTATTCTATTGTCCATTTCAGGTTCTATTACGGGAGATTGAGGTATTGTATCTGTCATAACAGTATTGTGATGATAAGGTGAAAGATGGAGATATAGATTTTGTGGTGAATTGAACTTGATTGAAGGTATGTATAATATTATTTGAGATGCAATGTATGAGAATATGGAGTGGAATAACGTTGAAAGGAGAGTGAATCTGGAAGAATTCAAACAATTCAACTTGTTCAAATGCTGCTTTCGAACCGTTTTTTTGTGTTGATTTTTCAGTCATTTTTTTTTTTTTATTTTGTTGATTTTTGGCGGGTTTTTGTTGGACGTAGGCAGGAGCTAGGCAGGATCTAGGCGGATGCTAGGCGGAGCTCAGCTTAGCTCGCGATCCCGTTTAGGCAGAGCTTCTGCCTAGAAAACGATTTTTTTCTAAACGAGCCAAATGTTACATCAGTAATTACCTAATCATTTCAAATCACGTGACAAATCTCGAACGCCATCATCTGAAGCACTCGATTCGTCACCTGAAGCAAGAAGCACACAGTTTCTTGTAGCCAAAAACAATATAAAAGGGTGTTTAAAAGTACTGTTGAGCTTGTTTCCAATCAAAACTGACTTCCATCAATCATGTCCAAATACGATCTTCCAGAAAACTTTAGCCAATTGGTTGATGAAACTTATCAAAATGCTTTAAAATCAGGTGAAGTTGTCTTTCAAGATTCTACAAATGAATATCTTGAAGAAGATGATGTTCCATTTGTAATCACTCATGCTCCTGGCTTAAGCAAGAAACCAACTCAAGAAAAAGCTCCAGAACAAGATGCAAGACCTGAAGGTTTCAATCCATTTGCTAACCCTGAACCAACAATGACTGTTATATCAGATTATGCTAATGGTCAATTTAATATCTTGTTGAATAAATATCCAATTGTTCATAATCATTTATTATTAACTACAAAAGAGTTCAAATCACAAAATTCCCCATTATCACCACCAGAATTAATTGCATCTCTTAAAATTCTTGAAAGTTTAGAGAAAGCATCAACTAAAAATGAGAAATTCTTTGGATTCTATAATTGTGGTGAAAATTCAGGTGCTTCACAACCTCATAAACATATTCAATTCTTAAAATTTCCTGAAAATTTCCAACCTTTCCCTAATGGATTAGTATCAAATGAAGATCCATTCATTGCAACAAGTTTGAAAGAACCTTTACAAAGTAAAAATGTTCCATTTGCACATTTTGTCCTACCATTAGAAAAAGATGCTGCAAAACTATACGATGAAGATTATTTAGCAATGGCTTTCAGTTCATTATTACAAAGAACTTTAACAATCTTGAGAGATAGTGAAAAACCAACAGCTTATAATGTTGTATTTACAAGAAAATGGATTTTGGTTGCACCAAGATCAAATGCATATTATAAAGATGTATTAGGTTTAAATTCTGCAGGTTTTGTTGGATTGATTTTAGCTAAAAATGAAGAATTATTGGAGTTGATTAAAAAAGATGGTGCTTTAAATGTTTTAAAAGCTGTTGGATTTCCAAATACATCTGATCAACCAACTGATGAATATCATTATTAAAATATAGATGACTTTATGTACACTCTACGTAGGCTTTCCTTTCTAAATTCATATACAGATTTGTATGTATTGTTTTAATGCCCAACATTTGGTTTCTTTATCATATACAGTTTTTGTTTTTGATTTGTCTTCTTTTCTTGAATATATTAATTATAATGATTTTCCCACTTAGTTAACTTTGATGTTGTCTAATTCTTCTCTTTCGAAAGCTTCAGCTTCAATTTCTAAAAGGTATGGTAATAAATATGGAACATCATCTTCAGCTTTAACTTGTTCATTTTTTGGTAATAAATGATGAGTGATACCACATTGAGCAGCAGTTAAAGTTCTGAAATTTCTAGCATAGATTTCTTCTTTTGGTAATCTAGTTAAAGCTTTTTGAACTATTGGATGTTCATCATGTATTAAATCATCTAATTTTAAACCCATTTGTCTGTAACCAGCATATTGACAGAAGAATTTAGAAGCTGGAACAAAGATGGATTTCAAGACTGGAGTTCTTAAGATGAAGTCTGATGCTTTGGCAATAGAAGTGAAAGAAGCCATTGTTGATGTTGTGATTCTTTGTTCTGTTTTGATAAATGTTGTAAATTGTGTGTATTTGATGCGTTTTTTTCCTCGATTTTTAACAAATCTGTTTTTCCCGAAATTTTATTGGGTGAAATTTTGCAAAACGAATTCGCGAAAAGATTCAGTGAGCAAGAGTAGGGTAAATTCATGGAGATTGGATAATAGGAGGTTAGAAATGTTTAATTGATTAAATAAAAGGTATAATAGTAAGGCAAGTAGTTAATGACAATGGAATACTGCATTATTAGAGTTGTACTTCTTTTTAATGTTGCCTTGATCTTTTAAAATCTTCTTGGTCTTATCAAATAGATATATTAGATATTCGATATGGCCACTACTCTCTTTACAAATTTAGTGTAAAAGTCATGATTCTACCAGATGTTTCTACAAATGACATTGTAATAATTTAAATATGACCAATTAATTAAAACACTCTTGATTCTTGTTAAGAGAAAGTATAACATAAACCGGCGTAAACGAAATCATAAAAACCAAAAGGAAGGAGAATAACAGAGAAAGCATGACATGGGGGTATAAACAAAATAAATAAAAAGTAAAAGAATTGAAACAAACACAACCAGAATGACAATAAAATAAACAGGGACTTAACGTGAAAAAGATATCATAGAATTCTTCACTTTTTCAACCAATTGAAGAATTTCTTATGACCATGATGATGATGATGACTATTATTATCTGATGATGCATTCTGTTCCTTCTTTGGACTCTTTATAGTGTTCTTCTTATAACTTGTATGATTGACTTCAAATTCATTATCATTAAAATGGGTATCATTATTGGTATTGTTTTTATATGGTGATTGTAAATAATTGAATGAATTGCTTGAAGAAACTAATTTTGGTGTCATTGTAGTCAAATCTAATTCAGGACCTGGTTCACCAAAATTAAAAGGGGTAATTGTGGAATCTCCAATATCTTCATCAACATCACTTTGATTTTCATTATCAGATTCAAGATTTTTGATGATATTTGAAGATGATGATGAGTTTTTTTTATGATATTTTTTCAAATTTATTGAAGATAATAATGAATTTGATTTTTTGTGGATATATAATTTTTTAGATGATTTAGTTGGAGATGTTATTGTTGGTTGTTGTTGCTTTGAAAATGATGCTGTAGAAGAAGATGACGATGAAGGTGGTGAATTTGAAGTGGCAAAACATTGTTCTTGTTGAGAAGGTGGATCATAAACTTTTGATTCAAATTTAAATCTTGAAGGAGAATTCAACATTGAAGAATTTGTTGAAGAATTTGATGACATGATAAATTTGGAATTAAAACTTGAGATTGAAGTTTTATTTTGTAAATTATTTGAATGATTTGATGAATTTGTAATTTGTGATAAACTTTCTGATGATTTTAATGCATTTGATAATAATAATGAATTATTATAATAAGATTGATATCTTGCAGCAGTAGCACCACCACGACGAGTTGATTGATGTTGTTGTTGTTGGGTAGCATTTGTTTTAATTGATGTTGGTGTTGATGCAACAGAATTATTAACAGTTGCAGGTGATTGTAATTTAAAACTTGGATAAGAACTTAATGAATTTGTTGAATCATTTTTATTATTAGTTGATGGAATGTTGTTATTTGTTGATGAGGCAGAACTTATAGCATCTTCATCAATCATATCATCTTCTTCATCTTCTTCAAAAATTGCAGGATTTTTTTGAGCACCATTACTATTATTGTTATTATTATTGTTATTTGAAAAAACTTTATACTTCAAAAAATCTTCTAATTCAGGAGCAGATTCAGTTCTTCTATGCATCATTTTCTTTCTTGGAATTTTAGAATTCGGGTCATGAAGAATACCAGATGCTAAATCTAAATCAATCAATGCTTCAGGAACATGATATGGATTATTATTATTGTTGTTATTGTTTTTCCCATTATTATTGTTGTATGTAAACTGAGTTGTTTTATCAGGTGTGGCTTCATTTGATGATGATGAATTGTATTCCACTTTAGATGATGTTGTTGATGATTTCAATTCATTCTTCTTTGGCTTCATAAATGAATGAGCCCATGAATTCAATCTTGTATGTTTCTTTTGGGGAGATGGAGTTGAAGCAGTCAATTCACGAGAGTGATTCTCAGCTTGTTTTGACTTGTGATTTTGTTGTTGTTGTTTTGGTGGTGGAGATCTTGGTGGAGAAAATTCAGTAACATCAGTTATAACAAAAGAAGGGGCATTTATTGCTGGTAGATGATATTGTTTTTGGTTTAAAAAGGAATCCTTGGGTAGAGAAGTGGAAGATTGAACAATTTTTTGATTAGCATTTGGAGGAGCTCTAAAGAAATCCATACCAATAGCATCAAAATCACCACTTATAGCAGCTGACCTCTTGTGAGCATGTCCTCTTCTATGAGGAACTGGTTGTTGCTGTTGTGTATATTTTTTAGATTGACCATCTTGAGTAGTAGTAGCAGTAACTGTTGACAACATGATTCTTTCTATTCTTTTTGGTTTTGAAGTTGTAAAAAATGCAAGTTATTTAGGCTATTATTTAAATGCTAAAAAAGGATGTATAGGGAAGAACCACAACAATGCAAAAAACGGAACAATAAGATGGAAAAGAATGGACTGATTTGGGTTTGGATAATAGGTTCTAGACCTTGTTGGATGATGATAATAAATGAATGACTTTAATAAATGAGTGTGATGAAGCTTTTTTTAATCCTTTTTGCTATCTTGGATGATGGGTATTAACTTGTTCTTAATATAGCTTTTTTCCTTGCTTGTAAAAACACCAGGGTACTAGCGACTTCTTTTCACTTGCCAGTAAAGATGGTGTTGATGAGGGAGTGGATGATTTATGAAGGTGATGCTATATGCACTTTGAAGAAGAACAAAAAGGATAAGTTTATCTGAATAGAAGGTTTAAAAGTGTTTGGGATTGTTGTGCTCAAGTTTAATTTTGCATTTTTTTTTTCTTCCCTCGTTTCACAGCTGCTGCGCGAACCGGTTTTAGTTGTAATTTGTCGGATCGGCGTTTTGGCAGTGTCCGGATTGGGAAACTGGAGATTTGAGATGATTTTGAACAAGACGCTTTGAAAGAAGAAAGTGGGAAAGTGAAGATATTAACAAGGGAAAAGTGGTTTAATTAATAGAGTATTGAAATGGTTATAGAGTATCCTGTTCTAGCCTCATTTCGCCTGTGCTTTATTTTATTATTGCCAATGCACCGGGGGCTAAAAGATCTCGATTGAAGATTCTCTTTTCCACAAAACTCCTTCTTTGGTGCGGTGATCAACAAGTGCAAGTTGTAATTACTATTCCATAAGGGGAAACTGTGCTACAGATGATGGGACACCAAGGGGATTTAAGTTTCACTCCATCCAAAATGACTTGAGTGGACCAATCCTCCTTGTATCAATCATATTTATTCCCATTTATTCCCTTGTGTTGTTGAACTACTCTTGAACAGATGTTCTCTAGTCAAAGGCGTTTCGTGTTTTGTCATGAGGCAGTTCAAATGTTGAGGCTACGCCTTATCTACCAGCTAGATCTAGTGTGTAACGGTCAAGACTCAGGAACTGCTATCAAAAGTATTTGGAGGCACTACATTTATTTAACCACCTGAAAATCTTGCCATTTCATGCTATTTTTACGCTCAAAATGCTCATTAATTTTCTTCCCTTGTTTCAAACTTGAATTAATTTTATTACGGTGTGTCCCGCAAACCGGTTTTTGACACCCTGCTGATTACGTAACACACGCGAAAAAAAAATAACGAAAACTGTTATTTACACGGTGGAGTTTGGCAGTGTGATGAAATTGGGAAAAATCAACAACAATAACAACAACCATCACTAGTATTGGCTTAACAAACAACCAAAGCTGTGATAATACGGTGGAACTGGGTGCTTAATTAAGCTGTTTGTTGCTGTGTTGGTGATTAACTTCGATGGTTGTGGTGATGGACATACTACTAGTTAATAATATTACCAGCGGTTAAATAAGTGCTTGTTTGTTGAAACTACATGACAAGGAGATTGGAAATGACTATATGTGGTGTGCTGATTAAGTTCTGATTACTTTTAGTGAGTTTCCATGGATTTTATGTGATATGGTGCTCTAGTTAGCCACTTTGTGGACCACCAATTGATTGATGTACTTTGGTTCTCAAGAAAGCTGTACCAAAACCAAACAACACCACGAAAGGCATATCTTTCTTAGTATCGGAAGAGCTAGTGCAGTTCAAATATGTGTTGTTGATGTGCTTTCTTTACTGATGTTTCGTTTAGTGGACTTACCAGATCATTTTGTTGATGCATTCCGTTTAGAATTCTACTACTACATTCTCAAACAAGCAAAAAAATCGATAAAACATTCAATTTTTTTTTTGACTTGACCAACTCATTCTCATAATAAAGTGAGATATAACAGTCAAAAGGTTTCTCGGGAACCTGTTAGATTAGACCATGGATCGCGGTGTTTGGGTCAGGAAACATGATGCTATGTTCAGGGACCACTATGTTTGGGACAGGGAACACGGTTATTGGGTCGAGGAAAACAATTGGACCATGGAACAAGGTGATAGATTGTTTCTCGTTTTAACATTTATGATCTGTGTAATACTCATTTTGTCGTCCCAACTACGTAACAGACCAACAGTAGAGGAATGGAAAAGATGCACACAAAATCTGAGCAAACAAATGAATATAAATACTGATCTCAGAAAACAGTTGACTAGATTTAGTGAACGTGAGAAAAATTATAAATTTTATTTGGACTCATTGCTAGGCATTGAAGAAGATGAATTCGGGAACATAAAATTTTTAGGACATCAAATCAACCTTAGTGAAGAAGGTGACGCTATTGGGAAAGAGCAACTAACAATTGAACCAGATCCAGACAACAAGTCAAATTCCCCATCGTTCATACCTGAAAATGTTTATGATTCTGTTCCAGAAACTATACATGTTTACTCTGAAGTCCCCTTGCCAAAACTGACAGGCGATACCAGAAGTCAATCTTCCAACAAGCCAAATGAACCAACTATCGATGTGAAAGGCGATACCAGAGGTGAATCTGCAAACGAGTTGAATGAACCAATTATCGATGTGAAAGGTGATACCAGAAGTGAAACTTCAAACGAGTTGAATGAACCAATTATCGATGTTGGAGGTGATACCAGAAGTCATTCCCCAAAGAAGCCAAATGAACCAACTATCGATGGTAAAGAACAGTCCCCAAATCAGGAGAAAACAAAATTGGATGTACCAATACCATTTCTTCAAAAATTCAGAACTCAAGCTCAAATTGAGAGAGCACCAAGAATCTTCAACTTGATCAAGAAATTAAAAAATAATAAAACAACCAAACCATTCCAATATACCTCAGAATACAAGAATCTTGTCCGCAAAGAAGTCCAAAGAAAATGGGAAATGTTGGTTTGGCCAAGAAATGGTATTGAACCTCTATCACCATTTCCTGAATCTACCAAAAATTCAAATTATTTGCTCGATACTTCAGATCTTGATGATATTCATCTTATAGGCTATTTGAAACCGTATGAGATTCCAAATTTACCATGTTTATTGCACCCTCGACTTCCAAGTAATCATCTGGAACAATTTGGTGAAATTATTGAGACCCCACAAAACCTTCTAAAGCATTTGAAACTGTATGATTATCATCGTTCATTTCCAAAAACACAAGTTCTTAATTTTTCAATCAGGAAAGTTGAAGAGCTATTATCAATACTGGATAATAAATGTCAAATATTATCTGAAAAAGATGCCTTTGACAAAACAATCTTCAACAAATTTGATCTTTTAGCTACACCTGGTCTACCATTTTGCAGAACAATCCAAATGAAAGCTGATTGTTTGGATTGGATATCAACTAATTGTGAGACTTTATTAGAGTTTACGTTCAACGGTATTAAGAAACGTGTTTTCCCTCCTGTTTGCTTTGCCACCACTGAATCTTTGAATGGTGAAACTAAAACAGAATGGGTTTATCCTTCAGTCATAAATTTATTTGAAAGAAAATTCAGCACAGATATTTATGAAAAACTTTTGGACGCTAATTTTGAAAAGAGACTACCATTCAAATTCCCAGGAAAAGATTATACTGACATTTTGCAAAAAAATGGGAAATCTATATGTGAATTTGAAATCATTGATTTTCATCCAAGTATTTCCACAACTTTAGTTGCGATCTCTTTCAAGATTATTCAAAAATGGGTTGATTTTTCCTCAAATATTGATCCAGCTGATCCTGGTGGCTCCTCGGGGAGCTCTGCTTTTGATTTAGATAAAGATATGATTCCTGTTGACTTAGAACAGCTTTGGAGCCATTTAGTTCGTTATTTTATTCACACTCCAATCTTACTACCTAGTGGTCAATTGGCAAGAAAATCAACAGGTGCTGCTTTAGGATCTGAATTCACACTATTAATCTCCACTATCACTGGTTTAATCATTGGCACTTTTTGCATGCTTTCTCAAAATGTCGATGTTGATCATGATGGTGATATCTCAGTTTTTGCGTTTGGTAATTCTATATCAATATCAGTTCCAACTTCGTTCAGTATCACCCAACTGATTAAAGATACTGAGAAGATTGGATTCAAAATCGATAGTTCAAGTATCAGAATGAAGAAAAATTAGTGTGACTTGGTTTTGGAAGTGACTACATGGTTGTCACATTTGTATACAATATTAATTCAGTTTATTATATTATAACACTCTATTTACGTTTCGAGACTGTAGTGCCTTGCTCCAAACTATTTCCTTCTTCGATGATGAGTTCAGCTTCACCTTCATGGATATCCCTAGGTCTTCCATGCTCTTTTAAATACTTTTCATCATCTCTCTTGATAAGAATCCATGAAGTTGCAGTCAAGATTAAACCTAAAACTGAAATACAACTTTCAAAAATATAACCTTTACGGAATTTTGGTGCATCATCTTGATTGAAAACAACTAATGAAATCCAAGCAGTAAAGATATAACTCACTAAGTTAGTAGTAACAACCAAAAAGTTTCTTTTCATATCATCATAAGCCATGTTTTTATTAACCCAACTGAAAATCATACTTTGTCCACATGAAGAAACAATATTGTAGAAAAAGAAACAAAACCATTTGAATCCAACATTAATATCCCAAACGGCCAAAGGAGCATAGGAAACGATACCAGATATAAACATAAAGAACAAGAACCACTGAGTCAAATTGTTTTTAAAATAATCATTAAGATAAGCACAAATAATTGCAAATCCAATACCACCACCATTTATACCTGTTGGATAAATATTATATTGGTAAGGCGTTAATTTTAGATCCATCTTCATCCAAAGTTGGAACCCATTAGAGCTATAGGCAACATTAATTAAACGGAAACAAAAGAATAACCATGGAAACACCCAAATATGCCATGTGTTGAAGAAAGATTTGACTTTCTTGAAAGTATAAGGTTCTCTGGTGTTTAATTGCGCTCCAATTCTTCTTCTTCTCTCTAAGGCAACAAGCTTATCATCTTTACTGAAATACCAAGCGTTTGTAGTTGATGGTGTGTTTGGATCAGCAAACAAGGTATAAAATCCGATAGGAGCTGATATAACAGCATCAAATATGAACATCCACTGGAATGGTTTCCATCTAGATCCTTCGGTGAATGAAGCATGTAAGATTCTTTGCTGTAAAGGACCAGAAACAAGACCTGCAGCAGTACCTGCACAATTGAACAATGTTGATCTTTTGTTCAATTCTTTTGAAGAATACCAAGAGCCAATCAAGTATTCTAAACCAGGAAAGTACCCAGCTTCAGTTAAACCAATTAAGAATCTGATAGCATATAATCCACTCATTGACTTTGGTAAAATCATCAAGATAGTTAAGAATGCCCAACAGATTTCTAAACCTGCCAAATAATAACGAGCAGAAATTCTATGAAGGATTAAATTTGATGGAATCTGACCAATTATATAACCGATTGTCCATAGTGTATTCATCAAGTTATAGTCATTCCCTTTCATGTGATAATGTTCCTTCATACCATTCACATAAGCAGTTGAAATGTTTGATTGGTTTAAAGTCTTGATGAAATATCCCAACATTGCAGAGGACATTAAAAAGAAATCTAGTTTGAACAAAAAGCTTCTTTCTTTAGGATGCTTATCAGCAGAGTCCCATAAGAAAACACTAGCCTTATACCACCATTTTGAACGACGCTTTAGTTCTTCTGGAGTTAGATGAACTGTTATATCAATGTATGGTTCATCCTCGTCTCTGAAATCAACTTCACCATCAAGTTTCAAATGACCATTTGATCCATGGTTTGAATCTGTATCTGAACCAGCAACCAAGTGGTCAACTTGTGAGTGGTAATCATTCTTATAACCAAGTGCCATCGTCACGAAATCAACCCGAGATTTGTACTGAAAATGCTTAAATCTTGATCTAAAGATATTCTCCTGGCATTCTTGGTCTTTTTATACTCATGTAATCGCAGCTATTGTGAATGTATAACCAGTGCTACCCTAAGTGGCCGTGTATGAATCAATTGTGGTGTCTCTATTTTATAACTGCGGCTTCAATTGTAATCATGGCTTAAAGCAGTCAAGCAACCCAGTCTCGATTATAAGTGCAGAACCCCTTCATTATTGAGCTTTGAAGATATCTCAAATAGTGATTCAAGATCTAGTGACACCCTTTGTAACCTTCCAATGACCAAAGAGTTGTTTGATACACCATGGCTTGATCAGAATGGTTTAAAGCTGTCTTTTTCAAAGGGTCTTCTGCTGATCCACAATTTTTTTTTGGGGGTCGCGATTCGCGAATGCGTTTTGTCGCGAATGCGTTCTATGGTGATTCTTGAAAACGGGTATAAACAACTGAAATTCATGAGTATCAATCAATTGCTCAAGTTGATTCAGAAACAAATAAGAAACAATGATCAAGCAAAGAATCACACTATTATCCAATTATATTGAGCAAGAAGCTGACACTGAAGGGCTCGAGTTTTCAGAAGAATTGGTCACTGTCCCCAAGTCAATCTATTACTCAAGACAAGATAGAGTGACAATCCCTATAGAGCATATTACCCCAGATCTTGCTCAACAGTTGAATACACTAGGGAAGCTTCGGATACAATGGAAAGCTGCTGGAGCTCATCCTTCAGAAATATTCCAAAACTTTAATCAACAAGGTCTATATATACATCTAGTACCATCAACTTCATATTATCAGGAATCAATAGATATATTAAGTCAACAACTCTCTACATCATTAGGATTGGAACCGTTTGATAATTCAGATTTCATTGTCACTGCTACATCAGCTACCTATTATTCAAACTCATCAATTGAAAACATAAAATTGACTCAATTCCTCAGCTCCTTAACACAATTGGATCAACAAGATATCAACAACATCGAAGACTTTGAATTAAACTGGGATAAAGAATCAGGGTTGAAACTTCAATGGGTATCATCACCATCAGATTTCAAGATCTCCAAAAGCACTGAAATTCGGAAAGAATTAGCCATTTTACAACCAAAAGATTTAGTACCAGATATCGAATTAGCAGGTATAAGAACTGTCTTGGGACAAGACTACTTACCTCCAACAAAGACATTAATTTATATCAAACCAAGACATTTCACAACCAAAAATACCATACACTATGAATTACAATCACCAATTGGTCTACACCCAACTCTTAAATTGAGTGATCTAAATTATACACCACCAAGTGAAAATTGTAAACTATTTTGGGTTTCCACAGTTGATAATAGATTAATATTTGACAAGTATCAATATGATGAAAAGAAATTTAAATTATTACAATCATGGGGAGAAATAGACTTAGAGGCACCAGTTTGGAAAGTTTCAAAATTCGGTTCCATTCAATTTTTAGAAGTCTTGAATAAGACAAATTTAGAAATGACTTATCATTCAAGATATATTGAACCTTCAAGTGATGGCAAAACTGTGTTATTAACTCCAAATGTCTTTTACGCATGTGATTCACCTGAATTGATTGAAGATCATCAACTTATTGAAAAGAACCCATTCGATAGCTATGGTCTTGGTTATGAATCATTTTTCGATAAAGATACAATTTTTTTCCATTTTGAAAATGAACCTAAAACTTTGGAATTCAATATTCCAACTGCTAAAGTGGAGGATTTTAATAGAATTCAATTAACAACACTAAGTGTTGTGTCAATTGGTACTCTTTATTTATTATACAAACTTTTCAGAACATTCACTACAAATACGCCTGTTTCATCATCCAAAAAAAGTGCATGAGTAATTATTAATATACAGAATATATATCCTCCTATTTCTTGTGTTTCTTAGCAATACGTTTCAATGCTCTTTGTTCATTCTTCATGACACCATCCACCATCTTATATTTACCTTTAACACCTTTAGGTCTTCCACTTAAACCTCTATTATTACCTTTAGCGAAAACATAAGTAACTTGAGGTTTGGTCTTTTGCTTTTTGGTTAACTTCTTCATTAATTTAGAAATTTCCTCAGCTTTATCACGTTCAGATTTATCACTATCTTCATTAATAATATCTGATTTTTTCTTTAATTTTTCTAATCTTGCCATTGCTCTCATCTTCTTACGACCTTTAGCTTCAGCAACTTTTTTAATTGGTCTTGCATTCAATTGTTTCATTTTTTCCTTTATAGCTAAAGCAGCCTCTTTGGTAATTGGTTTACTTATTTTACTATGTCTTTTTTCATCATCAATAAACCAATCTGGTAAACCTTCTTGGTCTCTGAAAGCATATCTATTGAACCCATCATCAACTAGATCATGTTTAGTTCTTTGTCCTAATGCCAATTGATGAGCTAAAGTCATAGCTTGTGCAGTGGCAATATCTACATCTTTTTGATGATTTCTCAAGTTAACGTCATCATCATCATCAGAATCATTGAAATCATCTTCATCTTCTGATTCACGAGCAACAACTTCGAAATCAGAATCAGAATCCATTTCTTCATCAGAATCATCAGATTCAAGACTTGCAGTAGTGGATTCTTCATTATTGGATGATGCAATTGGAGTTGGTTCTTGTACTTTTGGAATTTCAGATTCAACACCATCAAAGATTGAATTGCTGAATAGTAAATCAGCTTTCTTACTCAACCCACTTTTGGTATTTTGTGGTTTTAATTTTGCAATCAAATTATTGATGTGTTGATCATCATCACTATCACTGATATCTTCATCGTCTTCATTATAATCTTTAGTTGTTGTAGCTTCTTCTTCTTCCTCATCACTTTTAGCATCGTCTTTAATACCATCCCAAGCTTCATCATCTTCATCACCTCTTGCCTTTTTAGCTCTAAATTTGGCATCCCTTTCGGATCTTCTTTCTTGATAAGCAGCATACATATTATCTAATTGGGCTTCTAATTCATCAACTTCATCTTCTGAACCAATTTCTTTTTCATCATCTGAACCAAATTGGAAATCATTACCTTGATACAATTCATTTTGATCGAAAATCATTCTTCTTTTACCACGAGAAATATCATCCAATTGACCAGTTTTTTCAGCAGTTTTCAAGTTGAATAAAGAATCAGCACCGATTGAAGCAGCTTCAATACCAATATCTTTTGGAGTCAACATATTCATTTGCATACGAACAATTTCTTTTTGTTTTTGTTCATTCTTTTGACGTTTTTCTCTTTTTTGTTTTTGTAATTGTCTTGAACGAACTTGATCCAATTCTTTATCGATTTGTTCCTCTTCATTTAATGGTTCCACTTCCACTTTAATTTCTTCTTCTTCTTTATCTAAGTCTAATAATTTTCTTGCAATTTTTCTCCATCTTAAAATCATTCTAAAATCTTTTTTACCCAAGACTCTTAAATCTTTAAAACATTCTAATAATTCATTTGTTGTTTGTTTTAATTTTCTAACTAATTTCCAATCAGGATCTTCTTGATCAATTATGAATTCTGAAGTTTCACCCAATATATCAATTGGATTTTCATCTCTAACAAATTCCATTATTGGCATGGTGTTATGTAAAATATAATTACCTTCTTCATAACCTTGTCTACTTCTCTTCTTTTTCTCTGGATTGAAAACTTTTGCTTCGTTGTTTTGTGGACCATCAGCTAATTCTTCAAAGACTTCCTTTGGGTCTAATAATCTTGGATCTAATTTTTTTGGAGCTTTGAAAGTTCTACAAACAACAAAGATTTCTGCAGAAACATTTCTTGAAGCTGGAGGTTTTGTTGCTTCAACTTTTTCGAATAATTGTTGGAAAACCCACATCAATTTGTTATAATCTTTTGATCTGAAAATTTTAGTAACAAAAGTACCACCTGGAGCTAAATTTTCCACAGCTAATTTTAAAGCTTGTAAAGTTAATTGAGATTGAGTGAAAGCATCTTGAACCCAACCAAGACCAACATTTGGAGCACCATCATGTAGAACAGTATCTGCTTTCCAAGTTTTCATGTAACCTCTTAATCTGGATCTACAATCTTCTGTTGTGATATCTGATTGGAAAGTGATACAATTTGGCATAGGTTTGATTGGGACAATATCCACACCAATAATCATAGAGTTGACGGGACACAAGTTTGAAGCAACTTGACACCAAGAACCTGGTGCAGCACATAAATCGATAACGACTTTTGATTTTTCAAGGAAATGACCAAATTTTTCATTAATTTGAATGATTTTGAAGGAAGAACGAGCTCTATAACCCTAAGAGATGAAGATGTTAGTATATATTCAGAGCAGTTAAAGCGGCTATACCTACTTTCTCCTTAGCAAGGAAATAGTAACGATCCAAACGACCTTTAGCATTTTTCTTCTGAGTCTTTGCCATTTTGATCTGGCTTCAGTTGCTTTTGAACAAGTTGTTTTAGTGGAATAATGCTTAGCATTAAGCTCATCTCAGATAAAAAAAAAATATTGTGCATAAAAAAATTTAAAGTGGTTTCGCAGGGTAAACTTCGCGGTGATTTGGCTAAACGAGTGTGTCAACCAGGAACACAAATACGCTGATTTGAGCTGGTTTAACAGGTTATGGGGATTATTTGATAAGTTAAATCAGTTATTTACCAGATAAATTTGGCATTAGCATTTTAAACCACGGAAATCTGACCATTATGAGTGTTTCTGGTGGCATTTCCTGTTGAGACTTGATCTGATATTAACACCACCAATAATTGCTCAAACTTCTCATAAAAACCACCAAATGAACCACAATTACATCCATAACACATTAATCTATATTTGCTTCAGCTAAAGCTACTCTCTCCCCTTCAAATCACCCATTCACTACCGTCACAGGCAGTGTCCTTACTGACCCATCGACACTTGGCAGTTTCACGTTGATTCGAAAAAAACTCGAGATCGCTCACTGAAAAAAAAATAAAACGTTGTCCTTTCTTTCCAACTTGTGCCAATTCCAACGACATAGAATACTCAATTATCCTTTAATCATGGAATTCATGGGTATCAAGTACACGCCTACTCCAAAGGCTGACCCACAGCCAGTGTCTTCCACTGAATGTGGTATCAGAACCACTGATTATCCAGCTATCAAGAATGCTCCATTACCTGCTGATGGTCCAGGTACTAAAAGTTTCTCAAATTTAGCACTTTTATCTTTCATTGTTTTGATCCCATTCTATGTTAAATACAAATTGGGTGGTGGTTTTAAAACTTGGTTATTCTTTACTCTTTTATTTGTTCTCCCAATCTTGATTGCTTATTGGTCTTTCACTTCAACTTATTCTCCAAGATTAAATGAAAAAGTTAAATTACCAAATAGAGGTGTTGAATATTATTTGGAATTCCATGATGAAGAATTAGCTAAGAAATATTCAGGTCAAAACAAAGTTCCTTATGAAACCTTCCATGAATTGTATTTTGCTGGTAAAGTTAGTTTCAAAGGTGATGCTCTTGATGTTTTAGAATATAGACATGATTGGTTAAGTTTTAGATTCACCATTGGGTTATACAAATATTTCCTTTTCGGTATGATCCCAGAAGTTATTATGCATACTAGATCTCAAGATGAAGAACAAGTTCGTGATCATTATGATCGTGGTGATGATTTCTATGCTTGGTTCTTGGGTCCAAGAATGATTTACACTTCAGGTGTTATTTCTGATATCACCAAAGAAGAAACTTTAGAGGAATTACAAGATAATAAATTAAAAGTTGTTTGTGATAAAATTGATTTGAAAAAAGGTGAACGTTTATTAGATCTTGGTTGTGGTTGGGGTACTTTAGCTACTTTTGCCTCAAAGGAATATGGTGCTCGTGCCACTGGTATTACATTAGGTAGAAACCAAACCAAATGGGGTAATGAAAAATTAAAATTACAAGGTATTTCACAAGATCAATCCGAAATCTTGTGTATGGATTATAGAGATACACCAGTTCCAGAAGGTGGTTATGATAAAATTACATGTTTGGAAATGGCTGAACATGTTGGTGTTAGAAAATTTGGTGCTTTCTTACAACAAGTTCATGATATGTTGAATGATGATGGTATTTTCTTTTTACAATATGCAGGTTTAAGAAAATTCTGGCAATTTGAAGATTTAGAATGGGGGTTAACTTTAATGAATCAATACATTTTCCCAGGTGCTGATGCTTCAACTCCATTGGATTTCGTTGTTTCTAAATTAGAAGGTACTGGTTTTGAAGTTGTTTCTATTGATAACATTGGTGTTCATTATTCTGCAACTTTATGGAGATGGTATAGAAATTGGATTGGTAACAAAGATAAAGTTGTTAACAAATATGGTATTAGATGGTTTAGAATTTGGGAATTCTTCTTAGCTCACTCTACCATCATTTCAAGACAAGGTTCTGCTACTTGTTATCAAATTGTCTTGAGAAAAAACATCAACAGTTATCATAGAGTTGAATACATTCCAAAACAAAAAGGTTTATTAACTCCAATTAAGGAAGGTATTGTTGATTGGTTCAAATAAGCTGACTACAAGCTTAAAAAATATGTTATATAATATGCAAATTATTAAAACAAATATAAATATAGCAAAAGGAAATTGAATTGAAAGAAAAAAAATCATCATAATCATTCTCACTATCATTATTTAATGAGCATTAACTGTAGCATGGTTGTTATTATTGTGATTGTTATTATTATTATTATTATGTGAATGAAGATTTGCATTTCTTGGAACTGGACTCTTTGGTCTAAGATTCTCAATCTCATTATCTTGAGGAACATTTGTACCAATTTCGGTAATTTCATTTTTATAACGCAATGGTTCAAAATTGTCAATTATAATATCTGGACTCATTATAACCCAACCACGTCTTGGTTTAACGGGATTATTATACCCTGATCTGGATGGAATAATATGTAATCTTCTATTAGCACTACTGAAATTTTCAGCAACTTTATAAATATGATTTGGAACAACAAGATTTTTATTATTATCCTCTTCATTTTCAATATTTAAATCAGTATCAACATTACAATGAATTAAATGACCATCTGTGGATCTTCTAACAGTACCAGTGATACACATCCAACAATGCCATTGCATTTTTTCAAATAATGAATCATCTTCTATACCATCTCTATTTGGATAATATGGTGAATCTTTATTAACTGGAACGAAAACTAATTCTTCAGATCTTCTGAATTTTTTAGCCCATCCATCACTATTTAATAATCTTGTCAATTCATTAATTTTTTGTGCAGAAGCCCAAATAAATAAAAAACCTGGTTTGGAACATAATTTTTCTAATGGTAATTGAGTTAATAATGGGTAAATGAATTGGTTTTCTGTTAATGATCCAATCATAATAACATCAAACACTAATTTATCCTTATGGATCCATTTGTTTAAAGTTGGAACCATATTGTCAATATCAACACGAGATCCAAATGGTGTACACGCATAAGCTTGTGTCTGTCTTTCCTTCAATTGGAAAAGACGTTGTAATTTTGGATAACCTTCAACTGGATTCTTAACATTACGAACAAATTTTGAAGGTAATTCACCAGTATGGATATAGTTGTTTGAATAATCATTATCTTTGAACTTCTTTTGTGGATTTGGTTTTTGAATATGTGGACGACGTTGTTGTATTTGTTGTTGTGAATGGCCAGATCTTGGAGGTGTTTGCCTTCTCATTGGTAATTGTTGTTGTTGTTGTTGTGATGATTGTTGATGCTGAAATCTTCTAGGATACATATATTGTTGATCTAATGTAACAGGTGAGCTTGTTGAAACTGTATCATTCCATATATTTGTAGGTGTGGTGTTGAAATTGTTGTAAATTGATGGTTGCTCCATGAAATAGTTGATATTCCTTTGTTCTTTTGAATTCTGATGATACTTTGAATCACCACTTCCCTGGTTTCTCTTCATGGTGTTGTTTCTATCAAAATGATATTGTTTCTCACTCATCTTTTGCCAATACTCCCTTCAACAATGAAACCAATAGCTTATTATATTATAAGGATACCTCTGACTTTATATACCAACGATGATATATGAAACCAACCAACAAAGCACAAAGAAAAAAAAGCGCTGCTAACCACCCTTCAGCCTATTATTCACAAACAGCGATCAAACAGCCGATACACGTCTCTTTGCCTAAGCTCAGCGTTGCTTCAAAAGTCGATGATTGCGTGTGTTTCATAGTTTCTCAGATTCAATTGTTTGGCGCCAAAAACGGTCAACACTTTCGCGAATCTGCCAAACGCCGCGTGCACGGTTTGTTTACAAAAACGAAACTGAATCACGAATTTTGTTACAACTTGATACAAAATGGGCAGAATTTTACATTCTTTGGGTCTCGTTGAGATTATAGTGCTGAGAGAAATGTCGTTGAATAAGGGAAAGTCCTATTTGGCAGAGTTTTGGCCCTACAGCACTGCAGAAGCGAAGGAGCATTATGCCATCTCTCGTAAAGATGCTACAAAGTCTAAACGTCCAAGTCAATCAGATGCTACATTTGATGAGTTTGCTGGTGTTTTCAAAAATCAGCTCTTGGAGTTTTACACAAGCGTTTGTTTCATACCCTGAATTACTATCATACTCCCTGAATAGGGCTTAACTAACACATATAGAAACAACGAAAATTGAACCTGAATGTCCACGATTTATACAAATATGTTTTTCAAGACTATTCAAGAGTTTTCAAATTGTTAGATAATGGAACTATCCTTTTGTTGGCACATTGTGAGTTGAAAAACTTATCACCAAAAGATACACCTTATATACTTGGGATCTTTGAATGCCTTTTGAATGAAACAACTAAACAAAAGCACTTTGATGATACGCACTCAAAAGATCAAATTCCATCTCAAGATGATTACTTACTGGTGATGAAACCAATCGGTATACTATTGATCAATCATCTCAAATACAATAAACTATCCACTGATAAGCTTGAATCCGTTGCTACTTTTACATGCAAAGTGATTCAACATTGTTTATCTACAACTGCTCTATTGGACGCATGGTTTGATGTGGCTTTGAAGGAACCAGATGTGGTATATCTACTATTCAAGAATAGACTTCCAGCCAATTGCTTTCCCCCTTATGAAATAGCTAAAGATTTTTTGTTTATGGGCGATTTGTTATTTCAAATATCAAAAGAGGCACTTTTATCCATTGTTTTAGCATCTGGTTTCAATAAAAACTTGGAAAATTGGATCTTGATGAGTGAATTCCCCGGATTGGTTATTACCGGGTTGTTGTCGAATTTCAACCAGATCTGTTATAATGAGATTTTACTAAGCAATTACAAAAACGATTTTGATGAAATCTTACTGGAGAATGAAAACTTTAAAGAATTTAACGAGTATATCAAATTCATTATGGATATATTGTCTTACTCAACTCATGATTCAGTTAAAATAGTCTTTTTGAATTGTTTTCAATCAAGATTTATTAACCCAGTTTTAGAGTACTACTCTTTAAATGATACTTATCATGTCAACATTATCTTTTTGCTTTCACATACAATCAACCAGCTCATTAGCATCCCAGAATTTTCAAGATCATGTCCAATAACCCAATTTATTGTGGAGGAATTGATCGAGAAATGCATTGACACTTCAACCCCAAATAAGACTTCATTAATTGACATTTTTAAAGATGCATTGTTACAACCGACTGAAAATACCATATTGACTATATCATCGTTCAACTTGCTAAGCTCCTTTTGTAAAGCAAGGCAGGTCTCTTTGGTACTGAAGCTTTTTGGATTTGAGCCTTTTATTGTTGATATAGGTGCTTGTGTTATAAAAAGTGATTCAAATACCAACGATCTATGCAATCTTGTTAAGTTGATTGAACATGGAGAACCATCTTATAAAACTGTTTTGGTTGATAAACTCGAAGAAGGTTATACATGGATATATAAAGTGGGTAAGAATGGAGACCCTCAGAACCCAACATCCTCTAGAACTTGGCTCAAATTTGACTTTTCTAAAGAATTGCCATTGCTTATCTTGTCGCATTTTGTTAGATTTTTCACAAATCCATACACTGTTAACAGATCACTTTTGAATCTTTTGAAGTGCATTACATCTTTTAATCATGGAAAGATTTTTGATTTTGTTTTAAATGATACATCTGGACCAACTGAAACATTCTTTTATGAAATATTCACTTTTCTATGGGAATCATTAGAAGACTATTCATCGAAATACTATTGCGGAAGAGTGGTTGCTCCGATAGTAACACCAACATCCCATATTCTTTATTTATTTCGTTCATATGATAAAGTTATTGCAGATAACTTGGAGGAGTGGTACAAACAAGGCGCAAAGAATCCTATAAAGTTGGAAACTTTAGCTCTAAATATGGAGCTTTTCAAAGGATTTGTCATAGATTTGTACTCCATTCATAAGACAAGAAATCTTGAACATCGTGTTTTCCAAAAGCTTGAAACTTCAAAGTCTCATGAAATTAGCTAGCATTATGTAGATATTTATATTACAATTAACAAGGATATCATTGGTATCATTTTTTATTCGTAAGATCATTAATATGAGCAACATTAAAATCAGCTCGAGCTATAATATCATTCTATCTCGACAATAGTCTATAAAAATCTTTTTGTGAACAAACCCTATGAAATGACCATCTTCCAAGATACAAATGTATCGATTCCCTAACTTTGTGAAAATTGTTTCAACTAACGATAATGGAGAGTCAACATCTATCATTATTGGGTAGTACTCAATAATCTTGGTAAAATCACATAATTTTTCCAAAAGTATCATTGCAACATCTTCTTGACTCAAGTTACTTGTTTCCAAAATATGAGGTAAATCAACCTCCAACAAGTCAACAGTCAATACCGAAGATTCGCCCAATGATTCAATTTCAGATGAATTTCCCTTATGGTTGACCAACTTGATTTCAATATTATCAGATTCAACATCATATTCTTCACAAAACCTTGATATCTTGTCTAAAGCAAATTCTAATTCAGGAGCTGATATCATACCAACTAGGTTTCTTTCGTCTTTGACAATTGGAATACAACCATCAACCATCCCTTTCAATTGAAGTTCTATCAAAAGTACTCTTAATTCTGTAGCTTTTGCAGAGCTCCTATTTGTGACATCAATATAAATACTATCACCAATACCATGAATCAATTCTTTTAGATCAGTATATTTAGTAAAATCATGCAACTTTTTGTTAGCCAAAAATGGGAAATCATTCTTAAATATCAACAATTCATAAAGAGATCTTGGTTCAATTGCGTAAGCAACCCAATTTGCAACAGCAATACTTATTGAAATTGGTAAAACATAAGTATAACTGGATGTTAATTCAAAAATGATTGTTGATAAAGTGATATTCATTCTTGTAACCCCAGCCATAAAAGCACCTGCACTAATCATTGCGTAAATACCAAAATCAATACAAGGCGATGTGCCGTCACAGATAGTATTCAAAAAGAAAAACTTTGGATACAACATCTGGATATATTGAATTGACATGGAGAAGATTCTACCAAATAAAGCACCAACAACCATTGAAGGAACATAAATACCAGCAGGAACTTTCAATCCAAAAGTGATTGAAGTTAAAACAACTTTTATAAGAAAAGCAATTGACAACGTATAAAGTTCCTGTGGAATGTTACTGAAATCAATTGGACACAACCCTTTATCACCAGTATAATCACCAGATTGGAAACAAGGAGAGGCTAAATCATAGAGTAATTCAGTAATTGGTGATTTCGTATAAGGATTTGAAAATGTCAACAGCCCTGTTAAGCCAGCAATCAATAAAACTTCATTTATAGGATGACCTTTAATGAATTTCTTAGACCTAAACCATTTCCCCCACCAAACACTGAATTTACAAAACAATGCACCATAAATACCACCGGCAATACCAATCATAACGAAAAACACCAGCTCGATAGGTCTCCAGTCCGAAGTATAACTAACTTCAAAGGGAACTGTTTTTCCAGTCCCATAAGGATTCAAAAATCTCAAAAACAAAATACTCATGATAGCACAAAAAAAAGTTCTGAAAAGTTGATTTCCTGGTAGATAATAACTAACTTCTTCTAAACTGAACAACACACCACCTAGTGGAGACCCAAAAGCTAAAGCAACACCAGCACTTGCTGCGGCTGATAAGATTTGACGACGCTCTAGTCCACCATTGTTAAACTTTTTGAACATTCTGCAAAAAATATTACCAACACAAGTAGCCAAATGAACAAAGGGACCTTCTTTACCTAATGACATACCTGAAGCAATTGCAAAGATTAATGCTGTTGATTTAGCAATTAATGTATAGGTACCCAAAAATTTTCTAATGATAAAACCAGAAAGAATCGTTTTAACTTCAGGTACACCAGATCCGTATGCTGAATATATTGTTCTTTGTGGGGTATACTTCTCATTGTGCTGTCCATCAATCACAGCTAAAGGATTTGTTGTCTTTGTAGTTAGTGTAATTTTAACCGAGAAGAAGGCCAACAATATTGATAACAAAACATAGAGAATAAAATCCAACTCAACAATGTCATTAGCTGGTGTATATTGGAAAACTTCGGGCCATAATTGCCAATCAGAACATGAATTCAGTCTACCTGACAGATTTGTTGGGTCTTTCAAACAGCACATAGACTCACTCAAGAACCAATTTGATTTACAATAACCTCTTCTCAAATCAACCAAAGTGCTCTCAGCTCTATCAATCAGGTACGCCACTAGTGAAAATCCTAATGCTATCAAAGTAATAAGCACCCACCCTTGGGATTTATCAAGATGTCTTTCATAATTTCCTTTCCATCCTTTCAATTTATTCAACTGATGTTGCCTTTTGGATTCTTTGATAGTATCATTAACCCAATCTATTGAAGTAAAATCATCATAATAATTCCTACTCATTGGAACTTGCATATCTAGTAATGAAGAGTTATTCACGAGCAAGTCATCACCATCGTTATCAGCACTTCTAACTTTTTGTATACCAGCATCTGTAAACGCTCTATTCAGTTGTGGTCTTGTGTTGATACTATCGTAGTTGAAATGCGAATGTTCATACTTGGGGGTTGAAATCAATACTGGAGATCTAATGTTTTGATTTTGAGTGGAGCTAAGCAACGAATCTGAAGGAAAATGCTTTAGGAAACTATCATCGTTCCTAGAAGATTCCAGCCCTTTTGAGCTGATTATTTGGGTGATCTTTTGATCTGTCTTCGTCCTTCTCATGCTCGATAATGGTCTCAGTAAAGCAGTTGTTTCATTTGTTATGGAGGCTGTTGATGGCGTTCTGTTGATTGGGGCTTGACTCTTGGACCTTTTCTTGCCTCCAGGTGATTTGGGCTTCTGGATCCTCTTGCTTGGGTTATTTGACATGATGATTAACTCGGAACCTCTTAAGCTTCTACTTTAATCTATGTGGTTAAAAGGTAAAAGGTGAAGGTTAGTATGGACTTTATCGCGCCTGCTGCTTATCAACCGTTTCAAATTCGCGAACGATACATTTTACTACTTTTTGCTACAAATGATTAGAATAAACCAATTAAAATACAAGTTAAAATAACTATATACTTTTTTTCTTCTCTCTTTTGCATCATGGAAAAACCAAAACTCATAACTCAATGCAAATTATAACTAACCTCAAACTAAAATCATCAAACTCCTTATATAACCATAATAACAATAATAAAATCAACGTGATAAAACCTTAAACTTCAGCTTGTGATGTATAAAAATAAAACAATGATATAAAAATAAAATAAAAAATATTATAGTACAAATGGTGGTGATTCTTTTCACCCAACACGGATATCTCTTTTTCTTTGTTTTCCTTCTTATCTATGAAAATCCATAGAAACGACCTTTCTCAAGATCCTCAATTGTTGACTCAATGACTTCGTCATCATCATCATCTTCAACCAATTCGATAGTGGCATATTTGATTAGATCCCAACGTTTCCAAAAAGCACAAGCTTCATCAAATGAATCAGATTCAATAAAATCTTGTAAATAATATTTAGCCTTTAGCAAACGATCTTTCAACTGTTGTAATCTAACACTGCTTGGTTGAGAGCTAACTCTTCTTTTTAACTCAAAATCACTATCATATTCAGTCAAATTTGTAGATGCTGACTTATAACCATCATCAACTTCGTCATAAACATCATCATTATTATCTCCGTCTCCTTCCTCATCTTCATCTTCATTGTCATCTGAAAAGTTTAAAGAAGCTGGAGTATTTGGTAAATGGTCAACGTTATTATAAACTTCATCTTCAGCATAAGTTGTAGCATCACAATAGCGAGCCCAAGCTTCGTCAATTGCAGTTACCAAATAATCAAAACAACGGGATCTTGCAACTTGATCACAATCAATGCTTGATCTTCTGATTTGACTTTTAGAATCTCCAGAAAAACTTTGTGATGTTATAGAATCACGATGATGAGATTTCTTTAACTCTGGGACAACAGATTCAATTTCTTTCTTTAAACTCTTCTTTTCAACATCTGAGTTACCAGCTGTTGATGGAATGGATCTTCTAGAACTATGATGTTTCTTAGATTCTTCCTCTTCTTCATCTTCATCAACATCACTATATTTTGAAACAGCATCATTCAGCTTATTATCAGCAAAACTCAAAGAACGCTTTAATGAAAAAGCTCTCTTTCTTGCTCTTCTTTGGTTATTCATATAACAAGATTCGTCTTGAGAATTATCTTCATCTTCATCAGAAGATTCACTTGAACTATTGTCATTATAAAGAGCAGCAATAGTGGCAGAGTTTCTTCTAGACAACATTGGAGACAAACATATTTTTTTGTTTGGAGCAAAGCTAACACCACATTGGTTTTGTATACCGAATGATTTTGTTCTTTTTAAATTGTTTTCATTCTTGATGATTGAAGATAATGGAGCAGCCATATTGGTTTTGTGTATGAAAAACTATGAAAACGAAAACCGGCACACAAAAAAAGATCCTTCACGAAAAACTACCCGATTAGGAAAGTTGACTGAAATTCTCTTTTTTACTTGAAAGGGGGAACGAAAAAAAACCACTGAGCAGCACAATAAAGGCGTCAGTAATAACTATGAACACAAAAAAGCGGTGGCAAAAAAAAAGCTGCTAGATATTGGATTTGACAAATGGTACCAGACCTAAACCAACTGAGAACAGACTTTGATTGTGTCGAGTGCTTGTGTTTTTGTGTTGTTGTTGTTGTGTTGTAAAAATATCTCTCAAAAGTCGCCACTCAAATTTAAAAAAGTTGCGAAATTTTCAATATTTTGTACGGTGGTTTTGTGAAATTTTGTTGTTGGGAGAGGTTTAAAAAAAATTTAAAGACAGAAGTCAAAGTTTTTTTAAATGAATTTTCACGATCGCTGGAATTTTTGAAAATTGGGGGCTCAACTCGCGATCTGATTGGCTGAAATTTTCAAAATTCCACGGCAACCAGAGCGGGTGACCCCCTACGTGCCGGTAGGAGCAGCACAGGTTGCTGGGAGGAACCTATTTTGCGAAAAACACAGCACTTCCAAAGAGAAAAGAGAAGAACAAATTTAAGCAAGCATTTTTAACACTTTTATATAGTAACTATAACATGAAATTTTAACAGCATATATTTCAAGTATTTGGCTATCTACTCATCTACTTTTTATTGTCTGCTCACTATTCAAATGTTCTGTTTTACAGTGTTGAAATTGTGGTGGCGACTTTCGTTCACGCCCCCTTTTTTTTGTACCTTCTGGCCAACTGGCAAATTTGGAAACTCATTTTTTTGCGCGATCTCAACCAAAAACGGAAGTCTTACGTTTTGACATCTACCTAATTTGTCATTTTGAATTGAACAAATCCGTTGCAAACTAAGAATCCAAAGTGATGTTACTGAATTATTTTCTTTAACCTTGGAATCATCAAGCGTTTGTGTTTATCTGCGAAAAGCGTGTTATTTGGTGTCAATGTATCTTTCGGTATAGAAGAATATTGCCATGGTAATTTACGTTGTGTAGAATCATGGCATCGCGATTTTATGAGAGGAAAAAAAAATCTTTTCAGATCTTTAAAAACTTTACCCACAACAACAATAAGATCTAAACAAGTCAAGTTCCAAGGTCCAACCCATAATTTCCAAATAGCCAATCTCAAGGAATTCGATTCTGTCAGTTGACTGAATCCAGTTGGGAACAAAATTGGGCAACTTCATTGATATTTCCTTGATGCTATTGTCCCCATCGCATGTCTTAAGTTGATCGATTCAGTTGAAATTATATTTCAGCAAATATATCGTTTTCAATGTGTCTTTATGCGAAGAATGAACCTTCTTGATGAGCTTCATGATATGTTTTATATCATATTGCTGTACTATTTTCCAAGATCAATCAAATAAAAAAATCCAATGGTTCTTAATATAGTTTGATGTTTCTAATTTGTTGATTGTGTTTTACAATTGATTGACTGGTATTTATGATATCAAGCGTTATAAATGTTTTGAACCATTTGGAATTGAATTAATCGTTATGAATGGCTGCTTTTGAGCATTTATCTAACCGCTCATGATTAGTTTGGTTGATCTACAATTTTTATGTTGTATAACGGTTTTTGTATAGGATCGACAATTGACTACAAGATGTTTTTCAACAGAACTACATCAATCCAAAAAAGCAATGAGGTATGTTATTGGAAACTATGGTATAAATCAATCAAACGGTATAGATAATAAAAACTTGAAACAATCATTAAAATAAATATAAAAACCATACACTTTTCATAGCTGGACAACAAATTAATAGAGAATGACAAAACCACTATTGCTTGACACGACTATTCAGACTATCATCTCGTAATTTTACTCATAGGCCTTATCAAATAGAACCATAGTTACCTCCATTATTTGCCCCAGGATAAGTTGGACCATCATAACTTGAATGTTCTTCATATGGGTATTGACTAATGATATAGAGAGCATGTAATAAACCAGGAATGAACCCAAGGATTAACAATAAGATATTAATCCAAACTAATCAAATTGTTAGATAAATGGAATCAAGGATGGCAATAATTCTCAGCTACTTACAATCAGCTGAAAAGAACCCTCTTTTAATAAAGACAGGAACAGGTGGCAATAAAATTGCAATAACGACTAAAAACCAATCTTTTGCATGCATTTTTCTTCTTGTTTTAATTGAGTTTTAATTTAAAACGATAAGGATAGTTAGATCAAAAGATGTCAAAGTTATTGATCAAACTATTTTTTGATATAGCAAGCAAATGATCATTTTGGCACAAAGAGATTCTGCTTTGTAAGCCTCCCTTATATTCTTACCTAATCACCGCGAATGTGTTTTCTCGCGAAAATTTTCGGTATCTCAAAAAAAAAGATTTTCCGCGATTTATATTTTCCGGCCTTTGCCGCTATGAAAATATCGAAAAGAGAAATACTGGACCAATCAAACGCCCAGAAAAGGTCATAACTAGCAATAGTACGTTCTCTGGCTGATTTGATACTGGTTATTTCAACTCATAGTCTGTGTATATTGTGGTATCTTCTATCTAATGTCCAATCTTTGTATCTCATTGATGTTCCCCATTACATTACCCAATCTAGTAATGTCGATCAAAACTCAGGAACCAGTTGTCTTTTCTTTTTGACTCAGCTCGTTACGAAAAATTAATGTTCCTTGAACGCGTTAAAATTAATAATTTTCAAAGGGTTTCTTTATCGCAAGACTACAGTACACCTAGATACTGGAACATAGAGCACGTTTTCAAATAACCTGAACAATTGTTCGTGATTTTGAGGGCGTTTTAGACTGGTCATATCTTCTTTTTATGACCTGTGCTAAGGGTGTTCTTTGTTGCAAATACGTTCAAACTTCGCGAGTCATGAGTTTGTCTACGCCCCTATACAGTGGTCCTTTCGAAGCGGTCTACATGACACAAATTTAAAGGTTGAAACCCAGCTAGCTTGTGTCCATGAACAGGATCAAAAGAGTACTTGGAGGGTAAAAATGTGATATATAACCAACTACGCCGTAGTCATTGACTGGTAGTACTCATGATAAGCTGACAAGCTTCTTCTTTATAACACAACTTTCTAAGGGCAATTTAGTTGCTCTAGTCCATGATTGGGTATGTAGTATTTAATTATAACTAGATGATGATGTTATTGAACTTCAAAGATTTTAGATTCGAATTGAATTGAAACGCTAATCGTGAGAAAGAGTTGGAATTTGCGCTTTGTTACATTTACGTTAGTGTGATAACCAAGAAATGACACAATAATTCCCATAGTTCATGAAGGTTTTGCAAAGAAGACAGAAAAGTACAATTACAAGATCCACTGGATTGATAATTTTGATAGAAGTTCTGACAAAACCAGCTGATAACGAGCTCCAGTATAAGCGAGTTTAAAAAAACTAGTTTGCTATGAGACTGCGTCATAAGAATCTTCTTGTGAATGTGAAGTATACTAGCCCATGACATTCCCACCCAAAGCTCTGCCCTCAAAGCCCACGATCTTCTCATTCCCTTGTGTTCACCATAAGCCTGGTTCTTTGGGTATGTGGTTCTTGATGTAGTTTCTGTTATTTCCCTTTCCAGCCATTCCTCTCTATCTCAAGGGCAGTGCCTTTGCCAAAGTCACGTCTTGCGCAAAAAAAAAAGAAAAGGTTCTAGACCGTCCACTATCAGGAGCGTGCGCCAACCGTCCCTGGTTTGGGCATGCCCTGGTCTATGAGAGAAACAAAGTGGGCACAAATACACTACAGAGATTTAATTTTAGAACATGAAATTCGCAATAGGCCAAATGTGAGATATAGCACAGCAGCTAGAAAATAAGCTACAAGCTCAACCTTCAAAACTTCAAAACTTCAACCTACACAAAAAATGAGAATTTGAAAAGTTTTCTGCTCAAATCTGTCACGCTGCTTTGTGGTGGCAGCGTCCAAATGCGTCCATTATCACTTCCGTTTTGGGAAGTCCCAAACACGTTAAAAATTCTTCTCAGCGCGAACAAAAAAGAAAGTTTAAAATTTTTCCACAGAAATTTTTTTTTAAATTTTTTTCTGCTGCGGATCCTTTGAATCCATTTTTGCATATAAATATTTCATCAAATCCAACTTTTCCTTTTCCTTCTTTACAACTTTTTTTCCTTTCTTCATCTAATACATTATAGACTATTAACAAACACACAACAAAAATGCAATTCAAAACTGTCGTCGTCGCTTTAGCCTCTGCTGCTATTGTCTCAGCTCAAAACGCTACCAACGCTACTGGTCACAATGGTACTAACGGTACCAACGGTACTTCATCAGTCTCAACCGCTGGTGCTGCTTCAAACGCTATGGGTGCTGGTGTTTTCGGTGCTGCTGTCGCTGCTGGTGTTGCTTTCTTATTCTAAGATGCTTTAAGTTTTTTAATACCATTATATTAAGTTTATTAGTCATTTTAAAATAAAGGAAAAATAATTACCACACAAAAAATATTTGTTTCAGCACATCATAGTTTTCATCACATTCATAATTTTAATCTAATACAAAATGAAGTTTTTGTTTTAATTAATTGGTTTTTTTATCACAGTTCGTTTTGAGTTTTTTTTAATATCGGTTGTATTTTTATAAGATTTTTTTTATATTACACTTATTGTATTTATTACAGCAGGCTCTATTTTAATAGATATAATATTTAATCCTTTTAGATGCTGTTTGTAAGACTTAATCTCTATTAAAAGTTCTCTTTCTTTGTTAACAATAGCTGAGAGGTTTGTGCTTTGACGTGGTTCAGCGCTCAGCAGGTTATCTCAACACTACACTAAATTAGATAATTTACGGTATCTCAAAAGAAAAGGAATTATATAATTGCTATTGATGAGTAGTTTCAGTGTGAAGTTTATGCTTGAACCAGCTTTTTAAACTTTTGTAGCATCTTCTTTGCTGTTCTAACTTCAACCTTCATGATAAATCTCACCAAAACTTTTCACAAGGTTTTTGTTGTTTCAAAATGAGACGATAGCTTTTTTCTCAAAAGAAAATGAAAAGCTCCGAAACAGGAAATGCCTGCCCGAAATGGATGTTTACCTTTTGCTGTTTTTGGTGCCAGTTGGCAGAGAATGTATCCAGATTCGGTAATAGAATTTGGTCTGTGGGGCTGTGGCGGTGGTGCTATTTTACGCCAAAATGCCATGAGATTTCCCCTTTCGAGCTCTCCTTTTGCGCAAATTCTTGATCAAGCACCAAATTTTCAACTTCAACACTTTTAAAATGATACATGTACATAGAGAATGGTTTCATGGTTAGCTGCCAATCAAGGAGATTCGAGATGATTTGTTTGAATTTGTTGATCCACTAAAAAAGAGATCGCAATTTGAACTTTGAGCTACATATTTTTGGCTCAGTTCGAATCGATTTTGGAGAATTTGGTACCCCTTGCAGGAATTTGTACTAAGCGAATCGAATCGAATGAGACCGTTGGACAAAGTGTAAAGAAATACGCTGGATCTTGGGAATTTGAACAAAGAATGAGTAGATTCTTGTTTAGCATTCACATTCACATTCTTGATTATCTGGTAGTTCTTTCAAAGCTTTGAAATTATACGCGTAAAATGATTGACTGATGGATTTGAAATGTTTAATTCGAGGTCCCGTGAATGCCTTTAACGTGTACTTTGAGACAGTAGTGCCAATATTAAACAAATGTCGAAGGCTCAATATTTAAATCTTTGTAATTCTACTGGCCGAAGTTCATCTATTCTTCATCTTTATCTTTAAAGATTCGCGTACTGTTCAACCAGATTTCTGAACCTATTTTTAACGTCAAAATTGTGGTTCTCGAACAAATTCTGATCAAGTGAGTGAAAAAAAAACATAGATCAAAAAAATAGATCAACAAAATCTAAAAAAACACGAACCCAAATCCCATTCAACAAACTGATAGAGCGGTTAGCTTGGAAGAACGTTATCCTAATAGCTTCTTGGTCCTCATCATTTTATTCTCCTGGGCGCTCGGTTAGCTGGTGAGAAGAAACGGTTCCAATAGTTCAGGTACCTGATCCAACAGAGGTGAACTAGTATGATCTACTGATCTAGAGCAAGAAAATCAAGTACAAGAGAAGGATTCAATAGAAGAGTATGGGTCAAGTTGGTAGTATAGACAAAGCATCTTTCAAACCACCAATAGCCACTTCTAATGGGCTACTACTTAGGAAAATACATCTAATCAATGACTCCAAAATAATAAACGTTGATAATGATAATGATAATGATAATGATAATCAAGGTTTGATTCAACTTCCAAAATCGCCAATATCTGAGTTCATTCAAAATGATAAACAAGATGAATTTCCCTTTTTATTGAAATGTTCAAATAAAGGTGATGTATTGTTCAAATTTGGTATTTCAAATGAATTATTATCAGATTTTAATCAAATGAATACTTTACAGAACTTCACAATCTTTAACAACTTGAAGATTATGATTATTAGTAATGATGGTTCCAAGATTTTGAAAGATGAAATAATATCAAGAGTTGTTCAAATTACAAATAAAGATCAACCAACAAAAGAAAATAATGTGATCAGTATAAACCCTTTAAGTAATCAATTTGAAATTAAATTGAATCTAAATAAATTGAATGGGTTACAAGGGAAAATCTATATCAAATTAATGGGGAACAATGAAGAAATTTTCAAAGCTATGGTTTATCTTGTTAGTGATGATGAAAAGGATGAATCACAAGTCACTCCTGAGACCAATGAATTGAAAACTCAACAAGTCAACAACGAGTTTCAAGATCCACAATTTGAGTTCATTAGTGATGGTCCAGCTTTCAAAAACAGTTTGGTAGAAGCTGAAGAAAAGTTGATTGGTTTTAGAAATTTAGTGAAAAATGTTATCAAAAAATCACAAGCTTTAGAGGAGTCTGAAAGGAACTTGGCCATTACAAGATCCAATCTATGCTCTTCATTATCTGACCTTAACAATTTTTCTTCAAACATTGAACATCCCTCTTTGAAAGATTTAATCAACAATATGATACCAATTTTAACTGAAAAGTCAACACAAAACATTAATGATGCAAATTTGGTCCTGAAAAACTTAACAACACCGTTTTTACTTTATTATAATTCAGATATAAAATCTCTACCAATCAAAAAGAAACTATATCAAAATCAATCAAAAGATTTTTATTCATGGATGTCAAACTTCAATAATAATCCTCAAAATGAACAACTTCAACAGCAACAACATTTTGAGAAAAGATTGAATTTTGAGAAAGAAAGATTAGACTACTTCAATTTTTTAAATGAGTACAGAAATGGTTATTTGATTAGAAATTTAATTCATAATCTTGCTATTCTTTATCAAAAAATCACAAATGTTTCAAGTCATGATGAGACAATTTCTAAAGCTTTTTTTTATTATGAAAATTTTGCAAATTATCAAAAAGATCAATCACATTTCAGATCAAAATTATTATCAGTTTCAGATTATCAAGAGTTATCTCAATTAATCTCTACACCAACCCCTTTGACAAGTTCGTCCACCATTTCAAGTCGTCCAAAACCAATCTCTAAGGATTCTTCAAAGGTTTTCAAAGATGGTATGATATATTCATTAGGTGGTAAGCCGGAGAAGAGTGGATGGAATAAACATTATGTTGTTTTGAATAATAATATTCTAAGTGAATTTGATATCAATGAAGCTACTCATGTGAAGGTTCCTAGATCTGACCCTTTGGATTTAACATTTTCATGTATCAAGAAAATTGATAATATTTCAAAAAGAAAATATTGTTTTGAAATCATAACCCCATTAAATTTGAAGAAAATTTATCAAGCTGAGTCGGAACAAGAAAGAGAATCTTGGCTTAAGAGTTTGAATGTTGCAATTGCATTGAAAGCTTCTCAAAATAATCAGTTCACTAGGCCAAAATCAATTCAAAGATCAATGAGTTCAGTATCAAGATCCAAAGATGATGCCAATTTGTTGATGAATAAGAATAAAAGAAGCTCGTCTTATAGAAAATCTTCTTATAATCCACCAAGCTCTTCAGAAAATTTATCATCATCTACACCTTTGGAAGTTGTACAAGATGTTGATCAAAGTAATAATGCTTGTTGTGATTGTGGGTCAATTAAAAATGTTGATTGGATTTCAATAAATTTGTTAATTGTGGTTTGTATTGATTGTTCGGGTGTTCATAGATCAATGGGCACTCATATTTCCAAAATTAGATCTTTAACTTTAGATACTAAATCATTTCAATCCAAAGAAGCACTTGAATTGTTATATCATGTCTCAAATAATTTTGCAAATTCATATTGGGAAGGGACCATCTTAATCAAAGACAAGATTACACCATTGAGTAGTGCTGGGCAAAGAAGATCATTCATTCTGGATAAATACCAGAACAGAAAATTTCTGCTCAAAGAACCCAATTTTAAACCAAATGATGGATTAATTAAAGGTATACATACTTCAAATATTCCATTGATTTTGAAGTCGTTAGCAATGGGTGCTAATGTTAAGATGACAGTTATCAAAGCATTAGGTTCGAATAAAGTTGAGTTATCATTATTTGAATACTCATTAACCAGGTTCCATGGAAATCAGGATGATCCTATTTTTGATGTATCTACAATTCTATTATTAAACAATACTCCATGTGGTGAAAAGATTTCAACCAATTTACCTTTAGGTCCAAAGCAACTTGAATTTTGGAAATCAAAAATTGATCAATATCATTCTTCACCAATAACGACACAACCACAATCAACAATACCAAATAAACCAACAGCAGCAAATTCTTCTTCATCAATGTCAAGATCAAGATCAATTAGAAAAAGCTTAAGCTTAAAACATATTACAGACAAAGGGGAAAAGAAGGAGAAACAACCAAAAGATAGAACTAATAGAACAAGCAGACTCAGATTCCCCAAATTGAAATGAAACGCTTACAAAAACTAACGATTTTATAATTAAATATTAATAGACTATGACCTCACGACACTTTAAACACACGTACAAACTCGGTCTCTATTCAATTGTGGTTCTGTGGTTTGTGCATCTTTGTGGTTTCGCGAAATCTTGGGTATGAGAAAATCCGGTTCCACTCATCTTTTCAACAATAAACCAAGTACCAGACAAAATAGTATCCTCAATTTCAGTCAATTGTCACAGCTGCTACCCTTTTATCGTTTGTTGCTCTTATCCAGCTTCTTTCACCTGTTATTTGCTTTGCTGCTTGAATTGTGCCTTGTCTATCTCCCCTTGCTCAAAAGTTGACTAAGCTATATCAAGACTCAATATTTGCAGATACAAATCTATGTTTTTTTTGTCGCTTTGAAAATATAATTATGGGATTAGAAGACACTATTGAGCCTACAGAATTGTATGAAATTGAAGAATGTGTTGGTAGAGGAAATTTTGGTGATGTTTATAAAGCGTAAGATTTGATACCCATATTGTTTTCAATAAAATTATGTTCCATTTTGAGGCGTTCATGTTTTTACATTATTGAAACTAACTATTACTACCAGTGTTGATAAGAAATCATCCAAAGTTGTTGCTATTAAGGTTGTTAATTTAGAAGAAACAGATGATGAAATTGATGTATTAGTTCAAGAGATTTCATTCTTGTCTCAGTTGAGATCAAATTATATCACAAACTATTATCAAACGTTTGTTAGAGATGTATGCATGTGGATTGTTATGGAATATTGTGGTGGTGGTTCTTGTGCTGACTTGTTAAAATGCCACAAGTTCTTGAATGAAGATGTTGTTTGTTTTATTGTTCGTGAAACTTTGAAAGGATTAGAGTATTTACATTCGGAAAGGAAGATCCATAGAGACATAAAAGCTGCAAATATCTTGTTAACATCAAGTGGGAATGTCAAATTAGCAGATTTTGGAGTCTCTGGTCAAATAACTGCAACTCATGTTAGAAAAGATACTTTTGTCGGAACCCCATTTTGGATGGCACCTGAAATCATTACACGTAAAACAGGCTATAATGAAAAAGTTGATATTTGGTCTTTAGGTATAACCACAATTGAGTTAGTCACTGGGTCTCCGCCTTATTCTGATCATGAACCAATGAAGATTTTATTTCAAATTCCAAAGAATCCTGCTCCTTTATTAACAGGTTCCACATATAGTGATTACTTAAAGGAATTTGTTAGATTTTGTTTGATTAAGAACCCATCACATAGACCATCAGCTTCAATCTTGTTGAAAACAAAGTTCATCAGGCAATGCAGAAGACATATCAATTTGGTTCCATTGATACAACAGAAGGATAAATGGATGCAAACACATAGACCAAATGCTAAGAAACCAAGATATCATATTGACGATAAATTGTATACAAAGAGTGAAGCAAGTTTTAAATGGAATTTCACAAACACCAAAAGACAAAAACGTGCATCACATACAAATTCAGATCTTGAAAATATCTATAAAGAGTTGATGGAATCTAGTCGTCCTAATAGCGCTGGTGATTCCACAGTTGATGAAATAAGTCCAGTGACTTGTGTTGACTCTTCAGAAACTGATTTAACTTCACCAGAGTACAATAAAGAGGAAGAGAATGGGCAAAAAGGTACATTTAGTGATCTTGATGATGATGATACACGCTATAGTGAGGACAATAGTGGAATTAATGAAACTGCAATCATTCACAAAGTGCATCAAAATGTTGATGAAGCAGCCAAAGTTAGTGTCATTAAATCTCAGGTCGATATCTATGAAGACCAAGCAGATAAACTACAACAAATTGACTATTTAAATGAAGTTGTTTTGCATTGCTTCAAAAGAGTTCATCATAGGGCGAAGACATCAGATACCAAAGATGCTGTTTCGAATCTTGGAAAGCAGTTTGTTTTAGCTGAAAGGACCCAGCCTGGATTGGCTGAAGCATTATCGGAGGAGATTTGGTTAAGAATGTGTCGCTTAAGAGGTGATTCTAACTCTTTAATTTGAGTTCTCATTATTGTATAGTTCTATGTACTTTTGTTAATTGATTATTTCTTCATGTTTCGCGAAACCGTGTACTACAGTATACATAACATCTCGCCTAGAAGAACTACAATCAAACTAAATTAGAGGAAATAAACTAGAAATCTTCTTTATGGAATGGAGATTTGTCAGTGGGTCATTTTCTTGAAGTTAGTTATGGCGTTTCACAAGGGATCTCAAATTCTGAAAAGCCTCGCGTAAATTACGACTGTCACAAAAACAAAAGTTGAACCACAAAAAGCATACAGACGACAAGTTGTTTCTCACTACTCATTTCAGTCTATTGATAACCATCATAGATAAAAGAAAACAAGTTTCCATAAAATCAAACATGAAAGTTACAAATTTGATCAAAAGCTCATTCTTTATTGGGTTAGGATTAACTGCTGTTACTTCAACCAACTCCAAAAATTCCAAACAACCAGCACCATTGAACAAAAATGGTTTGTGTTTATACTTTCCATCATTATCCATTTGTCAATGTCTAACATGAATATAGCTCAAGTCAATGAAGCTGTTGATGATGATGGTGAAGAATTTGAATATGAAAGCTCCATTCCAACCCAATGTAGTCAAGGTGATTATCATATCAGTTCAAGTACTCAATTGGAACAATTGTATGAATGTGATGATATTGTTGGTTCTGTTATCATTAATAACTATCAAGGTCCAACTATTGATACTGGTGACATCAAAACCATTTCAGGTGATTTTATTGTTTCAAATGCTTCAAATTTGGTTAGAATAAACATTCCAAAATTGGCTGTTATTGGTGGTAGATTTTCATTGAGTGAATTGACAAGTTTAACATCTGTTCATGCACCTACATTAACTGATGTTGGGTCAATTAATTGGAATGTTTTGCCAATTTTAAGTACTGTTAGTTTTGATAATGGTGTTAAGAAAATCAAAAGTATAACAATTTCTGATACTTCTTTGATTGGATTTTCCGGATTTGATATTGATTATTTGGATACTTTGAACATCAACAATAATAGATTTTTGGAAAGTATAAATGCCAATTTAAAAGGTGTTAAAGAGAAATTGACCATTAGTGCTAATGCTAAAAACATTTTGGTTTCATTGCCAAATTTAGAGTGGGCCAATAATATCACTATTAGAGATGTTTCATCGATTAATTTATCAAATATTGAAAGAGTTAATGCATCATTTGAATTGATTGATAATAATTTCCAAGCTGTGAAATTTCCAAAATTATCAAATGTTGGTGGTACTTTAAGTCTTATTGAAAATTATAATTTGAAAGAAGTTGAATTCCCAAATATTAATGAAATTGGTGGTGGATTGATGGTTGTTAATAATACCCAACTTTCCAAAATTAATTTTTTCCCTAAATTGATGTCAATTGGTGGAGCTATTGAATTCTATGGTGATTTTAAAGATACCACTTTCAATAAGTTAAGATTGGTTAAAGGAAGTGCCATTATTCATAGTAAATCTGATGCATTAGATTGTGGTAAATGGACTCGTGGATCTGAAGAAAATAGTGGGTCAATTGTTAGAGGTGGTAAAATCAGTTGTATTGCAGGTTCGAAGCAACAAGTTGTTAAATTTGATCAAGAAGGTGAAATTATTGATGAAGATATTTCCATAATTGATGATGAAAATAAGAAGGATAGAACAAATTTCCAAAACAGTGCATCTAATTTAAAATTTATGAATCTTGGATATAAAGAATTTTTATTATTATCGATTCTGATGATTGTTGTGTTGAACTGATTTTGAATCTTGATTGCTATAATGGATACGTATTTACTGAGTCATGGTTGATTGATTTTGCAGTTCATTCTTTGAATAAACATCTGATGGTTGGTGTAGATGTAATCAAAATGGCTTCATTAATACTTTGAAATAAATTTTTCACGTGACTACTCGCGAAATACCATTACATAATTAATTATGTAATTATGTGTGTCCCGTTCTCAATCGTAATCTTTGAAAATCTCCGACGGTTTAAATGAAAACCATAAACAACAACAATAACAACAATTGAACTCTTTCTTCAGCTGGTCCTAAGAAGAATACAAATGTCATCAGATGCTTCAAAGCGTAAGCTAAGTGATACTTCATCATCATCAGTCGGGGTAGTACCTCAAAAACGGAAAAGAAAGACATTTAGTTGTACATCATGTCGAAAATTGAAAACAAGATGTGATTTTGAACCTCAATTTGGGAAATGTCATCGTTGTAATGTTTTAAAATTGGATTGTTCATTAACTTATGAGCGTCGTGATGAAATAGAGTCTGCAGTATTGGAACAAGAGGAGAATAACAATAATGATGATGATGGTGGTGGTGGTGATCTTGGTAAAGGTAAAACCGGGGTTATTAAGAATGATACCATTCAAGATATACATGATATCAAGACTAAACTGGATAAGCTATATGATGTTTTAGTATTGGATAAACCTATCAAGGAGGCACCTAAACATGGTAATTCAGATTATGAATATTTCAAAGGAATGAAGAGTAAAGTCAATTATTTGGATAATTCTATTAATAATGCTCCATGGAATGTTATCAACAGGATTGATTTTAAATTATTTAAAAAATTCAAAAAATATGAATTTTTTGAAAAATTATGTAAAGAGGAATTTTTACAAGGATTTTATTTTGAGAATCAAGATTTTTGTTTAAAATTGGCAAATAATTTTTTAACAAAAGCTCATTTTTGGATAATACCTGGTGGATTAACTAAGATTGATTCAAATTATATTTTAAAGAATCCATTCATAAGTTCAGTTTTCATTTTGATAAGTTTAAATTTTGATCATCAAGAAATTATCAAGACTTTGAATGAAGATGAATTACAGAAAAAATTATTTTGGATAGTGAGGAAATTATTAGGTTTATCAATGACAATTACACCATTAAGTGATCATGATATTGAAGCTATATTATATTGTTCAATTTATAATATAGCTAGATCCAAATCTGAACAACAACCTCAGTTGGATAATTGGAATGTTTCGGGGAATGGTATAAAGCAAATGATGATTTTAACGAGGTTCAATGAATTGGAGAAAAGGGTAAAACAATTCAAAGTTTTCGATCTTGTTGATTTATTTCATTTAAGAATCTGGAATTCTTTATGTATAAGTCATATTCAAAATAGTATTGGTATGGGTAGACCATTTGTTATGAGTGAAGATTATTTTAAGATTTGTGAATTAATTTTACAATATCCTCAAATTAATATTGAAGATCAAGTTAGATTCGCAGAATTACAAATATCCAAGAAATGTTTTGATATGTTTTATGAATCTGATTTAATGTTGGAAGTTATTAGATTAGATCAATTTATTATTGTTGATGATGAATTTAAAGTCATTGAATTGGCCGGGTTGAAAGAATGGTTTCATCAAAATGAAGTGTTAATTGATCAAGATATTTCTAATGTATTGATGTTTTGTTATGAATTTTATCATATTATATTAACTAAAAGAATAATAAGTTCATTTGGTAGTGGACAAGGACATCATGATAATGATTTCAGAGTGGTTAAATTTCAAAAAATTGGATTAAACAGTATTATTTATTATTCACATGGAATTATCAATAGATTTTTAAAATTGAAAAGTTTTTTAATTAAAGGTTCACCAAATTTCATATTGAATTTGATTATCTATACAAGTTTAACATTATATGAGAATTTGAATCAAATGCAATTACAAACCAAGAATTTATCAATTAATTTAATAACAAAGATCTACTGGAGATTGAATCAGATTGGAGAAATGAAGAACGATGCAACGGATACGGTTGGGAAGATCATAAAGAACTTGGTGCTTGATAATTTAGGGCCTACAGATCCAAGCAGTACAGTTAATATCAACAGCAACAGTGGTGGTGATAAGTTTGGGAAGTTGGTTATTGAAGAGGATCAAGAGTTTGAATATGAGCCATTGCACGATGATGTGAACCATGGGTACAGTAATGATTACAATGTGTTTAGGAATCAACAACAGCAGATGAGTTCATTGAGGTCCACCACGAGTACTACAGGATCGGTTACTGAACAGAATAATGGGTTGTTTGAGATCCCAGACGTTGGCAAGTTCGATACGTTCGAGGACTTTTTCAGGGACATGTTTACTCAGCACGGAGTGAGCCAGTGATGGGATATACACGTGGAATAACTATCATGATCGGTATAATATTGATATTTGTAGCACATGGCTGAATTAAGCGATGAATTAATGGAGTGCAGAGGACCCTTTGAATAGTGAAATGACACTAAAAAGATCAGAGAACAGGGTCTTTTAGTACAATTATACCATAATCACATAATACCTTATACTACTCTAATCAATTGTACCCTTATACCATTCTCTACACTCTCTTAATCCTACAATATCCCAATTCTCCACGTGCTCATACCCTTTCCAAGCTTTTCTCTTGGAGAGTAGTGCGTGTACCGTTCAGATTCCATTTCTCTGGAGATTCAAAACACCGGAAAACGAAGGACATCAACAAGAACAAGAACAATTGAATAAAACCAATTGAATAAAGAGATGGATTATCTTCAATTGGTGTTATTATGGTGGTTTAATGGCTTATTCCACTCTTTCCAACCATCTTGAAAGCCCCATGGACACCCACGCCCATCTCGCTGATACCTCAATCCAGTAATACCAATTATACCTTCTTTAGGCAATATTAACTGAAGAGTCTTGGTACTTCTTGGTAAAATACACCAAAACAATCACGATGTTCAATCGTATAAAGGCATCTTCAAAATTAAACCACACGAGGGTGGAATAACGAATCGGTGAGGTATTCGATCTTTGCAACCACAATTGTTCCAATGATGAACAGAAAAACTATAAATACCCATTAAAAGACCCTTTGGAGTCCATCAATTCCATTTTTATATTCATCAACTCATCTTTCAATACCCAATTCCAACTATGAGACTCTCAACTGCTGTTCTTCAATTAATTTTTGCTGCTATTATCGCTGCTTTACCAATCAAATATGATACTAAAAAAAACATCATCTTTTTAGTCTCTGATGGGTTAGGTCCTTCAGGTATCACTGCTGCTAGACAATTTAAGCAAACTAGAGATAATTTAACCGATGAACAAGCCGTTTTAGACTTGGAACAATACTTAATTGGTACTGTTAGAACTAAATCTTCTTCTCAATTGATCACTGATTCAGCTGCTGCAGGTTCAGCTTTTGCCGCTGGTCACAAGACTTATAACGGTGCCATCTCTGTTGATCCAAATGGTAAACCAGTTGGTACTTTCTATGAAGGTGCTAAATTGAAAAACTATAAAACAGGTATCGTTTCAACTACTTTTGTTCAAGATGCTACAATTTGTACTCCAAATACTCATGTTGCCTCAAGAAAATTCTTGGATTTAGTTGCTGAACAACAATTAGGTTATGGTCATCCTTTAGGTCAAACCATTGATATTGTTATTGGTGGTGGTCGTGAATATTTACATGGTGTTAACCAAACCCAATATGGTTCAAAGGGTAAAAGAAAAGATGGTGTTGATTTAATTGAAAAAGCCGTTTCTGATGGTTGGACTTATGTTGGTGATAGAAAATCATTTGATGAATTGAATTTAGGTCAAGGTTCAGAAGCTCCAAAATTACCATTGTTGGGTATCTTTGGTGCTAATTCTTTACCATATGAAATTGATAGAAATGCTTCTGAAGTTCCATCTTTAAGAGAAACTTCCTTATTAGCTTTAAACACTTTGATTAAAGCCACTGAAGATTTTGAAGAAGGTTTTGTCTTATTATTAGAAGGTGCTAGAATCGATCATGCTGCTCATGCAAATGATCCAGTTGCTCATGCAAGAGATACTTTAGAATTTGATGAAACTTGGAAAGCTGTTATTGATAGAGTCTCCTCTTTAGACACTGAAACCATTGTTGTTTCTACTTCTGATCATGAAACTGGTGCTTATGGTTTAGGTATTGATGGTATTTATGATTGGTATCCAGAATATTTATTAAATGCAACCATTTCCACTGAAAAAGCTGTCCAATTATTTAAAGCTTATAAAGGTGATGATAAAGAAGCTTACTTGAAAAATGAAATCTTGGCCAACAAATTAGTTTTAACTAATGTTTCAGATGCTGATATTAAATCATTAGTCCATTCTGATGATTTACAAGTTGATATTGCTCATATCATTTCCAAACAAGCTAATGTTGGTTGGACTACCGTCGCACATTCTGCAGTTGATGTTCCATTATTTGCTTATTCAAACTCAAAAGAAGCTTATAATGAAGTCTTAGCTAACTTTGGTTCTTCAATTGAAAACATTGAAATTCCAAAATTCTTTGCTTCATACTTGGGTGTTGATTTAGATGAAGTTACTGAAAAGATTCAAGGTATTAAAACTACTATTGAATAAGTCATAAGCTTGCTACCCCCTTTTTTTCAATTCTTTAAAACGTTATTTAGAAACTCATTGACTTCATGAGCTTTCCCTCTTATTATTATTAAAATCCTTTTATAGATTAAAATTCATGTTCATTTTTGTATCAATTTTTTATCTCCGTAAACCGTTATGCAAAAAATGGAAAGTTCGCCGAAAGGAAAAATGAAAAAAGAAATTCATCATGTAAAAAAATCTACGTTTCTGAAAAATTGAATCTTTTTCTTCTCCAGATCTTGGACAGTTCTTCCTGAAATTCAAGCTGTATATTCATAAGATTAATTAAAATGGGGTTCGATGATAAAAAAGGTATGGACATTGCCTATGAAGAGGCTGTCAAAGGTATGTTTCATCCAACTATTTGTACAAAACAATAAACTCATGTGATTATGGCTTAGATCTGGGAAAGTCCGACGATGATGTTGTATTTGTGTACCTTTTTTTTGCAAAAGGGGTCCTTGTGAACTAACTCATTATTTCAAAAAGGTTATGAAGAAGGTGGTGTTCCAATTGGTAAGTTGATTCGCAATACCCAGAATGTAATATAATACTAACCATTTCAAAGGTGGTTGTTTAATTAAAGAAGATGGTACTGTCTTAGGATCTGGTCATAATATGAGATTTCAAAAAGATTCAGCAACTTTACATGGTGAAATCTCAACTTTAGAAAATTGTGGTAGACTAAAAGGTAATGTCTATAAAGACTGTACTGTAAGTATATCCTGAATTGGTTCATGTTTCTTTTCTTTATACTAATTTTATTTATAAAAGATGTACACCACATTATCCCCATGTGATATGTGTACTGGTGCTATTATTATGTATGGTATCAAAAGAGTCGTTATGGGAGAAAATGATACTTTTGTCGGTGGTGAGGATTACTTGAGACAAAGAGGTATTGAAGTTGTCAATTTGAATGAACAAAGATGTAAAGATATCATGAATAAATTCATCAAAGAAAGACCACAAGATTGGAATGAAGATATTGGTACTGAATAAATCCAATCCACTGTTTTTAAAAAAAAATAATTAATACTTCCTTTTGCTATTTAATACTTGCAGATTTATCAAAATACATTATTTATTATACAATTCATTTCTTGGTTGCAGTTTCAACAGCTGCAGCAATTGTAGATGAAATACTTTCAGCAATTTGTTCAGCACCCTTCTTTTTGTAACCAGCACCTGAAGTAGCACCAGGAACTACCAACTAAAATATGAGGTTAGTACAAACATTCATCACCTCCACAAAAACGGGAAAAAAACACAATACTCACCTCCATGTAACAAACACCAAGAGAAACAACAGCCATCCTAAATTGGTTAGAAACAACAGTCAGTAGAATAAAGAACAAGATTTCAAAACTTACAAAACTCTCAATAATGGTGATTGACCTGATTCTTGTGCACCTTGTCCATTGCTATTCAAAATTGCTTGAACAGCAGTCATTAAAGTAATCCATGACAATAATCTAAACATTAGTACCTCAATCTTTACAAATCTCTGCTCATCCACACTCACTTGTTTCTAAACACACACAATATGTTAGTTCTTATCTTTTTAAACGATTATAATGAGTACTCACTTCATAAACATGGCTGCCATTGGCATACTTTGTGAAATCACAGCTGAGGAATCAGCTTCTGGAGCTGGAGCAACATGTACATATGGCACAACTAGATCTTTACTTTTAACTGAAGGAGCCATCTTGATGCTTTCTATAGATATGATGAATTTGTCTTTGTGGAAACTTATCAAATTGTATCTTTGTACCACACTTCGTTGATCCTGGATTCGACTTTATCAATTTACACAAAAACGAAAAACTGAAACGGGCCACTACTCGCCATAATGTGCGCATACCGATGATATTTTTGTACCAATAATTTCCAATTTCAAACAAACGTAACTTCATCAAAACACATTTAATGTAAGTAATAATTAGTCCAATCAATTCTAAATTAGAACAGCTTTCAAAAGATATACTTTAAAAGCTTTCAAATTTTTGAAGAATTATTATCACAGAATTTCATTTAAAGCGATTTATAAGGTTAAAGGTCACTAAAAATATAAAAAATTTGAAGAATAATAAAAATATCTAAATTCGGAAGCAAAAACAACATGAAAGATACTTTTAAGCTTAATAGAGTTAATCAAGCAAAGAAAATATATATGTTTTCTCATTCAAAAGAGAAATTTACGACTAAATTTGATTCATGGTCACGTGACCGCGCTTATAAATCTATTCAACTAGGCGAATTCTTTTAAAACGTTTAAACAAAAGTAACTAGGATATCTATTGAGGTGTAAGGATAAGTGTGGGTTGAAAATGAGCCTGTGACTCTTATGATAAGTATTTATTTGTGTTTATAGTAACGATTAGAGCTCTACGTGCTGAGATCACTTGTGGTATAACTACAGTTAATTTTAATATCAACTTACTTCTCTCAATCAGCCTTATCTTAAGTTGACAAAACCGATACTGAGACAGTTTAGATCTAGCTGGAACCAGCCCAATACTATTAGTGTATGATGATGAGATTGATGGTGTTATAATTCCGTAATGGCCTATTAGGTACAGACGGTACATGTATTTATATCACCACTACTTATAAAGTTCTTACTATTAAAAGTATTAGCAAACTCTCAACATAAAAGAGGAAACAGATTTCACTTTATTAAGTTGCTGGATCCCTGCATAAACAATAACGTGACTAAACACCCCGAAAACACTGACTTCATCACTTCTTTGGTATCACACTTCTCCAAAACGCCACATACCAGCAAAAAAACACCACCACTTAAAACTCTATCATCACTTCTTTGGTATCACACTTCTCCAAAACGCCACATACCAGCAAAAAAACACCACCACTTAAAACTCTAGCCATTTAGCTACCTTGAAAAGTTGGAGATCCCATTGAATTGCACCATCTGCTTAAGAATATTTTTCAACAAACACTTGAAATGCTGTTTCACGGGTTTCAAACTTTACACCACAACTTTTCAAAAACTATCTTTAGAATACCAACCATAACACCAAAAGTTGTATTTCCACCTCTACTTTCCAAACCAGTACCCCTTTGAACATGGGAGTACCTCTGACGGGCTGTAGTGTTCATTTTATCGGATTCACAATCCACCCATGTATCACCACACCACCATATTCTGCTTATTCCAATCTCAACAACTTCACTTCTGCCAAATCTGAGACCTTAACTGTAAAATTCTCTAAATTTTGATATGGAAACCACTTTCAAAATAACCATTTACCACCAAAACTGACCCGGAATTTTCAAAAACAGGGGTTTTCATGGACCCTTGGATGGGTTTTTCAAGGCCATTGATCGGATTTTCCCTGGTTTTCCGCGAATTTTGCCTGGTTTCCGCGAATTTTGGGCGGTTTTGGATGGGTTTTGAGGATCAGGGAAATAAATCAAGAGAAATTGAGGTACATACCAGCTGAAATTGGGCCTCCAACACCTCAGCGGTACTCCAATAACATGTTCATAAGTTGTATTTCGACCTGTAGAATCCAATAAAGCTCTTAGTTTCTCATTTGGTTGGCTAGTTATGGCTCTGGGTTCCATTTTATCGGGTTTGAAAACCCCCTTTTCACCACTTGACCCCCTTCTTGACCGAAAACTTGTTAGTAAAGTATCTTGTATAAGAGAAATTGAATTGAATATGGAAAATCCATGTGCTTAGCTCCCTAAATCCCTTTGAATCCCTTCAAAATCTTTCTCGGTTTCAAAAATATCAACAAAATTAACCAAAATTTTCACTTTCACCACATCCATGTTTTTGCCATAACTTTCCAAAAAGTAACACTGCAACACCAATTTCAACTCCAGATGTTGTATTTCCACCTCTATTTCACATAATGATACGACCTTGCACATGGGAGCTCCTATGAGAACCTGTAGTCTTCATTTTACCCGATTCTTAGCTCTTTAATTCATAAGGCGCACACGAGGGTTATTCCCATTCGAGTATCACTGATTAAGCCTGGTAAACCTAATATGCTTGGTCAAAATAATCTCAATCCACGGTGTTTTGAAAATTCTCTCCAGAACTGATGGCCAATTGATGATATCGACAGTTGAATTCAACCCCCTAGTCTACATTCTCGAGATGTTTTTTTTTCAACGTTGAAAATCAGGAGCAGGTCGGAATTGGGAGTATATCACGTGCCAAAGGTCGGAATTCTGTGAGATGTGGCGCGTACCATTATTTTCTGCATAACTGTTACACCCAGTCGTACTAGTTAAAGCAGCAGGTGCATCATACAAGAACGTTAGGTTTCCAGATATCGGAAAGGTTCTCGTGAACGTGTCTTGAGTCACTATCAATATTGACTTATTGAGAGTTATAGTTGATGGATGGGAGCTAACCAGCATCATCTTACCTCCTAAGATAACCAGCTACGAAATATCTATAATCTTCAAGGAATCAGCTTTTATTTGAGATAGAGTATAGACCTGCAAATGGAGAAAACCCACAGCTTTACAAACAAGATCCATGTACATACTTATAAAACCTAACTACGTATTAGTTGTCATATCAGATTATCTCACGGACAAACGTATTGGTGAACAGAAACTTAATTCTGAAGTTAGTTCTGGCTGTTGAGCACTGCTTCCTCTGCGGTAATTAAAAACTCTTTGCTATCGTTTTCAACCTCTTCAATGCTCGAGATTCTTCCAATAATCCATTGCTTATTTGGTGGTATCTTCAAGTCATTCTTTAATAAAAACTTCATATCACCCATATCATTAAATGCAGCCCAGTTGTTACTTCTTGCCTCATCTTCATTGCTAGAACCAATATTAGATCTTGTTGGTAAAAATAATACTAAATCATCCACTTTAAAGTCTCTGATCGAAATCTTCTGACGCTCATTTTCTTTGAACCTTTTGTTTTCTTTCAATTCCCTTTTAGCCAAATTTTCCACTTCTCTGAACCTCTTTGAGACACTGGCCTTGAAAGATGGTAACAAATTTGTAACTTCATTAACAAAGCTCAAATACTTCTCTTCAAAATTTGTCAAGTTATAGTTCTCAATCAATGTTTCACATACCAAATCTAAAGACTTTGACTGGTCATCCTCTGACTGAGTTGAGCTCAAATCCGCAATCAACTTTGAATCTGGTAATTCCGTCCATGCTAAATACTTTTCAACATCTTTTTCTAGATCAGGTTTAGCACCATTTGACATATCAATAGTGTTACTAAGATCATTGTTATCACCTAATTTACGTAATCCTTTAACCCTGATAATGTTGATTTCACCAGATTCCAATTTCACAGCTAGTAACCCAATTGACCTCAAAGTAGAGCAAAATAGTCCATAGTTGTTATAAAGAATTTCACTTAAATCTCTAGACTTAATAATCAATGAGTTAATGATAATGACCAATTGTAGAATAGTTTGATTCCCATTATGACCTTCATCACCCTTATGGGATTCATCCTGTAATCTATCCATATCTTCGAGCTTCATCTTCAAAGACTCTATTTCCTCTTGTTGTGACTTTTTCTCTTTGGCGAATTCGCTTTCACGGTTCGACATATTCTCTAGTAAATCATTCTTCATTGAGCTCAAAGTATTATAATTACTTTTCCACTTATCAATATCCTTATTCAAGTCGATATTGACATTCACCAACTTGTCTCTTTGAGACTCCAAATCTTTGACTGAAAGACCTTGTTTCTTGAGTTTCTCTAATTCTTCATTTTGCTTTTTAGATTTTTCTTCGATATCCTCAAGATCTCTCTCCCTTACATCCAGTTGGTCCTTGAGGCTTGAATTTTCAGCCTTTTGAGCTTCAAGCTCACTTCTTAGAGCTTCTAATTCATCTCTAATGTCATTCTTTGATTCATATTCTTTGAATTCAGCATCCTTTTTAGTTAGTTCCTTCTTCAAAGAGTCGACTTCTGTGGCATGTGAACTCTTCAACTTATCAACAATACCATCTCTCTCCTTTAACAGCTTCTCTAGGTTCGAAAGTTCCTGCTTTTGTTTTGATGTCAATTCATCAAGCTGTGACTTTTCTTTTTCTTTAGAAGTGATTTGTAGTTGCAACTTGGCTAAGTTAGCAAGGTTTTCATCTCTCACTAGATCTAATTGCTTCAATAAAATTTGATTCTCAGATTCTTTTGATGAAAAATCCTTTTTGATCGATTTCAATTCATCATTGATTATATTAATGGTGTCTTTCATTTTCCTCATCTTATTTAGCAAATCAGTTTTCTCATTCCGTAAAGAAGCCAACTCTTCTGGCTCTATGATTTTTGTATCTGCTGTTGGTGATAATGATCTGTCACGGGTTTGAGATTCAAATTTAGTATCTCCAATGAGCTGTCCAGTACCAGAAGCTGGTCTAAGCTGAGATCTGTTTTGTGACTTATCAAAAACTAATGAGTACCTAGACAATCCAGGAAATTTAGATTCTCCAGAAGCTCCTGAGGGCCAATGACTAAAGTGTTTAAATTGTTCCTGATGTAACAAACTCTCCAATTTCTTAATTCTGGCTTTGTAACCTTTTATGACTTGATCTGAAGAATTAGCATCCGTGGTATCCTGATCATTCAACTTTATTCTTGACTTTCTCAATGGCAAGTCATTGATTGCTTTGGTTATAACATTTATGGTGTCTTGATTAACTCCAGATGCTTTCAACTTGTCAACGTAATTCAAAGCATCTTCCTTAGTAAATTTACCTGATTGAATGAGAGATTTATCTTCATTGATATTCAGATCAATATTAGCAATGTTTCTGCTGTTAAATGATGCAATGTTGTAATCCAATAACTTCAAAATAGTTCCAAAGTTTCTTACCCATTGTGATCTTAATTTAATTTCCTTCTCTCTTAATGAAGCAAAATTTTCAACTGTTTTAGATGATAATGATTTCATTTCGAGCAGCCATTCATTTCTTCTGATATCCTCCACAATGTAAAGACCATATAATAATGGTAAATCAACCGTGTGTGAAAGTGAAGATTCTAGGTTTTGAACTTGTTCAATCTTACCGCTGATATTCTTCAAAGCTTCTTTAACCGATATAATCTCAGATTGAGCACCACTTAATCTTTGAAGCTGCTTAGTTAAATCAACTTGAAGTTTTGCACCTAGATCATTCCAGTTTAGAAAGATTTTGTACAACTTCAGCGACAATTTGAATATCTTGGAAACAAAATCTCCCTTATGAGTTTGCAAAGTTTCCAGTATCAACTCTATGTCAATTTCATCCAATTTATTTTTGGTTTTGTTCAACAAATGCTTTGTATCGGCTTGTACCTTATCACTCAATAACTTCAATTCTTTCAAATCTTCCTCGGATTCCAAATGCTCCACAACTTTTTTGGTTTCTGATTCTAAGACACCAATATCTTTCTCCACTTCACCTCTTGATTTCTTACTTGATTCGATTTTGGATTTATATCCCATAAGCTCTGAGTTGATGGACTCATTCAATTTAATGCATTCTCTTGCTTGATTCTCTAATTCTCTTTGATCAAGCAAACTTGATAATGGTTTTTCTTCACCATCGACTAATGGAATGTATTTAAGCCTTTTGTAATGATCTTTCCAAGTTAGGTTCAATGAATGATTTTGAATACTGATCACAAAATCTATTGATGAGTCATAATTCTTTTTAACATCAAGGCAATAGCTATCAATATATTGTGTTGCCACAGTTAATGCTTTGAAAAGTATTCTAATCTTCTCACCCATAGCTATGATCTTTTTATGAAATAAAGCAGAATCTGATTCAATAGCAGCAACCCATCCAAGATTCGTAGTTAAAAGTCCAATCATTTGCCTAGTATTCTTCGAAGAAGCAACTTTTTCCAAATTAACATCCAATAATGGGGAATTTATAGGTTGAATCAAATTGTCATGATTTTCAGCATATTGTGACGATATATATGATCTGATATATTCATCTGATTTATTTGTAGTGAACAGATTCTTATCAAACACATATATTTCACTTGTTTCCTCCAATGAAGTGGTTCTTTTGATCTTTATACCAAATGGAGATATAAGAAACAATTGATTTGACGGTATGTTGAATTGATTGGAGCAAAATCTTTTAAGCTCCTCCAGTGTCACAAAATAGTATCTGTTGATTTTAATGCTTTCTCCAGAATGTGCATTGAACACTTGTATGTCGTTGTCATTCATTCTAGTCTAAAGCGAAAGATGTGGCAAAGCTGGCTGATACTGGTTCATGAAGAGTTGAGGTAGTGGTACAGGCTAGAAGGTCCTTTTTGAATATTGATATTGTAGTAGACTAATTATAAATCCTCTTATCCCTTATTAATGCTTTTGAACCAAGTTCTTCTGAGTTTGTTGTACGATTTGTCGTTTGAGATGAGAATTGTGCCAAACAAACGGTTCTCACGCTATCTCTCAAAATCATCTGCAAAACGCATTCGCGAAGGGCTTTCACCTCCCAAAATTTTCCTGACCAGTAAAAGCCGTTGAACAAAAACAACCAGAAGGTTCAGTTAACTAGGAGCTAAGCTAACTACTATGAGCGATATCAAATACCATCAATTGAAACTAGGCCATGAAAAAGACTTTGAATCTATCAAAAAACTTATAAGCGACGATTTGTCAGAGCCTTATTCCATATATGTGTACAGATTCTTTTTAAACCAGTGGCCTCAATTATGCTATATTGCAAAAGACTCTTCAGATGAATTGATTGGTGCTGTTATCTCTAAATTAGAGCCACATAGAAATGTTAGATTAAGAGGTTACATTGGTATGTTGGCTGTTCAAAAAGATCATAGAGGTAAAGGAATAGCTAAGGAATTGGTGAAGAAAACAATAACGGAGATGATTGACCAAGGTGCTGATGAAGTGATGCTTGAAACAGAGGTTGTCAACATACCAGCCATCACTTTGTATGAAAACATGGGATTCATAAGGAGCAAAAGACTCTATAAATATTATTTGAACAAGCATGATGCGTTCAGACTTATATTACCAGTGACAAAGAAATCCACAACTAGATCTGCCTTTTTGGAGAAATTAGACCCATCTCAAATACAACAGAGTATATTATAACCTTAATGATATAAATGAATTCCGGAAATGTCTACACCATCTTGTAATTTTCACTCTTTTATATTAATTAAAACTCAAAATAAACACAAACAAATTATACATATGAAAACCCACGAATTGAACCAGAAAATATTAACAAAAATCTAAACTTATTCTTCTTCATCGAATTTTGGAGCCAAATAGAAACGTAAATAACCACTTGGTAATTTAAATTCAAATAATGCAGGGGTTTTATCAGCTAATTTGATAGTAATAGTTGAGGATAATGATGTACCTTTGATAACATCTAATAAATATTTCAAACCAAAAGTTAAGTTAACAGCTTTGTTCAACTCAACTTTAACGGAGTTTTCAGTTTTCTCTAAATCTGTGAATGGTTTCACGATAACACTACCTGAACCAATATCACCATTTGCAACATACTTAACAGTATCTTTGGTCACTAAAACAGTTAATGAATCAGACAATTGACTTAAATCTCTACAGATTTTTTGAAAATCAACAGCTGGTAAAGTGATAACTGAGTCATAATCCATGTCATCAATGTTTAAGAAATCTGATTCAATATCCATTAATTTTAATGAATATTCAGAAATTCTATCTTTGACAGTATCTTCAAAGACAACCAAAACACTATCTGGAGAATCTTCAGCAATCAAAGTCAATGAGTCAGAGTTATTACCACATTTTAAAACTTTTGCTAATGATGATAAATCAACACCTAATGTGATATTTCTATCACATCTATAAGTTTGGAAAGCATCTTCACCAACTAATAAAGAAACTAACAAGACACGTGAATCATCAACAGCTTGAACAGTGATACCATGTTCAGTACAGTTGAAGTTACATAATTGGACTGTGTCTTTAAAAGCATCAATAATCTTTCGAAATAGTTAGTGAAAAGTTCCAATGGCAAAACTAGTCTGAAATTATCAGAAATTTCATTCCGCAACTCTGAATACTTACTCTTTTAAATAGGATAGCTTCATCAAATTTGGCTTCAAGCATTGTGGACTGTTATGGTTTTTATGGATTGGGTTCTTTGTAAATACAGATTATGAGAACGTATAAGTAGAAGAAGTAGAAAAGTTTCGTTTTCGAGCTCGTTTTCTATTTTTCGTGTTTTCGAATTGAAACCGAAACCGCGTCTTGGAAAAAAAAACTGACGCGTATTATGTGCTCTTACCAAATTATCAGTATCATGTGACTCATCACGTGCAAGCCATTTTTTTTTTCTGTTCGCGAATTCTTTATTTTTGTGGTTTTGATTTCGAATTTGTATTTAAACCTGCTTTTGTGCTACAACATCTCATCTTTGTGGCTTGAAGTACAAACGGTAAATTGAAAAATGTCCACAGAAGTGACAGAGCAAGAGCTCATCAGATATATAAGGTAGGTATCCCCTGGTTTCTTCTCAAACTTGAACAACCACTAACAGCTTTGAAATAGTGAATTCAGTGATAAGGTTAAACAACTCAAAGGTGATTGTAAGTATAATAACTTTTACTTTAGCAACATGCCTCGGGAAAAATTATACTAACATTGTACCAGATGTTGAAGAAGAGGGAAAAATCAATGGAGAATCTACAAATAGGGGAAACAAGTTGAAATTTGGTTCAGCAAAAGTTCATCGAGATAGAATCAATGGATACAACAATGATAATGATCCATTAGAAGTTATTCATTATAATCGTTCAAAGAGATCAGTTGTCAAGAAGAGAAGAATAGATACATACAACTACAACTATAACCCAGATGCATCTTCAACCTTGAGTGGAACTAACATTGATGTTTACGAAGGTCAGGGTGAACAAGACGAGGATGACCCTTATGCACAAATTGACATTGAAAAGATATTATCACCAATAACACACCCTTCTGATGTCGTCACTCGTCCTTCAATTGCACGAACTTATAGATCCAATGTCATGAAGCATCTAGCTCAACAAGCTATAGAGACCATTGAAAAGGAACAAAATACTGTTATTCAACTATCTAAACTATTTGATATACTCCTCGGTGAAGATTCAAACCAGTTGTTGGAGAATGAATTACATCTACCTGAATATGATCATAACTTGGTGGATAAAAGATTGGATAAAACTAGTCATAATGGTAAAGATCATCAAGATGAATCTTCTAACACAACAACAGATTTCGATAAAAGAGTTACAAGAAGACAATCAACACAAGAGGTTGATCCATTTTTTGCATTACCAACTATGAAGATTGATACCAATTTTGGTTTGAGTCCAGAAGTTGCAGATGAAGCTAGACAATTGTCTCAAATCTCATTACAAAGGAGTGAAGAGTTTATTAGAAACTTGACAAGTTTAAGAAATGGATTAGCAAGAGCACAAACTTTGAAAGAAAAGTTGTATCAATGGGGTAAAGAAATTAATGGTGATCCAGATGAAAGTGATATTTATCAAGCTGAAAAGGAAGCTGCTGCTAAGGCTGCTGCAGAAGCTGGTACAGCTAATCAATCTGGTGCATCAGGCTCAAATACGAATAATGCTGGCTCTGGTGCCTCAAGTGTTGCTGGTACAGCTACGCCAGAAGTTAGAAATAGTAATGGTAGAGGTAGAAGGGTATGAATTTTATTTAATAATACATGATTTCGTTTTTTAATCCACGAGTCTCTATTTTAATTGGTTGACATAAAATCACCAATTCCCATTTGTATTTTCTTCGAATGCTTTAATTAGTAATTGATTGGATTCTTTAGTTTTGGAGCCGTCAAAGAATGGTTTAACACACGTTTGGATAACTGAATCGAATAAATCATAAATCAATGGTTTCAAATCGTCACCTGTTTGTTTGAAATCTGGATATGAGTTGATTTCTAATAACGTGACATTCAATTCAGAATCAACAATGAAATCCAATCCAAATATCTCAAATGCATTATTTAAAGGTTGAAAATTCATTTTATCAACATTAACAGCAGCTTTGAAAACTTCACCAACTGTTTCCACCAACTGCTTGAAAATATGTTCTTTTTCAGCTTTGGTCAATCCAACAAGCTCCCAAAATTCCACAACACTATTATTTTCCAATGCTTTTTCACCTTGTAAACAAGTATTTGTTAAATGTCCATATAATTCAATTTCACCTTGATCATTTTCTTGTGGTTTTGAATAAGTTGATAAGGCAAATAAAGTCAACATTTTCTTATAAACGAAAACTTCAATAGAACCATTAGAAACAACATAAGTTCTTATGTGAAATTTCTTATTTTGGTAAGCAGGTAATAATAATGGATCATCAAGATATTCTTGAACAACAAAATGACGTAGTTGAGATGTAATGACACCATGATTTTCTTCTTGAGCAATTTCACCTTCTTCATCAGTTTCATCTTCTTCAAAAGAATCAAAAATTGCTTGTAATTGTTCAACTGTTTGGAAGATACGAATACCTTGACCACGATCACTCATACTTGGTTTTAATATCCATGTTTTATCACCATTTTCAATCTCGGTTCTTAATTCATATGCTTCATCTAATGAATCCTCTAAAAATTCAGCATAATCAACTTCTAAATTGAATGTATCTGGGAATGCTTTTTTCAAAATTGAATCAGGATTCTTCACAACGTATGAATGGATAGTATGAGCTAAATAATGTTTTCTAATCAATGCCTTTCTATAAATGTATGAATTGATGAAATAACTATCTTCATCATGAATTTTATCAAAATCTAATTCTTCATATTCACCACATTGGAAAACTTTACCAGAATGATCATTATTATCCACTATTCTTATATTTGGTAAATGCTTTGATACGGCTTGAACTAATGCTGGATAAATGTATGAATTTTTATCAATTGAAATATTTGCAAATCCAACTTGAGTAGTATTAACACCAACAACGTCAACCTCTGAATTTAGAGAACTAATTTTTTTCGAAAAGTTAGGTTACAAACACACTCATTAAAAGTAAATTCCTAATCTGATATATGTATATCGTATTATAATTAAATATTGACTTACTTTAGATTAATCTCACCAGTGAGAGGAACATCTTTGAAAATGGCTTTTAATGGAGTGACACTAGATGAAAAGTTAGTTTAAAAAAGTTTTTCTGAAAAAAAAAGCAATAATACATACCTTATACCACCATTTAATAAAATAACACCATCATTAACTTCACCTTTTGCTTCAGAAGCAACTACTGATTCATGAACAGTATGGAAATTTGGACTCCAAGAGAATTGAACTTTATTTGAAGCAGTTGTATCCACGATATCAGCTTCACTTTGGTTTGATGGGGGTTGTTGTTCTTCTTTACTAAAGATTGAACCCCATTGGTTAGGTAAAATTGGAACATATTGGATCTTTGTTTCACCCAATTTCAATGATTTGATTAATGGAATATTAATTGAATATAAATCAGCATCTTTTGACCAATTTTCATAAAGATGTTTAATCAATTCAACACTTATCTTTGCAGCTTCGGCTGTAATTATTGGGTCTGTAGTACGACTTTCAAAAGCATAACTGATACCAATAGATTTGACACCAGTTAGAGCAGCTTCCATTGCAGCACCAACAGTACCTGAAGAAGTTATATATAAAGCAGTTGAATTTCTACCAAAATTTGGACCAGAGATGACTAAATCCACTGGACCTTTTTCCTGGTATAAATGATGAATACCAATATCTGCACAAGAAGCTGGAGTACCATCTAATAATGCCCATTCTTTTGAATTTTTAGTTAATTCTTTATTTGGGGTTGGGAAGGGACCTTGATAAATATTACCTTCATTAGTTGGATAAATAAAGGAAGCTGTTAAATCTTTACCTGCAAAATGGGCTTTACCAATCCATGATCTCTGGGTATTTGGTAAAACAATGGAAAGGTCCCAGTCAGTGTATTTTTCAATAGCATCAACCAAATATTTAACATATGGAGATGTTTGGTCGTTTAAAGGACCATCATCATTTGTTAGCTAAAAGGAGAGTGTTAGTTGGTAAATTGTGAGGTACAGTTCAATATTTCACTTACTAAGACGTGCATCTTTTAATTCCAAGGTGGTTTTTATTAGGAGTTATGAGTTTGATCAACTTGTGGGATGTTCTTCTACACAGTTTTAATTTGAAGTACTTTTTTTACCAGAGAAAATTTAAAAAAAAACACAAGTACCACAGTTTTTTTCAAAACGAAGCACAACTTTTTTTGAATGGTTTTTGCTTTTAAAATCTAGCTAAAGCTGGCTGGATTTTCAATTTGTTCACTACGGGCAATTCAGTGGGAGGATTGGAGAATCTCTCACGCTTAATTTGGTGCTTTTTTTGGTAGTTTTTTGGTCTGATTTGAGCTTGGGATTGTTGCATAATTGTATTAATGATGTTTTGGTAAAGATATTAGATATTAGCCATTGCTACAACATATCAGAGTTACAAATTCGGTGTAACTTATAGATAAATGCTGATATATGATCTGACTGACCGTTTATTGAGAGTATAACCATGTAAAGTCTGGTGTTGAGGGTTTCAAATTAGGATCATTATTGTTATATTCAACAGTTTATTGCTTCTGTTACATAGCCATAAATTGAAATTCTTTTTGACGGCTTTTCTTATTTCATCCATAAGCCGTCAGCTTAACAATGTTGGTGTTAATTGAGTCAATGTTAAAGTAAGAATCATCTCATCAGATTCAATATCACTGAGTTTAAATCAGTATTTCTGATGAAGCATGATCATTAAAAAACACAAAACTTGATCTTGAGAATCTTCATCACACAAATATTCAATTCAACATACCTCATCCCAAGAAATATCAACCAATTAACCACAATTTGAATCAAATACTTTATGATTATATAAATGTGTCCCCAACCGAGTTACCCGGCCGGTGAGGGTGGTCGCGTCAATGTGTAAAAATTAAAAATTTTGAACAGGCACTTTGGCCGAGTGGTTAAGGCGAAAGACTTGAATTAAAAAACAAGGTATCTTTTGGGATTTTCCCGCGCAGGTTCGAGTCCTGCAGGTGTCGATATTATTTTTTGCTAATTTTTGCAACCCCGGGCCCTCTAATTTTAACTGTAGTTGGTGCCTATGTTGTTATTTTTTATCGTATCCGATTTATCTTTATTTTTCTCCACTTTCCAGTGTTTTTATTTGAATTTTACATGGTACAAAATTTCCAACCGATTTCGCCCTGGAGTAAATTTCTTTCGCGTATCGGTGAAGTTGAAAAAAAAAAAAAAAAACCTTGATCAACACCTTGGAGTCATATAAAAAAACAAGATTCACTTGAACACCTTTTAAATATAACCATCAATTCAATTGACTCAAAGAGAATATATCCAACAATGGCCCCAAATCAAGAATTAAAGAAGAAACCAGTTTCATTCTCCAACATCCTTTTAGGAGCAGGATTAAATCTTGCTGAAGTGACCACATTAGGACAACCATTAGAAGTTATCAAAACCACAATGGCAGCTAATAGATCGTTATCAATTTTACAAAGTGCGAAATTGGTATGGTCTCGTGGTGGTGTCTTGGGGTTTTATCAAGGTTTAATACCATGGGCATGGATTGAAGCTTCGACAAAAGGTGCAGTTTTATTATTTGTTAGTGCAGAAGCTGAATATCAATTCAAGAAAATTGGTGCATCAAATTTCGGATCAGGTATTGGTGGTGGTATCATTGGTGGGTTAGCTCAAGCTTATTTGACTATGGGGTTCTGTACATGTATGAAGACTGTGGAAATTACAAGATCTAAACAAGCTGCAGTTGGTGGAGTTGCTCAACAAACTTCATTTCAAGTTTTCAAAGAGATTTATGCTAAGGAAGGGTTAAGAGGTATTAATAAAGGTGTTAATGCAGTTGCTATTAGACAATGTACTAATTGGGGTTCAAGATTTGGGTTAAGTAGATTAGCTGAAGATGTTATTAAGAATTTAACAGGTAAGAATAAGGATGAAAAATTGGGAGGATTAGAAAAAATTTTAGCAAGTGCCATTGGTGGTGGGTTAAGTGCATGGAATCAACCAATTGAAGTTATTAGAGTGGAAATGCAAAGTAAAACAAATGATCCAAATAGACCAAAGAATTTAAGTGTTGCAGGAGCTTTTAAATATATTTATCAAAATAATGGTATTAAAGGTTTATATAGAGGTGTTGCCCCAAGAATTGGATTAGGTATTTGGCAAACTATTTTCATGGTTGGGTTTGGTGATATGGCTAGAGAATTAGTTGGTAAATTAACTGGTGAAACACCAGTTGCAAAGCATTAGATTGATACAATTAAAACTTTGAAGAAGCATTACAAATTTGATCAGGAATCAAGTACATAATATTATAATAAACTAAAAAACTTTTTCTCATTTTTTCTTTTGTATCCCCCATCTATCATAAGAGTATAATCCAACAAGGGTTAATAAAAGACCCATACCTTGAAATTTATTAACACTTTGACCTTCCCAAACAATAGCCATTGCAATCACGACAATTCTTTTCAAGATATTTGCAATTGAATAATTAACAGGTGAGATCAAACCTAATAAATGGAATGCCAACATTGCTTGACAAAAATGACTTGAACCATGAAGGAATAATTTAAACATTATTGAAGGATTCAATTCAAATAAAGTGAATATTGGGTTTGAATATTCTGAAATTAAATAAATTGGTAATGTTAAGATGAAGCCAATAATTGAACAATATAACAAGATTGTAATTTTATCAATTTTGGCATCATCCTCTTGTGGTTTGCCCTCTTGTTGTTTATTTATTGTTGGTAATGATTTTGGAGTTATTGTTAAAATGTTTTTAGCAAAAATGTTTTGAGAAACAAATATAATCATTGAAATGAATGCATATGTTAGGCCTTTATTGAAATCAACATTTGATTTTGATGATTTATTTGAAAAACATGTCAATATAACACCAGTGATTAAAGGTAGCAATGTGAAATATGTAACAATTGGATAATTAACATTGAATAATGCCCTATAGACAAACACTGTAGTTAATGGACTTAGAGCTTTAACAGAATGGACTAAACTAACAGGAATGATATGAGTAGCTTTATGAGATGTGATGTGACCAATGAATTGGAAAATACCCATTGCAAATGTTGTCTTGATGATTTTTTCAGTTGGTTGAATTAAATTCCAAGTTGAATGTTGTAATTTGAATTGATCTTTTGTTGGGAATGTCCCCAGGGGGAATTTATCAATTATTGATCTATTATTATTTATAATGAATAAAGTTGAAATGCAAAAGACTGTGCTTATCAAGAATTGTAATTCAGTAAAAGTTGTTGGATGTGGAAATTCTCGTAGTATATCTTTTGCAATATTTGAAGAGATTGCACTGAAAGTATACCATATTGAACAATAAATGATGATTTTCAAATCTATTGGTGGTAAAACAGCTTGGAATTTGTCTTTAATTTTTTGAGAAGTTGATCTTACTGTAAAATATTTATCATAATCTTGTTGAGTTAAATCTAAAGAAGATTTTGAAGGTTTGAAACGTGGCTTTGAAGGAGTGGGTAGTAAGTTTCTCAAGTTTGGGAATGAGCCTTTGAGTCTGTTGGACAGAGTTGCTTGTTCAAAAGAAGCTGTTTGGTTTGAGTTGGGAGTGTTTATTTGCACGGTGATCATGGTGTTGAGCAGTGTATAATAGTATTAATGGGATATGAGTTCAAGAGATAGATCAAGAGCAGTGTGGAATGTATGGAATGTGATATAGTATGAGCTGAGTGTTGTTCAAGCGAGTGACAGATGATGGTAGTAGCAGCAATAGTATAGTAACAATCCCTTTAAAAGTAGAAACTGGTGCAAATATAAAGAATTTGATGATATTTTTATTCTTTTGTTTTCATTTCAATTTAAAATTTTGTGCTGGCTCAGGCGAAAAAAGAAAAGCTGGAAAAGCGGTAGGGCCAGGGAGAGTGTATTATGTAATACACTGATTAATTGGATTTGAATGGGTTTGGAAGGGAAAAGGGAGTGTATAAAGGTGGTTATAATGGATTATTGTATGGATATTCATTCTATTATATACCTGGTTAATTCATGTGTGGTTGTTGCTGTTGTTCCTGTGCTAATCCATCGCATATCGCTTATTTCCTAATACAGTCGAGGAATATCTCAATGAAACGGTCTGGCTAGAGATTTACATGGAAAGATTGATCTAGTATCATAAGAATTAATAGAGAATAGAGTATACTAGTAACTCTACCAAGGCCATCTCCAGGTTATGATGCCTCCTTCTGCCTCAAATGTTGGGCTCTGTAACGTTAATTTGAGTTCTAGCTTACGGCCCATGGTGTGACGCGTAAGAAGTGGTTATATAAGAAATACACGAGTTTGTAGCGAAAATAGAAAACGTGTAACAATAAACGGCTTACAGATCAAGGAGTCCTAAGAGACAAGAGACCTAAAGGGGTCAAGAGTACTGTTTCAATAAATAAATAAACTGATTTCATAAATAATTAAATCAACATCTCTTTAACTAGTGGACCCTGGTGTTCTAATTACACTTTACACTTTATCTTCAACATGTACCACTCGGTGAACAACAAAGCTTAATATCGAACCATCCCAGAGTCCACGCTCCAGAGTCACCAATATCCAATCAGCTCACCAAACAGCAAACAACTTGTAGCTCAACTTTCACTTCTGGAACCTCTGTCTCTTTATCTTCTTTGTAAGTTGTAACTGTTTGATCGACAATCTTTCAAATCTCACAGATGCTTCTTTGATCATCAAAGCAAGGTACACCTCAAAAACTGTGTTTGATACACTTTGTTTGAGTGGTGAGAGTATCAGACAGTGAGAGATTCATTCAAAGTAATCCCTGTAACTTGTGTACGTTGATTACTGGCAATAGAAGCTCATATTTAAGCTCATATCAAGAATACTATGACTGTATATTACTGATAAAAAGATTGACGAGTGTAGTTACAGATACGGAATCTGCCAAACTAGTTATATTCACCAACTTATCAGCTCAAGATATCAGTTCTTGACATATCTGTTGATCATTTCAATCACTATGTTACTCATTCAGTTCAGCTTATGCACTTCATTAAAATGTGTTGAAACTGATATGAAATTTTGATAATGATGATCAGCTTGAAATTTGACATATAATTTGTTGCACAACGTCATCACAACGGTGGTATATATACTCACAATCATTCTATTCGTGAACTACATAGTATATTTTCAATCAGGTCTAATGAAAGCAAAATGGAATATTCCTATTATTAATTGTAAACTAAAGTCCTCATTATTGAAGTCTGACACCAACTTTATCCTGACTTGCACTAGAATCTTGATCCCCTTTATTATCATTACTCAACCCACCTAATAAAGAATTCTCTTTATACTGTTGTTTTCTTTCCTCTTCAACTTTTTTCAATTTTTTAGCAATTTTACTCTTATTAGGACCTTTACCATGAAATTGATGTGAAAGATGTTTATAAGCCTCTTTTGTATTCATTTCACGACCATATTCATCAATATATCTAAGTTTAACTTGAGGTTTATAATTTTCAAGTTTTGATGCAACCTCTTCACTATTTTGAAGATCTTTGAATTGTTGTAATTCTGATTCTAATACTTCTTCTCTTTCCTTTTTAGATAATTTTTTAAATGATGAATCTTCACGTAAATTTTCTTCATAAATTCTTTTTTCAATTTCTGTCTTTAATTTTTCTAAATCTAATTTTTTCTTCAATTCTTTAGCTTTCCTATCTGATTCAATTTGATCTGAAGTCTTTTCTTGAACAATATTCTTAGATTTAAGGAATCCTAATAATGAACCTATTCCACCATTGAAATTCACATCTTGTGCATCTTCTTCATCTTCTACTGTTTCATTATCAAGTGGTTCCGATGGTTCAACATCCATTTTATCTTCATTAGTATCTTGAATAGGTTCAGCATCTTGGACTATTTCTTCATCTTTAGGTTCTTCCTCATCGTTTCTAGCCCTGATCGAACTTAAAAACTCTGTATTTTCATCAATAACAATCCCTTGTTCCACTTTATCAACATTCATTCCATTCTCTTTATCTTCATTAATCTCTTTGGCAATATCTTCAGGTTTCAAATACTTTCTTTTTCTATGATTTTTTAATCTTTTCAATGCTAAAGCATTCTGTAATTCAAAATCATCCTGAATTGATGAATCTTCATCTTTTAATTCAACAGATTCTAGGGCAACAACATCACCTTCTTCATCTTTACGTTCCTCTTTCTTTCTACCATTACTAGATTTCTTTTTAAGTTTTTTCATCTTTATTGGTTTGGCTTTAGCATAATCAGAATTACCCATAATTTCATCCTCGTCACCATCGTCATCATCATCAAGACTAAATTCCATTCTTCTTTTACCTTTCTTCTCCACAGCTTCAACTTCTTTTGATTTGTCAACCTTGATAGTCTCACCATTCAGTATGAAAGATTCACCATTCTCCCCATTCAACTCCTCATTATAACGTTCTAATAATGTCTTTTCTTCACTCTCCAACCCATTAAATTTCTTGTATTTATTAGTCCTTAGCTTTTCAGCCATTTGTTTTTCAAGTTTTTGTTTCTTTACAAGTAAATCACTCTCCAACTCATCTTCATCATCATGAATGGAACGATCTTTCAAAGTTAAAATCACATCCTCTTGTTGTAATTGATTTATATCATCAATACTATGACCAACTTTAACACCACTCATACCACCATCTTCGTCAACTCTAGCCCTTTTCACCTTTTTAACTTTCTTCACTTCAGAAGGTTTCTTTATCCTACTTAGCCAGTCATCGCCATCATCATCTTGATCATTGTCATCTAGTAAACTTTTAGAAATATTGATTTTTTTCCTCTTTGCAGCTCTTGATTTAGCAATTTCCAAATTTTTCTTTATCTTTTCTTCCTTTTCACGATTCCGTATCTCTTGTTGATATTCTTCTGATGATTTTTCATTTGGATTTGAAGTATTATCTTTAGTTATTGGTTTTAAACCTAGTGATACTCTTAACTTGTTTGTATCATCTAGTGATATTTCATCATTTTTTGGAGCTTGTTTTGTTTCATTTGGTAAAGGTATAGGTTTCAATCCTAGTGAAACACGAATTCTATTTGTTTCTTCTATTGAAATGGATTCTTCAGACATAATCAATGATCTTTGTTTGCCAATATAAAACAAAGTAACAACTAGAATATTTGTTTATACTAATTTTTTATATGGCAGATTTTTTCTGAATAATTCGCGAACCATTAACATCTACAAAATCTTGAAATTTTTCACATATAAATTCAAAAACTGATTGGATTAAAACTTTTATATATAATGCAATGCTGAGAAAAATAAAATGGATAAAAGCTAAAAACCACAACCAGTCTCTTGAGATGGATATAGTTATAGTAATATTATATATAAAAATTAAAATCAAAATAAAACTCTAATTTACACTTTCTTTTGCCAAAAATATTATCAAAAGAAGAACAACATGAAACCAATATATAGAAAAAAAAGAACACTCATTAAAGAAATACCGAAAATAACCCTTAAAATTAAATCACTGATTAGTTATTCATTTTTTGGATTTTTTTTCCTTTTTATCTTTCTTATCTTTTTTATCCTTCTTTTCCTTTTTAGATTTCTTTTCCTTCTTTGGAGAAGCTTCAGCATCTGAATCTTCTTCTCTCTTACGTTTTTTATCTTTCTTTTCTTTCTTTTCCTTCTTCTTTTTGTCCTTCTTTTCTTTCTTTTCTTCTTCTTCTTCTTCATCACTTTCATCATCAGAATCAGCTGCAACTGGAGCAGCTTCAACAGCATCAGCATCAGCATTATAAGCACGAGCTTCTGAAATTTCAACCTTCTTGTTATCACGAGAAATCTTTGAAGTTGTACGTAAGTCTCTACCTTCTAAAGCAGATAAACGTGATTCAACTTTAGCTCTAACATCAAGACCAATTTCACCAGAATCATCTCTTTCTTCAGATAAGGCATCATAACGTAAGGCAACAGCAGCTTTAGCAGCTAAAACTCTAGCAATTTTACCTTTGTTACGACCTGAAGCTTGACCAACTAATGAAGCATGGAATAATAAACCATATTTTGGTGTATCATGTTTAGTTTTCAAAGCTCTAAATAAAGCTTTTTCAGCACCCAAGATTTGAATAGTAGAGGCTGGGGCTTTAGCTAATGAAACTAAAGAACCTGAATGAGCAATTAATCTAGCACCAACTAATTCACCAACTAAAGCAGTTAAATTTGGTGCAATAGCTTTCATTCTTGATGATAAGTAAGCAGATAATTTTTCTCTATAAGTAGCAAATTCAACAATTTGTTCAGCTAAAGCTTTAATGTTTAATAAATCAATATCAGTAATTTCAGTACCCATTGAAACTTCAGCAGCAGTTTTAACTCTTTCTTCAGCATCTTCTGGTAAAATTTCACTTAAATCAGTTTCTTGAGCATTTGATCTAACACCCATTGTTAAGATAATTCTAGCATAAGCAACAGAATCAGTAATGATTTTTGCTAATTCAGGGAAATGCCATCCATACCATTCTTTACATCTCATGGCATAAGTGTTTAATTCTTTATCTAAATCATCTAATAATGCAATGGCTTGAATGATCATGGTATCAACTTTATCAGCAGAAAATTTTAATTTATGACGACCAATAGAATGTGCTAAACCTAAAGACATTTTAGATAAATCTGAATCAGTCAAACCTGGTAATAAATCTGGTAAATATTCTCTAACAGCTCTGTATAAATCTAATGTAACAGCATCTGAAACAACATTGAAGTTTAATCCCAATTTATTGATAGAGTTGGCTAATTTGGTATCAGAAACAACTAAAGTAGCTTTTTTATCAGCTTTAGCATCATCTAACAATTTTTGTAATTGAGATGAAACTTTACCTTCAATAACAGAGTTAATTTCTTCCAATGCATTAGCAGCTGAATTGAATTTTGAAAAAGCAGAGATTTTAAATTGGTTTAAAACTTTTTCTGATGAATTTAAATCAGTTATTAAACTTGATGATTTATAAATTTTTTTATCAGAGGCTTTCAACAAAGCATAACCAGCAGCAGTTTCTGTTAAAACGAAAGCCATCTTTGGTGTGTGTATATATGAAGAGAAGCAAATATAGACAGAAGAACTTCAAAAGGCTTTAATTTGGCTTTGCTTGAAGGTTGTGTGAAAAGGGCTTCTCAAGTCTTCATTTTCATCATATTGAAATTTTTTTTTCCTTCTCTATAAAAATTTTTAAACTGCAAAAAAAAAATGAAAACGACAAAGTTCGCGAAGTACCAGATACGGTAATTCATATCGCTAATTGCAATGGTAACTTCCTTTTCAGGTAAACCCATGTGATTTCGCGCTTCAAGCTCATCATCATTACTTTTTTGGGTGCTTTTGCACAAATGTCTTACCAAAGATAGAGATATTTCTTGTTTTTCGCCGAATTTTGCCATTCCAAAAGTTTTGCAAGGACCTAAAAATTGTTGATAAACGCGGTTTCATCACTTTAATTGTACCCAGTTGAACAATTGCAGAAGCACAAATCACAGTTCAAATCATTATAGAATGGCTTCATCCACTGCGATACCGAGCAAAGACACAGTCACCAATTTAAAAGCACCAAGATCATTGAAAAATCAAGGAAATATAACGGTTAATGAAATAGATGATAACACAACAACAACAACAAGTTCAGAGAATAATACTACAAGTGATCAAGATTCAAATGATCAAGATCTGCTTAGACCTTCAAATGATTTCGTTGGTGTCTTGAGAAAATCAACATCGTCACCAGCCTTGGGAAATGATTTCTTGACAGCTCATCATATATTTGGAGATTATGTTCGTAAACATGAGATTCCAAGAAAAGTATTTCATAGTTCTATTGGATTCATAACGTTATATCTATATACAAAAGGTTTAAATAAAGAGATTTTCCCAATCCCATTCCATATTGCGTTCATTATAATTTTCACATTAGATTTAATTAGATTAAGATGGAAATATTTTAATTATTTATATTGTCAAGTTGTTGGATTTTTAATGAGAGAAAAAGAGATTCAAAGTTATAATGGTGTTTTATGGTATATTTTAGGTCTTGATTTTGTTTTCAGTTTTTTCCCAAAAGATATTTGTCTTGCAAGTGTATTATTATTAAGTTGGTCAGATACTGCAGCTTCAACTTTTGGTAGAGCTTATGGTAAATATACTCCAAAAATTGCAAGAAATAAATCATTAGCAGGTTCTATGGCAGCTTTTGCAGTTGGTGTTTTATCAAGTTATTTATTGTATGGATATTTCATTCCTGAATATAACTATTTGAATAAAGTTGGTGAAATTTATTGGACTCCAGAATCAAGTTATTTAAATTTACATTCAATGAGTTTATTAGCAGGTTTTGTTGCTGCATTATCAGAAGGTATTGATTTATACAATTGGGATGATAATTTCACAATTCCAACATTATCAAGTATATTTTTCTATATTGTGATTACAATTTTCCATAAATGAGGGCATTCATTCCATCTTTAGCATCTTTCTTAATACAGCATATTGATAATAACCGAGGACTTGTGTATAGAGATAATACAATTTTAATATCAATTCTTTTTCAGTAGACTACAATCTCAACATTTGTTCTTAAGTTTTACTCTCCATTAAAATATACAATTTACCAAACCAACAAGTTTCAGAAAAAAAGCATCAAAACAATATTGAAAATTATCTAATAGTAAGTTGATGGACGTTTTGGAGCAAAAACATTAGCAGATTTTGGAATACGGTGAGGTAATGGGAATTGTAAATCTTTGCTCAAGAATTGTTTGACGTATTGACGTTTAACATCATCAGTTTTTTCTAATTCAACAACCTTTAAAATGTGGATTGATCTAAATCTAGCTCTGTGACGAGCAGCTAAATCTTGGTACATAGTTTCAACGGCACCAACTCTGGTAACATCTCTGAATTCTTTGTACAAGTTGTGAATACCTGATCTTGATTCATAACGAATCCAGATACCAAAGTTTTTAACTTTAGTTGGGTGGGTTTCAGAAATGGTGTTAACTGAAACAATTTCACCTGAAGCTCTTTTAACTTTGTGTAATTTTTGTAAGAAATACCAGTAACGAGATTTAGCAACAACTTCATTTGGAGCAAAGATTCTCATACGGTATAATTTTGGTTCTGGAACCGCTTCAGTTGGTAAACGACGACCAATAACTTGATATTCGTTAAGACGAGACACTAAAAAAACTTGTTAGTATTACGTTCATAATAAATTTGATGGTGTGTCTGATACTGAGCATTTCATGATAAACTTGGGATTCCCTATATGATATTGATACTGAAAATTTTTATGAATCTCTTGAAACTAATACTGAGCATTTGATTATTGAATATGCTGATTACTATAACTTTACTTTATCTTATTAAGTTTGATTCTTTGGTTCTCATTATCTCTACTCTTCTGTTCTTCACTATGATGATACTCATTTGACATTTCTTTAATTTGACTGATATTCTTCCACAAACGACATAATAAAACGTTCCAAACTCATATTGATATGCTCATTCATCAATCCATCTTTCATATGTCTATCCTTTACTCACTTGTTGCTATGTTTTATTGATCCTAACCGATGTTGTATTCAAAAGGTTCAGAGTAGTAGTTTTTCACCTTTCATGAAAAATGTTTTGCAAATGAGTTTCCCAAGTGTTCGAACAACCGAAATGTGTGAGGTGTTCTGATGTTTTAACGTTGATTATGTAACATTCACTCACTGTGAAGAGCTTATCGGTAAAAACACTCTATGGCCAGGAGCGAATTTTGGTTTTTTTGGTTTGGCCGCGAATTTTCTTTGGTTTTTTGGACAGGGACACATGATTCATTTCGTGGTGAGGAAAAGTCACGGGAAAAGCCCTGAAGTAAATCATGTGACTAGATTAGGGCTACTACAATAACATAAGTACACATCTATCAAAAAATCAGAATCTATATTAATAAAGATGGCAGTTCAATACAGACCGTAATACTCTAATCTAGTAAGCTCATAATGAATGACAATATACTCAGTTACCTTGATTCACCTCTTCTTCATCTTCATCTTTATTGGAAACAAAAAAACTAAGCTGCAACAGGAACTGGTTCTATTGGTTGTTCCATAGGAGTAACAACTGGTTCTTCTTCAGTTATTCTAGTTTCTATCACTTCTGCAGCTAACTCTTCAGCTTCTTCAGATTTTCCATTCCAAACTTTTTTCCATAATGTAGTTGTTTCACTGATAGCTTCATTTGTTAAATCAACAGATGTATTATACGTAGCTTTGATTGATGAATTGAAAGATGGCTCAATCTTGTCTAAATTATCATTATAAACATCAAAAACATGGATAGTATAGTTACAAGGCACCATCAAACATTCAACAACTTTGTTACCCATAACTGGAATTGCCCTTTCAATTAAATTCATTGAAAGATAAACATTTCTCTCAACTTCACTTGAATATTCAACCATAACAGGTTCCCCTTCTGGTAGGTTGGTCAATGTAAAATTCTCCATATGATAATTAACAGGTCTGAAGACTGGATCTAATGAACTTCTAAGCAATGGTTTACCTTTAGTATCATAAAGCTTTTCATTATAATAAGCACGACCATTTCTAACAAATCTTCTTGTTGGAGCAATCAAGTTATTCTCCATACAATCACCAGTAGCAGTGAAAGCGTCTTTAATAGCTTCATCTGTTTGAACAATTGGTGTTTTGATAGAAACTAAGACATCTTCCCAAGTTGCAGTTTTCAAACATGGAGCAACACTTTCAACAGAGTTCAAAGTGGAATTACCAAAATTATCAACAGTTTGAACAATTGGCTTCAATAATGATTGGGAGTGGATGAATTCAGCTATTGGTTTGATGATTGGGATTGAAGAATTGATAGCAGCCTTGGTGATTGCAAATTCATTGACAAAAGTTGAAGTCTCATTGATGATTGGATAAGATTTCAAATGTTCTGTAGTTTGACAAGCAGCAGGTTCATCTTGAATGTCTGGAGCTTCTGGAGCAGCATCTTCTGGGATATCTGGTTGGGTTTCCTCGTGATGCTCTGAAACTTCATGATCTTGTTGTTCCTTTTTATCTTTTCTCAAATGGAAGAGGTTGTTCATTTTGGTTGGAGTAGTAGTAGTAATTTAATAAAAGCAAATAATAATATGTAATAGCAGAAAACAATACTATTCTGTTGACCAGATCAAGATACAACAAGAAAGAAAGCCCATCTTCATGCTGATGAATTCAAATCAATTCACTTTTGTAAACAACAATAAACTTTTGACACAAAAACGAAAATGTTCAACGTTTTGAAATCTGAAAATCGCACCAAAAGAGAAAATTCTTGTTGCCCCGAAACCAGAAATGAGCTTTTGTTGTCCTGGTGATGATGTAATCAATAGAGGAAAATTGTAAACAAATTAAAAATCAAAAGACGAGATAATTGATTACAGATTCAAGCTGAAGAGTATCTATTGTCACCCCAAGGTTAGAGGGTAGAGCTGTGTCATAGTAGGTGGTTTTCAGGTTGCAGAATCAAAAATAGTCGCTGGTTACCGTTGGGTTTAGGAAAATATGGAGACTCCATCAGTTGAAAAAATAGTTGAAATTGAACTGTCAAGGCTCAAGAATGAAAATCAGTTGGTTCTGGATGATAATCTAACACCATTCTCGTTAAGGGTTAGAAATGATGTGAAAAGAGAAGATCGGTTATTTGACTCGCCGTTGAAGCATGGGATCCATAAATCAAATACTTTAGATGCTTTAAATCTCGAACTGATTGAATTTCCTAAATTTGAACAAACAGAAAATGGGATGAACAATGATAAAGAGGCTGAAGATTCGATTGATTCCTCTTCTTCGGATTCATCAGAAGTGCCAATACATCATTTAGAAGTTGAAGAGTCACCTATGAGTCAAAAAGCCGGCTATGAAATGGATCTGTTAAAGATCTTTGATAGTAAGATTGAAAATGCAGATATTTCATTAGAGGAGTTCCCATTGTATGAATACACACCAATAAGCAAAGAGATTATAGAAACTGAAGAAGCTCTCAAGACCCCAGACTTTTTGCAAGGTCTTGATCAAGATGAAGAAGGGTCAGTTGCAAGAAGAACAAGACAAAAGATAAAGACATCACCGATCAAAAAACAACCAACACTTTTGAAAAAAAGTAAAAGTAAGATACCATTACCCACAAGTTCTTTACCAGGTGGTGAGATACGGCGTTCTAAAAGATTGGAATCTCAGAATATTCCAACATCACCTACAAGGAAAACATGTTCACCAAATAAAAAATTTGATAATTTAAAACCAGTATTAAGAATCAAATCGAAAAACTCATTAAACTTGATTGTTGATTCATCAACGGGTCAGCTTCATGATGCCACACAATATGCCACTGAGATTAATGCAAATAATGGAGAAGGTATTCCATTGCCTAAAACTATGAATGAACAAGTTACAATACCGATTAATGGACCAAGAAGAAGCAAGATACCCAAAACAGCCATAGTTAGAGGATTTATGCACAAGATACCCAGTGGCACTAAACAACTTGGGACATCGAAAGTTGGATTTTATTCTGAAGATGCATACAAAACTTATTTCTGTTCCAAAGCATCACCAAGTAAAGTTATGAAGCCAACCACTGGATCACCCTCAAAGAAAGCTGTGAAAAAGAAAAGATCAGTTCGTTGGGCTGATAAATTGGAATGGTAGGGAAGTAATTTACGATTAATGGATATAACAGGAAACAAAAAACCAAATATGTGTGTAGTTTAACCGTCTATACAACAAATTCTTCAAATAGTTCATCATATTCATCATGTTCATCATCATTTTCTTCGATCTGATCGTCCCATTCTTCTAGTTCTCTTTTTTTATTTTCATTTTCATTTTCTTTAGGTTTATGAGTAGAATAAGTCTTTCTTGGTGCATGTTCCGGTCTTGGTTCGTTTCTTGCTTCATACCAATAAGCTAAACAACTATCTCTATTACCCCAATTATAATCATAATTTGGAGAACAAACACAATGTAATTCTTCTCTAACTTCTTGACGTCTTGGACATTGAGTGTGTGGGACATGATAATAACCAGTATTATCAAAATAATGAACTTCATTTTTATTCAATAAATATGAAACTGCAAATGTATGGATTGGAGCGTCACCCCATCTTTCATAGAAAAATCCACCTTTGGAATCTAGGTATTGGAAATATTCTTCATATTCTTTTGATCTTAGGAAATCTAAATCACCAAGTTCAAAGTTTGACCAATAATGACACATATTAAAAGTCTCTTCATTATCTAAAGTTATGAAATCAATTGTGTTTTCCTTTGCAATATAAGATGGGTTTTGGTCATGGAAAAATTCTTTAGTAGCTTCAAATAATCCATAAACAGTATTGTGTAGTTCATGTAAAGTCATTGTAAAGGCATATTTTTTATTATTTTCTCTCATAAATTTGAAATAATCATAATTCAAATCACAAGTGAATTTAATATCAGGTTCCACTCTCCAATAATATTTTATGCCTTCAAAAGCTTTAAGCTTATAGAAAAACCCGGAATTGAAACGGCACATATGTCTATAAGATTCAGAACCACCGTATTTGATATTATCTTTCTGCATTTGCTTTCTAACATCAGCTGCTCTCTTTTGATCAATAAATTCAGGATATGACCAATATTCTTTTGGTATTGTAACAAATGTGACATTCCCACTAACTAAATTTGAAACTTCATTTTTAAAAGTATCAGTGAATTCAGCATCATTTGCAAAGATCCAAGGATAATGATATTTTTTATTAAATCTTTCTTCAACATGAGTTATTGATTGTAACATTAAATATAATTCCTCATTTCTAACTAATGAGAAAAAAGTTGCATTTTCTTTTTCATAATTTGGATTAATTTCATCATTTTCATCATGGTATTTAAAGATTTTAGTATCAGCTATTGGATCCAAGAATTGGAAACTTGTATAGTTTGATTGTGTGAAATGTTCATCTGGGTATAAGATTTGTAATATTTTCAATCTAGCATATTTATCTAAATAATCCAACACGGCCTTGTGATGGTTATGCCTTATTGATATGAACGAAGCTATAACGATGATTGATGACACAAAAGTCAGTATTGCGATCCTGGTTCTCTTTGTGAATGCCACCATCTTGGTGATAGCTCATAGGTTTCGAATCTGATCCTTTCACCTTCTTGTTCTAATTGTCAATAGTTGATTTGATTTTGGCATTTGATTGATTTCGCGCGCTGTGCCTCTTTTCAGAAAAATCTGAGATCAAAAACATTGAAGAAAATTGATCTCTCGAGAATCGAATGGGCGAGAATTTGAATACGAGAGAGAACGAATCGATAAGCAGTTATCTAAAATGGTACATAGTTCATGGTGTAGATATAACTGAGGGCTATATATGTTATAGGCTATATTGAATTTAGCAATACAAGGATCACGATCGAAGCATTTATATGTTTGTTCTCTGTATCATGTAGAACTAAATGAATTGATCTGAGTGTAAAAAAAACTTGATTCTGAAATAAACGAACACATCTCTTAAACATTCACATTCACCATGTGCTCAACGGGATCAAGAAGTTTATAATTAGACAAATACATTCTGATGTGACTGGCTTTTCTCTATGATTCAGCTCATTCACCGAGCATCAATCTGCAACTAAATTCACTGGCAAAGTGCACATCAATGGGGAACCATCACCATCAAGATTCAACAACAGCATCATCATCAACAACCAAATCCAACAAAGGATTGATCAAGATAATAACAGAAACTGCTCTCTATGCTCTTCCACCTCGAGGAATATAAAACTTGAACGTTTCTTGTTGATGTGAGTCGTTTTTTTTGAGAACTATTGTCACTATTTCCTCTTTGGGCATCTAAGACCTACAAATGAAAACAAACATGCACAACCTTAAACTTCTCAAGAAAACAACTGTAACATTTGAGGTTTCCCAAAATGATTTAATAACTTGCATGATGGTATAAATTATCAGCTTTGGGTGCCTTTTTTTTCTTGATAATTTGGTATGTTCAACGGTTCTGCACAACAGCCTAAACTTGATTACATTAAACAATGGTTCTCATCAATTCTTTACTCAACTCGTTGGTATTCCCAATCACTGTGCTTTCGGCCAGTATAAACTCAAATTCAGAATCTTCAAAATTGACTGGTCAAACAGCTCTTTATTGGGGTCAAGCTTCAGCTCAACAACAAAATAGATTAAGATATTATTGTGATTCAGATTCTGTTGATATATTCCTATTGTCTTTTATAACAGACTTTCCAAATTCAAAAGAATCCACACATGGTTATACTTTGAATTTAGCTAATGCTTGTGCTTCAAAGACTTATTCATCTGAGGATTCCACACCAAACTGTACACAAGTTGGTGATGATATTAAATATTGTCAAAGTTTGGGTAAAAAAGTGTTGTTATCATTAGGTGGTGAGAGTGGAGATTATGGATTCAATAGTGATTATGAGGCTGAAAACTTTGCAGATGTACTTTGGAATTCATTTGGTGAAGGTTCTGAATATCCAAAAGATGAAAGACCATTTGGTGATGCAATAGTGGATGGATTTGATTTTGATTTAGAGAATGAAAATCAAATTGGATATGTTACGTTGGCTAACAAGTTGAGAAATTTAACTTCAAGTGGTAACCAAAAGGAGTTTATTTTAACATCTGCACCACAATGTCCATTTCCTGATAAAAGTAATAGTGAATTGATTGATGGTGTTGAATTGAATTATTTGTTTATTCAATTTTACAATAACAAATGTGCGTTAGATCAAGATTTCAATTTTGATACTTGGTCAGAGTATATTCAATCGAAAAACTATGAAAAGACTAAATTATTTATTGGATTACCAGCTACAAACAGTTCAGCAAGTTCAGGTTTTGTTGATTCAGATGCAGTTTTGGAAAAAATTGAACAAATTTGGTCTAGTGATGAATTGAAGAAATCATTTGGAGGTGTCATGTTTTGGGATGCTTCACAAGCTTTTGAAGATTCAGAAGCTGGAATTAACAGCTTACAAGATAATTTAGTTAATAAAGTTGCAAGTAATTTTCAAAAAGATAATAGTTCTGAAGGATCAAGTGGTACAACTGTTTCCAATTCACCAGCGGCCTCAAATATCACTAGTGCAAAGGGTAAGACTAGTGATTCAGGTGTCTTGAAACCATCATCATCAATTTTTATTTGTTTAGCATTGTCATTCTTTTTCGCTTGTTTTGTTTAGAGTTTAGAGCCATTTAATCGGTATAATTATGCTAATTGAATGCATTTGTAGGTTTTTGCTCAGAGATAGTTCAAAAGGTGCTTTGATTCTAACACGAGAAAGAAATCCTGTGGGTTTCTACTTTATATCTGAAAACAAAACCATGGTCATTATTCATTTATTATTTCTTTCCATGTAGTTATAATGTACACTATTAATTGGTTAATTTGATTGAATTCAACTTATTTTGGTTGATCAAGACAGTTTTCAGTATTACAATTGACTGCACTGTCAATAATACATTGATCATTAGTATTAGCACCATAAGCTGAAACAGCTGGACCATTAGCCTTATTAATGTTTAATGAACTATTATTTCTTGAATATTTACCTCCGGCGATCTTTGTGAATTGTTGATAAGCTTCTGATGAGATGTTGTTTTTTCCAATGAATTCTGGTTGAACAGTTGCAGAGTGGATACCATAGTTGTGTAAAGCAGCTCTAATTGATGAGGCTATAACTAGGAAAGTTTCAGGAGACGCATCAACTTCAACGTGTAAGGATGCGATAAATATATCTTCAGTTAAATTCCAAATGTGGAAGTCATGAACTGAGACAACACCTTCAACTTTTAAGATATCATCTTGAACAGAATCAGCAGATATGGTGGATGGGGTAGCTTGTAACAAAATTCTTGAAGCTCTGCGACATAAAGGTAAAGCACTTGAAAAAATAATAGCAGTAATGACTAATGAGATTAAAGGATCAGTGTAATATTTCCATGAAAAATCAGTTTTCCAGATGAATAAAGCAGTTAAAATAACACCAACATTACCAAGGGCATCACCAAGAACATGCAAGAAAACACCATGCATATTTAATGATTTGGCCTTTTTCTTTGCAGCTTTTGAATGTGAATGGTCAGATTCTTCATGAGAGTGTGAATGGTTATGGCCATGGGAATGACCAGCTTCTTGTTCTTCATTAGCACCATTTAAAGTTGCATGATAATCATTTTGTTGAGCAGGTTCTTGAGAGTATATAGTTGATTTCTTTTTTTTCAATAAGGAAGTACGTTCAGTGTAGTTATTAACGACATTTTCTGGTAATACAGCACCAACTGAACTTTCTTCATCACTATATTCAGAACCACCATGGGAATGTCCATGTTCAGAACCGCCACCATGAGAATGGCCATGGTCATGGAAAAGGAATAACCCAACGATATTTGAGATTAACCCAGCAGTACCAACATATAAGATCAATTTTGGGTTTGTAATGACAGCAGGACTGATTAATCTTTGAATTGCTTCAATCAAGATTGAAAAACATAAAGCTAAAAGGAAAACAGCATTAATTAAAGCACCCAAGATTTCAGCTCTTTTCCAACCATAAGTATATTTAGCATCGGCATCTTTTTGAGTACTAACTCTAACGGCCCACAATGCCACAATTAAGGAGAAAATATCATTCAACATATGGAATGAATCAGCAATTAAAGCTAAGGAATGAACAGCATAACCAATAATCACTTCAATTAAGAAGAAAATGGTATCTAACACCAACAATGAGATGATACGAATCTCTTTACCAGTGGTCATGATGAATTAGCTAGCAACAGAAGGGTGATGAGAAATGTGATTGAATCTATTGACTTTTATGGGAGGTGGTGTTTGTTTTTTTTTTAGTTTATCGATCCGAGTTTTTTGTGAATGGAATTTTAATCAGGGGAGATTTCAAAGTAGCCACAGTTGTGTAAATTGAGCAATATTCAGACAATTGAGAATGGATTTGTTAGCAAATATGATGGTTTTTTATGGATTTTTTTGATTTTAGAGATGTGAAGAGTTTTTATAAGCTTTTTTTTTATTGTAGTCCGTAATTTTTTTTATGCCTTTCTAGCATGCAGCTGGTGAATGGGACTCATGCTACAACCTATGGGACTAGGCTCTTATTGTATGCTGTATGATGCTGGACTAGGCACCGATTATTGGGTACCCGTCCCTGTGAAAGCGAGACTTTACCGCTTACGGGCATAACTAGTCTCGGTTTGGCTGACGGAGATTAACTTGATACGAAAGATTTGAAAAACCGGTTGTTCAACGGTTTTCTCTTGGTTTGAAAGCGTTGAGAAAGGCGTTGGAATGTGTTGATTGTGGTTCTGGAGTTGGTCTCAGGAACATCGTGAGCTGTGTGGAACATTTGATGAGACTTTTGTGGGCATTTGATGAGCTGAAGTTGATGTGTGTTTTTTGATCGTTGCTGACGTTTTAACTACAAAGGTTGATTCTTTTCGCTATGTTCTTTTACAGGAATTTGTGTGGTAGCTCAGAGAGGCAATCTGGTTGGTTAATTGAGGGAGTTCAGCTTAATGGATGTGAGTTATTGGAAATATAGGGCTCTTCAGAAAGAATTGTTAGGCAAATTCTTCACAGTCTGGTGGTGAATTGGACTACTTGAGTTTTATTAGGGCAGAAAACAGATTGGATAAGGACTTGGTAAAGGCTCTCTAGACTGAACTTACCATTCTCTGAGTCCTATCCACCTTAAAGCCGCCCTCTCAAGGTCTCTCTGTTGGTCTCTTATACCTTTCTAGCCAATTGTGAAGATGTATTTTTTCAAAAGGCATTCAACTCAAGTCCCATCTGCTCAAAGTGCCTGCCGTTAAACGTCAGATTTTGACTTTGAATGCATGGAATCCATAAATGCCTGTTGAAAAAGAAACTTGCACAGTGGTACCAATTTCCAAAAGCTCATCACAAATTTGATGCAAGATCTAACAATCATTTACAGGTATTCCCGCTTCTTTGGACCAAGTATGGATACTCTCTACATTTGAATAGTTTGACTACTGACAACTGTATATATTCAAAAGGTCTAGGAGCTGGTGGATACTTCGTTTGTTTTTGAATCCTGAAAAAACCTTACAGATGAGGTACAATAAGCTTACCTTTTTACTGTCATTTGGTTCTTGATCAAATAGCAATATACTTCTATAATCAAATCACCAAGTATAATTAATAGTTTTTAAAGCGTTCTTTTGCTTTTCTTTTGTGTGATATGGATCACTTGAATCTTCAATTTTGATGTAACACGATATACTTTGATCAATTGATCATATTAAGCTATAGCTTTTAAAGTCATTAGAAAGAAGTAACACAGTTTTACTCTGGTATTTTTAGCTGTAATGTAGCTCAAATGTTCCTTGTATCCTTCAGTTATTGTTTAACTCAAAGCTAGTTAGTGGATTCATGATTTATGTGTTTCCTGCTTAAGTTTGATTCTGGTCACGTGACATTGCCCTAAAGAAATATTATTGTGAATGTATATCAATATTTTAACAACAAAAGTACTCTCAAAAACTGACATATAATAAAAAAATTTAACTAATATTTGTCTGCTAAGTTTTTAGATGTTATTCAAAGAAATATTTTTTTTGATGAATTGAAAATTTCAAACTTTTGAGATTGAAAATAATAATCTTAGGTCTATAAAATTCCATTATAAATCAGTATTTTTTTTTTGATTATATTTTTTTCAAAACTGATCATGTTATTATTGAACATATATCATGAATTAAATCATGGAAAAATAATGAAAGGACTGAAAATAGAGCAACGTTAATATAATAAAATTTTAATGAATGTTATCAATGATTCAGCTGTCATGGTTGTCGATATTAATATTATTGTTACGTTGTTCGCGCATTTATTAAGGCTGGCACCGATTCAAATTCAACAACTTGATCAACTAAAATCGTGATTCATGAACTATTAGCGATGCAATTTTAGCACCAGCTACTACAAGAAAGAATCATTATAAACAAGTTAGCTCCATATAGTATTGTAAATTTCAATGAATCGAGCAGAATACGAATGATTGATTAGGTAGTCAGATGTACAGGCTTGAATATTCAGTGCCTTATCAGGTTTATGGCTTACAGGTCTTCGAGCTGGGGAAAATTAAGCCAACAAGCATCAAGAATATCCGTATTTCTCTTCACTTGACATAAATTTATGGTATAAGCCATTTCTATCAAAAAGGGTTCAACAGAGTTCAGTGAATATATACATAAGATTTATCTTACCATAAGTTCCCCGAGAAGTACTTGTTTTGATGGTTTCACTCTTATTTGAGACATGTTTATATTGGCACAACTAACATTGCCATGGAAAACTATGCCTCAAACCTTGGTACTTGAGCTTAAAATGTTCACCGATTCCCATACATCAACGGTTTTACGATGAATATCCAACCTGATTTACCTGAACCACAATCCACGACTCCACAGCCGAAACAGAATCTTCCCCTATGAAACAGAACTAGAATCATACACTCTGTGTCGTTTTGATTATGGGAAACACGACAGTAGCAAACATAAGCGTTCACCAATCGAAAACCTTGATGTCTTCGGTCAAACGTGGTCCTTCCCTAGATCAATCTTTACACTGTAGAATTACCCATAAACAACATCATAACTCCCTTTCATAACCTTGAAATCCAAAGTCAATACTCTTAATTTCTTCTATTGTCTACATTTGAAAATTCTCTTCAAATTCTTTTTCGCTTCGTCTTTTCTTTTGTTGCGGAGTTAATCCTAAATTACGTGCATAATCTAATTCCGAAAGCTGTTGACGAATTTTTTTTTCACTTTAACGAGATTCCAGATTCAGATCGAGCTCATCATAGCCTTCTTACTTCGAACTTTGGACAGTTTAGGAAAACTTTTTCAATTAAGATTCATGAGTGGGAACTAAAGTTTAATTACACGTTATAGGTTGAAAAAATTTTCACTTAATTCTTAGGTAAGGGCAAAATTCGTTTGGGTTTCATCAAAGAAATCATACATGAGCTGGAACTCGAGTTGTAATTTTCAAATATGGGGCGAAAAATTAAAGCAGTCAACAGTGCCATCGATTCTAGAATCGGGCATTGATTAAGGTTGTTCTATAGTATGTAAGGAGATTAACTTTCAACGTCATAAATCGATGATTTTTGATCTCAACTACCAACATCATCATAGCCAAAAAAGAAAAATCAACGTCGACGTCGATGAAAACTTTTTCACTTATGGATCAAGTTTTGATATCATTATAAATAGTGGTTCATGATCCACAATCCATTTCCATTTATTGATATGTTTTTGTGGAAACCATAGAAACCAATCAAAAAGAAAATGTTATTCACAGATTTAGCACTTGCTTTAGTTTCATTCACAGCAACAACAGAAGCTGCTGCTCAATATCAATCTCATCATCATGGGAAACAAGTTGAAGGTAGAAATATCACTTCATTATTTAAAAGAGGTAACACTTGTCAATTCCCATCTGATAAAGGTTTAGTTGCAGTTCAAAAAGATGGCAAGAATGGTGGTTGGGCCATGCATAATGATCAATCATGTACAGCTGGTTCATGGTGTCCGTATGCTTGTCCACCAGGTCAATTGATGGGACAATGGGATCCTGATGTTAAATCTTATTCTTATCCAGGGTCTCAAAATGGTGGTATTTGGTGTAATGATGATGGCGAAATTGAAGAAAAAAAATCTGGTAGTTATTGTTATGGTGGTAAAGGTACAGTTATTGCTAAAAATCAAGTTGGTGATAATGTTGCATTTTGTCAAACCGTTTTACCAGGTAATGAAGAAATGTTGATTCCAACAAATGTCGATGGTAATGGTAAAAAAACTTTAGCTGTTCCAGGATCTGATTATTGGGCTGGTACTGCTGCTCATTATTATATCAATCCTCCAGGTGTTTCCACTGATGATGGTTGTAAATGGGGGTCAACTGATCATCCTTGGGGTAATTGGGCTCCTTATGTTGCTGGTGCAAACCAAGATGATAATAAAGAAACTTTTGTTAAAATTGGTTGGAATCCAGTTTATTTAGAAGATTCAAGTCCTTTCAAGAATAAGAAACCAGATTTTGGTATCAGAGTAACTTGTGATAATGAAGATTCATGTTCAGGTTTACCATGTTCAATTGATCCAAGCAAAGATGGTGTCAATGGAATTGGTAACAACAAAGGTTCCAGTGGTGCTGGTGGTGGTGATTTCTGTGTTGTCACTGCAAAGAATGGTGCCAAAGCTAATATTGAGATCTTTAGCACTGGTGGTGGTGGTAGTAACAAGAAACGTCATGAACATGCTGGCCACGGTCCAAACCAAGTTACAACTACTGAAACCGTCTACCAAACTGTCACAGTTTAAGATGGGATTCACTGTTTCGACTCATTAAAATTCTTTTCATTTCTGATCTGATGTCGGATCCTTTTTAGATTTCATTTTGTACATATTACCTTTTTTCAAGTTTTTTATAGACAAAATTATTTTTTCTTCACACAGCTAGCTTTTTTTTTTTCTCAAAACTTCAATTGAAGATGTTTTATTATCCATTTACAGCCCAAAAAGCTATCAAAACAATAAATAAATACTTGTTAGACAATTAGAAACTTGTAGAAGACATAGAAATCAAAAAATAAGCCTTCAAAAGCGTTTAAATGACTAAAAAAACGGGGTTTTGCCCGCAGCAAAAATAGAAGCGTGCCATCGCCTGGAATCGAACCTGGGTCTGATCGGCCACAACGATCTGTACTAACCACTATACTACGATGGCTTCTTGATAACGAATTTGGGCGTTGAACAAATTGGAGCTATTGTGATTACGTAAGCAAAAAGATTTTAATATACACAAAAAAAAATTAAAGTACATCTTTTCATGCCTCTCATAGCTTTAAAAGTTTCAAAGACTTAGGGAGGTTATATTGTTTTACATTAGGTGTCTTCTATGGCTTTTATCACTTCACTCAGCTGGCTTCGGTGTGGTGCTTTATCAAGCATTTTCTGTTTTCCCATGATTTCGGAGAACCTCATCTTTGACAAACACGATTCTCTAGTACAAAAATTCAAATTACAATACAATTATATCATTCATTACTTTTTTTATTTATTTAATGTATAACTTGAATCCAAAATGTTAATTTCTCAACATTTGGTAAAGCATCTTGAGATCTTAATCTACTTTCTTCATTGAAGATAGGATCCACTGCAACATCGAAAACAACCATATTTAAACCAACAGCTAGTTTCAATTCATACCTTGAAGTTAACCTTCTCCCAGTATCTGCATATTGTACTGAAGGTATTGGACTAACACGTTCACCATTAACTGTTAAATTTGCTTGATGTTTCCTATCAGTTAAAGAATCATTTAATGCAGCTAAAACTGAAACTGCACCTTGTTGAGGAGGTAATGATAATGTATAACTTTGCATTTGGAAATCATTAGCTTCAAATCTATATTCAAACCAATTTTGGAAAATTGCAGGTATTGGGTTATTATTTTGGTTTTTAACTTGTTGTTTATAAACTGAACGTGATGATGCAATGGAAATTTCTTGAATTAAAGCATCTGCTGCAGTTTGCTTACTTGATCTTTTACGTGTTGATTTGATTGTTTCTAGTTGATCTTGTCCTTCAACTTTGGTTTCTGTAGTTGGTTCTATGACTTGTTTATTTTCAGGTTCTGTTGTAACTTCTTCCTCCTTAGTTTCTAATTTATTTTCTTCTTCATTAGAAGCATCTTTAGCTGGTTCATCAATTGGTCTATCTTCTTGTTCATTTTTAACTTGAAGGTTTAATTTTGATTTAACAGGAGGTTTTAATTTTATAACAGGTTTTTTTTTAGATGAAGGAGTACTATGATCATTTGATTTAGGTTGACTTAATTCATGTTTTAATTCTTCAATTCTTTTTTGGAAATAATCTTGTAATGTTTTAGAATCTTGATAAATTAAACTTTCCTCTTCGTTATAAAGTTGAGCATTTTGCCAAATTAAATTAATTTCTTCAATAAATTGATCTAATGATCTCATTCTATTCCCATTAATATGTTTTCTAACAGAATTTAAAGCCATTGGATGTTTAATTAATTGATAATAGTCTGGGAAATCTTTACGACTAACTTCTTCTAAGAATGGATCACCAATTCTTATACCATCAACTTCAAAATCAATCAATTCTTGTAAGATTTCTAAATATTTTTTCTTTAATCCAGCATTTGAAGGGGTTGCAGGGGTAGATGGAGTTGATGATGAAGATGGCGCAGCTGGGGCACGTATTTTAATCTTTGGTAATTTAGGGGTTTGTTGTTCCACTTCTGTTGGTTTATTAGATCCAGCATTAAATTGTTTAACTTGATCTTCCACGAAATCCAATATTGTTAAAGAATTTTTAGCTATGAAACTTTCAGGGTCATTATATTCATTAGCATTGTTAGCCATAAGTTTGAAATCATTTAAAAAATCTTGAGTTGTTGGGTATTGATTAGTTTTAACTTTGATTGAGATCTCATTTATTGAGATTGGTGATTTAATAGTTTGATAATAATCTGGATATAGTTTTTTGCTTGGTAATTTTAAGAAATCAAATGATATTTGGTTTTTGCTTGTTATATGTTAGTATGATACCTTTGAACCAATGTTAAATTAAACCACATACCCTTCACGTAAATCTTGCACTAGAGTTAATGTTGTTGAATAAAAATCCAATGTTTCCTTGTCATTTGCAGGTGCAATTTTTTGTCTCTTTGCTGGCTGTTCTGGAGAAGTGGCTCCTCCACTTTTTCTTCTTTGCTTTGGTGCCATGATGATTTGATTTGACTTAATATAATTCAATTCATAGTTATAATCAGTATCTTTTCATAACTTCAATTTCTTAATTAATTTTTGTTCTCGGATTCGTTTTTTTCGATAAGCGAAAGTTCAAAAAAAACATTTGAATTGAACTTGAACTTGAACCAGAATTGAGATTGAATTGTAATATTATAAAGTTAAATATATTGATTATATTTGATTGGCTCTGGAATAAAGATATTAGAAAGGTTCAAATAGACTGTTACTGAATAACTAGTGGCTTTATTGATTAGAAAATGGGTATTTGTACATCTTGTTTGAGAGGATTCACAGGTGATGAGAATGAAGATACACAAGTGAGTAACTTCAGATGAATTCATAAAGAAAGATACTAACAATCTAGATCAATGAAACGTCTCCCTTGCTGAATAACGAACGGTGAGTTATCCATTTCTGAAGAGTATTATCGTAATGAGTACTAACTCTACCCAAGTAATTATGATAAAGATGCTCAGCTTAGACAACGAGAGGAAGAATTGAACCAAATAGTGAATGAAACAAATGAGTATGTATGAATAATGGCCTGTATGGTGCTGATACTAATGAAATTGAATAGTCAACTGATTGATATATCCTCATTCTATAACCCAAATGCCTCATTATCAGAATTGGCACTAAAGAAATCAATAAATACACTGAAACAACAACAACAACAACAACAGACTCAACCAAATGACAATGAATCCAAAGCAAATTCACAGATACTAACGTCTGACCATAATAACACTGTTAATGGCGAAGATAAGTCTACGTTGAATGACATGCACAAATCAATGGAGGAACTTATAGAGGAGGACTGCAAAATCGAGAAAAGGGGGCCGTTAGTTGTTGAATTTTGAATGAAGAGGGTGTAATATCTGTAAAACTATTTAATGTAACTTAATATAATACTTAATATAATATTTAATATAATTTTAACGTGATTTTAATGATTTTTCAATAGTTTATTATGGTGTGTCCCCATCTCAAAACTTCGCGAACTCGTTTTTTTTTTTTCAGAATCGTGTTTTTTCGAAATCTTCATCAGTTTTTAATTCAAATCAAAATAAACAAAACAAACGACATTTTGAACCATTTGAACCCAATTTAGTCGGATTCAAACTACGATCATCTCAGTTGATTAATTATAATTTCAAGATCATTCAAATTATGGTGTATTGAATAATCCATTACACATTAATTACCCAATTAGGAAGTCAACACATTGATTCTTTTGGAAAACTGAAAAAAAAACCATCATCAAGAACATAAACATGAATAAATTTAATTCACAGTATTCAAGATCTTCATTCAACCCACTAAAACAATGTTGAGCAGATCTATAACGAAGCGTTCTCTAACACATGCAAGACTCATACACACAACAACACCATCTTTTGGTATAATGGATTGGTTTGATTATAAAAAAGAACAAAAAATTAAACAAGAATCAACAAAAGATATTATTAAAAAAGTTGAAGATGATAAATTAGAAGTTAAAAAAGTTGACAAGATAGAGTTCATTGGTGTTGATTTGGATCCAAGAGATTCAATGACTTTGGGGGAAAGATTAAAAGGGTTTCATATTGAGCATTGGTTAACAAAGCAAAAAATTTCAAATGTTGAATCATTGGATGAGATTTTAATTTCCACTTATAAGGGTTTAACAAATGAGGAAATCTCTCAAGTTTCTGAGATTAAATTAGATGATTTAAAATTAAGATTTGATTATACTTTGAAAATTCAAGAATTAACTGGTTATATTATACCTGATTATATTTTAACTAAAAGTTTTAATGGTGTTATTTTACAAAAATTTTTCATAAATGAAGTGTTTTCTGGAAAGATTTTTAAGAAAGATGCTGAAAGTTTAAGTCATAAAGAGTTACAACAAATGGATTTCAAAAGTGATAATATTTATATTCATACACCAGTTTCAAATACTTCTGCAAAGAAGAAATATAAGAGTTTATTGAAGAGGGCAAAGAAGGATCAAGAATTGAAATCAGAAAAATTGATTGAAGAAGCTAGAGCTTGAGAAAGAACTAAATCCATCTTGTAAATAATAATATATACAATATTGTGCATTTCTAAGGATATTTATAATAGTGTAATTAATGAATATAAATCTATTTCTTATTTAATGAAAATGCAACAAATAATGAAGCACCCAAGAATAATGCAACACCTGATAATAAAATCTCATTAGCAACACCTGGAATGATTTCATTATTCTTACTTTGTTTCACTTCCTCTTTTTTATTAAATTTCTTCTTTTGATTATAAAAATCTTGTAAATCAATATCATGATCAGGATGATGAATAAATAAATCAGCTTTTTCTAATTTTGAATTCTTATTAATCAAAACACAATCTAATAAATCTTGATCATTTGTTATAGCCACAATATCACCTTCATCATCTATATAACTGATTGCAAACAAATCTTTATTTAATTGATCCAATTCTAATTTATTTAATTTTGTGGTTATTTGATTTCTCAATTCCAAGACACCATCAATTGGTTTAACATTAATTCTATGAACTCTACCACTTGGTGATTTGAATTTAAAAGCATAAGGTAATTCCTTCAAGGCTTCTTTATTTATTGAATTATTTGTAACTTGAGAACCATTAACACCAATTCTTTCATTTGTTGCACTAACTGAATCACTTGGACCTAAATTATCATGGGTATTTATATGATTTAATGAAAATTGATTAATTTCACTTTGACTTATATCAGGAATGATTTGATTATCAGTTAATTGAGAATCACTATGAATTGATTCAGTATCATTGTCTAACGAGGTCCAAAATTTATTCCAAGCAGGTCCTTCATTTTCATCTGTTTCATTTTGATTCATTAAAGAAATTTGATTTAATGTTGCATAAGTTAATTTTAAAACTTCCACAATCCCAATAATTTCATCATCTTCGACAATTGGTAAATTTAAATAATGACCATCAAACATTTTTCTTAATGCCGCTTGAATTGTTAAATCCTTGGAGGCAACGTCAGGTTGAGAAGTCATAACTCTAATAACTGAACAAGTTTTAGGATCTAAACCAGCTGCAATAACTCTTAGGACAACATCTTTTGAAGTGAAGATACCACTAACATCATCATTTGAATCTTTAACAAGCACTGCAGTTGTATGATTCTCTTTCATTAATAAAGCAGCTTCATAAACACTAGTTTTAACATTAACATAAGAAGGTAATGAATTTTCATCCAATACAGATTCTAAAGTTGGACCATTCATAACATTTTTCAAATTTTCAAAATAATGAATAACTTGTAAAGGTTGTTGAGACGTACCAATTTCCAATTGAACACCTTGAAGGGCATCATGTAATTTTTTAGAAGATTCATACATTCTTTCTAATTTTTCCATAGCTTCTTGATAACATTTTGTTATATCCAAGACACCAACAATTGAATTATTTTCATCCAAGACAGGTAAATGTCTGAAACCTTTCTCAACCATTAAAGTTAAAGCTTCAGAAGCTGGGGTATCAGAAGTTGCACATAATGGATTTGCAGTCATGATTTGATCAATAGTAATACTACCAGCTTTTAAACCTTTACCAACGACTCTGAATGCTAAATCTTTAGCAGTAAAGATACCCAATAGATTTTCATCATCATCAACAACCAAGATACAATTTTCCCTTTTAGCACTCATCAATTGAGCAGCTTCATAAGCGGTATATGAAGTTTTACAAACAACAGCATCACTTGGTTTTAAAGATAATACAGTACCTGGTTGATAATTTTTAGAACGTCTCTTGTTGTTTGATGATTTTGTTGAGGCTCTTTTCTTGCTTAGATCGTTTTCAACACGACGTCTAATGGCTTCATCTCTTTTAGATTGTCTTTTTCTACTATCCAATATATTATTTGAATCTAAATCATGATGGTTATGACGATTATGGGTTGGAGTGGATGAGATGGCACTTGAGGTGGTTGAGGAGGCACTTTTTTTTGGAGTTCTCAGGGACATGGTGATCAAGGAGATGATGATGTTGATGATGTTGTGAATAGGTTGTTGTTGATGGTTAAAATGTGTTTTTTTCGGTTGTTTTGATTAGGAAAGGTAAACAAAAACAAGGGTGTTACCCGGCGATTATCAGGAGAATATGAGCATGAAGAGGGTTGAAAGAAGTTTTATGGGTTAGTTATTGTGATATATTGACATGTTTATTATAATATAGTTGATAATACCAACTTAAATGGTGGTTCTAGGGTTATTCTGGGTGGATCTAGGAAATTGCCAAAAGGGTATCTGTCATTGGAATAAGTGTCAGTACCAGCACATAGAAAAGTATCAACATACAAGAAACATGAACATAACCATCAATTGAAGAGGTTATTGATACTTAACTAGAGAATGAGTATGGTAATATGATAACAATTGGACTGTACTATTGCTTATAGCACACCATATAATATACTAACATAGAGTCATTGATTACACTATTAACTACACCATTCATACCATCAGTACTTTAATATAATAACCCATCACCATCATCATAACCATCATAAACAATATCATCATCCTTATTATCAAATCCTATTCCATTCCATTACATCATCTCTTATAAGTCACATGACCCACTTTTTGATGTAAAATCCTACATCTCCAAATCAGGAAATGCCTCCAACAAGAGAATATCTCAGCGGCTGATTATTTGAAAATGTATTCTTTTGTTTGTTTGATTCCATTTGCCACCATCAATCAATCATCATCATTACAATGGTCTTGGGAAGAAACCATCTATTACCATTCATTGCTCCTTTCCTATCAAACCCAATTGTGGATTGGATAGATGATAAATTCACTGCACTCTGTGTAAACACTTTGAAATCAGGCCCTATTCCTCAACATGTTGCCTTCATTATGGATGGTAATAGAAGATATGCTAAAAACAAAGGTTTAGAGATCTTTAAAGGCCATGAAGCCGGTTCTGCAAGTTTAGTAACAATTATTGATTCATGTTTTAAATTAAACATATCAAATGTAACAATTTATGCATTTTCCATTGAAAATTTCAATAGAAGTAAAGAGGAAGTTGATAAACTATTTGAAATCTTGGTTGATAAATTGAATTTATTCTTGGATAATGAAAAAGAATATAATAAAATTGTTCAAATTAAAATCATTGGTAATAAAAATTTAATCCCATTGGAAACATTGGTTAAATTGGAAGAAATTGAAAAACTAACAAGTGTTAATACTGATTTGATCCTAAATGTTTGCTTTGCATATACTTCAAGAGATGAAATTACCCATTCAATGGAAAAAACAATTGATCAAACTTTAAACAATGAATTAGTTATTAATCAAATTAATTCTGATATCTTGAATCAAAATTTTTATTTTGATAGAAATACCCCTAAAGTTGATATCTTGATTAGAACAAGTGGTCATACTAGATTAAGTGATTTTTTAATTTGGCAAATTAATGATTTTGGAATGATTGAGTTTTTAAATGTTTATTGGCCTGAATTCACTTCATTACAATATTATTTTATATTGTTGAAATGGAGTTATAATAAATCAATCCAAGATAAATTGACACAATGGGAATCATTTAAATCCACAAATAATGAAATTAAAAAAATTGATTTAAAATCTTTAACAACTCCACCACCATTTGTTTCAATCTTGGGTGATTAGAAATTAATTTATAACAACAGTTTCAATGATTTTTTTAATCTCCTTTTTTTTAGATTCTTTAATTTTTGCTTCATCAATCTTTCTAATATATGAATTGAATACAACAACTTCTGCAACCAATATTAAGATTCCAAAAAATAAACATAATAAAACTCTTGTACCTTGATTAAATTGATAATTATCAGTCCAATACCAAATAGCATAAACAACTGATAATACAGAAACTAAAATATTAACAATCGTGGTGATTTGATTTTTAACTTCTTTGGCAAATTCTGATGGTGATATATAATCTTTATCAAATTTATAATTCCCCCTGTTGATTAATTCTTGATATTCTTGTTCTTGTTGAATTATCTTGAGTTTGGCCAATTGAGCCGCAAATTCAGGTGTATATGAAGATTTTGGAGGTGGCGATATATAAATTTGTAAATTTTTGGTTAATTGAGATAATTCAATTTTATAAACTTGAGATATATAAATCAAATCATTTGTTGTAATCCAGCCACGTTGCCTTATAGTGGATCCATGTTGGATGGTGTCTAGGCGAGGAATGAGTTCATTAGGGATAATGAATTTGGTCATGGTTGATATAGTCTAATATCTTAGATAGATTGTAACGTGAATTTAGTTTATTGTTTATTTTCTCGAGTACAATTGAATTTTAAATCAAATTCGCGAATGATTACATAATTTATTGATCACATGACTAATCACATGACCCTTGTTTTCTGCCATTTTCTAACGTGTTCCGTAATCCGATTCTCGGAGCGTGTCTGAGCCAATCGATTCCAAAGCAAAAACAATTACATAAAGGTCATGATTATAATAAAGAGTTGGAATTATATAAAGAAGAACAGGAATCAACAACAGATTACACCTGATTATTATACTCAACTATATTATACCACAAATATGATGTTAACAAGATCAACAAGACTACTAAATATCAAACAATCAACACCTTCACTTTTAAGATACCTATCAATTAAAACTTTATCAACTCCAAATGAAAATGCCTTAAAATTCCAAGTTGATCAAAATTTATTACAAGATAACACTCCATCTATTCAAATATCAAATTCAAATCAATCTATATCTCCTTTAGCCTCAAAGATATTCCAATACGCAAAAGATGTTGATTCTATATTGATTGGCTCAAATTTCATCACTATAAATAAAGATGAATTTGCTCATTGGAATCAAGTTACTCCATTAGTTAAATCTATATTGGAGAATCATTTAGAAAATAATGAAGAAATCATAACAAAAGATCAAATCCAACAAGATGAATCCACTCATGATGAACACTATGCTACATTATCTGAAGAGGATCAAGAAATTTCAGATATGGTTGCAGAATTAATTGAAACAAGAATAAGACCAACTATTCAAGAAGATGGTGGTGATTTAGTATTTATGAGATATTCTCAAGGGAAAGTTTATGTTCAATTACAAGGTGCTTGTACTAGTTGTTCATTAAGTGATGATACTTTAAAAAGTGGGATTCAAGGAATGTTGTCTCATTATATTGATGGAATTGATGAAGTTGTTAATTTGGCTGAAGTGGAATTCAATAAATTTGAAGAGAAATTGAGAGCTAATAAAGAATCAAGAGCTTAAGATTATTTCATTCATTCATTCATTCATTTGCATTTTGGTTTTTTGGTTTGTATAAATGGTTTTTAATCTGGGATATTGGGATCTAAAAGTTTCATTGTAGTTGTAAATCAGGTCATGGTTCATTCATTCATTTCATTGATCACCATGGTCATTATAACACCCAAAAAATCCATCATCATCATTAATCATACTTAGAACGATATCCTTCGATTCTTTTAGCAAATTTGATATCAATATCACTCACACCTTGAACATCATGTGTAGTTAATGTTATTTTAACTTGATTATAAGTCTTTCCAGTTAGTTAATTACCATACATCTAATTATTTAATACCCACCGTTGTAATTGTAGGATGATGCCCCCAAAGATGACTTCTTAATGAGATTTGATTCAAAAAAGCCTTGAAATCATACAATTAGTAAATTAATCAAATTAAATCAATTGAATATCAACTCACCCATGTTTCTTCAAAATTCCCTAACTTATACTCTTTTGAAATTTCATTATTTGAATACTTCCAATTGCTCAAATTTAACAGTTGTTTTTGGATTTCTTCAGATGATAATTTTGACACTGGGATTTTAGTAATTTTATTAATCATATCAATTCAATTCAATCAGTTTATTCCACTTTTAAACCGTTTAAAATTGAGTGTAATCTTGATATTTTTCATCATCACGTCAAATCAAAAAAAAAAAAAACAATCACTTCGAGAAACGTAAACATCAACATTTTCATCAACATTTTCATCAACATTCAACACACTTTAATCTTCCAAATTCTCATGGCCTCTGCTATAGGAATCCTGGATTCCAATGCAAACTGTCTCATCTCAAGAACATACACTACAGATATCCTCCCACTCAGTTCCATAATTGAAAATTTCCAAAAACAATACACCAAAAATTTAAACCCAATATTCAAAGATTTTGAAAATGGTGTTCATTATATTTATATCAAGAGTAATGATATTATACTACTTTGTATAACATATTATGATCATATCAATTCAATGACATTGTTCCATTTCCTATACAAGTTCAAAGAAATATTGTTGAACTATTTTAAAACTGATGAATTAAATAAAGATTTAATAATTGATAATTTTAATCTAATTTATGAAATTTTGGATGAAGTTATGGATTTTGGTATACCACAATTTACAGATTTTACCATTTTAAAAGATTTCATTAAATTAGAATTAAATGAATCAAAATTAGATATTTCACATTCACAAAAAATTGAATCAGATACTTTAAATTATATAAATACTTCAATCTTGAGAACAACTACATCAAATATATCATGGAGACCAAAGGGAATTTTTTATAATAAGAATGAGTTTTTCGTTGATATTATAGAAAATTTAACAATGAATATTGATTTCCATACAAACAAGATTTCCAAAATGGAAATTAAAGGTTCAATTAATATTAAATCTTATCTTTCAGGTATGCCAATTTTAAAAATTGGTTTAAATAAAAAATTTAAAAATTTACAATTTCATCAATGTGTTGAATTAATAAAATTTAATGAAATTGGTGAAATTTCATTCATACCACCAGACGGTGATTTTATATTGGCAACTTATTCCACTCCAATAAAGACATTACCTATAATACAGATATTAAATCATGAATATATTACCAAGAATGATAACAACATTGTTTTAAAATTATCAATAAGGACAAATTTAAAACAAAGAACAAATTTAACAAATCTAAAAATTTCAATCCCAATATCATTAAATTATGATATTGATTTAAATGAAACTCCATTATTTAAATCCAAGATTGGTAAAGTTTTATATAAATTGGATCAAGATTTAATAATTTGGGAAATTGATTCATTAGGAGGTGAAAGAGAATTTACAATGCAGGCATTATTTAAATTGAAAACCACCACTTCTGAACCCAAAGAAAAGATTGAATTGGGGATGGATCCACCGCCAAGGAGAACTACACCAAATTTTAACAAATTAAAAGAAAGTCTAGATATGAATGATGATGAAGATGGATTAGAGAAACCTTTAAATTTTATAAAATTTGAATTTGAAATACCTGATATGGCATTGAGTGGATTAAAATGTGAATATTTAAAAATTGAAGAACCAATGTTGAAATATCCAAGTTTCCCTTGGGTGCGATATAAAACTATTAATGATGAATATGTTTATAGATTATAATGATTAAATGCTTTAACTATTTCTTTAATGATTCAATTAATTGTAATTTCTCTTTGATTTTAATGTTTTCCAATTCATATTTGGCATCCCATGTTGAATATAATTGTTGATTTGTCTCCATTATAGAAATTCTCATTTTTTCAAATAATGATTGTTTGAATGATTCAATCTTGTTTACCCATTTTTTAGAAATGTTGTTAAACCCAAGTATTAAACCTAATGAACCTAACCCAAACATTGAATACAATGAAAAATCATATAAATACCAACCTAAACTCGATATAACCACAACTGGTAATTGTAATCCAATGAAATTAATTAATAATAGTTTAATTGCATAATTTTGTATTGGTAATAGTTCATTTGAGATTAAATCATTATGTACCTTGGTTAAAGAATTTGAATTTAATCTATTTGATACCTCAATCAATTCTGAATTTTTCAGGTCATTAGCATTAAAAGAATCAATTTGTCCCTTGATATATGAAATTTTTTGTAATGAATTTTGAAAAAACCCAGATTCATCCAACATTCTAATTAATAAATTTTCCACATCATCATTTTTATAATATAATTTCCACCATGATAATTGTTTTGATTCAAATGAATTTATGAATGGGATAAAAGTTTTTTGGAACTCATAATGTGTATACTCATCCCATTGTTTTATTAAACTTTGGATTTTTTGGGTTTTCAATTCAAGATCTGTTTTAGTTAATGAATTTGAAATTGATTGATGATCTAAAATTTTAATTATTGAATTGAAATTTTTAGTAATGATAACACTTGGTTCTATAATTTCCAATAAAGCTTGATTAAATTTAGGGAAATGACTTGAATTGTATAAATTTGTATAAATTGTAGAATTTAATGGTGATTCTCTTAATAAATTTATAGCTTCAAATGATTTTTTAGAATTGATTTCATTTGCTTCTAATACTAATTCTGAATCAACATCTTTAAATTCAAAAGTTGGCCATTTAATATCAATTGGAGAACCAAAATTTATATATAAATGACACCCATCATTGTATTCAATATTGTGAATCTCCAAAAACTCTATATTATGGGTCTGCAGGAAAGGTGAAGGAATTGTATAATTATTTGATAAAATCTCGGGATTTTCACCATATTTGAATAGTGAACCACCATTAGATCTCTTTAATAATGATTCATACCATGATTGATCACTGGCAAATGGATCAGCTAATATTGTATTCAAGAATGTTTTTTCAGATCCTAATAACCCTATTCTGATTGGTGTATTAGGATATCTTAATTTCTGAATTAACAAGTCAATCTTCTCATAAACACCATATTCATTCAAGAAATGGGTAGGCACCTTTTGCAAGTTCACAATCTGTTGTTTGATACTAGTTGGAGTTGATGGTTTAGTTTTGATTGTTGATGATGGAGATGATTTTGGGGTTATAATACTTGGGATAACAGGACTAGCTCTCGTCACTGTGGGCTGCGCTGAGATGGTTGAGTAGCAGCATCTAGCACTCTTTAATAAATTATTCACCAGCACTCTCTTCACCAGCATCTTTCTCAATGGTTCTTTACAAATTCCAATTCCAATTCCAATTGTTTACACCTTGAATTAAACAAAAATTCGTTTTAGCCAGAAAAAAAGTAGTGTTCCAACCAGTTTCGCGAATTAGTTTTTTTTTTAATTTCCGGTGGAATTTCCGCAGACGTTAAAAATTCACATGTTGATAAAAAAGTTGAAATGAGTTTGGAAATGAACGTGAGTATCAATTAATTGCTGGATAGGGATTGTATCAAGTGCTGAGAACAGGTTAAACCATCGTGATTCAGAGGATAAGAGTGTGCTAAGTGTGTTCAGGAGACAAGGTTTACTATACGAAAGTTGCTGTTCTACACTTGACCCATAATCATGGAGGCTCTATATAACAACAACAACAAGAATATGAACAAGACCAATATCCCATCTTTGATAAACCAAAAACCATCAGCAAACTCACAAAGAGAAGACTCCTATGATCATTTCCAGAAGGCTCAGATTGATAAGAACTTGCTAGCTTCTTTATCCAGTTTCAACGGTCAAAATACGGCAGTATTATCTCCAATGCCAATACACCAACAACAACAAAGACCACATCCACCACCAACTGATAACACTGATGAATTACTAGCTATACAGGCACTAGGTCAACTAAAGAATAGCGAAACACCACCACCTGAAGAAATCAAGGCACAAGTTAAAGCTGTGCGCACTCATGATGAGATGTCAAAAGATGATGAAGATGAGGAAGAAGAGGAAGGTGATGAAGAATATTATGATACAAGTAATGATATAGATACAATGGCCACAACAGCTGGTTCCAGCAGCTCATTGTTAGCATCTACAGATGTTGCTTCAACTGGGTTCATTATGAGAAATATCAAGAGTCATCCTTTATACAATAGTGCACTAAGAGCATATAGAATCAACAAACCATCTATAAAATATGGGGTGGAAATGGTGGAAAGAGCAGCTATACCCATGGTTAATATGGTGGAACAAACAAGATTGGAATGGAAACGTAAAAAGAGATTAAGAAGAGCAAATGCAATGTTTCCTGATGAGGAGAAATTCTTACCTTATAGAACAAGTTCATTATTATCTTCTACTGCATTATACCCTTCATCATCATCGTCAACTTTGTCTAATAACTTGCCATCTATTTCTGAAGCATTATTAGGGAACAAGAATCTACATGAATTTGGATTAAATCTTTCAATTGAATCTAAGAAAAGAATTGCTACTTGTTTACAATTATTAATGCTTGCAAATAAACAATTATCTTCCAAGATCCAACATTTACAAAATTTAATCAACAAACAACAAGAGTTTCTACAAAATAAGAAGAAAATTCAAAAACAAGATAATTATGATGAAAAAATTGAAGAAAAAATTCAAAAAGAAGAAGAAGAAACAAATACAACTACTGTTCAAATTAAACAAGAAATTGTAACAACAGTGAAGAAAGTTGTTTCATTAATTTCAAAATATGCAGGAAATTCATTACCAGAACCAGCAAGATCAAATGTTAGAGAAACTTTATTAAGATTACCTACAAAATGGGCATGTACAAATACAACAAATATAATTACCCCATCAACTACATCAATTCCAAGCACTTCATCATCATCTACTTCATTCTTCAATACAAGTGGTAAAGTGTTGATATTAGCCAATGAATCTTTAGAAATGGTTAGTTCAGTAATGTCTGTATTTGATGAAACTTTAACAAAAGCTGAACTTTGGGTTAAACAAAAACAAGAAAAACAATTAGCAAAAGCTGCTATATTGAATAATTTGCATTACAACAACTCAAGTACAGCTTCATTAACTTCAACAACAGCAACAACTACAGTTGATAATGAGGATCAAGTTGCAAATAATAGTAATGATAATAATGATGACCAATTAACCCAATGAAATCTTTGTTTAGTTTTCTTTGATTATTTTCTTGTTTAATGACGATAATTATGTTTATCAACTTTGTAGAGCTTTTAACCTTTCTCTCATTTCATTTAAAACATGCTCATCATCTTCTTCAACTGGCTCTTCTTCCTCCACTGGTTGTATTGGAACTTCCAATTTACTATCTGGAGCATTTTCAACTTTATTGAACTTATCTTTAGTAAATTCACTAACAATCTTGTTAACTTCTTCATCAACTTCTTCATCTTCAAATTCATCTTCATTTTCATCCAACATATCCACAGTATCACCAACCATTTCATTCATTATCCCACTCTTGACCAATTCTTGTGATAATTCTCTCATAGTACCTGTTATTTCTGGCAATTTAACTAAATTATTAACCTCCTTCATTATATCTGAACTTAATTTCATATTTTCTTGAAGTTTCAACATCCCAAAACTTTCATCAATTTGCATACCAACACTATCTAATTGTGCCTTACTCTTGTGCAACCTAGATTTTTGCTTCTTGATACCATATAATTCACGTGCATAAATCTTGACAGTCTTGTAATCTTCTTTACGTGCAGCTCCTTTAATCAATGATTCAGTCTTCTTCTCTAATGAACCTAATTCTCTTATACTTTTCTCTAGTTGACGACCATTACGACGCACAAGCTGTTTACATTTTCTATGCTAGAAAGATAACTAGTTAATAAAAACACAATTCAATGATGGAAAGAATTTGAGCCCATTATCAACTCACTTGTTCTTTTGGATCTGGCCCCCAGATAGCTTTCTTGAGGTAATTCATGATCAAATTGTGGTGAAATTGGGAAATTGAGATAGAGGTCTATTGTTATCTATTTGAAATTTGAATATTATAGTATTCACTTTAAAGAAATTGATTCAATCTTTGACGAATGCGACGTTTTAATGTTGATGATTCTAATCCTGACTTTTTTGGTTATCCAGCAAAAAAATCAACACCCAAACATCAAATGGATTCGCGAAAGTGCTCGCGAACTCGTTCTACAAAAACCCAAAACATAATGAAAACCTCACCTTTAAACTCCATTTACCTGTACAAGTGACGATGAAGGTGTTTTGCTGGTAATGGCGAAATGATGATTATCAAACTACAATATGGACCAAACAAAATTGTCATTGTGCTTTAAATAGTATAAAAAAGGGTACAGAATCAAGACTAGAATTAAATATAAAAATGGAAACATGAATCAATCAGTTCAAAATCAATCAATACTTGGGATAGGAACAGTACGACCGGGAACTTTACTATCATTGATGTTAGCTTCTCATTTTTCAAGGGTGTGAGGATCTGTTTTACCACCTTTATATTGTCCCCAATAAGCTTCAGCTTCTGGTTCAGCTTCTCTTTTTTCAAGAGTATGAGGATCTGTTTTACCACCCTTATATTGTCCCCAATAAGCTTCAGCTTCTGGTTCAGCTTCTCTTTTACCAATGGTGTGAGGATCGGTTTTACCACCTTTATATTGACCTTCATAAGCTTCAGGTTCAGCTTCTCTCTTCAAAATATCACGAGGGATATCAGGAGTGTTTGCAGTTGATGGATGGTGCTCAGGGGTGGCTGCTTCAGCTTCAGCTTCCCTTTTCAAAATACCACGAGGAACATCAGGAACATGTGGATCTGTTGGATGCCCAGCAGGGAAATTAGCTTCAGCTTCAGCTTCTCTTTTGCCAATAGTGTGAGGATCTGGCTTACCACCTTTATATTGACCTTCATAAGCTTCAGGTTCAGCTTCTCTCTTTAAAATATCACGAGGAGCATTTGGATCATTAGGACCTTGTGAATGACCAGGAATAATTGGTAAAGCTGAAATAGCGCTCAATGAAGCTGCAATGATAACTAAAGTTGAATATCTCATAATGAAAAATAGGCGTTGTTGATATTGGAGTTATTGATACCTATTTTAAAAACATTTTTTTTTGTACAAATATTGAGCTGAAGACCACCTTTTATACAATTTGGATTTTAAATGTTCGAATCCACCAACTTAGAAAAGATAATGAACATGTGGAGCTGCTATTGAGGTACATATGGTTTGTGGACACTAATTATCATCCACCAATGACGTCCACACCACTCCTTCCTCTCAACTAAATTGGCTAACAATATCGTATAATTGATCATGTATTGCTAATCCTGAAGATAATTCAATGAGTAGAAAAAGAGTATTTCCGAAATCATGAGTTGACCGATCTAAACTCTAATAGAGCTTATAATTGTTCAGACTTTACAGCACTATTACTGGTATAACCGACGGGAATCTAGACACTTGACACTTGTACTGACCTTCTCTAGCATTATTGTGAAATGAGGTTCACTCACCTTCTGCTCAAAATTCGGAAATGTGTACATCTAATGTTTCGATCAAAATGGTGGATAATTCGAGATCGAGGATTTAAGCTATCTCGAGAATCAAGATCCAAGACCTCGAAAACAAAACTGATAAAGCATCACATTCAGGGGTGACATTGACAACTTCGTTTTGTGTCAAAGAACAGAAAAGCCTCACGCTACTAAGTAGACTAGCTAGCTTTTATTATAAACATATAAGTTCAGTAAGCATGATTGAATTTCCCATCAGGTTGTTTCTTATCAAAGAAAGTTCTCGTGTAGTAGCCGAAATTAAGGGAAGGTACAATTAGAAATCTATCTGAGCAGTGAGCAGCCACAATCAGAATTTTGATTTCACCGATCAGTTTCATATGCGAATAGTCTAATACTCATGCAAGCATGTAGACCTCAAAAGTTTTTACGAGCAAAAGATGATTGAATTGCACCATTACACCTCATTTGGTGGAGGTATTGACGGACATTCCAGGAATTGACACAACTTTGAAACCCTTTCGGCATATGTAGAATTCTAGAGCCAAATTTCAGCTTCCATTACAGCAGTTTGAATTAGTTAATCAAATATGTCCACTAGAGTGAAGCTAACTACCGATCTACAAATCAATAGGCGAAAGAGATCACCATAAATGAAAGTAATTTATAAGTCCAATTTGTATTTTTAATTACACCAACACCACACTTGTAGCAATCAAAATCGCAGCTCCCATTATTGACCATGACATGAGTTTAATTGACTTTATTCCTTCAGATTTGGTAAAGTCGAAAGATGAATCTGACTCGTCATTCAAGAATATTAAAGCTGGGTTCTTTTTAAACTTATCCTTTGGATCTGAGTTGATGGTCTTGTCGCCTGATGGATCTTTTGTCTTAGTAGCACCAGACGAGTTTCCAACATCACCACCTTTTGATAAACTTTCTGCTTGTTTCAATTGATCTATTGGAAGTTTTGGAATTGAATATGGGTCATTATGCAAAGATGTCTCTTTCTTTAGTGATTTTTTATCTCCCGAGTCAGAATCCTCATGTTCAAAAGACTTCATTATCTTATCAAACATAGGTTTAGTTCCATTTGTAGCCTTTGAATTATGATTCGAACTACTTGGCTTATTCTTCTCATTTGTGACCTTAGAGATTTGGTTCTCAAAAGTTTCAGCCTTTTCAGATTCATTCAAGACCTCTTTTGGATGACTGAATTGATTGACGTTTGAATTTGGGTTTCTTGGTGAATCAGAATTGTCATTGTTGATTGAAGATTTATCAAAAAGGAACTTTTCTGGCTCGTAATACTCAATCTCACTGTTCTCTTTCGTCTCATCACCATTTAGCCCCTCATCTTCATTGGAACCAAACCTTGATTTTCTCAACCCTATCCTTTGCTTTTTATCAAATCCAAAAACTACTTTACCCTCATTCAAATTCCTATAATCTTCATCAACATCCGGTGAGCCAATAGACGTAGAAGCCTTTTCCTTCCTCTTGAGTTCCTTCAGAATTTCGTTTAGTGAACCATGTTTTTTAGAAGCAGCAGCATCACCATTGTTCTTTTTTGACTTTGAGGAACTCTTCTTGTTGTTTTTGGCAGCTTTTGTTTTAACCTTCCCTGTCTTCTGTTGCACTTTGTTGTTCACTTCTCCATTCTCTTCACGATATTCATCCCCGTACCGCTGGTCAACCAGATCAAACACATTTTGTGGAATCTTCTTCAATTTTTTCATAAAGCTTCCTGGTTCAGTGTTTTTGCTTTCATCAAGTGTCTCTTTGAGTCCTAAAGATTCCAAAATTTCTGGGTTGAGTGATTCAAAATCCTCGACTTTACTCAGTTGTATCAGTTGCTGGAGAACCTCATCCGATCCTTTTTTGTCCTCAGATCCTGGGGTGATTTCAACTGCTGATGAATCAGAGTTAGATTGTGATTTTAATAAAACATCAAGCATTTTCCTCAATTTTTCAACATTCAATGAGCCAGCATCATTCCCTAAGTGTTCATCTAAAAGTTTCTTCAAATCAGCATTTGGCGAAGGCAATGGGGTTGAGCCTTTATTACTATCAGCAGGCTTAGCTGACATTGTTTCTGTTGGTTGAGGTTCTGCACTGATTTGAGACTTGGTCACCAAAATCGTTGTATTAACTACTGGTTTTTCTTTGGATGACAGCAGCAAACTTGGGATAGAAGATATTGGGGGTGTTGTTTTTGTTAAGGTATGAGTAACCACAATTTCAGTGGTTGGAGATGATATTGTTTCTTCTTGCTTTGGGGAATCTGGTGACTCAGGAGCTTGTTTAGGAGCTTTTTCTTTCCAGAGCCTCTCAATAGTCTCCTTTATGGTTCTTTCAATATTTACTTTTTCTTTGTCATCACTTGGCTGTACAACAACAGCATTTTGCGTTGGTGAATCAATATTTGGCATATCAGTTTCCTTAACAGTCTGTGAAGTTGAAGTAGCAATTGGTGTTTCACTTGGGATCAACGTGGTAGTAACAACTGCTTCTGTCTTTGTTGAGTGAGTTGATAAAGGCTCTTTGGGTGTTTCAATAATATTACTGGTACTAGGAAGTTCTTCAGATGATGGTGATGGTGATGTTGTAACGACAGTCTCGATAGAAGTTGTAGCTTCCGTACTGTGTTCTGACCATTGGTGAATGGTAGATGCTGATGAAGGCTCGTTCATTATATCAGAAGACTTTGACTGGTTTATATCTTTGAAAAATCCAGGTGCATGAGGTTCAAACTTGTAAAGTCCACTTATTACAGTAGCATCCTTAGAAACAGATCTTAACATTTCACTTTCCAGGTCTTTTGAAGAACCTAGATCTAACTTCCCACCGACACTTGTAACTTCAGGATTCAAACTTTGGATGAGTTCAACAGCTTCACTAGACTCTGGTATATCAATAAATTGATTGCGCCCAATGGACTTATCAAGCTGATCAGAATTTAAACTGTCAAACCCCATTATCTGTAAGACAGCATCTGTATTAGGGTTTACATCTAGCCCTTCAGTCGGATACCCAAACACAATATTGACAAATAAGACCTGAAGGACACAATAGCACAACCTCATCCTTAAAATTGGTGTATATAGCCAAAATTCTTCTATGTAGTGTTCACCAGAAAGCCAACGATTCTTGAAAAACGAAAATAAACACTATTTACGCTCATTTTGGCCATCAACCACAATAACCACCAGCACGGATCTAACAATCTGGCAACAGAAACACATGACACAAAGACAAGACAAAAGTTATAACGTTGTGACTGAGTGCTAGGGTTTGTGTCAGGCTTTAAAGCCACAAAGCCAACTAAGCTAAAAAAAAAAAACAATTTTCAGGAAAATAGCGGCTCACTTGGATCGACTAGTCCTGATCCACAAACTTCAAAACTTCTTGTGCAATATCAAAATATGGTTTTGTTAAAGGGTCTTTGTCAATATGAGAAACCACCACGGGTTTTCCTTTATCTGATTGTAAACAAATCTCTTCATTCAGTGGAATAGATCCCAAAAGTCTCAAATTTTGCTTCTTGGCTTCTTTTAAAGCACCATCTGTACCAAAGACATGGGATTCATGGTTACAATTTGGACATAAAAAGTAGCTCATGTTTTGAACCAGCCCTATAATCTTGGAGAAGTTAGTTAGACTGAGCAATTGTAGAGTTGCAAAATGTAGACTTACCGGTATATTAACTTTGTTGAACATTGTGATACCCTTGACTGCGTCGATCAATGCTATATCTTGTGGAGTCGAAACAATAACTGCTCCATCGACCTTAACTTGTTGGCTGATTGTTAGTTGTGTATCACCTGTACCTGGTGGCATATCGATAACCAAATAGTCCAATTTATTCCACTTCACCTCAAATAACAATTGCTGTAAGGCCTTCATAACCATTAAGCCTCTCCAAACAACTGCATTTTCAGGAGGAATAAGATAGCCCATCGACATTGATTCCAATCCATAATTACTCAAGGGTAGTAACCTGCCATCATCTGAAAGCCTTGGTTCCCCAGATAGATTTAGCAGTTTGGGTATGGATGGTCCAAATATATCAACATCTAGTATCCCAACACGATTTCCGAGCTTCTGAAGGGCAAGCGCCAGGTTAACTAATTGATGATAATGTTAGTTTGGGGTTTGCCAATTAAAATGAAGAAAACAAACTCACCAGAAACTGTTGATTTACCAACACCTCCTTTCCCTGAGGCAACAACAATCACTTTATCAACGTTTGGGATTGATTTCTTGACAGGAAGATTCTTTCCAATGCCAAATTTCTTCGCTTCAGCATTGCGTTTGGGTAAGCCCTGGTGAGATAGTTAGAGTCTGGGGAATGTTCTTGAATTGGGGAGGGATACAAACTAATGGATTCTCATGAGAATTGAGCCTGCTCAATACTGAAAAGGGCCTTATAAAACCTCCATTCCTGGTAAGGGGTCTCAATTGCAACAAGCTAAATTTCAAAGACATTGTAATTGGCTGAATGTTTGTCGACTTTACGATCCTTGATCTCAACAAGCTCTTCAAAGAACACGCTTCAATCATCCAGCGAACATCCAAACACCAAGCTCATCTCAAATTCTTGATTAAACTGCTATGTTACAATGAAAAACTTGTCTTCAGAGTGCTAAAGATCCACAAGACTCATGTTCACGATCAAAAGATTAATTCAGAAGGGCAAACCAAGTCTCGTAAGGTATTCTTCAACTTCACATCTACCCACTGTCTATGCACTATCTACACATTTTGCTAGATCTGCCATTGGAGTTGTCAGAATATCTGGTACACATTCACAATTTGTGAGTCTACAAGTGATATCCAACCCCATTTTACAATACTAACCTGCTACTAGGTCCTAGAACAATTGACAAAACAAGCACTACCCAAGCCGAGAATAGCTTCAGTTCGGAAACTTTATCAGCCAAACACTTCAAATCTACTTGATGAATCACTAGCTATTTTTTTCAAATCTCCAAAATCCTATACTGGTGAAGACCTAGTTGAACTCCATTTGCATGGAGGTACTGCTGTTATTCAAGCAGTTTTAAAATCAATCGAATCACTTCATACAGTTGAAAGACCAATCCGTTATGCTGAAGCTGGTGATTTTTCGAAAAGAGCGTTCCAAAATGGAAGATTTGATCTAACGGAGATTGAAGGTATAAGAGAATTGATTGACGCGGAGACAGAATCACAAAGAAGAGGTGTGATGAGTTCCGTCACTGGTGGTAATAAAGATAAATTCTTACAATGGAGAGAAAAAATGGTGGATTCCATTGGATTGTTGACTGCTATTATTGATTTCGCTGAAGATGCTGAGATTGAAGATATTGAAAAAATTTACAATAATGTGGACTCAAAGATTAAAGAGCTGGACAGCGATATTAAAGAGTTCCTGGAAAGAACTCAGAGATCTGAAGTGTTATTGAAAGGTATCAAACTCACTCTATTGGGACCTCCAAATGCTGGGAAATCTTCCATTTTAAATAAGTTGGCAAACGAAGAAGCTGCAATTGTGAGTGATATAGCGGGTACAACAAGAGATATAATCAATGTTCCTTTGAATATACAAGGCTATAAAGTTGTTGTTGGTGATACTGCTGGGATCAGAGACCTGGCCAAAGCCGACAGGATAGAAGTTGAAGGTATTAAAAGAGCTAAAATGCAGGCACAAATTGGTGACTTGGTAGTTGTCGTTTTGGGAACAGATAACATGAAGATCGAAGATGAACTTGCTGATATGGTTAAACTGTTAAACTCTGAGAAAAAAGTTTTAGTTGTTTTGAACAAGTGTGATTTAGTTAAAGATGATGAGGTGAGTACCTTGATCAAAAACATTTCATCAAGACTAAATGTCCCAATGGAGAACTTTTTACCTGTATCATGCATAGATAGTAAAGGTCTCGAGCAGTTAAGCTCCCAACTAGTATCGGAGTTCAAGAGAATCAGTTTCACAGAGACTACAGAACCACTAATAATTACACAAAGAGTTAAGGACATATTGATTAATGATGTTTTGATGGGATTTGAGGAATTCCAGAGATACAAAGATCTGGATGATGTTGTGATTGCTAGTGAAAGTTTAGTTCAGTCAGTTGAAGGGATCGGTAAGATTACAGGGGAAACAGTCGGCGTTGAAGAAGTATTGGGTGTGGTATTTTCAAGCTTTTGTGTTGGTAAATAAGAAACTAGTTAAAAACTTGGGTAAAAAAGACCCATAATCCAGGTAGGGCATACATCAACCAGTACCCATAATTGATAGTACCACTTGAAGATTCAGCAGCAGGTTCTTTAAGGGCTTGGTCGGTTTTGTTTTCATGAATCACAACAACATTGATATCCTTCAATTTCTCCAAGAAATCTGACCCTAAAGACATGTTGAAACTAGGCACTGTAACGTTAAAAGTTTCATTATCAAGAGTTTCATAGTTCAACGTATGTTCAAATACATCACGCTTTTCTAAAATTGAGTCTTCTATATCTTCAAACGCGTAGATAACTTCATGATTGAAATCATCTCTTTCTAGCTCACTATATTCCTGTGCTGTGAAAGATTTCTTAAAAAGCATATCCAACTCTTTTGGCTTATGTCCTGAACCAATTGCATATTGTAAACCATCATCATACACAGTTTCAATATCATTGTATTCCCTCCATTCTTCATTTACTTGATCATCCCATTCACCGAAATCATCCCAAGCTTCTTGTTGATCATGATCTTCACCGCCTAATCTTTCGTAAATCTCTTGTTTGATATAAATCTTCAAAACAATTGGGACCCTTTTAAGTTTCTTCAAAAAGTAATATAGTTTTATCAATAGCTCCATAATAATGTATTTAATTTCCCAGAGAATCTTTTTGATTATCTTTAGGATCAATAGAATAACCATCTTGATCTTGTATAAAACATTGAATGGGAACCCTTTAATAAATTTTTTAATTTTTTTGATCAAGACTGATTTGATCAACATTAGACACTTTTTGATCTTTTCAATAGTCTTCATTATTTTCAAACAAGTTTTAATCTCCTTTAATTTCAAAACTTTGGCGAGTTTGAACAACTTTAACAACAATGAAAAGAACAACTTGATCTTTTTGATGGTCTTTTTGATAAGTTTCAAAATACCGGTGGCTTCAAACAACTCTTCAAGTTTTGTTTCAGCTGTTTCTTTTACCATATATTTCTCAATCATTTCGTAGCTTGCATCAGGATCCCAGTATTTTACACCATCTTCAGCAATAAGCACATCTTCAAGAACTTCTATTTGATCAATTGACATCACAGTAATCAGTTCATCGTCATCAGCACTTTTGGCCTGCACCCAATCTTGGAAAAATGACAATGGATCAACCTCATCCCTCATGATTTTATCGTAATACTCTTTATTAGCAAGCAATTTATCACCCATTTCGAAAAAATCCTCATCTGTCAAACTAACCAATATCTTTGAGAACTCTAATAATCTTTGGTAAATCGTTTCCAACTTGTCATTCAAAATCTCCAACTCAACATCCAATGATTGCCAGGACATATCTTCCAACTCTTGACGCACCTCGGGCTCATCATAATGAGAAATCATCATTTGAAGACCAGCTTCCATCTGAGGATCCTTACCAGCATCAAGCACTTCTGTATGTTCTCTCAAATAGTGGAAGCCCTCATCATCTCCTATGAATTCATTCAAATCTGTCAATGAGCCGAAAACTCGGGCGCTAACTGATCGTGTATCAAATGGATTAATGCTGAAACCATGACCAACAGGAAACAAGTAGAAGCAGAACCAAGCAAAGATGATCATGGTGGAAATTGATAGTTTAAGCTGAAAGATGGCTTGTGTGTTGGCAACATTGATTAAGCCATTGGAAGAATCTGGATTTTTAATTGGGCGGTTAAATTTTACAAGAGAATCAAAACAATGAAAGTCAGAACTAAAAAAAAGCATCAAATTTGAAAGCACCAAAACCTCAAAATTCACATAAATCTGAATAGAAATCTAGTAATAATGATCAAAAAGCAAGCTAGTAGATAAGTGCCAGCAATACTGGATCCAACTGTGGAACCTCTGGAGTCATATTCTGTCAAATTGGAAGGAAGAGATTGGTTGATTATTGATTGATTATAGCTTGTGTTATTGATACCAATGTTGGCGATGGAAGCAACTAGTTCTGTAGCAATTTTGTCCTCAGTATCAACATATCTTTTTTCCAATTCTATAGCGTCTAATTTTTTATCGATATCATCATCAAAATCAAATTCGAAATCAAAATTAAACCCATCTTTATCAATTTTCTTTTGCTCAGATTTGGAAAATACACCTTTAAATATGTCATCAATTTCAGTGGGAGTCTTTACAATTGGTGAAAATGAATATGAGATAAAACCATCTTCATCATCATCCCAATCATCGCCATCCCAATCATCATCTTTATCATCATTCCAATCGTCCCAATCTCCATCCCATTCATCATCATCCCAATCATCTTCCCATTCATCTTTTTCACACAATTGTTTCAAATACATTATAATAGCAATTGGAATTTTCTTTAATTTCTTTAAAAGAAAGTATAGCTTGTAAAGTAATTCACAAATCAAGTACTGTAACTCCCATAGGATTTGCAATAAAATCTTGATGATCAATCTGATCAAAATTTTCAACTTGTAAATAACATTCCAAGGGAAGTTCTTGAGACATTTCTTGATCTTCATTATGATACAATATTTGATATGTTTAAGACATCTTTTAATCTTTTCAATGGTTTTAATCAAGGCAAAACAAGCAATACTCTTTTTACTTCTCAAGAGCTTCTTCAACTTGATCAATTTAAGTAGCATAGCTACTTTATATTTAACTTCTCCAACAGCACTCTTGATTTTCTTCAAGATACCTGATGTTTGAACTAAATCATTTAATTTTTCATTAGGAGACAATCCACTAACATCTTCTAGCATAAAATCCTGGAAAAGTTCATAATCAGCATCTGGATCCCAATATTTTTTGAATTCATCTTCCATATCAATTTTTCCGGATGGCGTTGGGATTTCAGAAACCTCATCTGACTCAACAATTGAGGAGTTAATTTCAGCTTCAATTTCTTCAAAAAGCCTCTTTTCCAAAAAACTTGGAACTTTCAAGTTATGGGAGTCCATAATCTGGTCATAATAATCTTTATTTTCAATCAATATATCAGCCATAGCCAACATATCATCTTCTGTAAGACTAACGAGGACTCTTGAAAAATGTAATAACCTTTGGTAAATGGCTTCAAACTTGTCATTCAACTTAAATAATTCAGCCTCCAATTGTTCAAAAGTTGCATCTTCAAACGACTGTTTTGAATCACGTAATTGATTATTCAAATCTTGTAACTTAGATTTCAAATCAGGATTATGTCCAGGATCCAAGATATCACGTCCTTCACTAAGAAACGAAAGAATCGAATCATCTCCAATGAATTCATCAATTGTTATTCCTTTGTTGAAAATCCCTTCAGCGCTAACATCAGCAGCTAATAATGTATCCTCTTGATCAACTTCTTGAGCAGCAATTGATGTGAATGCCGTAGCAGCCAGCAAAGTCAAAGCGCCCTGCACAAACAACATCGTCACCAAAGTATATAGTTTATAGCCTTGCTAAAGCCTATTGATCAAGTTTGATACTTGGTTCCCAAAAAAAAAATCCAAATTATATTTTCCAAGCGCTTAAGCTTTTTCCTTCACAAACATGGAAAGACACCACCAAAAACCTAACAACAATAACAAGCAAAAGTCAGCCAATCATCTCGGAAACCTTGTATTTATCTTCACTTCCAGCTCCTTGGAGTACTCATCCAACTCACTCGTAACTTTATCCAACAAGTCAACTTTTGATTCCAACTCGTTCAATTCGCGTAATGAAGCCATTATTGATTCATCTGGGGGCTGTTAATTAGGGATTCCAATTGATTCAAACAGAAAACACTCACTAGTATTAGAAACTCTATCAAGCTTTGCTGATAGGTTCTTCATCTCTTCTTCCTTCTTGATGTATTGAAGAGTGTTTGTTGTATGTATTTGTCTAATTGAATCAATTTTCACTAGAGAGTTTTCCGTATCATCTCCAAAAACGTGCTTTATCGAGTTCAAGGACTCGGTTACCAATTTCTTTGTAGGATCAGAAGACGATGACATGATACACCAATACTCCTCTTTGATACTTCAACTGATGGTTTTGGCTGAACTGGTGCTCAAATGCTCTTAAATCAGTTCATCAAGTTGGCTATTGTTTTTTTCCAGTCTGAGAATAAGCTTTTGGTGCCTCTGCTGACCTAATCCTGGTCCTGGGCCTTATGTAAGTCCTCCTAAGCTTCAAAGCGTCTAGGCTAGGCACTTGGGCCCTTGGTACGGTAGCGTCTCCACCTAACGCCTAACTTCCTTGAGGCCAGGCAGAGGGGGCTTCTGCCTTAGCAAATAATTATCATCAAGGCATCTTTATTATCTGGGTAAGCTATAGTAAGGCTCTAGTTGAGCCTTTATATGCTCCATATAATTGGCCAACTTCTAAAGTCAGATCTGTGCTCGTTTTAGGTTGGCTCAACACCGTTCAACTGCTCTGCACAGAAAGTTTAAAGCAACGGTACAGGGATTGATTGTTGGAAAAGAGACACAAGGGTTCGAAGTTCACAGCTGTAAGGCTAGAAAACGTGCAGAGAAAAAGGGTAATACAATAGGTGGTATACTAGCTAGTAGTAAGAACCTATTAATGCTAGAATGCCATAGAAATATGCTTAATAAAATGCATTTTGTCGCTATTGTTCAGTATACGTCTGCCATCCCACAACGGTCACAAATTGCCAGATTCGGAGAACTGCATGTTCGCTTTAATCTTAAAAAGAAACTAAAATAAGCTGTTGTGTATCTCGAAAATTATTTTAAACAACCTCATCTAATAACTCGTATTTATTATAACAAAGCACAATTTCCCTTTCAATTGCTTTGTGGAGGTATACATCTCGTTCAAAGAGTTTGAAATACGGTGGTTTCCAAAGGGTCAGAGCTTGGTTTAGTTCACTTTGAGGCTCGTGGTTTTCTTCAATTATGTCTCTCAAAGTTTTGCATCAAGTTGTACGTGTGATACTACGGTCAAAGTTATCCATCATCACATTGGTGACTTTTTTCATCCTTTTCCAATTCTATTTCTTTAATTCTCAACCAAATAATGATCTATACTATTTGAAAGGTACTCAAGATGAGTCTCAAATTATCCAGAGATTGAAAAACCTGGATACTGGTACTAAAGTTTTCCTTAATGACAATAAAAATGATATTTCATCTTCTTATACAGATCTTATAAAAGATTATGGTGAAACATTTTATCAATACCCTTACCAAAACAAATGTTCTATTTATTTCAACCATTTGTACCAGAAAGAACATACTTGGTCATTGACTGATTTCCATGACTTGCCATATGATGGAACAATTTTTGAAAAAGAAGGCGAGTTTTTGAATAACAAGCTCAAAGAACATAAAGAACAACATTTCAAAGATATGACAGATGATCAATTCAATGAATATGCTAAAAAGGAGAACTTGATTGAATTATACAAAGTTGCTTATAAAAAAGTTGTTCAAGAATCAAAATCAACAGAAAGAAAATTAATTGATGCATCAACCCATTTAAGAGTTTATGGTGCTTGTTATTTAGATCAATATGGTCAACATAATGATTATGAATCAGACGCCCAATTTGAAAAAGATTGTTTGGATATTGAAATGAGAATGTTCCCATGGTTGAGTAGAAGATTACCAACTTATAAAAGATGGGATGGAACTGAATTGAAAACATTACCAGATATTTCTAAATATACAAATCAAATTGATGATTATAATCCAATATTGACAAACTGTTATATGAAGAATTTAAAACATCAATTGAATGGTAGAGGTATAACAATCAGTGCTAAAGATGATCATTTTGACATATTGGTTGGTTTATTCTCATTACTAAGATCTTTGGGCAATAAATTACCAATTGAAATTGTTCATAAAGGTGATTTGAGTGAAAAAATCCAAAAACAATTGATTGATGTGGCACGTATGGATACTCCAAATATAACAAGTATTAAAAATCTTGATGTGATTTTAAATCAAAGAAATATCACAGATTTTAATCCATCAAACAAGACACAAGTTAATGAATTGTTCCCCAAGATTGAATTATGGTTTGTTGATGTCCAACATGCAATTTCTCAAAATTATAGAGATAAATTCAACGCATATGCCAACAAATTATTAGCTTATTTCTTCAATTCATTCAAAGATTGTATCTTGTTGGATGCTGATACAGTCCCTGTTGTTGATCTTGAATCCAAGATTTTTGACTCGGAGGAATATAAGAAACAAGGTGCTTTTTTCTTTAAAGATCGTGAATTATTCTATCAAGGTATCTTTTCTGATCGGAAATTTTTTGCCAAATTAATGCCAACTAATATTGATACTGGAATGTTTAAAGTTCCTAAGGCAACAGATAAGACTTTGAAAAACAGATTTATTGGTGGAAGATTTTTACATTATATGGAAGCTGGTGTTGTGGCTATCGACAAAGCCAAGCATTTCACTGGTGTTTTAACCACATTACAATTACAAATCTGGGCACCAGCAGCATCTAAAGTTTGGGGTGATAAAGAGTTATTCTGGTTAGGGTTATCAATTTCTGGTGATGAAGATTATTATATGAATGAATTAGCTGCTGGTTCAGTTGGTCAATTAACTCCTAAAAGATTCAGAACTCATGAAGATAAAGAATTGATTGGAAGAGAATTATGTTCAACTCATCCAGCTCATGTTTCAAGCGTCGATAATTCAACTTTATTATGGTTTAATTCTGGTTATCAATACTGTAAAAAGGATACAGCAAATGAAGATTATGATGAATCAAAATTGTATCAAAAAATGTTCCCATCAAAAGATGATTTGAACAAATATTACAAGGATACTTTAAAAGTTGAAGCTGTCATCATACCAAAACATGCTGAATATCATGTTGGGAACGATATTGGTGAAAATCCAAGAGGTTGGGGGATGAAACACGAATGTGGTGGGTATATGTTTTGCTCATTTGATAAAGTCGGTGGTAAAGATGATCCTGTTTCAAATGGGTTATTGTTACAATTTAATGAAACTCAACAGAAAATTTATGATTATCATGGATCTGTTTGGATAAATGGGAACAAAATTTTCTATGACCCAACTACAAAAAAGTAATGTGCTTATTTGATTAGCCCTGTCTATAATATATTATTATCTCCCCACTATATGGAGTTTGTTTGATTTTTTATGAATGTTCTAATGCAATGGAGTTTTGTTTTGATTTTTCACCATGTCTCTTGTAGGTATCTATTATTTGTCTCCAATTCTAATAAATATTGTTTTGATTGTTCTTTAGTCAATCCTTTAGTCTCTTCCAAGATTGTTTCAAATGTTAAACGAACTTGATTTGGCATTTTACCTGAAGAACCACAAACATAAATGACTGCATTCCCATGAGTTAATAGTTCAGCAACCAATTCAGCTTGTAAATATAATTGATCTTGTACATAGCCACCACTCTCTCTTGAAAATGCTGTGAAAAGTGTCAATCTTTCTTGTTCAACTAATTCATTCCACTCTTCACCATACAAGAAGTCCTTATCATGTAATCTATTACCGAAAAACAAGTACAAATTGTTTTTATTTGCCTTGAAATCAAAGACTCTTTGGTGAATCAAGCTTCTCATTGGTGCAACACCTGTACCTGGAGCAATCATAATTATTGGAACTTCAGGACCTGGGAACTTCAAATTATTCTTGTCAATTTTATAAATCACCTTATCACCTTCATTCAATGTTTTCAGCCATGAAGTACATAACCCTTTTCTGATTCTTCTAATCATGGTCTTGTATTGAACAACAGCCACGGTCAAATCAACTTTGTCTGATGATGGTGGAGATGAAATTGAAAACAATCTTGGTTTGATGATAGGAAACAAATCCAAAAGATATTCGATTGGAATCTTGACTGAGAAAAACTCTTGGATAGTTTCCAATATTGATCTTCTTGGTCTGTTTGCATAATTGTACAATTCCTCTGGGTCTTTATAAGAACTAAACTCCTGTAGTTTTTCTCTTTCTCTTTCATCTGATGCAAAATGCCATAACAAGGCAAAAAACGATCTTCTAGGTATAGCCTTTAGATCTAAATGATGTGTTATTAGTGATCTTAAAGTTGGTGTTTTGATTAAACCGCCATCTATTATTGGTAAATGATCATTTTCAATAATTACTCTTCTATCTGCAATATCTGTCCAATTTTGAATCTCAATCAAGGCATCAACTTCTCTAGAATCATTGGTTGGATATAGAGCCATAGTGTCCCCAGGTGAATAATCCAATTGTTCATCATCATCCTGGATTCTGAAATGACGAACATCTTGAAAATGATCGTCAGAAGTGATTCTTTTATTCAACACTACTGTACCAGCTTTCAAAGTTGAATCAGTTCTTGTCAATGCTATTTCTTTACTATTTGTGTCTGTTTTCCTTTTAGGTTTTTTCAAATCTATACTCAATTTGAATTTTGGTGGTAATAGTTCATCTTCAGATATTGGTTCAAGTCCCTCCGGTAATGGGAATTTTCCATTCAAGTTTTGTACAAGCAAGTTTTGAAATTCAATATAGTATCCATCAGCACCCTGGCTACTTTGTTCATCACTTTCAGCCCTTTTACTAAATTCAACACCGCCTAATTGTAGCAATCTATTGTGTAGTTTCTTGATGGCCCAATTAAACTTGGGATATGATGAATCCCCTAACCCAAATGTGGTGAAATACAAATGATTCAATAAATCATTCGGCAGTTTCTTCTTGAGCATAAATTTCCAAAACTTTCTTGAATTTTTTGGAAACTCACCTTGACCTGTAGTAGAACATAGCACAATCAAGATTCGTACTGATAACAAATTTTTCAAATCAAACTCGTCCAATGACGATAGATGAACTTTGAAATGTAATAGTTCAAGTCTTCTAGTTAATGTCTCTGCAAAATCTTGGGCATTACCAGTTTCTGAACCGTATAAAACAGCTATGGACCTATCCATATTTGCTGATAAAATTGTGATGACTAAAAAGGTCTATGTCTTGTGCAGTGAAAATAGGTCTTTATTTTTGGATAAAATAAGGAATGAATCAGTTCAGTGTCACCAGAAATAACTATTTCAACAGAATCAAATCTCTCAGTAATGTGTTTCTTTATAAAGTTCTAGCACAATAACCACAAATATTTCAGCCTTATTACTCTTGATATTGGTTGGAAAAAAAGTTAACGATTCGAAATCAAAATTTGGCTGTTGAAGCGAGATTCGAGGCCGCGAAAACGTGACCTGATGACTTTGATGACGTAACATCCGAGGGCTCATCAAATTTCGAATTCGTCGAAGAAATTACAAGTGAAAATTATTAATCATTTAACCAAAAGGGATTTCTAAAGGCAAAAAGATCCAATCATAAGACAATGTTCAGATCAGTTTTGAAAGCTCCAATCACTTCCACCCTAAGGTACCAAGGTATCAGACAAGCAAGATCTGCTGCTGTTCCTTTTGTTAGATTCTACAGTGAAGAAGCTAAAAAATCAGAAGGTGAAGAAGCTGCCAAAGATGAAAATGCTGCTCCACAAGAAAAAGATGAAGTTACCACTTTGAAAGAAGAAATCGAAAAGAACAAAAAAGATTTAGCAGTCTTCAAAGATAAATATTTAAGAGCTGTTGCAGATTTCCAAAATTTACAAGAATCAACTAAACGTGAAATTACAAAATCAAAAGAATTGGCTTTGAAATCATTTGCCAAAGATTTATTACAAACTGCTGATACTTTTGACATTGCTTTAAACACTTTAGAAAAAGATGCTGCTGAACCAGAAAAACACACCAAAGAAATGAAAGATTTAGTTGAAGGTGTTAAGATCACCCAAAATATGTTCAACAACACTTTAAAAAGACATGGTTTAGAAAGATTTGAACCAGTTGGTGAACCATTTGATCCAAATGTTCATGAAGCTGTTTTCGAAGTCCCACAACCAGATAAAGAAGCTGGTAGTGTCTTCTTCGTTCAACAACCAGGTTACTACTTGAACAAACGTGTCTTGCGTCCAGCTAAAGTTGGTGTTGTCAAAGGTGCTGAATAAACGATCAACTAATAATGCTTATTTTACGAGATGTTTACATACATCTATTCATGACCTGTTAATGCTTCCTGTATATATACAATGTGTTAATGAAACATTTTTCTATTTATAAGTGTTTTGTTTAACGTAATTCAACATCAAAAGTTTCTGCAACTTTTTCACGAATTTGTTCTTGTAAGACATTAACTTCTTCATTTGTTAAAGATCTATCCATGGATTGATAATTTATTCTATAACATTGACTGTTACGACCTGTTTTTGGGTGTGTAAATTCATCAACCAAAGAGACATTTTCAACCAAGTCACCACCAACATCTCTAACGATTTCCATGATATCATTGATATGAACTTTTTCATCAACTGATGGGACCCAAAATGCAATATCCCTTAAAGTAGCTGGGTATTTAGAATATGGTTTAAAAGTTGAAATTTTGCCCTTTTGAAATTGTTTACCAAATCTTTCATCAAGAGTCCAAAATAATCTAATATCTGGAATACCAAATAACAACATTGCAATTCTATCTAGCCCAATACCGAAAGCCCAACCAATAGTGTTTTTAATCCCAGAATTGGTTAAAACTTCTTCACGAACAACACCACATCCTAAACATTCTAGCCATTCACCTTTCCACCAAACTTCAATTTCCCAGCTTGGTGCAGTCCATGGGAAATAAGCTTCAACCCATCTAACTTTGAGTGGTTCATTTAAATATGGTTCATCACTACCTGCTAATTTAGCAGCTTTCTTGGCTTCATTGAAAACTTCATTAACTAATACTTCCAAAGTTCTTTTCAAGTGTGTTCCAACTAGCTCAGCTTCTCTATCAGTCATGTAAGATTGTTTTGGATTAGATTCAGGGTGGAAAGGTGGTGCATTATCCTCCACTATTATATCAACTTCAGGAATTTGTTTCAAATCATCCAAGATTTTTGCCTCTAATTTATCTCCATATTCATCTCTTGACCATATTCTTGCACCCTCCATTTGATGGAAAGCTGGATAATGTGTTTTGTCAATTTCATCTCTTCTATAAACATCTGCTGAAATGAAATAACCAGGTGTTTTACAAGTCTGGAAACATTCAACTTCATGAGCAGAGGTATGAGTTCTTAATAATGTTGTTTCATTAACATAGTAAGTATCTGTCTTGCTACGACCTGGATGGTCTTTTGGAAATCCTAAAGCATCAAAATTCTCATATGTTGACACAACTGGTTTGAAATTGTTGTAAAAAGTGTATCCTAGATCCTTGAATCTTGTCTCTATGAGATCTCTAAGGATACCAATTGGATGGTTTTCATTCAAATGTAGTGATCTATCTGTTAATGAAATGATATTTGGGGGAACATTGGTCCAGGAATCTGTCTTGTATGTTTTACCATTGATCTCCAAAGTTTCAGGTATAACTCGTTCTGTGAAAAGTTAGTACTCTTAATCCGTGAAAAGAACCTAACAAAGCATACTTGTCGAGGCAAAACGTATAGAACCCAGAAGGGATCTACTCAAAGTACGAATTTGACTTCTCATTCCACTTGCTTCAACAGCTCTTCAATAATAGAAATCTCACCATTTATTTCTTGATGCTTTTTGGTGAAGATAAATTACACCCTCGGTTCTATACTTTGAATTCCGGTACATAGTAAATCGAGATCGTTGAAAAAAAAGCTTCAAACGTGAATTGAAGGTCAAAGAGGATCCTTTTGAAAAGGTCATAAACAACTTAATTTTATCATGTTTTCGATAAGTGGGTTCAGTGTGGCTAGGGCTACTGCTTTCCAAAGACCAACGTTCCAAATACCACAACTTTCGAACTTGGGTAAACGTTTCACACATGAATATGGTAAGTTTCCTAACAACAAAAATATCTGTGTTTGCTTCTAACATTCAGTTCAGCTCCAAGATTCAAGAAAGTAAAGAAGGCCCAAAAGGGTAGAGTCACTGTTCGTACTGGTGGATCCACTAAAGGTTCCACTGTTCAATTTGGTACTTATGGTTTACGTTTGAAGAGTGAAGGTGTTAGATTAAAAGCTATTCAATTAAAGGAAGCTGATAATTCAATTATGAGAATGATGAGACCTGTGGGAGGTCAACTTTGGAGAAGATTAAGTACGGGGATTGCTGTTTGTATAAAAGGTAATGAAACTCGTATGGGTAAAGGTAAAGGTGCTTTTGACCATTGGATGGCTAGAGTTCCAACAGGGAAAGTTATTTTTGAGATTGCTGGTGAAAATTTACATGAACAAGTTGCTAGAGAAGCTTTCAGAAAAGCAGCCACCAAATTACCAGGTTTATATGAATTCATTAAAGTTGATACACCAGTTAGAGTTGGTTTAAAGCATTTCATTCCTAAAGAAGAAAAAATCAATTATTTTACAGAGGAGAAGAAAAATCCATCAAAGGTGTATTTAAATAAACAACAAGCTAACGATGATATTTATAAACTATACAAAAATCGTTAAAGGGGTGTGATGGGGTTACAAAACTTGTATATAAAAAATCAAAGTTATTCATTAAGGACTTTTAAACTGTAAATGGGAACTATGCATTTTTTTCGATGGCAACCATTGATTTTGCAATGAAACCTTCTAAATGGAAGATTGATTTTGTACCTAGACTTAATCTTTCATCAAAAATTGCAGCCAATTCAACAATGTCACTTTTAACTTTATCATTAACAAAGTTTAATAGTTCAAATGCTAATGTTTTCAAAATGATTTTTGGGGGTATACAATGAGAAATCAATTCATATAAAACAGTTCTTGATGATGAAATTCTTGCAACATTACGATCACGAGATATGTTGCCAGCCAATTTCTTGATAACACCTTCCCAATCTAATGTAATCATTGGCGTAGTGGTCTTGAGAGTTTCATTTTGCATGGTTAGAGCTTCTAATAATAATAATGCTCTACGTAAATTTCTTTTGGATGAAGCACCAACATTATTCAATACTTGAATTTTATCTTGTTCATCTGAAGGTAATTGGATTTCTTGCTTTGAAGCTAATTTTGATAAAACTTTTGTTATATCATCAATTGTTGGGGAAGGTATTCTTAGAAGTAATGTTCTTGATTTAATTGGAGCAATAATATTTGATGTTGTGTTGGAAATTAATATTAGCCTTATATTTTTAGAGTATTTTTCCATGGTTCTACGTAAAGCAGCTTGAGCATCTCTTGATAATGAATCAGCTTCATTAATTATGACAACTTTAAAACGATGTTTCCCACTGAAATCAACTTGTTCAGTCTGTGCAATTTCTTTCAACAAGTCTTGGATGACAACTCTATCGTTATTACCTAGATCACTTGGTGTGATTTCCATATGATAAGGACTTGAAACCACATTGAATTCTAATTTACGATTTGAAGAAGTTTGGAAAGTTCTAACATCAATCTTCATCTTTTCTACACCAGCACCAAACAATTCATGTAAAACAGCAATCACTCTGGTTTTTTTACCAGCACCAGAAGGACCATAAACTAATAAATGTGGGAAATCACCTGAAGATGCCTGTTAAGTGTTAGTATACAGAAAAATGGTGATAAAATCAACGAAACACATACTAAAGCCTTCAATCTTTTTGAGACATCTTCATGATAATCTATGCTATCTAGAGTACGAGGCCTATATTTATCAACCCACAATGACATCTTTGTCTACTTTGATTCGATTCAACTGCTCTTAATATTTGCTTCTACTGACGCGACGCCAATTTCAATTTTTTTAACGTGAATTCGAAAATTCGCGAATGCCATTATTGGTACGGGAATTGATGGCAGATAAAGTATAAGCTCAATATTTCTCAGATTGAGAAAGACTATTTGAAAGAGTTTAAAGTCATTATCCTACATAATGAAGGGATCTGAGTATTTATATTAAATTCATCAGCATGATCATTTGATCACAACTCAAGATCTCTTTGTCCGAAAAATCTAGAAACAATAATTATAACAAAATCATTAGTAGCACGAGTAGTTTCACTAACAACATCACCTTTAGCATTGATCTTTTTTGCTCTTTGTGCTAGTTCTCTTACCGTGGCTGAATCACTACTCTCCAACACATCATTTAACTTCACTAATAATGCGAATATCCATGTGGATATCTGTTCGGGTATATTATTATTCAACCATCTTGGGCAATATATTATCAGCCTCACTGTTAATTCATGATCAAAATTGGATATCAGTGATACTGTTGGTTGGTTTTGCATTACAAATCTTCTCCATTCTGTGAAATTTTCTGGAAAGACAAAATTTGAAGGGATATCTAATTCACCAGCTTGAGGTAATGATTCTCTTTCTCTTTGAAACTTTTCTAATATACTTCTTTCATACTCGATTTCTTCATCAGTTTTTGAATTTATCTGTATCGCAGTAGATACTTTCGTTTGTTCTTCCCCATCATCATCATAATTAATCTCTTTAGATATGAACATTACACTTGAACCAGTCTCAGCTTGACGCCTAAATTTTGCTAGTTAGTATGAAAACAAGATTTAATGATCCTGATACTCACCTCACCATTGCCAAATAAGTCTCTGCATCTTCTGGAATCGTATCTGGTTTGACATTTGCCAATTTCTCTTGAGATATGGGTAGTGCTCTATATTGACCGAAAACAGGGTCTAATTGATGAGAATTTGAACCTTCGTCATCATCACCATTTCTTCTTCTCTTATTATTCCTATTCTGACTATTCCCACTTCTTTTGTTACCCATTGTATTGATTTCTTGCTGGATATTATTTGTATGTAAAAGACCTTCAAGTTGATTTTTTCTTTGGAAAAACAAAAAACCATCACCAACGTACACCAATACACTGGAAAATGTCAAAGAGGAAAATCGAAGATGAAGATACAATTGAAGACCCCCAGCACATATCTGCAATTGATTCTCCAATCATTGTTCATTGTGACTTGGCTCCATGTCATCATAAACCTTTTGCAAGCAGTCTAGAATACGAATCACACTATCTGAACAATCATCAACATAAATGTCTTTCATGCAAATCCATATTCCCCAATGAACAATTCCTTGACCTTCACTTATCAGAGTTCCATGACCCTTTCAATGCCATAAGAAAGGAACGCGGTGAAAAAATCTACAGATGCTTTTCAGTTGGTTGTGATAAGGTATGTTCAAGTCCTCAAAAGAGGAAATTACATTTGATTGATAAACATCAATATCCCAAAAATTTCTTATTTAGTATTGTGAAAACGGGACTACGACCAAACCAAACTTCTTTATTGAAAAGCTGAACATTGATGTTTATTAATTTATTTAGGTGGTGCTTGTGTGTTTGATGGTTTTGGAGTTGAAGTTGATGAATTGCCATTATCCAATTTTCTCTTCTTCTTTTTCGATTTAACCACCACTGGTCTTCTTTTCAATTTCATTATAACATGATTATCAAATTCACTATCACAAGCTGGGCATTTGTTATTTTCAGGTATTAAACTCAAAACTAGAGATTGTTAGTATTGCTCATTATGTTTTTTTGCTAAGATTACTTACTACATAGACAAACACTGCAAACGTATCCAATATCCACAACTTTCCCCGTTAGGAAACATGATGCTCTGAAATCAATATTCCCACTTGTTGGACGGACAAGGATATTTTTGATAGATGGATCAATAAATAAAGCAGTCTTTAAAAGGTTGTTAGTGTTGTAATTTATGGAAAGATATATTAGTACTCACTGTAAAATATTGAATCAATCCATCCAGATTCTCAACATGAAGATAAACACCATTTGTAGCATCACTTGCTTGTTGTAGGAAAGTAGCATCTGTACCTAATTGGCATACATCAATTGAAACTTTCATTTTTTGTGCAGCAAAGATACAATTCATGATTGGAATATATTTCAATTGTTCATCTTGACTAATATTAACAACAAGTACCCTAGCCTTCATTAGGCTATTCATTGTTTGAACTTTATTGATATAAGTTAATGCTAATGATAATGAACTTGATAATGAATTCTTTGGAGGCTTCGTGGGTATTGGTTCATTTAACAACTGATATAAATTCTCTAGGAAACTTTCATCAACAACTTTAAACTGTCTATACATTGAAGAGTTAACGAACTTGGTTGATGACTTTTCTGCCTCTGGTGATATTGATCTTGATTCATAGCCATTGTTATCCTCCTCAGCTATGATATGCTCTGATCTTGTTTTGGGTTTTGATGTTTCTTGATCCTCAGTTTTTGTTGAAGGGTATAAAAACCTTGCTCCATCACTATGGCTAGCAACAACAGCAATTTGATTTGAGTTATTTAGTGCTAAGTGGGCATTCATTGCAATGACTAGTGATTTCAGCATTGATTTTAGTGAAAGTTTATCACTTATCTTGTGCCATACTACTGGATTTGTATCTAAAATGATGGTTAAAAGAGATGGTGATTCCTCTGGAAAAAGTTGTTAGAATCGGTAAAAGGAAATATCTGCTGTGTACTCACCAGTGACATTCTTTGATCCTGCCTCTGTAGCGAACGTCTTATCAGCTATAGCATCCATGTTCTTGGTGTTTGGATAACAATATTCAGCTCAAAATGTTTATGGTTTGCAATAAAATTCACTTTATGGACTTGAAGCAATTCGCGAATTTGAAATTCTCTACAATTTATGCTCAACATACTAATACATTTATTTTTCCATTGTTCGTAAAAACACAATTCAAGTCTCATTATTATAATACAAGCATCTATAAGTCATTAATCCCATGTCACCACCACACTCTCGCTGTGTGAATAGGTCACCACTATGCTTTGAGAATCAGAATTCCATTTCAAACTAGTGATGTAGTTATTTTCCAAATCAGCATCTGGAACTTCAGGTTGATATTCAGCAACAACTTTCAATTGATCATCTAATAATAAATCAATATTGAAAATAGAGACAATTCCCTCTGTGGTACCAACCACTATATGTTTCTTATCTGGTGATATTTCAGCATTCAATATTGGAATACCATCCATCACGATTATTGAAGTTTGTTTCCCATATCTAACATCCCATAACCTAATTGAACTATCCAATGAAGTACTTATCACAAACTCTTTGCTTACCCAATCTGCAAACGTTATCGGTTGTGAATGACCCAACAAGATCTGTGAATTGTTAAAAGATGCACCATTCCATATTCTAATTGTTCTATCATCTGATGCTGTTAATAGTAAAGAAGCTTCATGATTATACCTTATGAATGATATAGCTTTTGTGTGACCGATTAAAGTACCTGTTGGTGTTCTTTCACCAACGTTGAAAACTAACGTAGTCCCATTCAAACCTGGAATAATAAATTTTGTATCATCTATCCATGCTGCATCCATACCTAAAGTTGTATTTTCCAAACCAGTTGGAGTTTGAACACCAGTAGTTGTAGATTCGCTACTTCTCAAGATATCTAGATGTTGAACGACATTACCAGTTGCAGCATCCCAAACTATAGTTGCACTATCAGAATCTGAAGTTAAGATATATGCACCGTTTGGACTCCATTTAATAACCAATATTGGAGAATGGTGTAAGTATAATACATTTCTTAGCTTACCATCAGCAGCCCATAATCTAATCTCTCCAGATTCCACTGCAGTTACTAACAAATGACCCATTGGGGCCCATGCTAATGTAGTTATATCTGATGATGATGAATCTTCAGAAGGGTTGAAACTCACTGGTGGATGTGTCAATATTAGTTGTTTTGTTTCAACATTTGGTAAAATAACTGTTATTTTAGCTCTAGCATCACTTAATCCAAAAGCCAATACTGTTGGAGCAGTTGGGTTCCAATCAGATGAAGTACTTGGTTCAAATGTAAATTTTTTCTTTAAAATCTTGATAAAATCTGGTGAATTCTCCCTTTTAACAACATCCCCATTATCATGAGATTCACCATTCATTGGAACATCACTTTTATCAATACTTTCAAATCTATTTTTTGGTTCAATAGGTGGATTAATCCCACTATCTGCACTTAATGCATGAAACACAGTGAATTTATCACTATAGTATTTATCTTCCTGTATATCACCATTCTGCTTCACTAGCTGGTCACTTTCTGAGTATAGTATCCCCTTCTGTACCAAATTCACCAGTGAACCTATAGGTATCGAATCTTTAAATTTATCATCAAATTCAGCGACTGTGGTCTCGTCATAAAGGGCAAAGGCAGACACCTCGAGCCCCGACTCCTGGAGGTATCTCCATATCAAGTAGTTCAACTCTTCAGACGACAACGACATGATGACTGTTCCCAAGTTGTTTCTTGATTTCTCAATGTGGTTTGAAATTTGGGTACAAGTTTGAAGTTGTTTTTGTTTTTTTTACTGGTTTTTTTTTAATTTTTGGTTTTTCTTGAATTGAATTGAAGAATTTTGAGAAATCGAAAACATCAACAAACTGAATCAGCAGAAATTGATCCAAAAGTCAATTCTTTTAATTAGGGTGTTGTAATCAATTCAGTAATAGCAAAATGGTGGAACTGTCGCTGAGAAAGACCAGAGCATTCAAGTCCAGTGACCAGTCCTCAAGGGCCAAAAATAACCCATATGCCAGTCTAAAGAACAACAATCTGGGCTCAAGTAACCAGAATGTTGCATTACCATCCATTGCCAAAAAGGATCAGGAAAAGATAGGGAAATTGATGCAAAGAAGAATGTCGGTTCATCAAAGCGAGGTGCCAAAGATGTTTCAACAAGGTGTTGGTGCTGGTGGTGTCCCAGCACTGCCGAAGGACATATTGATCAATCATCAACAGCAGCAACAGCAGCAACAACAATCATTACCAAGAGATGCTCTAAATAAGGAACCTGCAAATTATGGCTCCAATGTGGCAAACCTAAGACATCAGGGCTCTCGTTCTTCAAAAGGTATAGATTTACAAGATCCTGCTGTTATACAATTATTGAGTGATGCAAATTTCAATCCTGAACAGTTCATATCATCGAGATTGAATGATTCAACAGCTTCAGATATTGATAAATTCAATTCCAACTTAACCACTTTGAATAAAAAAGTTACCAATGATATTAAAGCTGTTGCTAATCAAACTTATGATAAATTGTTAAATGCCACTAAAGAATTGAATTCTACAGATAATGAATTGAAATTTCTAAGAAATGCTATTAATGAATTATCAGATTTGACAAATGAAATGAAATTACAAGCTGAGAAGAAGATACAGTTGGAATTGGATCAAACTAATGAAATTACAAAATCAAATTCTCAAGCCAAAAGACAAAATAGAGCAAAAGATCGAAGTAGTATTTTGGTTTTAGAGAAGATGTGGGCAAGTGAAATGAGTAGTTTATTTAAACATGTTGAAGGAGCTCAGAAATATATTGCAGCTATTCCAGGGCGTCATGTTATAGCTGAAAGTGGTCGTTGGTATGAATTGAATGCTGCAACTTTTAAAACTTTACAACCTGCACATATTTTCTTATTGAATGATTTGATATTGATTGCAACAAGAAGACGGAAAACTGGTCAAAGAAATAAAGGTGATGGTGTTAAACAGATCCAATCATTAGTCGCTGACCAATGTTGGCCATTAAGAGAAGTTCAATTGATTGAATTGAAACCTAATGGTAATGAAGATGTTTTCACAATCAATATTAGATATAACAGTTTAAGTTATATGTATCAAACTGATCGTCAAGATCATTATCAGAAAATCTTGTCCGGTTACAAAAAGGCAAGAGATGAATTGAGAGATATTTCAGAAGCTGAAAATATCAAACAAAGACAATTGAGAGATTCAATGACACTATTATCAATTAGTGAGAATGGTGCTAATGGTAATGGCCAAGGAACAAATGGCTCTGCAACCCCCAAGAGGCAGAGCTACCATAATAAAAGAAATAGTAATGTCATTTTACAAGATTTAAGTACTAGAATGCATAGCAGATCAAGAAGTATGGATAATTCAAATACTTTGAGATCCTTAAAGAAAATTGATGATATGGTTGATGAATCTGATGTTACTATTTTCCACCAAAATTTTGATGAAACTTTAAACCGTCTTGATGATTTGGAAACTGAATTAACAACTTTGAAAACATCATGTAATGATGAAGAAGTTTTGTTTTTCAACATTATTAAACTGAAAATCTCTACCAAGAAGGATCAAGTTGTTAAACTTTTAATAAATTCAATGAAATCAGAATCATTAACAACATTTGAAATTCAAACCTCAATCAAGAGCTTATTGAAATTAAATCTCACTGATATTGCTAAACTATTACTCCTCAATAACAGAACAAGTCATATAAACTCATTAATCACAAAAGTTGAAGAATCAAGTAGATTAAAAGGTACAAGGAGTATATCTGATTATATCGTGGAAGTTTCCATCGTTAGAATTCAAAATATTAAAACATCAATCCAGTTATATAAATCATTATTTGAAGAAACTCCTTCGAATCTAAGTTATTTAGTTGAATGGGGTGTTGAAGAGATTCATAAACATATTAATTTATTGAAAGAATCTTTGCATAATGTGAAATTACCAAAATCAACATTACAGGATTCCATACTGATCATTCACAGACAAGTGCACCAACTCAAACAAGCTGGTCTTGATGTTGAGTATCTTTTTGATGAGTTTTATAGATCCATAGACACTGAATAATGAATAAAGATGGAGTCTAATAATAACATTACTATGGTGTGTCCCTTAGCGATACGTTTTCGCGGAACTTCGCGAATGCGATCTGTGAAGTTTTAAAAAAATATTCAAGAACCTTCTGGAAGCTATAGCGATGAGCTTTTAAAGCAAAGAAAATCCACAATTCTTTCACAGAACTCAAGAGATTCATAATTTATAATCAAAGAAAATGGATAAACTACTAAATTGGTCATTAGCTCAACAAGACCCAGAAACTGCAAAGAAAGTCGGTGCTCCAGATCCTAAATTATTAGCTGAATTATTTGGACAAAATGTTGATGATGCAACTTTAATGAAACAAAATATTGAATTAATTGAAAATCCTGAATGTGATGAAGATAATAAATTAACAGCTTTTGATAATTTTGAAATGTTGATTGAAAACTTAGATAATGCAAATAATATCGAAAATTTAAAACTTTGGCCCAAATTAATAAATTTATTAGATTCAGAAAATGATGAATTTAAAAATTTAACAAGTTCAATTATTGGTACATCTGTTCAAAATAATGAAAAATCTCAAACTGATTTTTTAAAATATCCTCAAGGTTTTACAAAATTGATTTCATTAGCTAAATCAAATAAAGTTGTTAGAATTAAGGCATTATATGCATTATCAAATTTAATTAGAAATAATGAACAATCTTATGAATTATTTGATCAACATAAAGGTTGGGAATTATTAGGTCCTATAATAACGGATAAAGAAGCTAAAGATAAAGTGAAATTAAGAAGCTTATCATTATTAGGTGCAATTTTAAGTATAGCTCCAAAAGATGATATAAAGAAACATATTCATGAATATTCAATAATTGAAAAAATCTTGAGTTTAATTAAACCAGGTGCAAATATTTCAGTTGTTGATAAATCATTAAATTTGATTGTTCATTTGATCAATGGTGGTTATGAATTTAATGATGATGAAGTTAAACAAGTTAAAGAATCTGTGGAAATTATTGAAAAAGATTTCCATGATGTTATAAATATTGATGATTTTCAAGTTTTAAAGCAAGTAAAATGAACAATGGGATTAATAGAAAGTTTTACTAACACAATTTGGTTAGATCGTTTAATAAACTACAATTCATCAAACAATCAAGAAGGAAATAAATTATATTCACCTTTCTAATAATTCAGAATCATTCATTGTAGAAAACAACTTCATAATTGATGATTGGATATTACTCATCATTAAAGGTTTCCCATCAGGACCAGTTGGTAATCTATTTTGATTCACTGCATTATATAGATGTAATAATGTTGGTAATTCATCAATAATTCTATTAGCTTTAACTTCAGTCATGAATTTAAACTGTAACAACATTTTCAAATAAGTATCATGAGTATTAACACCTGATTTTATTGTACCGATATTTGCTAAATCTGGATTTCTCTCCACTTTATCATATCTTGCTGATGATATTGTATATGTGAATGATTTTAACCAAAGTAATGTTTCATGTGTTGTCTTTGTTGGGAAAACTTTAAACCCATTAACTTGTAATTGAGCAACTTCTGCCTCTATTTGATCAGATGAATATGAAGAAATTGTATTTGATCTCGGGGCTGCTTTTGTTTTTCTTCTTCTTCCACCACGACCACCTCTACTTCTTTTACCAGGTTCGAATTCATCAGCATTTGCAACACCTGAATTTTCATCCTCCATTGGAGCAGTTGGGACTGGTTCCATTCTTGAACGAACTTTTGCAGTATATTTTCTGTTTTCTTGAGTTTTCAATTTTTGTAAAATTTGATCATATCCATTAATTAAAATGATGAAATTGTTAAAATTTTTATTTCTTAATTTAACTTCATTAAATTTTGTAACTAATGTTTCCATTTCCAACATTTGTAAAAATTCACTAGCTGTATAAACGAAAACACAAATTTTTTCATCCAAGATTTGTAATGGAGATGGTTTAAAACTATCAGTTTCAGAATCATAGATGGCTCTTGTCTTTCTTGACCAACAAATAATATTTTCAGGGTTTGAAACTTCTTGGATTTCAATAGGTGCTAATTCTAAAGTATGATCATTTCCTTTAAAATCTCGAATAACTTGTTGAGGAATCTTGATAATCATTTCAGTCAATAAATCATCTTTTTTACGATTCACTCTATTAGCATCCTGGTATAATTGACGATTTTGCTTTTCTTGTAATTGTCTTTGTTTCTCCAATTCACGTTCTTCTTTAGATTTTCTTGGATTTGATGTTGTTTTCCCTCTTTTAGCAGGTCTTTCAGCAACGGATTCAACATGTTCAGGTAATGCAGTTTCAGAATAAGATCTTGTGGCAGGTTTAGGGGAAGGTGCAGGAGATAATATATCTGCTAAGAAACTCATTTCAGATTTTGTACTTTCTAATAATTGTCTTGCCTTAACTCTTTCTAACCGTTGGTCATTCTTATGGGTATGTTTTGTTAATTTATCCAAAAAGGCATTTGAAGAACTATTTTTGCTAATGGTTTTCTGAATCTCTTCATCTGAATCTGATAATTCAATATCTTTACCATTTTGAATTTTATGAATTGGAAAAAGTGGTTTTGAAGCATGTGTGGAAATTCTAATATCACCAATTGATGAAGATCCAGGATCAATTTTCTCAGGTGTGCTTGATAAGAAAACTTTTTCTTTTCTTCTTAATTGATGAATTGGGTTTAATGAATGTTCATTATCAGAATCAGAATCAAGATACTTATCTGTAGATATTGGTTGTTTCCTTTTGGTGGTTGACAAGGTTATTTCACTTCTTGATCTATTGATTGGTAATTTTATTGGTTTAGGGGTGCTTTTAGCTGGTTGACTACTACTTGAAATAACCATGACTGGTTCTTTAGGTTGGCTTGATAGTTGTCTTTTTGATTGTGAATTTGGAGTTGACCCATTATTCTTCTTTGGAGTATTGATCCTACTATAACTTGAATCTGAAGGAACAAACAATTTACTTTTTGCTAACCCACTAGCCTTAACCACTATATCATCATCATCTGAATCATCATTTTCTAGTATATTATCAAGCGCGTCATACCTCTTTTCAATATTCTGAACCATTTTTTCCATTGAACTAACAGACATTGGTCGTATTTTCTCAACAGATCGTTCTTGTATTGGTGAAGAATCAAGACTGATGGCATTATAAGATTGATCTTGATTTGGTTGTTGAATCCTTTGAGTTGATGTGATTTTTGCAGCTTCTGAATCTGAATCTGTCACGCTATTCAAAGGGTTAGTTAGGCTTCAAAGGGTATTAAGAAGATAGCACACTCACATTTCTATCACGAGATCATCGTCATCTATGATTTCGACTGGTTCCATCTTGGGTTTGTACTGTTATACGTTGTGGTGATGGTTGGTATTGAGATGAGCTTGATTTTTTTTTGACATGATCGTGGCCGAAAAACCATTATATAACTAATTCACAATTAAAAATGCTTCATCAAGATTGATTGAATGGGTGAAAAATAAATCCCATATAATCTAATCATAGCATAATAAGCTCAAGCTATCACGTTGAAAGGTATTTTATAACTTTGCAGCTCAATTGACGCGTCTTTTAAACGTCTGTTCTACGCGTATTCTTTAAATAAGGAACAAAGATAATTTTAATTATACAAAAATAAAAATAAACAACCTAATCCCAGTTGAAAACATAAAAGTAGAAGTGAATTAAATAAAAAAAAGACACGGTTAAATTAACCATAAAAAAAGATTAATAAAACAATAAAAAAGAAGAAGGAAAAAAAACTAGCAATAAAAATAATAACAACATAAAATATTTCATCTCAATAGGACCAACTTAATCATTTCTTCATCATCTAAAAATACAGCAAATTTTTTTTGTTAATCCCAATTAAACAAATACATCAATAAATTTATTCTTCTTGTTGTTGTTGAGCTTGGTAGTTAGCTTTTTCTTCTTCGTATCTTTTTTTATCAGCTTCAGCTTTGGTTTCATATGGAACTTTTTCTTCTGGAGTTAAAGCTTTCCATCTTTCACCTAATAATTTACCAACACCACCGAAGGAGATACCTGGGTTTTCAGATCTGACAATATCTCTGTTATCATTGGCGAAGAACATGTAGGCAGAAAGGGATCTTTTTGGGGCATTTGGATCTTGGGATGAGTTAGTAAACAATAATAACAATGAACAACGACAACAGTCTATGTGCTGTTAATCACCAATACATACCCTTCTTCTTTCTTTGGACTTTGGTGGCTCTTTTTCCGGTAGACATGTTTGCTGTGTTGATGTTGTTAGTATTGGAGCAGTAATGTAAAAGGAAGAGAAAACAGAGGCACCAACGCTCACTATAAATAATTTTTGTATGGGAAACCAAAACTGAAAATTGAAATTGGAAAAACGCGTTTGCTCAAAAACATAAACATTGAAACCATGGCAACAATAACAAAAATATTAAAAGGCGTTCACTGGGTAACCAGCCTAGCCTCTGCCTGTGCACCTACCAGTTCCCTGCCTAGCTCTCGAGTCTCCTTCCAGCCTCAGCCCGCGCACCTGGTGACAAACAAAAAAAAAATAAACAACGAAAAAAAAAGTGTGATTTGGATTTCCCTCACAATTGCAAATTAGCATCAAATCGGTTTCCCACCCAAACACAACTGGTTTCCCAAATATCAACAACCCCATAACCCAATCATCAAAATACAATGATAATCCATTAATTCCAATCCATCAATTGCACTCGTAGTTGCCCTTTATCGACTCCTCCGAGCAATTGTCATGTTTTTGATATCTCCGGTCCCCATACAATACAACAACAAGTTCAACAACTCAACTCAGAAGGTTGTGATAAACTTGACGACAAATACTCAATTGCTCCTTAAATTGGTGGCAATTGACAAGAGTATCAAAGCCACGATGGAGTTCTGTCTTTTTTTCCAGGTTGTGGTTGTGTTGTGAGCCGCGTTTGGTTATCTCCATGTTTTCTCATACTGTTTTCATACATACAAATTTTGTTAGCGTACTAGTTAAGTATAGTGTGCTGTGGTGAGTTTGTATGAGGAAAAGGATTTGTATGAAGGATTTTTAAAGCGCTATGAAAATTATGGTGAAGAAAAATTAAAGGGGGAATAGGGGAGGGTAATGGGTTGCACGTGATGTGTCATGTGACTATAGTGAGGGTAACTACACTGGATTTTATATTACTATGCAAACTATTATCTATATACACTTTATTCATAATCATCGTTTGAATCTTTCATAAGCTGGCATCTTCTCTGGCGTCATGCCCTGTGACTGCACAAGCTGGATTTAGTTAGTACTGGTATTATAAACTTTAGTTTCAAAGAGCACTCACCTGTCCTATCTTTAAATTGGTTTTATAATATTTAGCAACACATCTATCAATACACATCATTTCACCTTTGTTTAAATCAGCTTCACCATATTCATCGGGTATACATTTGTTTCGACAACTTTTCAGCATTCTGTTTATTTATTAATTAATTGTTCATTCTATAATTTTTTTTGGGCTGGCACTCACGTATTAAATGTTTTAGACATTGCATCAAATTGGACTTCAGCCATCTTGATCTTTTCAGGATCAGCATCCTGATTCATATAGGCACTCTTCAGTATGAATGACATGATTATTCTATTATGTGTTCTATGTGATTCTCCAATATGTCAAGTCTTTAATTTTCAATCTTCATCAACGTCTTTATGAAAAAAAAAAAAACCTGAATGCGTGACTTTCACGTGACTGAATTATAACATAGAGATTATTACAATCAATAAGTTATACAGCTACAAGTGACATAGTAGAACATACCAATCCAAGCCATCTAGTATTCATAATTAATTATATAAGATTCACCACTAACCATGATCCAAAAACCACTAACAATATAAGTATCACCAACTTTGAAATAGCATCACTAGATTTGCAAAAATTTGATTCAGCTAATATACTAAACCTAAAACAGTCACACATCTGACTTAGCATCTTCTTTTAATCCCATAAAAAACAGCATCTCTTACATTAAACAGGAGATTCTTCTTCTTGAATATCGTAATTTTCAATGATCTCCAATGATTCATTAGTTTGTTTTAAATTTTGTAAACACCATGTAAATAAGATTGAAACAATAACTAAAAAAATGGATCCCAGGGCAAGTGGAGTGCACATATTTGATATTAAATATAATTCAGGATGCATATTAAAACGGAATGATTTTTAAAAATGAAAAGCTTGGTTTTTGAGTAACTGAGTATTGTTGGTAGACAATGAAATTGAGAACTAATGGAAACACAATTCAATTATGGATTGGGGTGAGTGAAGAATTAGAGGATATTTCCTGAGGTATAGCAACGGATGTAGCCCATTCTCATTTGACATTCAAGGGACCTGGAAATATTTAATCTGTTCCACTTGACACAAAAACCCATTTTTCACAACCACGGAAAACAACAACCAGATTGAAGCATATCCCAGGCCTTAATACTCCCAATAAGATTCCTCATCTTCTGAGTATAAAAGAGTAATGTGAAGTCAATAACCAATCGTATTGTAAGAAACGATAAGACTTTAATTAAAGATACCAACTCTTAACTGTCCATCTTCTATTTCTCATTTCATTAGCTCATACATGGGCTGTTGGGTAAAACTTGGAGACCAATTTTCAATCTCTCTGGTAACCCCTCAGCTTGCAAACCAAATATCAACCCCAAGAACTAGCTCTAATATCAAGTTAATGATAACAACTGGTGTAAAAGACAAAAAGAATTCATTCCGTGGAGAAAAAGATGTATAGAGATTGTTCGCGAATACATTCGGTGAATAATCTTGACCTAGACGTATCAGCTTTAATATTATTTGTTAACTTCTACAATTCTTCATTTGAAAATCAATCGCATTCATTCTGTAATTCATTTCCTCTATCATGTAACTCATTTGATCCAAATCAACGTCCCCTTGACAATTTTTGCTGAAACAATATTATTGAATGCTCATTAACATTATTGACAAAATATATACCGAATAAACTGAATAAAGTTATCAACACCCCGAATTTAGCTGCACTAAACTCTTCAATCTGATAACCAAGAATAGATCCTGCAATTCTTGAAATGATCAAAGCAGGAATTGAAGCAATCCCAAATGAATTACTTAATCTTGACCCCAATTCTAAAGTATTTGTTGATAATGCACTGATTGATAAGAATGAAGTGATAACGATTGAGAATGCTGAGATGGTTAATACTCCAAGATATGCATAAAGGATATATAAATGGTGGTTTGTGAATGGTAACAAGATTAGATTAATTATTGATAAATGCAGAAATGAACCAATTTGTACATTGAAAACACCAATTGAATCAGATAATACACCTATGAATACTGAACTGAAGATTGCAAAACATGTGATTAGTTGGGTAATGAAATATGTGTCCTCAGTTGGTGTAGCATTGGATGCATTGATGAATATATCAAGGTATGAATAAACAATAAATAAAATTCCAAATCCTATTCCAATTGCAATTGAATTATTTCTAAATTTGAAATCCTGGACCAATCTTAAATCAGTTCCGATATAAGGACACCATGATCTACCCAACACATCTCTTTTCTTATCCAATTCTTTCAAGATTGGACTTCTTAATCTAAAATCATGCTCATCAGTAATCCTATTCAATGAATACATTATAGTTAAAAAGCATTGACAACCCCATAATCCTGCAAAGAGATAAATAATTTTATTCAACTCATCCACATCATCCAAAACACTAGTCAATAAAATATTCACAAACCATGACGTTGCCACACCACCAGTTGATAAACAAACACCAAGGGCATATCCTCTTCTCTTGTGGAAAAAATGGGAGATTGTTATAAGGGAAGAAAGATATTGACATGATGAACCTAATCCCAAGATTCCAAAAATTAACAACATTCCGAGGAAAGATGAAGTTGTAGGTATTAATGAAGTTGAGATTAAAACAAGGATCGAGCCAATGATTGTTGGTAGGATGGTGGTGAACTTGTCTGAATAATCACCAAACAAGGTCATCCCATTGAAGAACATGAATAAGAACCATGTCATGATCCATGAATTGGAAGTTGCGTAGGACGTTTCTAATAAAGTGTTTAGTAATTTGGCAAAGATTGATAAATTTGTTAGGGTTGCAATTACTGGAGATATTGATAATGTTGATTCATACATGAGTGGGACATAGCTTTGGATACCACCTTCAGGGAATTCAATTTGCTCATCTGTGATGGTTGTGTTTGGTGGTGTTGATTCTAGTTGAATTTGATTATTGATTAAATCTGAGGTTGATTTCCTCTTTATAGGGGTGTATGGTTGGTTCATGGTGGTGATATTAGATGGGTGTGGTTGTGGTTAAGATGTGGTGATTGATTAGTTTATGTATTTGAGTGTAGGGCTGTGGATGTTCATGTTATTGGTTGCAGTGATGATGGTGATTGTTTTATTGTTTTTCTATTGTCGATCTTTTAGATCTCAGCCTTTAAACAATGATCAAAACGATTACGAAGGAAGTAATAGAACGTATAAACGAGGCTGAAAGTGACATGCTGGACATTACTCATGAATCATCATTACCTGAGATCTAAAAAGCCATTGGGCATGCTGTTAATTCATTGGTGTTTCGATGGCTGAAGTGTCAGATTTAAAGGGTCCTAATAAGCCTCGAGAAAGCTTAATCCTTGCCTCTTGAATCTCACGAACATACTGAGCTATAAACAACAAGATGCTTCATACTTAATACGTTACCAATGTATTATTATAATGACTTCCATTGACGTGAAAAACCTTCTACTCTTGAATGTAACGAATTCATGACCCACTTCGTCATCAACAAGTTTTCTCGACTAAAAAACAAAATTGATATACGATTTAGTACTTTTCTCAGTTAGTTATATACCATAAGACTATACAAGAAAAGCAGTCAGTCAATCAGATACTACTACCCTTCATAGTTTATGGCTAAGCATTTCAACCACTGGTCAAGAATCGTGATACAATAAGAACTGGTGCATTTTGAAAGAGGCTGACGTGAATGAGCTTCTTTATTCTTGTCATTGTCACTTTTAATCAAGTATTCATATCAAGAAACAATCATCACGTTCGTTAACACTACCTCCCTTTCTTGAACTCAGTGAAAACCCATCAATATCAGAATGACAGAAAGCAATGTGATAAACAGTCCACCAGAATATTTAAAGAATCAACCACCATCATATAATCAAGAAATGGTTTCAAGATCAGAACAATATAACCTTCAAAGAACAACAACAGAGCAAAAATTGGGGATCCCTGATAATGATCCTGATGAAGATGATGGATGTATTTATCGTTGGTGTGTGATATTACATTGTAATACAGTTTTAAGTATATTATGTTGTCCTTGTGAGCATGGGAATATCAACACGTCACCAATGATGACAGCAAACGCAGCTACTGGACAATGAGATAGCTAATAATCCTCCAGATCATGAATATGTATTAATGAACTACACTACTGAATAAACAACCAACAACCATTCTTTTTAGAACTAATTGTGTAATTGTGGTGGTATAATCTATGTGTCATCCCGATACGGTATAATCCGACTATATATATTCACATGACCACCGTACTACCCTTTTGGGCACCGCTATCAGTTTGATCAAAATCATTTGCCCTTTGGTTGATTCGTTGGGTTTAGAGAATCAGGGGTAAAGAAAGAGTGAAGAGTAAAGAGTTAGGGGTTATAGAGTGGTAGTAGATTGGTTATATTATTGTATTAGTCTATTAGAATCAACTACAGCACTTTAATAGGTTCTTTAATATATTTACTGTTATAGTGGGTTGTCCCTCAGTGAAAAGAAATGAGTTGAACCCTTGATTAGTTGAGATTAAGATAGATATTAAGATAGATATCAAGACAGCCAAAGAACCACAGTACAATACACCACAAACCAATAAACACCACCATCACCTCACCACCTGAAACTGAATCACAATTAACCTCAATTAACTCACTCTTGTTCTAATCTACTAACTTACCTAATCCCTTACCTAACCACCTCCCTTATACGCCTGTGTCCCGTAACACTCCACCCCCAACAAAAAAATCAGTTGAATCGGATCAGAACAGAGTGAACATACTCCAGTAACAATTATTCTATCAAGTACCACCATTATGCCCCTATTTAATTTATATACTACTCTATTATCTAATCCACTACTATCCCCTTACATAATCACCGCTTAATTTCTGTCCAAATCACGTTTCTTTTCAATCCAATTTCCTCGTTAAAAGAAAAAAAATTTCTTGACTGATTGACCCAATGGAAAAAAAAAAAAAATAATAAAGCCATATTCACATCCTGATACGATTCACTTCTTGATGAATCCTCAGGAATTCCTCAAGAGCTATTATACCTTATAGTTACATAGTACACACTCTCACCATGTCAAGTACTACATTCACCACTGACAACAACAACATCAACAACTCCAACAACAACAAGGAGAATGTCACAATCACAAACAGAAAGGGAAACATCTCAACCCTTTCAAATACTCAACAATTGACTGCAATTGACACGTTTGGTAATGTTTTCGAAGTGCCAAATTATTCAATCAAAGATATCCTAAAAGCTATCCCTTCTCATTGTTATGAAAGAAGAGTTTTACAATCTTTCTCTTATGTCTTTAGAGATTTAGCATTTTTAGGAATTTTTTATTATTTGGCAAATACTTTTATTCCAACTTTACCTTCAATTTATCTAAGATTCTTAGCTTGGTCAATTTACACCATAGTGCAAGGTTTATTCGGTACTGGGATTTGGGTCTTGGCTCATGAATGTGGTCATCAAGCGTTTAGTGATTATGGTTGGGTTAATGATCTGACTGGTTGGGTTTTACATTCTTCTTTATTAGTTCCTTACTTTTCTTGGAAATATTCTCATGGGAAACATCACAAGGCTACTGGTCATTTAACAAGAGATACCGTTTTCGTTCCACCAACTAAAGAAGAGTACAAGGCTAAGAATTTTGTTTCAAAATTGGAAGAATTGAGTGAAGATTCTCCAATTGTTACATTGTATCAATTAATTACTCAACAATTGGGTGGGTGGTTAGCTTATTTAACTACTAATGTCACTGGTCAAAAATATCCAAATCGTTCAAAATGGAGTGTAAACCATTTTGTTCCAAATTCTCCAATTTTCGAAACTAGAGATTATTGGTTTATTGTTTTGAGTGACTTAGGTATTTTAATTCAATCAATTATTTTATACAAGGTTTATTCAAAATTTGGTGGGTTCCATTTCTTGATGAATTATTTCATTCCTTATTTATTTGTTAATCATTGGTTAGTTTTCATTACTTATTTACAACATACTTCACCAGAAATGCCTCATTATGATCATGAAGAATGGAATTTCGCAAGAGGTGCCGCCGCTACAATTGATAGAGAATTTGGTTTCATTGGACCTTTTTGCTTTCATGATATTATTGAAACTCATGTTTTACATCATTATGTTTCAAGAATTCCATTTTATAATGCAAGAGAAGCAAGTGAAGCTATTAAAAAAGTTATGGGGAAACATTATAAACATAGTGATGAGAATATGTTTGTTAGTTTATGGAAATCTGCTAGATCTTGTCAATTTGTTGATGGTGAGAATGGGGTTAGAATGTTTAGAAATAAAAATAATATTGGTATTAAACCAAGAGATTGAAAGAGAGATACAATTATATAGCTTATTATTCTAGATATATTTTAATTTATTGATTAATTTGTATTATATCTTATTATATCTCCAACTCCTCAACATCTCCAGTTTCAATAAACCAATCAACCATTTCAACACCTTTACGAGACTCTTCACTATACTTGTCAACATCATACCCACAAAATTCCAAAGCCTTCACAGGTGCAATTGTTTTCCTTTTATCTTTCAAGACATATTTAGTTATACTAACAGCATGCAACCCTTGTCCACTTTCAAATTTACTCAAGATGAAAATCCATTTCGAATCCCAACCAAGTATTCTACTCTTGACATCATACTTCTGATATGGTTTAATCTCTTTTTTAAAACTCGTAAAGACATTGGCAACAGGCACATAAGCCCAAGTTCCTGATTCTGTCTTGTACTTGATGAAAAATTTTTGGAAAATTAAAGTCATCAATTTCGTTCTTGATATATCTAATTCTTCAAAATATGTTGAATTGGATTTATGTAAATAAATATCACATTCAAATGGTGAATTATATGTATGAATAGTTTTAGTTTGGAAAGGTGATGAATTTTTATCAAGAAATGATGGGAAATAGATTGGTAATATTAGGTTTTTGAAAGCTTGCCAATAAAAACGAACATAGTAGGCTAATGGTAGTGATTTGTATGATGATAATAGATATGCATACAATAGGTATTTGAATATGGAATACATCTTGGATTAGTTAGTTGGTTAGTTGGAACTTTGCTGGGATTTAATTGGAAAAGGAGTGCTTTTTTATATTTTCTCGGTACAATTTTCAATCGGTACAAATCAAAAGACATAAATCCGATTATAAGCGATGTTCATTTATTTGAATATTATAAACCTATGATCTAAAGACAACTTTCTCAGCACTAACTTTATCATGTTTTAATAAATCAATAGCTTCATTTGCACTTTCAAATCCTGGTTTCAAAACTTTCAAATTGGCATGTTTTAAATCATTGATGAAATTTGGTAATAATTCAAACCAAAATTCTTTATATCTCTTGGATGTATCATCATCAATTACCCATGTATGACCATAAGCATCCAATTTATAACCAACGGCAGCATATGCCAAAGTTGGTGGAACAAATTCCAATTCACCCGATCTATCACCAATGGAAACATCTTTTTCTCCAAGGAATAATAAATTATCAACTTTAACATGTTTTGAATTCTTGGTTGCATCAATAACTTGTTGGAAAGTCTCCTTTGAGGCAACAATATCAAAAGCATATGAGAAATCAAATTTGTTCAATTGAGTTATAACATCTTCATCACGATAATTAATTGTATGATCAGCACCAATTGATTTCAAAAATTCATGATTCTTTGGAGATGCAGTGGTGACAACATTCAATCCATAAATATGTTTAGCAATTTGAATAGCCAAAATACCAGTTGCAGTGGCCCCACCCCAAATTAAAATATATTTATCAGAATTACCACTCTTCAATGGAGAAATCTTCAAATTACCAGCAAATGATAACCCAACAGTGGCTAACCCCAAAGTAACAGAAGCTGCACCTTCAAAAGATTTAATCTCCCCAGCAGGATACTCACCAACTTTTAAGGCATCAACTGGAAATTTCTTTGGATATTTAATAGTCACTTGAGGATCAATAACAACAAATTTTTCAAAAGCTCCACGATCTGGTTTTGTATTACCATGTAAGAAACTTGAAACAAAATCACCTTTACTGAAACCCTCGACATTAGCACCAACGAATTCCACTACACCACTGACATCACAACCTGCAATAGCACCTTTTTGTGAAAATCCATATTCAACATGTTTCCAATCTGTTGGATTGACTGCATACGCTATGGATTTGATTAATAGTTGGTCATCTGATGGGTTGGTGTATGGTGCTTCACCAACTGTGACGAATTGGCCATCTTCTTTGGAATTTGTGATGAATGCTGCTGTGTTTGGGATTTTATCTGACATTTTTCGTTTAACACTTTGTAGATATTAATATTCATCAAACTGATCATCAGCTTATAGTGGAATTTTCTTGCTCTTTATATAGAGATCCCTGTTTTTTTTTTTTTTTAGTTTGCAGGTTTAAAAAGTTTCACAACTTTGCTATTTTATAACGCAATTTGTAATTCAAGTTGCTGTATAGAGACTAATTATTGAAGTTGATTGATTTATCGATAGAAACTGATTAATTAATTACAAATCAAAAGACGCTATTCCGTTTTCTTGATGTGTGTTTTTTTTTTTCGCATAATTTGTAAAATTGATTGGCTATAGACTATAGGCTATAGGCTACATAGGTGACTGGCAACTTATTCGATCGAGAGCTGACTTAATGATAGATCTATTATTATAAAGATCAGTTCATCATTCTATAATATTAATGCTCTCTTATTAAAATTGTATACTTAATCAACCACTAAATTCCCACGTTAAGATGCACGACGGAGAATCTACGGACTTCATTAATCAGCTTGATGTGAAAACATACACGTCAGTGATTAGAAATTAATACTGCGCCAATTATCGTATATTAATCATCAAGATCTAAACACAACCTTCTCTGCACTAACTTTATTATCTTTTAATAATCCCAAGGCTTCATCAACACTTTCAAATCCAGGTTTTAAAACTCTTAAATTTGCAGTTTTCAAAAATGGGATTAATGGAGGTAATAATTCAAACCAGAATTGTTTATATCTAGAGAATACATCTTTAGTTAATTCCCAATGCTTTCCAAGGGCATCAATATCATGACCATTTGCTAAATAGGAGAAAGTTGGAGTCACAAATTCAACATTGTTGTCATCCCTTTTCAAAATTTTGGATTCATCCAAGGCTGTTAAATTATCTAACTTTGGAGATTTGGAATTGATAGTGGCATTATATGATTCTTGGTATGTTTCATCTGAGGAAACTGTATCTAAAACATAAGCAAAATCATAATTCGTTAATGATGCTAATGATTCAGAATCATGATAATCAAAAGTGGCATCAGCACCAATAAATTTCAAAAAATCATGATTTTTAGCAGAGGCTGTTGTAATAACATTCAATCCATAAATTTTCTTGGCCACTTGAATAGCTAAAATGCCCGTTGCAGTAGAACCACCCCAAATCAAGATATTTAAACCTTCATTCTCAGATTTATTTGGATTAATTTTCAAATTACCTGCAAATGACATACCAATAGTGGATAACCCCAAAGTAACAGAACTTGCACCTTCGAAATTCTTGATCAAATCAGAAGGATGAACACCTTGACTTAATGATTCATCCGAAAATTTCTCATGTTTAATAGTCATTGTGGGGACACCTAATACATATTTAGCAAAAGCACCATTCTCTTCATTAGTATTCCCATGGATAAACGTCGAAACATAATCACCAACTTGGAACCCATCAACATCCGAGCCAACTTTAACAACTATCCCACTTGTATCTGTACCACTTATAGCATTTGGTGCACTAATGAAATAGATATGTTTCCAATCAGTTGGATTTGCAGCATATGCAATGGTTTTAATCAAGATTTCATTGTTTTTAGGTTCAGGAATTGGAGTTGTTTTAATTGTAGTTAAGTTGGATGTTTCTTTGGAGCCTGTTATGATAGCTGCTGTGTTTGACATTGTGAAAGTTATGGATTGGTTATGGGATAAGTTGATGATTATTAATTGGAATTATAAATGAATTTTCATTTTTATAACAATGACTGTCAGAAATATGAGTGTCACTAAGAACAATAGGTTTATATTGAAGCTGGTTTATTATGGAATCTCTGAAAGATCTGGGTGGCTGTATAGGGTCTATTTTAATATACAGCTTACTTGCTAATTATATCAACTTGGTGGGTGAAATTAAGTTGATTTTAAAGAAAACTACATGTTAATATTCGAATAATAATTGATGTAAATGAATAATATTGTCGACGACGACGACGTCATGATGGCAGCTGGTCATTATAAAATTGGTCTAATTGATTCAATTGAACTCACTAGTGCTATAATATATCTAATTCATTGTACCAATTGTATATTAAGCCCAAGCTTTGAAGATCGTTTAGACGCTAAATAAAATTTTGTAAAATTCATAAAATTATAAAATCAGACTTCTTGACTTATAAAATTGTAATTTCAAAACTTGTTAATGTCAAATATTTCAAATTTCGAAAATTTAGTGAATCCACTCAAGACTAGTATCAGAATAATCAGCAGTCTCTAAAGCACATATTTCTCCATTTTTCAATTGAAATCCATTCCATGGTTAGTTTTATTGATAGTAGATCACTATTGGCGCCTGTGTCCGAACCCTGCCTAGGAGTTTGCGGACTAGACAGAACTCAACTATTTTTCTCTCTAGACTTCAAACAGCGTCTATACCCGGACAGAGCGCTCTGCTCCCCAGAAGGAACTCTGGGGGTAACACCCCTTATAAAAATTTAGTTATCGTATTAAATTAAGCGTTATAATGAAAGATTGCCCTTTGATATTCACCTCATCAAATCACATTAAACCATGCCATTGACACCACCAAGTTCATTACCAAAAGCAATCAATCCATTCGTTACAAGATCCAATGAATTGGAAAATGCTGAACCTTTGATTGCTTATTTCTGTAAGTGTAATCCAGTGATGATGATGATGGATGAGTACTAATGATATCAAGGCAAATTATACATTGTAGAACAAATATTAAATCAAGGTTTACATACAACTGATGATGAAATTTCAAAATTTGCTATGGAATTATTAGATGATATTGAGAATTTCAAACAAGTTAATCAAGAAGATGAAATCAAAGACATAATCAATGATAAATCAAGTAGTATATTATATATTGTTGGATTTGGTGATAAGATTTTCAATAATTCATTAAAACAAATTAAACAACATGTTTCAAATAAATCTACAGCGTTAAGTTTTTTAGCAAGTGTTAATTTTTATGAATTGATTAAATTATGGCCAGATCAAGATGTTTATGAAATGAATGAATTAATGAAAAAAATTAGATATGCCAAATTCCATGCAGCTAGAATATTGAAGAGTTTAAGGAAAGGAGAAGACCCTAATGAATATGATCCACCTGAATTTGAATTGAAAGATGAACAAGAAGTGCCTTTTAAACAAGAAGAAGAACCAACACCAGCGGGATTGCCTAATATGGAAGATGACGACGATGATGATGATAATTTAGGACTACCAAAAGTTCCACAATTTATAGATGATGAGCCAAATAAGAAACAAAACCAAGATCAAGAACCTGAATTATCCAAAGAGAAAAGTCCCTCACCAAGTTTTAAACTACCTGAACCTCCAAAATCTAAACCAGGAGCAATCGATGTGGATCCAGAACCAGTAACACCAAGAGAATCCACACCAAAAGTAAATGAACCATCCTCATCAAGATCACTCTCTCAACCTATAATTAAAGATAACTCAACAAAACCAGTAACTAAATTTGATGTTTCTCAAATCATTGAATCTGGTGAAATTTATAATAAAGCTCAAAAACATGCAAAATTCGCAATCAGTGCCATGAATTATGAAGATAAAGAGACTGCTTTGAAACAGTTGAAAGAGGCCATAGCGTTATTGGATCAATTAGAGATGTGAATACATTTAAAACAATAGATACTAGATCTGTATTGATTTTTGCGTCAAAGTATTCCGTATTCGGTTGCCAAATGCCCAATCGAGGAAAAGTTTTTCTCAGGATTTTCCGAGACAGGTGAAAGTTTAATAAAGAGGTGGATTTTGAATGGTCATGAATTTGGATTTAATTGATTTTAATTGGATATGTGTAATTAATTTAGGACTACGAGTGGAGTCAATTCACCCACTTAATCTCCTAGTAAAATTCCCCTGTTGTTTTGTATGACCCATGCTTCTTTTTAATGTAATTTGATGCATTTGCACTACGGAAAATTTTAAGAAATAGAAATTTTCAACTCGATGAGCCATCTCATGAGAAAACTGGGAAAACAGTATATAAACTGTGAGAAGTACTTGATTTATTCTTAGTCTATCTTTTTGTAGTATTCAACAATCACTTAATATTCATCCTTTCTAAATATTCTTTAATCATGTTTGGCTTATTCAACAACGTTATTGCAAACGAACCAAAACCTACAACTACTACAACTGTTGCTTCAACTCCAGCTAAACCAGTTTCAAATGGTTATAAATTCAACTTTGATCTAAGTTTCTTGGGTGAATTTGTTCAAATCTCTTTATTCAAAGAAAACAAATAGGTGAATTAATATGTTTTATATCATGAGTAATGCTGGTTTTTTAATAGATTTGATACAAGATAATTTAATAATGCAATAATAGTAATACAAAAGTAATGTTTAATGGGAATGAAATTGTAGAGATGATGAATAAAATAGAACTAACCATTGAAAGATACCTACTACTATTAAATGATTACTGTTACATCTATTTTCATTCTATTTGGTACACGGGCTTTGGCCAGAAAACACGTTAGAAAAAAAAACATGAGCAAAATAAAAACTAGAGCCATAAACCAAAATTCCTTCTAAACACGTATTCAAACAATGATCTCACTATGATGATCTCTCTTTTGCTATACTCACTCTTCCTAGTGCTACCCACTTTGGCCAAACTTCATGAACTAAACTGGAGATTATCCTATAAACAAGTCAACCCAGACAACTCTAGCACTCCATGTCAAATCATATCAATAAATGATCAATTCCCACCACCAATAATCAGATTAAAGCAACATGACACTCTCAGGATAAACCTGTATAATGGGTTGGATGAACCTACTGCATTGCATTTCCATGGTATTTTCCAAAAAGGTTTTAATCAAATGGATGGTCCAACAATGTTGACACAATGTCCTATTCTTCCCCAGACCCATTTCACTTATGAGTTCACTGTGAATCAAACAGGTACATATTGGTATCATGCTCATGAATCTGTACAATACGGGGATGGTTTGCGTGGTGCTCTGATCATAGAGGAGGATGAACAAGAGTATGATCAGGATGTTGTTGTGACGTTGAGTGATTGGTATTATGGGAAAAGTGAACAATTATTACACGATTCAAAAGGTAATGAACCAAGAATTGATTCTTCATTGTTTAATGATACAAGAAATGTTAAATGGGGAGTGGAACCTAATGAGAAAATCTTGATTAGATTGATTAATATGGGGATGAGTGGTTCTCAATATTTTTATATAGAGGATCATAACCTAACAATAGTGGAGGTTGATGGTGTTAAAATCCAACCAGTTGAAGTGGATAGTGTCTTGTTGGCAACTGGCCAAAGATATGGTGTTGTTTTACAGACAAAATCAAATAGAGATCGAAACTATGGAATGGTTTCGATAACAAATATGATGATGAGGAAAGTTTATCTTGATAATTGGATTGTTTATGATTTTGCCAAACCACTAGATCCACCTTTGGAGATCCATCCAAGAGATTTAAATTATATTGATGATTTCCAATTGAAGCCATTAGTGTCAACACCTAGATTAGGAACTCCAAACCATCAGTTTGAATTCACTTATGATAGTATAGATTATCAAGGTCAAAATTATTGGACAATGAATGGTGTCCCACATTTATCCCCTAAGATACCAACACTAATGACTGTATTATCAAGTGGAGATGATGAATTTGGGAACCCATTAATTTATGGGAATTCAACAAATACTATAATCATTGAAAAAGGTGATATCGTGGATATAATTGTGAATTCAAATGATATGATGAAACATCCATTCCATTTACATGGTCATAACTTCCAAGTATTGGCTCGTGAACGTAAAAAACATTATGATTATGATGCTTCAAAATTCTCAGATTTCCCCCTAGTGAGAGATACTATAGTGGTCCCTAATCATGGATATGTTGTTTTAAGATTCATTGCTGATAACCCTGGTGTTTGGTTTTTCCACTGTCATACTGATTGGCATGCAGCTACTGGACTTGGTGTTGTTTTCATTGAAAGTCCTGATTTGATAAGAAGAGATTTGAAATTGAATAAAGAGAGCTTAGAGATGTGTTTGAAGGGTGGTGTAAAGACTAGAGGAAATGCAGCAGGGAATGATCATTTTATGGATTTGAAAGGTGATGTATCAATTTATAACATTAATGAAAAAGAGTCAACAACAACAGCAACAGCATCTTCTTCTTTACCATCTCCATCATCTACGGATTCAATGATGAAATCAACATCATCATTCCATACAAAAGTTGTTGTTTTAATCATTTATTTCACAATCATGTTGATGATTGCAATCGCTGGTGCTTTTTTCATCAATAAACGGATTCGTTCAAATATCCATTATAAGAAGGGGAAATATAGAAGATTATCCACAATTGCAAACGTTGAACCTGAGCAAGGTATTGAATTATAAGGAATATGTAAACTTATTCTATGTCACGTTTTTGTAGTATTCTGTGCAATTTTGGGTGTAATTGTGACTGAAGATCTGGGCATAATTACGAGCAGTTGAAGAGATGGAAATCAGAGAAGAGATGGCTGATGACTATAAAATCAATAAAATCAATAAAATCAATAAACTAATTCATTTAGTTCACTAATTCCAACTAATTCACCTCTTCATCACCAATTTCCTCACCCACTGATCGTTAAGATAATTCGTTATCTTTTCCATCAAAATTTTTTTTCTTGTTTTTTCTTGAATCGGCAAAACGCAAATCTGCAAAAAAAAAACATCAAATCAACAAAATACAAATAAATTGAATAACCTTCTAGGACCCTTTACCTTATACCCACTTCCCATACTCACCATGAAACACATACTCCTACTACTCCTCTTCCTCCGGCTCTCATTAGCTGAATCACTAAAGGGCACATTTGACAAAATCATTGTGTTTTCATGCCAATCTGCACTACAACAATATAAATTCCAATGTCATGAGGATTTAGCATGGGTGTGTACTTGTGGATATGAACCGATGATTGGATCCATGGCTCAGTGTGTTGATGCTTATTATTCACCCTCTTGGGGTAAAAAAGGTGATGGGTTAAAAAGTTTAAGGGAAGGTTGTTTGAAATATGGACATGTTGAAATTGATGAAGTTGAATTACAAAGAATAATGGAAAATTCTACATTATTTTTAGAAAAAGCTAGTGATGGGCTTCCAAGGTTTGATCCAAATGGTGTTAAATATGCTCCAATATTACCAATAAGGAATGATGTATTGGGGAAAGTTAAAGATTATAAGGCTTTTTTAGGAAATTTTGATATTTCTCAACATTATGGGATTTTAATAAATATTTATTGGATTATTATATTAATATGGTTTGGTGTTTGGAATAGGTTGAAATTAAATTCAATAAATAATAAAATCATTGGTGAATCAGTGAATTTCATTAGGTCTCATATCAGTCTAAATATGCTTTTCCAAAGACATTTCCAACCATTCCAATTAGGTTATGGATTCACTTCATTATTACCATCAGGTCCAGAATCCCTAGTTCTTGGTGTTTATTTTGCTCTCAATACCATTTTCCTAATCATTGGTTATGATATCTATACGGATAATTCAATTTTTGGTCCAAATACTTTAGCACAATTTGTTCGTTACATTTCTGATAGATCTGGTGTACTATCATTTGCTCATATCCCACTAGTCATTGTTTTCGCTGGTAGAAACAACATATTGATCAATTTGAGTAAATTACCATATAGTTCATTTATGATTTTCCATAAATGGACTGCAAGAGTAATGTTTATTGATGCTTTTATTCATAGTATTGGATATTTGGAAATCATATTGGAGAGTAAATCATTAGATGATTTCAAAACAAAGAGATATTTACAATGGGGAACTGCAGCTACTCTAATAGGTGGTGTTATCCTAGTACAAGCTATTCATAATCTTAGAGTTTATCACTATGAATGTTTTTTATTACTACATATTATATTCGGCGCGGGGTTTTTAGCAACATGTTGGAAACATGTTGAAACTTTTGGTTGGTATGACTGGATACTGAGTGCATGTGTACTATGGGCAAGTGATCGAATAATGAGAATTTTCAAATTATGGAAATTTGGTTGTCCCAAGGCTAAATTACAATTTATATCTGATGAAACTTTTAAAGTTTGTGTTAAAAGACCATATAATTGGAAACCATTCCCTGGATGTTTTGTTTATATTCATTTTATAACATGGTCAACTTTTTGGCAATCACATCCATTCACTATAGTGGATTCAATATTGGAGGATGAAATGGTTACAATTTATATAAAGGCCAAGGATGGGCTGACTAAAAAAATACTGGAGAAAATTGGAACTGAACCATATGAGATGAGAGTTTCATTAGAAGGTCCATATGGTAATAAATCACCATTGGAATCATATCAAAATGCAATGTTAATTGCCGGTGGGAATGGTATTCCAGGTCCATATTATCATGCTATTGAATTGGCAAGAAAACCATTATTATTAAAACAGAGAATAAAATTGATTTGGATTATAAGGAAAATTGAATCATTACAATGGTTTGAACAAGAATTGATGAAATTATCAAATTTAAACATTGAATGTGATATTTACATTACCAGAAATTTCAATCCTGAATTGGTTGAATTAATACCATTAACAAAACAATTTTCACCATTTGTTAGGTTGTTCTCTGGAAGGGCAAATACAACTAAAGTTTTACAAGATGAATTTTTGAATGCTCAAGGTTCAATCGGAATAGTTACATGTGGACCTTCAATAATGTGTGATGATATTAGATCATTTGTGAGTGGGAATTTAAATTCATGCCCATATAGAGTGGATTTATTTGAAGAATTACAAGTGTGGTGATCAATAATAGAACGTTTCATTTATAAACTCTTATTCATAAATCTTCTTCTTGTAAATGCTAACCAATATTTTGAAGGGTGTAATTGATCTTCTTTATAAATTCTCTCTATCAATCTTGCACTTAATTCTTGACGGAACTGTGTTAAATAACCTTTATATAAATCATATTCATTTCTATCTCTTGGGGCTAGGTATAATGAATTTAATGGGAAATTAGCATCTCCAGGTATAGCAAAATGGTCCAAGGATAGATTTGTCAAGATTTTATGAGCTTCATTCTTAGGAGTATTGATAGTTATTTTGGATAAACAATCACTAACAAATAATATACCATAAATTAAAACACGATCAGCTGGGCCTTTAATTTCAAAATTTTTGAAGAATGAATTTGCTCTGAAAAGATCCAAGATTTCATCAATTATATCATAGTCACCATCTGCAGGGTATGCAGGGCCTCTGAATTTAGTTTTCAATGGGGAAAGGGCAAAGTTACCTTATAGAAAAGAATAGTTAGTACTTGTGGATTGTGGTTCATATTATCTAGTCACTACTTACCAACTAGTCTTTCGTTTGAAGCTGGATCTGAGAGGAAAGTTGAGTGGTAGGCCTTGGGTTGTTAGCATGGGGTCCTTTTTCTGCATTGTAATTGAATCTATAATACTCACTGGCATCTTGTGATGTTGTTCTAATCCATTAAATTGTTATATACCCAGCTTAATCTATTAACGTTCTTCACCTCCTTTTGATTGAATAGAGATCCGACCACCTCGGATATCTATACCACAGAACGCATTCGCGGCAGTCAGCCAAGGCACAATCTCAGTTTGGCAAACCCAAAAACCATCAATTCACATTAATAGCTAAACAAACACTAGCAACAACAACTCCAAATCATTGTTCAAAAGACACTGAGCTGAATAAGGACAGAGCACAGAGCATACTCCATCAGGAATCAAGATACACTAGCACAGCGCCTTTTAGTTGTTTCCCCTGGCGTGTTTTTCTAGTTTTTGCTGGTGGTTGTCGGTTAAATTTCATTTACAGAAAGAGCAGCTGAATTGGCAACAAAAACATCCATCCAACAATTGTCAGATCAAAAGATCCTTAAAGATCCCTTTGAATAGGCTCTGATATCAAAGCTGTTACCATAGAAATCCATCAATTCCGCTATTACCCAATTAGTGCGTGAGATCCATCATTTGTTTGTTGACTGTTTTTTTTACCCTTCGCCTTGATTTATTTTTGGGCCACCATTGTATCCTAAAAAAACACCAAACAACAACAACAAGAACTGAAAACCAGGAAAGCGGCTTACTTCTAATCAGAGAATATCAAGTGTGATAAAACTCAATCTTTACCAATTCCAAATTTATCAATTGAAACAAATATAAAAGTGTTTGCAAGGATTTGAAATCTTACAAATATGTCCGGTCAAAGAGATTTGACTCGTGATGAATTATTCAATGACATCTTTGGTTCTAGACGACCGGAAGAGAGCCTCAATCAATCCCCAGTTGATGAGTTTAGGTTTGATAACACTACATCTGATCAAGGTCAACATCATACATTAGATCCTGCAAGATCAAGATCTTCAAATGAGGTACCTCCATCTCAAGAGTTTCAAAATAGATTGAATTTGAATAATGGTGCTCCACCTTCTGCTCAACAACATATACCTCATCCATATAGACCAGTGCCTCAAGGTCAATTCCAAAATCATGTGCAGCGACCAGAACACCAACCACATCTATTACCACCTCATCATATACAGACTCAACAACGTCCAAGTTCTCCTGGTCGTAAACCTCCACCTGAATCCCCAATTCATCATGAAGGTGGACTGAATATTCATAATGAGAATGTTGGACAAAGACCACAGCCTCAGCCTCAACAACCACTTCATCATATTCCACCAGGTATTGTTCCAAGTCATAGAGAACCTCAACATCAACAACAACAGAATAGAGCTACTGCTGCTCGTTTGCAACCCATCACAACTACCGACCCATCAAGTGCTCCAATATCTTCACGTTATCAACAATCTCCAACAATGTCTAAATATTCAAACAGATCACCTATCTTACAACAGGGTATAAATCTTTTGACTAGAAATTCAAGAACAGTGACATCTCCAGTGTTGCCCACCTCACCTCAGTTCAATAATAACAATGCTTCCTCATCTTTTAATAATGGACCAATTAATAATAATAATCACAATTCTAATAGCACTAATAATAATTTCAACTCTGGAAGATCAATGTCACTAAATTCTTCAACTATTAGAAATTTCATGAGTTCTGATAATTCAAACAAACATCATTCAAAAGAATTTCCAAGGAAAAGTGCAAGTGGTCGTGTAATCCCACAAAAATTTGATATGAATAATAATTCCTCTTCATCATCATCTTCTTCAATGGGACTTGGTTTGAAAACAAGAAGTTTATCATCAATTGCAAAAGCTAGAAGAGTTTCATCATCTGCTTCATTAAACTCTCAAAGAATTTCAAGTCAAACAAGTTTATCTTCAAGAACTATAGTGACTACATCTTCAAGACCACCACAAGTTTATCCAGCTTTATTATCACGCGTTGCTACTTTATTTAAAAGAACAATTATTTTGGCTCAATATAATAAGGATGGGTTAGAATATAGAGATGCATTTACAGGTTCTGATGCAGTTGATGTTATATCTCATATCATTAGAACCACTGATAGAAATTTGGCATTATTATTGGGGCGTGCCTTGGATGCTCAAAAATTCTTCCATGATGTAACTTATGAACATCGTTTAAGAGATTCAAATCGTGAAATTTATCAATTTGATGAAGTTTTCTTGAATACAACTTCTCCAAATGCTTCCAACCAAAATTTACAACATATGTCAACTCCTGAATTCATTCAAAGAAATGGTTCAGTTTCAAGTGAATCAACATTACAACCAAATACAACTGGGAATAATAGTGGAGCTCCTGGATCTCCAGCTTTAGATGCTGATCAACAACATAATGTTAATGGTGTTTTCACTTTGTTGACTGAATGTTATTCCCCAACTTGTACTCGTGAGGCTCTTTGTTATAGTATTGCATGTCCAAGAAGATTGGAACAACAAGCTAGATTGAATATGAAACCTCAAGGTGGGTTGAAAAGAAATGAATCTCATTTATCATTACATGAAGAAGAAGAAAAGAAACAATTATGGTCTCATACTGTTCCTAAACAATTATTGGAAAGTCTTGATAAGAAAGAAGTTAAAAGACAAGAATTGATTTATGAAGTTATTGCTACTGAAAGAACATTTGTGAGAAATTTGGAATATCTAAGAGATTATTGGATTAGACCATTAAGAGAATCAAATATAATTCCAATTCATGAACGTGAAAAATTCATTAGAACTGTTTTTTTCAATGTTATTGATATTTTAAACGTTGCTGTTAGATTCAGAGATGCATTGATTAGAAGACAACAATTGAAACCTGTTGTACAAAACATTGGTGATATTTTCCTGGAATTTATTCCATTTTTTGAACCTTTTGTTTCTTATAATGCTGGTCAATGTTTTGCTAAATATGAATTAGAAAGACAAAAAGCTGCAAACCCATTATTCGCAAGATTTATTGAAGAAACTGAAAGATTACCAGAATCTAATAGATTAAACATTAGTTCATATTTATCACAGGCAACAACCCGTACAGTTAGATATAATTTGTTGTTGAAAGATATCATCAAATGTACTAAAGAAGAATCAATTGATTTACCTGATTTAACAAAAGCTTCAGATTTAATTTTGAAATTATTGGAAAGAATTAATGTTAAAGTTGGTAAAGCTGAAGATCGTCATGCATTAATTTTGTTGAAACAAAGATTAGTTTTCAGACCAGGTGAATATGTTGATTTGAAATTAGGTTCAGAACAACGGAAAATCATATATACTGCACCTTTGAAGAAGAGAAATCAAGATAAAGATAATCAAGGTGATATTCAAGTTTATTTATTAGATCATTTATTATTATTTGTTCGTGTTAAAGTGATCAATAAAAGGGAACAACATAAAGTTTATCAACGTCCTATCCCATTACCATTATTATATATTAGTGCAAGTGAAGAAATGCCATCATTAAGACCATATACAAGAAAAGCTGGTGCTTATGCTCATGTTTTGAATCATCCTTCAAGAAGTGATACTAAATTTCCAATTTCATTTGCTTATATTGGTCGTAGAGGTTATGATTTAACATTATATGGTGCAACAAATAGTGCACAAGATTCATTAATTTCAATAATTGAACAACAACAAAATAAGATTAGAGAAAAAAATGATATTTTCACTTTAACTCCATTAGCTGAAAGATTTTTTGATATTTCAAATAGAATTAATTGTCTTGCCCCATGTGATGGTGGTAGAAGATTATTATATGGTACTGATTCTGGAGTCTTCATGAGTGAGATTAAGACAAGAGGTAATCAAAGAGTTGTTTCTAAACCAGTTAGAATCATTTCAAAAGTTAATGTTACACAATTGGAGATTTTAGAAGAATATCAAACTTTATTAGCATTAGCTGATAAGAAATTATATGCATGGCCATTAGAATTATTAACAGTTCAAGATAAGAAAACTGGTAAAGAATTAATGTCACATGTCTCTTTTTTCAAAGTTGGTGTTTGTGGTGGTAAAATTTTAGTTGTTGCAGCTAAATCTGATTTAATCAGAGTTTTCGAACCAACAGATCCATTTTCTAAAAAAATGAGTAAGAAAAAATTTAAAAATGAAACAAGAGAATTCCATTTTAATTCAGAACCTGTTTCTATATCATTTTTGAAAACAAGATTAATTGTTGGATGTACTAAAGGTTTTGAAATTGTTTCATTAAATGATGGTAAGAATGAAGCTATCTTGGATCCAGCTGATACTTCATTGGATTTTATTATTAATAAAGAAGGTTTAAAACCATTGGCAATTCATAGAATTAGTTCCAACTTTTTGTTATCATATTCAGATTTTTCATTTTATATTAATAAAAATGGATGGAGAACAAGATCAGATTTCATGATTAATTGGGAAGGTATTCCTCAAGCATTTGCATTATGGTATCCATATTTATTAGCATTTGAACCAAATTTCATTGAGATTCGTAATGTTGAAACTGGTGAATTATTAAGAGTTATAGTTGGTGAAAATATCAGATTATTACACACAGGGTCACAAGAAATTTTATATGCTTATGAAGATGAACGTGGATATGATGTTGTTGCATCTTTAGATTTCTGGGATAAGACAAATAAAAAGACAACTACAGTGAATGATACAAATACTGTGGGACATGCAAGTTCATCATCTAATGTGTCATCATCATCTGGTATGAGTCCTGCATTAAGTGAGATTAAAGAAGTTGACGAAGGAAAGAAATGAGAGATCTCTATTGATTGAATATAGTATTATAATTATGAATTTATATGATTGTTTTTTTGAACTAATATTGTATCGGAATCTCGTTTAGTTTATTGGTTCCAAATGTTCCGAGGAGCTAATAGCTGAAAGCCGATTAACCCCAGCCAATTGAAACTAACGTCTTGGTGCCCTGCGAGTAGAGACTCAACGAAATGACTGTTGAGTAGGGCTTAACTGTTAGACAAACACAATCGAAAACATCTCATCATATCACTAATCACAATTCATTTCCATCATGTCAAATCTAGTTTCCCATTTAAAGATCGCCCATCTTTTAAGCAGTTTTGTTGACATTTTAAATGAAATGCGCGAAAAATTTTTTTTTTCCTCAACAAATTCATGAACAAAAAAAAAAAAACCTCGAGAACGAAAAGAAAAAAAAAAATCAAAACAAATATTTATAATCTCCTATTCATCTCTTAGACCCTGTTTTTTTTTTCAACCTTTGGTTCTTTGATCGTTGTACCTTCACTTTCCTTTCAAGATGTCAGCAGTGGAACAAATCTTGGGAACCATCCAAGAGAAAACCCCATATTATTTAAATCTAATCAATTCAAATACTCCAAATTTTATTAATGTTGAAATTCCAAATATTGAAACACCATTTGGATTAAAATTATGGCCAGTTTTCAATGAATTTGTTTCCCATTTAACATTTGGTAAATTTATCCCATCAGAATTCCAATATATTGAAAATGAAACATTTATGAGTAGTAATAAAGAAGTTTTCATTGGAATTTTAATTTATTATTTTATAATTACAATTGGTCAATTGATTTTCAAAAAATTATCACCATTAAAATTACAATTTTTATTCCAATTGCATAATTTGTTTTTAACAACAGCTTCATTAACTTTATTGTTGTTATTAATTGAACAAATTTCACCAATTTTAATTAATCATGGTATTTTTTATGCAATTTGTTCACCAAATTCATGGAATCAAAAATTAGTTACAATTTATTATTTGAATTATTTGACTAAATTTGTTGAATTTATTGATACTTATTTCCTTGTTGTTAAAAAGAAGAAGATTATCTTTTTGCATAGTTATCATCATGGTGCTACAGCTTTATTATGTTTTATTCAATTAGGTGGTGCAACTTCAGTTAGTTGGGTTCCAATCTTATTAAACTTGGCTGTTCATGTTGTTATGTATTGGTATTATTTCTTGGCTTCAAGAGGTATTAGAGTTTGGTGGAAACAATGGATTACCACTTTTCAAATTTTACAATTTGTCTTGGATTTAGGATTTGTTTATTTCTCAACTTATACTTTTTATGCTGAGAAATACTCAAGAGAATGGGGTATTTACATTCCAAACAATGGTACTTGTTTTGGTACACCATTTGCAGCAGGTACTGGATGTGCAATCTTGTCAAGTTATTTGTTGTTATTTATTGCATTTTATATCAAGACTTATAAATCTGATAAAAAACCAAAATCTAAAAAGAATTGAAGGATGCATCAATAGAGGGGTGAGTATACATATTCCTCTTAATATTCCCTAAGATAAAGTCATATCAATAGTTTTTAGATGTGTATTTTAATGTATTGAGATTATACTTATAAAAAATAATAGTCACGTGACTATATATATTACATAATATATTACATAATACTAATTATCGGTACCGCCACTCTGAGGCCCCCTTTTTAATTTTTTCACTCGATTCGATCGGATGAGTTTTAAAAACAGCAGCCATTTGTTGACATGTATTGACGACAGATTTTAATTATCCGTAGCATCCAGAAGGGAGGATCAAGAGCTGGGCAACGTTGGGATTCAACGTAGAAGTGGTAGATAATAGTGGTGTTTATTCTACTCAACTGTCATTATATTTGAGCTGATCTCTGGCTATCTACCCCATAGAATTCATGTTCTTATTTCCATTTGGTGATGGATATTTGTGGAATTAAATTGTCATAGGCTACGGCTGATTGAAACCGAGCGAAATTAAAATGCTCGGAGTGGTGACACCGAGTAGAGGATAGAAAGAGCAAGGCTAATGGTGTGATTGAGTGAGTGAAATACACATGCTCACTCAGCCGTTTACCGATGGATGTTTAGGTTGACAGAGTGTGGGAATGGAGGATGAGGTTGTTGTGGGTGGTATATATACGGTGAAGGGTCCTGGAGGATTAAAGAAGAAGTTGATGGTGTTGATGTTGATAAAATGGTGCAACAGATGAACAACAATAACAAAATGTTTGCAACTACTTCACCTCCCTTGAGCAACAGCAGTTCCACTATAATACTGCCTTTACCCAAGTTGAATAGTCCAACAATCAATCAATACAATCCTCCTCATATTCATCATCACAATTCATTATGGGATTATAAATTCACAGCTACTACATCATCATCTACTGAGAATAACTCTTCAACAACATCACCTTCACCTCCTCCAGTTAGTGATCCACAATTACATTCAAATTATACTTTACAAACCCCAATACCTCAACAACCTTTATTATTACCTTCAATAGCAACATTACCACCTGCAACTAACAATTCCTCAAATTATATATCCCCATCAATAACACCACCTTCAAGTCGATCACAATCATTACCAACATCCAAGATCATTAAACCTCAACGTAAAAAGAAACAATGTCCCGAATGTCATTTATTTTTTTCAAATTTATCAACTCATAAATCAATTCACCTAACTCCAGAGAATAGACCATACTTGTGCAAGATTTGTGGTCGAGGTTTTGCGAGATCAAATGATCTCTTCCGTCATAATAAACGTCATTGGAAAGAAACTGGATCATCTCAAGGTGCTTTCAAATGCCCTTTCAGTTCAGTTTTATATTCAAATACAACTGGGTTGAAATTAAGAGAAACTCCATGTCATCCAACTGGGATATTCAGTAGGTGTGATACTTATAAAAATCATTTAAAAGCTTTACATTTTGAATATCCTCCAGGTACAAAAAAGAAAAATAGAATGGATGTTGGTGGGAATTGTAAAAAATGTGGTAAATTTTTTGAAAATGTTGAAGTTTGGTTAAATACTCATGTGGAGAATAATGAGTGTGGTTGGCATTTTGAGTAAATGGTCTGGGATCATTGCTTATAGAATATAAGGGAAAAGGTTTGATACATCTTGGGATTGATACATATTTATTATTATGGTTATGAAGTTATGAATACATGGAAAGGCAAAAGAATATTTTAATTGGAGTGTAGATGCATTATAACTTTGTAGATTTGTGATACTTTTGATTATAACGTGACCAGTCCAAAGGAGTTGGTATATATGGTGTCAAACATGATAAACAAGTGATCAAAGACAGGAGTTCATACTGGTACTTCTTGATCAAAGACAATCAGAACAAAGAGATATTCGCATATAAGTGCCCATTATATACTTGATCAATTTTCATCACAAATCTTTAGCTAATACTCTTGGTATGAACCTTATCCTTTAACGAGATACAAGGCCTCAGATATCCATAGTTCTAATCATGTTGAACTGTAGTGGATCAACTTTAATAATAGTTGTAGTTGTTTGATAACTGGTTGTGCCAACCAACTGTTGAAGATCTCATAATCAATCTAATTATATTACTTAAACAGGAAATGTAATTGATCTAGAGGAACAAGGATATAGTTAACATGCGAGCAAGGAGAAGATATAAACAAGTAGCTTCTAACCAAGAGTTATACTAGTTAATTGAAGCTATTCATGTTCTTGATTCTTTCTCTCCCATCGGCTTTAAATCTTCAAATTGTTCAAATTCAATCAATTTCGCAAAAAATTATAACCAAAAATCACAAATTTCCGCAAAAAATGCTATTTAAAGCAACGCCAAAAACGCCAAAAAAAGACGTTGAAAAAAAAAAGATGCCATTTTTTTTCGCCACGGCAAATTGCAGTGACGACAATTTGAATAATTTTGCTTTTGGACCAATAAATTGAAGAAAAGAAGGGATGAGGTAGCAAAGTTATTATGCGTCAACATGAACAAATCCTTTCCAAAGAAATTATCGAATGTTTCCTCTCTCTCTCTCGTAATTTAATTGCCCGAAATGTAGGTACGATGGGTTGTGTTGAAGTTAACTCTATAGGCATATATCCGGTGCTTCTTTTGCTTTAGGTTTCTGGTGGACAGAAAGTTTGGAGAGAGATTTTTTTTGTGGGTCTGCCTAGCGTTGAAAGGAGAAGGCGTTTTTACTTCCTGCCCAAAGAGGGCTCCAGGCAGAGAGCCTCCGCTTGGTCTTCTGGGCAGGGGGAAGGCAAAAGAAGCCCAGTGGGAGGAAGATCTAGAACCTTGAATCTTGGATATGGCTACATGGTTGTGCTTTTGAAAGTAATTAGGAGTACATCAGTAACTACGAGTGTCCAGTATGAATAAATTGGTTTCAGATAAAAAATTGAAGAACATAATAAAACCATACAATATTTTAACCCTACAAAGTCATATACTTCAATAGAATCATACTCTTTGATTCTTCTTCTCTATAGATCTCTCTCTACTTTTGAATCTCTCTATTTATCAGTGAAGAGTGGCGAAAAAAGACGTTATTCTTCCCGATCTGGCAACTCTCGTCATGCGCACGGCTGCAGAAAAAGAACATAAAAAATTTTAGAGTTTGCGCCCATTTTCGCGGAGGAAAACCTGCTTCACTCACAAGACCCAACGCACTAAAAGACGATGGTGGTGAAGAGGTTGTGAAGTGAATGATTTGAAGAACTTGTCCATGAACCATTCACTTTTAGACTGTCTAGTATTCCATATATCAAATACAATTTACTGTTAACGTTATCTGTTACAGAATCACTGAGTATCAGATCAATCATTATCAGATCAGAAATATTTCAATCAAGTTATAATCAAGAAAGAGGCTGATGAACAATATAGAGATCAAGTTTATAAGCTACAAAGAATAAGATAATACAACACAGAACTCACAAGCCGCCATAGTATCCCATAATGTCTGATTTAACAAGGTCTTTAACCAAAGTGAAGTCCAAATTAAGCTCAAGATTCAAGAATACCGCCAATGGAAATGATGAATCAAATTGTAATGAATCACAAGAAGATCAACTATTAGCTATGAAATATGATGATTTTGAGAAACAAGTGGATAATAATCCAAGTCAAGAAATGAGAACTTCCAAATCATTCACAAGTCTGAATAATATCGTTGAAGTGGAAGAAAGTGAACCAAATCAAGTTGATGACAAGTTATTGCCGCCAGTAACTCTTGATCCAAATACTCAACCATTATCACCATCATCTACATCAATAAACCAAATGAGTATATCAAATTCATCACCAGTGAAAACTTCATCGTTACAAGAGAAGGAATTTTCATTTTTACAACAACAACAAAATTCATCAAATCCAACTTCACCAATAAATTCAAACATGCTTAGAAATAGACATGATTCAATAATAGATCCATTAAACACTGGACTAATCAATGAAAAATTGAATTCACAAATCCTATCACCTCAACCTTCTTCAATTTCAACAACAACAATCTCCTCATTAAATAATACCAGAAGAAAATCTTCAAATATTTCAAATGCTTCATTAGTACAACAACCAATAACGCCAACTAATGAGGTTTCCATTAACCAATTTCAATTACAACAAGAAAATTTAGAATTTGCAGATGCAATGGCCCTAAGTATATTAGATAAAGTCGATGAGAATATTAAGATTGAACAAGAAAATCAAAATTGTTCAAATATTGATGAATGGACAATATGATATATCATTTCTACTCTTCATTCACTTCTCACCGAACTGGACTTTGGGGGATTTGCTTTCAATTCATTTGCTATCAAGACAATTTTTGCATTATTATTTTTTCCACATACCCTAGCATACTTTGCATATATATATAATAAATATAACGAAATTCATGATCTAAATACTATTTGTACTACACCCATCTAAAAAGAATATCCACCCATATATATATATTATTATTTTTATTATTGTTTATGCAAAATTCTCTCAAGCTTTAACTGTTCTTAGGCCAGCATTTGAACGAAAGATAGCATCACCTTCAGCATAACCTCTACCTAGACCGAAACCAACACCCATCCAGACAGGGAAGGCACGACGTTTGAATAAAAGAACTGATGCTAAAACACCAACACCAAAACCTAAACCAGTTTTAACAATTGTGTTTGAAAGGACAACATCCCACTAAAAGAAAGAGTTAGAATCTAAAAAAGCCAGGAGAAAAGCTGAGTCACATACTTTATCATTCAAGATGTTTTGTGAAGGGGTTGGAACGACCTGTTGTTGTTTTACTTCAGACATCTATAGATAGGTTAGCTTTTGATCTAATAAACTCAGGAAAGAATTAACCAAAAAACACGTGGAAAAAAAGCCATGTAATCTTCGGTATCTCAATTCTCCCTTGGGATAATCCATTCCTCACTCACATTTCTTTATGATGGTGTTTATTCTATATTCTCCAATATTCCTGACTCTATTCGCTCCTCGACGATTCAAAGTGTTTTAATTCGCCTGAAAAAAAAATAGGCCTGCACAACTTTCGCGAACGCGTTCTCACACTTGTGCCGTGTTTTTAGATCGTTAAGATAGCTCAAGAAATTGAATTTGAACAAGTCATTAACTATTGAAAAAAACATATTCAATTCAATTGTCAATGCTCATAGCTCCTCAATTGAGATACTCTACTGCTGCTAAAGTCTTAATAACATCTGCAATTGCCTACCAAGTTATCCCTAAAGTGTTCAAATCCTACTACTCTACAATCATGTTAGTGCCACCTCAAGCTCCACCTTCTTGGAACCATACTCCAGAACAAATTTTGAAAGAGACCGAATCATATATCACAAATGGTAAACAATTACATGACAAGATTGGTGCAATTGATCAACCAACAATTGAAAATTCTTTCAAACCATTTGCTGAATTTGATAATGAAAATGCTGGTATTTCAAATATCTTGACATTTTATCAACATGTTTCAGCTTCAAAAGAATTAAGAGATGCCTCCACGGAAGCTGAACAGAAAATCAGAGATTTTAGTATTGAACAAGGTTCAAGAGAAGATTTGTATAAAGTTTTCAATAAGTTATTCAATGAAACTAAAAATTATGATTCATTAACTGATGAAACTAAAAAATATATTAAAGAGATTAATGATGGGTTTAAAAGAAATGGGTTAGCATTACCATTGGAACAAAGAGAAAAAATTAAAGAGATTCAAAAAAAATTATCAAATCTAAGTTTAGAATTTGGTAAAAATTTAGGTGAACAACAAGAATTTTTATTATTTACCAAGGAAGAATTAGATGGTGTTCCAAAAGATGTTATTGATCAATTTGAAAAAATTACTGATGATTCCGGTGAGGAAAAATTGAAAATGACTTTTAAATATCCAGATATTTTCCCTGTTTTAAAATATGCTAAAAATGAAAATACTCGTAAATTAGCATTTGTTGGTGATCAAAATAAAGTCCCACAAAATGAACCTTTATTACAAGAAGCTGTTAAATTAAGAACTGAATTAGCTAAAACTTTGGGTTATAAAACATTTGCTGATTATATCTTGGAGAAAAAAATGGCCAAGAATTCAGAAACTGTTTTATCATTCTTGGATGATTTACAAAAAAAATTAACTCCATTAGCTTTAAAAGAACGTGAACAATTATTATCTTTGAAAAATAAAGATTTAAAAGAGAAAGGTTTAGAGCAATCTGATCAATATTATGTTTGGGATCATCGTTTTTATGATACTTTATTATTAGAACAACAATATAAAGTTGATCAACAAAAAATTGCAGAATATTTCCCAATGGAGTCAACAATTTCTAAAATGTTGAAAATTTTTGAAAAATTGATGAATTTAAAATTTATTGAATCAATTGATGAAAAATCAGTCTGGCATCAAGATGTTAAACAATTTGCAGTTTGGAATACAGATGATGGTGAATCATCACCAAAATTTGTTGGTTGGTTATATTTTGATTTACATCCAAGGGATGGTTAATATGGTCATGCTGCCAATTTCGGTTTAATCCCAGGTTTTAATAAAACCGATGATTCAAGACAATATCCAGTAACTGCATTAGTTTGTAATTTTTCCAAACCAACAAAGGATAAACCATCATTATTAAAACATGATGAAGTTACAACTTTTTTCCATGAATTAGGTCATGGTATTCATGATTTAGTTGGGAAAACTGAATATGCAGAATTCCATGGTCCTTCTGGTTGTTCATGGGATTTTGTCGAGGCTCCTTCTCAAATGTTGGAATATTGGACTTGGTCAAAAGATGAATTACGTGAATTATCTTCACATTATGAAACTGGTGCCAAAATTGATGATGAATTAATTGATTCTTTAATCCGTTCAAAACATGTTAATGGTGGGTTGTTTAACCTAAGACAATTACATTTCGGCTTATTTGATATGACTTTACATTCAATTAATCCAGATACTGATATTGCTAAATTTTGGAATGAATCAAGAGAAAAAATTGCGTTAGTTAGTAGTGGTGGCGTGGAAACTAAAGGTTTCAACTCTTTTAATCATATTATGGGTGGTTATCAAGCAGGTTATTATGGTTATTTATGGTCTCAAGTCTTTGCTGCTGATATTTATTATACTAAATTCAAATCAAACCCAATGGATACTAAAGTTGGTGTTGAATATAGAGATATTATCTTGGCTAGAGGTGGTTCTAAAGAGGAGAATGATAATTTAAAAGAGTTGCTAGGTAGAGAACCAAATAATGAAGCATTTTCCAAAGAATTGGGATTAAATGCTTGAATGTTTTAATACGAATTGTTAAATGATTTTTGTATTTTGTAGCTGTTTATTATGGTGTGTCCCCTAAACAACAAACGAATTCGCGACCCCAAAAAATCTCAAAACACCAAAAGTTCAATTCTTCACCCCAGAAAACAACCATATCAGTTTGAATAAGAGAGTTTTAGAGCAACATGAATGACAAGATCATACCTATAGAATCCGAGGAACTGATAATGTCAACCTCTACACCAATTCAATCAAAATTCCCAGAAAAAGATGGCTCAAATCTGATAGAAATCGATTCTTCTCAACTATATTACTCACAGCAACAAGGTCCAATACTAAGGTCAAATCAAAGAATGGTTAGATCATTATTGTACATGGGACAATTATTAAACTTGAAAAAGGTCAAATCTGATTCACAAAATGATTTCTTGGTGAATTCACTAGAGACTATAACTTCATTAATGGATAATGTTTATTTGATTACAAAATTTGGTATTGGACAAAATTCAAAGTTTTTATCCAAGATTGGTTCAAATGCAAGTAAAGTTTGGTTCGTAACTTTATTAATCACAATAAGAAAGATAATTAAAGATTTAATCAGGTTGTATAATTTGAAAACACAAGTTTGGAAAGAGATTAAATTTTGTGAGATGGAACAATTGCACAATCCTTTAGCTAAATTGATACTTGAGAAATATGAATTAAAATTGCAAGATATACAAAATGATATACTTGGTGGTGCTTTAGAGCTAGTTGGAAGTTTAAATGATTTGTTTTTCGTCTCTATTGAGATTTTCAAATTGAAAGTGCCCCGTTGGATAGAGAAATTGATTGGTTTTATATCTGCAGCTATGATGATTTATAGAATGTCCAAAAGATCATAAACTACATTTGATAAGCCAGTCATTTATTCATTAATGATTCTCTAAAACATTGTAGAGCTTCTTTATCTTCCCTTGAAATCCATCTTGAGCATTCTTCAACATCATCTGTATACAAACATTTTTTCGTAAAATCAGCATAATGGAACCCATTACATTCTTTACCCAGATAACCTCCTGTACATACCCAAATATATCTTCCTCTTGTCTTGGGGTCTTTGAAACTTCTTCTTAAATCCATTTGATTCCCACATCTTGAACACATTGGTAAATTCTCTTGAAATTTTGGTAAATAATGTCTATAAGTTAAATTCATTCGAATCGTCCCTGAAATTTCATGTGGTGTGAATTCAGTTGTAGCTGGAATACAATGTTTATATTCTTCTTGAAAGCCGGCATGCATGATAAATAAGGTATTGTGTGGTAATGGAATTGCATACATTGTATTAAATTTTGAATTTGGGTCATTATATTGTTTCCGAATTCTGAAATCTCGTGTAGCACCTATTGTAAAAGATGCAATAACACAATGTGGTCCAATGTATGTCATTCTGTCAGAATGCCAATCAAGATTATTTGATTTTGAATTGAATCTATTTGAAACTGCTAAATCACCTCTCCATGGGATATCAGATTGGAATGGTAAACTTGGTCGCTCTTTTAATTCTTTATTAACTTGATCTTCAATCAATAATTGTGTCATTTTCATTGAATCTGAATATCTATCTCTTGACTTGTATTTTTTACCATTATAGTATAATTCATCACTAGTACTTGATCCATAAACTTTAGACATATGATTTGAAACACATTTATTACCAAATAGATAAAACTCTTGCGGTTGAAACCCCTTTTTGTCTTTGATTAATGTTTCAAGTAAGCTATCAGCTAATTCTTTAGGCAAAAAATCATAATGAATAGTTGAATATGGAACTGTTGTTTCTATATCTTCTTTTGAATATAAATAAACTGGTTTATTCACATTTGTTGTGTTACTTGATTTAGCAACTCCTGAATCTTCAGCACCAAATAACTTCTTGATACTTGATTGTTTGGAATGATTGTTTATCTTTCTTCTCTTTGCGTTAGGGAACGATTCAAAAAGAATAGATTCAGCAGTTGGTAATGAACCATCACAGCTTATTAATAGCTCCAATAAAGAGGATTCATCAGCTTCTGGGAATGATAATTTTAAGTGAGAGAGCTTAGCATCTGTCATTATTCAAGAAGACATCCTATTCAACCTCAAATCCACCAAATAATCCGCCTATTTGAACGTAGTTGATTTCGCCATCAATAAGAAAGTTTATAAGTTTGGCGTTTCGACCAAATGCATTCGCGATTCGCGAATGTGTTTTACAATTGAGTTGCCGGCCGTTTACAATATAGGCTATTTAAGCCACCAGAAACGTTCCAAAACGATTTGCTATATTTAAGCTTTTGATGAGCCTAAATATTCTGAATCATCAATTGGATTCAAACTCATTGATTTGATAATTCTTTGCACCAATTACGTGCCAAAATTCAAACTAAATATTGCTTCTAGAAAAATGACGAATCGGTGAACTGTTGCGCCGAAAATGGAATATTTAGCGGCTTTCAACTTGATGATACGTTGGGTATAAATTCAGCAACTGATCCTGAAAAAGTCGAGGAATAACTAACAACCTCTATAAATATTCAATTGAATAGTATAATACAATACCACAATGGTCGAATTGCAAAACTCTACAGCTACAATCACTTTAAACACAGGTGCAAAGATCCCTCAATTAGGGTGAGTATTAAATTAGGTCTTTAACCCCCTTATGAACAATCAATCTAACAATTTCATTATAGTTTGGGTACCTGGAGAAGTACTGAAGGCCAAGCTTACGATGCTGTCTTACATGCCATTAAAGAAACTGGTTATGTTCACATTGATAGTGCAGCTATTTACAAAAACGAAGAGGAAGTTGGTAAAGCTATCAGAGATAGTGGTGTTCCAAGAGAAAAGTTATTCGTCACTACTAAATTATGGGGTACTTACCATAGAAACCCAGAAGCTGCCTTGGATGAATCTTTAAAGAAATTGGGTTTGGACTATGTTGATTTATACTTGATCCATTGGCCAGTTGCTTTCAAAACTGACAACATCAAAGATGGTAACTACCTCACAGTTCCTGAAAAACCAGATGGTGGTAGAGATATTGACATTGATGGTTGGAGTTTTGTAAACACTTGGGAGTTAGTTCAAAAATTACCAGAAACTGGTAAAACTAAAGCTGTTGGTGTTTCAAATTTCTCAATTAACAATTTGAAAGAATTATTAGCTGCTCCAACTACTAAAGTTGTTCCAGCTGCTAACCAAATTGAAGTTCACCCATTATTACCACAAACTGAATTAATTGAATTTGCTAAATCAAAAGGTATTGTTACTGAAGCTTATTCTCCACTAGGTTCATTAGATTCGCCATTATTCACCAACAAAACTTTATTAGAAGTTGCCAAATCTTATGATGTTTCAGTTGCTCAATTATTAATCAACTGGGCTTTGAAAAGAGGTTATGTCGTTTTACCAAAATCTGTCAACACTGAAAGAATTGATGCAAACTTTAAAGTTTTCGATTTGAAAGATGAAGATTTTGAAAAAGTCAGTGATTTAGTTAAAGCTGAAGGTGAACAAAGATTTGTTAAACCAGACTGGTCACCATTCCCAGTCTTTGAATGATTTATTTTTTACTGATATCTGACTATCTCAGTTTTATAGATTAGAATTAAACAGCTTTTAACGATCTATTAGATGTAGAAATCGAGATTTGTATTCAAAAGTCTATACTAGTTAAATTATTGACCCTTACAAAGTGACAGATAATGCTGCCCCAAAACCAATTTGGCGTGGCCCTTTTCAAAATTATTTTCGACCAAAGATTTTTTTCAGCGAATTAAACTGAAAAACCATGAAAGACATAAAGAAAGAGTGAGTTTTTTGGAATATCAACAGTTCAAGATGCTACGCTCAAATGCTTTCAAGTCTTCCAAAAGACTATTGGCTACTGTTTCAGAATCCAAAATCCCATTAGGTGGTAATAAATCATGGGCCAAACCAACTCAACAATCTGAAAGTTTAAACATTCATGATCCATCAATTAGAAAGACTGTTTTGAATGGTGTTTCAAGTCACGGTCCAGCTTCTTTAAAATCATCAAGAGGTAAAGCTAAATACATTTCACCACTAGGTATAAATGAAGCTTTCAACGCTGCTTATGATGTCTTGAAGGCTAAAGCTGAGGAAACTTATAAAGAAATTGAAGAAATAGATCAACAAATTGCCCAAAACCCTGAATCTAAAGAATTAAAAGATTTAAAAAATAAAAAATTAGTACAAGCTGAAATCAATAATCCAGAAGTTCAATATAATTTTCAATATAGTGATAGAGTGGAAAATAACCCAAAACTAATTGATTATAATCAACCAGTTTATAGAGAATTGAAAAAAAAACATTGGGAAGAATATGGTCAAATGTTAACAATGCAAAGATTAGAACAATTAGGATGTATTCCAGATACTCTACCAACTTTGGATCCAAAAGCTGAAGTCTCAGTCAAATTTTTAAATCATACTTCAATTAATAGATGGATTGAACCAGGTACTTTATTATCATCAAATGCAACAACTTATCCACCATCAATTAAAATCCAAGAATTTGAAAATGTTGATCCTTCAAAACAATTATATACCATCTTATTAGTTAACCCAGATGTTCCAGATTTGGAAAATGATAGTTTTAAAACTCATTTACAATGGGGTTTAACAAATGTTAAACTTTCATTTAATGAAAATTTCATAAGTCCTGAAAAATTATTAAAGGATCAAACAATAACAGAATTGATTGATTATTTACCACCTGTTCCAGAGAAAAACATTCCAAAACAAAGATTTATTACATGGGTTTTCAGACAACCAAATGAAATTAGTGAAAAGATTACTGAAAGAGATTTCAATATTAGATCATATGTTGAAGCAAATCAATTACAACCAATTGGTGCACATGTTTGGAGAAGTGCTTGGGATACTAATGTTCCACATGTTAGAGAATTATACGGTCTACCAAAAGGTACTGTTTACCATAGAGTTCGTGCACCAATTCCTCAAAATTAGAGAATATTATGATTGGAAAATCCTGTAAATATATGAAATAAACGTTTAAAGCTACTATGTTGTAACATATTAATAGAATCATGATATAACAAGGAAATAAAAACACATCTAATAAAAGTCATTTACTCCGCAGTTTCTTCTCTTTTTTTTTGTATATATATGTGTGATGTATGCTTTTTTCAAAAGGATTTAACGAACATCAAGTTCATTGGAATATTCAATACACAGTGCTTTCTTCTCTCATTCTCTCCCCTTTTAAAAGTTTTTAATTTTTAGCCTTTTCTAAGTTTTCAACAGCTGACAAGATAACTTTAGCGAAATCTAATTTATCATCATCCAAGTTGATTTCAGCTGGAGAAGAAGAAGCTGGAGCAGAGGTGACAGCTTCAGCTTTTTTTGGTTGAGATTTGTTTTTCAATTCAGCAAATTTTTCTTTAGCTTCCAAAATTAAAGCTTCTTTCTTTGCATAAACTCTAGCTTCTTCAGCCTTGGTGGCAGCTGATTTCAAAGAGTAAGTGTGATAAGCACCGTAGAAAACACCAGCAGCTAAAGCTGAGTATCTAAAAACCTATAAATTGGTTAGTATTCAATTGTCCGTATCAAGAACTCAGGATGTTCTACTCTTGTTATACTGGGGCCAACTAGGCCAATTGACCACCAAATTTGACACACCAAAAAGCCATCAAGTAGATCCATTCTTCATTCATAATTAACAATGTCCAACATACGTTAACAGTAGACATCTTTTCGTTCAGTTGCAATATGCTGATCTGATTCTTATTTTCCTTTATTCATGATTTTTGCAACTTTTGATTCGCTTCTCGATGGAAATTTGAAAAATCCAAGGATTTACCCGGGGAACGCCCACAAGAACAGAGAATTTCCAGATTGGGATGTTTTTGTGGCTTTTCTTGCGAAGAGCTTATAACGGTTTTTTTAATAGGAGTCCAGTATTAAATCCAATATTGAAGCCATTAAAGTCATCGAAGAAGTTGCTAAAATCATGTTTTGTCGTCCATTGAGAAGAAGTGCGTATATCTTCATAGTTATATTAGGAATCATCTTAGCTTACATTAGTACAGGTGCCATAAATCTTAAACCAAGATCTGTCAAGTCATCATCAAGAAGATTCTCAACTTCCTCCTTCTCTGCAAACCCTTCATCAACCGGATCAGACATCCCTTATAAATATAATATAGCAGTCGCTTATCAGCCGAAGGAAAGAGATGAAAATAAGTTTGTGAATCAGTTCTTCAAGTTCAAAAAAGTTGATTCCCCAACTGGTGAAGATAATTATTTTATTGCACAAAGATCCCAAGATCAAGTAGCCGTTGGTGTTGCGGATGGTGTTGGTGGCTGGGCTGAATTAGGATATGACTCAAGTGCTATATCGAGAGAATTATGTAAAGCTATTGAAAAAGGTTATTTACAAGCCAAAGATCAAGATGGGTCTTCATATCCACAGTATTTATTAGATGAAGCTTTTAAAACCATAAAGAAGGAACAAATTGTAAAAGTTGGTGGTACAACTGCATGCCTTGGTGCTTTCCAACCAGATGGAATACTAAGAGTGGCAAATTTAGGTGATTCATGGTGTGGGATCTTTAGAGAAAATAAATTAATCGCAGAGACAAAAGTTCAAACTCATGGATTCAATACTCCATATCAACTAGCTATAATTCCAAAAGAATTATTGGAAAAACAAGATAACAGATTTATAATGGATAAGCCATTGGATGCAGATGAATACGAATTCAAAGTTATGCAAAATGATATTGTTCTTTTCGCTACAGATGGTGTTATTGATAACATTGATATTAAAGATATTGAATTATTCTTGAAGGATAATCAAGATAAAGATCTTTCAACAATATCAAAGACATTTGTCAAAGAAGTTAACAAATTGAGTGTTGATGAAAATTTCCCATCTGTTTTCAGCCAAGAGCTGTCAAAATTAACTGGACAATTTTACACTGGTGGTAAAGAAGATGACATTACCGTTGTCTTTGTCAAAGTTGATCAATAGTGAATGCAAACCAACGATCTAATCGTCATCATCAAATTTAGCTTGTAGGATATATTTGTTAATTTGTTCCTTTTGATTCTTTCTGCGTCTTTCCTCTTCAACGACATTACTAGCAAATTTGATATTTGTTGGCAACTCAAGATTTTTCGTGGCAATAGATTTACCATTCTTTGTAACTAATGTGAATGGAATCTTGCCTCCTGTTGGTTTGGATGATATTTTCTCTTGAGCAACCAAGTCTTCAGCTTTGTTACCTTTAATATTTTGAGGTAATTCCAAGACAGTCTTGCTTGTCTTTGTTGAATTCATACTTTCGAAGACCATTCTTTTGAATTCCCTTTCTAATGCTTCTTCAATCTTACGTTCTTCTTCCTCTTGTAATTTACGTTCATAAGCCTCATAACTTAATTGGGTGGACTCGTCATCATCAGTAGCACCAGTTTCAGGGTTTAACAAATCATCACTATTCAATTGGTCATCAACTTGTTCATCTTCATCTTCATCATATTCTTCAATATCATCAGCATCTTCTTCATCATCCTCATCCTCCTCAGCTTCATCAGCTTGTGGACCGCCTTTAGCTTTTATAATCTCATTCATTCTCTCAACAGCTTGTTTCAAATCAACAGCTCTTTCAAATTTAACTTGTTCAAAAGTATTAACCACTTTAAATTCACAATCTTTTGGTAATGGCGCCTCTTTAGTATAAATATAATAATCAAAATATTTCAAAAAGATTGTAATCTTTGCACTAATATCTTTTTTCCTTAATTCAATATTTTGTAAAATTGTGCAAACCATATGAACTCTGAAATAATCATCTGGAGGATCTAATTCACAATATCTATTTGGAGCTGGATTATTATACTGATGACCAAATGTAACAATCTTGTATAATAAATCATGAATCAACCCTATACTTATAATTTTTCTTTCATGGATTTCTGAAATGTATTTACAATGAGCAACTCTAATTCTATTGTATCTATAATCATTGATCTCTAATCCTCTGATAATTTGTTCCAAAATGGTGTCAACAACATAGATCTTGAAATCAGGTCTTAGATTCCTCAAGACGTGAGATAAAGCAGGAATGTTTTCATAATTTATCTTCTCTGGTTTGGTGAATAACGATCTTAATGTTTCCAAATTATCAACATCATCAAAATCAGCATTCCTTATAATAACGGAAATTTGTTTAATAGTTGATTCTTTTAATTCACTTCTTATTAAAGTTTTCAAAAAAGCTTGTTGGGGTTTCAAGGTTTTGCTTTTACTTTGAATAGATTTGATTGATGGTGGTCTTAGGACTAAAAACAAATTTGAAATGGCCATTTTGTTATTGATTGTTAATTTGTCATTTTTCCTTTTTGCTTGTAATAATTCTAGCATTTCCTCCATTAATTTTTCATGTTCTGATAACAAATATTTCCCACTAATTTCAAAGAAAATACTTAGAATCTCAATATTATTTGGTGTTGTTAAATTCAAAATCAAACTTCTGATCTTGTGGAAAACAACATGTTCTGGAATGAGACCAAACTTTATCATCTCACAGAAGAACATTATATTTTTAAAATTTAAACCATTATGATAAATTTGTGATCTGAAACCTTGGTCCAAATATTGTAATAATTGATCTTTCAAATCATCTAAATGAGGTTCACAAGTTTTCAAAAACCTTGCATAAACTTTAGCTCTTCCAATATCTTTACTAATGGTGAATTGCTTGAATAATCTGTTTTTAGAAGCTTTACTAACCAATCCTTGTTTCCAGAATTCTAAAGCAGCATCATCTATATCTTTTATAGTACTTGCAGTTTCTAATTGAACCAAAAAATCATTCATTTCTTTACCTTTAGTACTATCAGATTCTTGGGTGGCTTGATCAATCAATTCTTGTGGGATTTCTGGGAACACTTGGTAAAATCTACGATCTTCATCATTAGACCAAATACCTGAATCTTTGTTGACAATAACAGATTCCACGGCACTTGATTTTTTATCTTCTTCTTCAAATGATGGTGCAGTTAAACCAAACGTTGGGACCAATACTTCGATTGCAGCTTTGAATCTATCAAAAATATCAGTAGCCTTTTGAATTTCAACCTCCATTTCTTCAACTGTTCTACCAGTTCTAATTTGAGCTTTATATCTCTTATTTTTCAAATTATTCAAGAAATTGTGTAGATCTTTAGTTCTATGAACAATAACTTCAGAGTATGATTTTAAAGTTGAGTTAATTTCTTCATTAGTTTCAACAAGCGTTGGGAATCTTTTAACAAATGATGTTGCTATTGAAACTGTAAGACCAACCTTCATTTTATAACTTAAAGATTCTTTCAAAATAGCTAAAGTAAGTGATTCTTTTTTCTGAGCTCTTGCAATTAAAAATGTTGGAAGGGGATCAACATATTTATATGAATCAAAGATACCGACAGATTCAAACTCCACTAGTAAACGTATAAGTGTCTTAACTTTTGAAATACGTTCTTTCTCTTCTTTTTCATCTAATTCAGCCTTTGGAGATCCAATATTGGACAACATCCATCCTAATAATTGAGGAGTAAACTCTTTGTTGAATCTTTGATGTAGAGCACTGATTATTTCAACGGCTGGAGGGACATCAACAGACTTGGTACATTTCAATAAACCCTCTTGAGATGAAATGATGATTTCAGACAAATATTTGGTTAATGATAATGTCTTGATATCTTTCAACACTGAATCCTGGTTATCCTTATTAATAGAAGTTTTCAATTTCTTGATGAAGGCATTGTTTTTCTTCAAACTTGTATCCAAGTTTGTTGGACTATCTTCAAGCTCATCATTCCAGGCGCTCAAGTTGAGCTTGTAAAGTTCGTTCTTTCGCTCCTTTAGACACATAATAGTTAGTCATTCTGGTCAAATAATGTATTTGCTAGCTTCAAACTCACTTCATCCATTTTCACAAAACCATCAACTGCGGAATTGAACGAGCTCTTTTACTAGTTTTGAATATTGGACAAATTCAATGTTTTTATCGTTTCAATTTTTGTTTTCGGTTTTGAAAAAAAAAAAAAACAGAAAATGGTCAAGCCAGTACCGAACAAAGTGTTCAGTACAGCCAAATACTTAACAAGAGATTGAACAAAGGCATTCAACAGCTTTAACAAAAGACAAACTGATTGTTCTAGGCCTAGTCAATTGTGGAACTGCTAACTTTTTGGTGTCATATTAGTTTGCTGAAGGGAAAGTCTAGCTCACTTTGAAATAGGTTTAATCGTGAATTAGTCTCCAGAATATCTGACCTACTTGATAATATAGAGACTGGCAATTTAGATCGAAGATTTATCCATTATTCAACGAAAAATACAATTCTTTGACTGCTTCAGAAATCGACTTAACAGCCTTTGGCTCATATATCAAACCATTCCAGCGCTATTCAATATATTCCATTCATTAGGGGCAAATAGATATGCTTGAATGAAGAATGAGTTCTGATAATCCAACCACATCCATCACAAAAGCACCTACAAGAAGAGTTCTAGGAGCCGCCCCAAAGAGAATACTAGGTGTACCCAAATCTCCAAGTCACTCTAAACAAAGCTCTAATGGGTCTATCAATACACCAACCCCATCACCGTTGAAAATTGAAAGACGTGATTCACCAGCACTTGAGGATCATATAACCCCTGTTAAGGCACCAGCTCCAGTATTTATAAATGGAGGTGCAAATACTCCAGATATTCTTTTGTCAGAGGCAGATGTTATAGATGGTGTAAGCTCCCCAGATCCATTTATAGAGAGAAATCTCACATCTCCACAACCGGATGCTAAATCATCAGATGAGAATTTAGACGAGATAACATGTCCCATTTGTGACGAGAAAATGATTAGTTTATTACAATTGAACCGTCATCTTGATGATGAGCACAAATTTCAAGATGCATTTGGTGAACCAGTAAAGACATCCACCATTGAACCATCAAATGATGAAATGAAATCATGGCTAAGGAAAACAAATGAAATGAAATCCAAAATCCAGACTGCACTTCCACGAAAATTTGTTAAACTCGATATATTTGATAACAATAACAATAATTTCAGTCTCAGCAGTTCTTCAAGAGAAAGCTCATCGTCTTCACTGAATACAGTTACTCCTGAAATCACAGTTACTAGAAAGCACTGGCAAAAACCGTCAGGATATGATCGTTGTTTTGTCAAAGGTTGCAAGAAACATCTAAACATCAAAAATGGGTTAGTCAACTGTCGTAAATGTGGTAAACTGTTTTGTCATGATCATTCTGATTTCAGAGTTAAACTTGATAATAATGCTGATTATTATGCTGAAGGTGTTTGGTGTAAATGTTGCGAAGATTGTTTCAAATACAAGCCAGGGTATAACGATTATGGGCTGGTGAACAATTTGACTGAACAGTTCAAACAAAAGAGACAAAGTCGGATTGATGAGAAACAATTATATGCAAACAAACTCGAAAAGAGAATAATAAATTTAACAAAAACACTGAGTCAGATTGATAAAGAGTTTGGCTCAACTGATTTCAATAGCAATTTTTTGAACTATAGAATCATTAATAAGAAAAGGGAAGCTGAACAACAGTTGGTTCAATGGGAAGATGAAAAGCTGGTGCTAAATTGTTTCTTATGTCTTCGAAATTTCAGTTTCACTCTTAGAAAACACCATTGTCGTTTATGTGGAAGAGTGGTATGTGGTAGTGAAACTACTGGGTGCTCAAAAGAGATTCCAGTCAACATATTGACAGAGCTTTTACAAGATTTACCAAAAACCAATGATGATTCACTACTAAGACTCTGCAGGAATTGCAAAAATGTACTATTTTTGAAAAGAAATTTTCAAAAAGACTTGAGGAAACCTTTTTCAAAGTTATTGGCTAAGTTTGAAATTCAACAGAATGTCAAAAAGTCAATCACAACGTTGATGCCCAGATTTCAGGACATGTTGATTAAGCTTCAAGATGATAAGGCTGTGAGATCCAAGTCAATAATCGCTGATGCTTCCAAACTTAGAAAAAGACTAATGGATACATTTGCAATGTTCGATAAATTAACAAAGGAAATTGTTACGTTGGAATGCTCCACTGAAAGTGAAAGTCGTATTCAATTAGCTATTCAAACGGAATCCGCTTCCTTTATCCAAAAGAACATGTTACCATTGAAGTCACTGCCAAAGATACTCAAACAACAAGAACTCAAACAGAAGGAACAACATAAAGTGCTTAGTAGAGAAGAAGTGCAAGGGATCAAACAAAATAGAGAGGAACTAATGGTGTTGAATGAACAAAAATTCTTGGTTGAAGATATGATTGCCAATTGTAAAGCACAAAGAAAGTTTGATGAATTACCACCATTGAATGAAAATCTTGATGAATTGAATAAAAACATTGACCGGCTACAAGCCGCACTAGGAAATGAAGGGTTTTAAACTTGTAACAATAGTATAATTAGCATTAACGAAGTTTATGGTTTATAATGTTGTGGCACGTAGCAATTTATTTTTTCGCGAATTGGTTTTATACTTGAATTTTTCAAAGCGTAGATAGATCAAATGATTGCAAACCAGATCATAACAGCATAAAAGTTCATCCATCATCCCCAGTAAATGTCAATAAAGCAATCCATCAAGGAAAGAGACGAGCAGCTGGATCTTCTTTCAGCTTTTGCACAAAAAGAATCGTCACTGTCGGTCAATTCAATACTAGTCTATGGAAATGAATCTTCAGGAAAATCTTACACTGTCAAAAGTTACCTAGACTTTCACAAGATCAAACACTCCTGGATTCAGTGTGACGAATGTATCTCATTCAAGATTTTGCTACAGAGGATATTGAAAGCTATTCAAGTTGACTCGGGAAAAGTACCAAGCGAGGAAGTGTTGATTGATCCAAATACCATATCTTCATTTGATAGTTTTATATCAGAACTTCAAGATTTTTTCACAGCCAAGGAGTATACAGATCAACACTATATTGTCCTTGATAGAGCTGATTTGATCATTGAAGAGGGTGAAGATATCTTTGCCAAATTTGTCAAGCTCCATGAAGCTACCAGAATACCGAACCTCACAATCATATTTATCACATCAACACAACCAAGAAAATTGATAACGACTGCTCTTCCAACCATCTTTTTTGGAAACTACAACAGTACTCAAATAACGAGGATACTTGAAAAGAAACCATTATGCGGTTTTTCTCCAAGTTTGAATATACCACCTGCTTCAATAAATAGATTTTGGCAAAACTATATTGGTATAATTGTTGAATCATACTTCCCATATACAACAAACATCAATGTCTTGAGAAGGATAGCCACGAAGCTTTGGGGCAAGTTTACAGAAGAAATTGAAAAAGGAAGGCTACAAACTTCCGAGTTTTTAGCATTATACAGACAAAACATCGGACTGTTATCATCAAATTATGCGTTTGAAACATCTTTGAAGAATGAAGAAGATGAAGCTAGTGAACTGCAGACAATCAGTTCAGGATTTCCAACTATTTCAAAATACATAATAATTGCTGGATACCTTGCATCATTCAATGAACCAAAATATGATTGGGTGTTCTTTTCAAAGTTAAAAGACTTCCATAAGAAAAAACAACATTTTAGACAATCAAAGTATGCGGCAACAAGATTGAATTCCAGATTATTGGAACCATCACCATTTGATTTGGAAAGATTAATGGCAATATTAAATGCCGTTTACAGCCTTGAAAATGCCAAAAAACTTCCTTCAAATCTAGATATCACCACTCAAATTTCCAATTTATCCTCACTCAAGATTCTTCTAAAATCAAGTAACGTTGATTATATTAGTGCAAAGACAAGGTGGAAAATTAATGTGAACTTTTCCTATGTCAAAGCAATAGCTGATGATATAAACTTCCCATTAGAAAACTATTTAGCCGAATAAATGAACATGGGACTTTAAAACCTTGAAACCTGCGTAATATGAACGAAATCAGATTGCCCCAACTCTCGCACGTCGACCTTATCTTGAAAATAATTACCTTTCCAGTAATCCATTTCACGAGCACCATAAGGGCCGTGTACTTTATCATCACCAACCCAGCGAAATTCCCACTGCTTAGAGACATGATTTTCAGGTGTTTGATTTGGTTCTTCATCTTGTGTTTTGGGTCTAACATATTGCTTACCGCTTTCTTCTTTATACTTCTGCATCAAATCTTCTTTCTCCAGCTCATAAACATCAGAAATTCCACTTTCAAGCAAACTCTCGCAATATTCAGTAATTTTTATTACAGTGCTTTTTCTAACTTCTTCAATCTCCTTCTCTTCTTTTGTTGGTTCTTGCTTTTTAGACTTCTTTTTAGGTTTACCTTTATTCAACCTCTGAAGAGCTTCCATTGGAGATTCAACTGGTTGTAATGAATTGATTAAGCTGAACAGTAATTCTTCAGTCGAAAGTGCTTCTTTATTTCTTCTGCGTTCCTTCTGTAGCTTTTCCCGTTTCTCTTGCGCCAATTTCGCCTCTTTTATATCTTTCTTTTTGACACCACTCAGCCACTTATTGTCTTCTTCTTCACCAGAATCATCATCTCCAGCTCGTATAAAATTACCATCAACATCAAACCTACCCTCACTTTGCTCTTGTTTCAAGTTGAAGCCATCCAATTTTGGTTTTTTTCTTGGTGGTCTTTTACTCGAGCTCACATTCTCTTGATCGATATAATACTCTTGATCTGCTTTTAGCTGTTCTTCTTCTTCTTCCTCATCAAAACTTTCATCTTCATCTTCTTGCGACTTCAATTTCAACTCATCTTGACCGACATTAAGCTCCTTTTCGAATTGTTTAACGTCTAAAAATTCGACTTTAGGTTTCTTTATTTTAGCAGTAGTTGCTTCTTTCTCATCTTCACCATCAGATGCAAACATGTCACTATCAGAATCATCTTTCTCATCATCTAATTTAGCAGCACCGTCACCTTCATAGTCTTCATCAGATGAATCATCATTATACTGTGTGGTATCTATTTTTGAATCTTTTGTGTATTTTCTTTTTTATTTCCTCCAATGTCCTGTTCTAGAAGTTGTTCTTCCACATCTTCCTCTTCATCATCTTGATCAATTTTGGCTCTTTTCAATCTCAATGGGTTTGACTCATCAAGGACGTATTCGTTGCTCATTGTTATTGGCTAGCTAGTCGACCAATCATGGGCTTAATGTTCTGGAAGTATTGTTTTGGTTCTAGCTGAATATTTTTGTATTGGTGTTTTAAGTGACACGATGCACTTTGACAGACAATTTCAATGTTAACTAGTTAAAAGACCAACTCAAGGCAAGAGGTAATATACTCGAAATTTGAAATATAATTGTGACTCAAGGATTGGTTCTACATTAATCATATGTTCTATGTCACTATTATTCCAAAGCACTATATTCATGTCTTGAACGGATTGTGGTTTGGATTTTAACACACACAAAAGTTCATACTACCAAGTTCTTACAACTAACAGATGACAAAACCCCTGGCTTATCATACAGAGAACATCTCTGCGTTTCATGTTTTAGAAGATGTATTGTATCCGGCCCAAAGCACAATTGGTCTTCCTATCTAGGTGACTTGCAACGCTCCTAGGAAACAACAGTAGATGATCAAATCATTGGCTTGGTTGAACAGGCCTATCGAGATAATTTGGGTCAACATTGGTAGTTTCAAAAACAGTTTATCAACTTCACCACATCCCCTCATCATTTGTCAAGTTACCAATAGTTGTTTGAGACTTATCTTCCTTCAACCCAGTAATTGTGCTAGCAACATCATCAAGAGCGTTCAAGGAAAGTTGTTTCTTAGTACCTAGCAAGTTCATCAATATTCTAACCTTGTTTCTGATTTTAGTTATGATCTTTTCTGATTCAACGACGTTACCATAGTCGTTATCCGTCTTGATGGAATCAATAAGCACAACTATCTGGTCTAATTGGCTCTTTGCTTGACCAGATAGTTCACCACCAAATCCTTCGACCAACAAGTCCACTATACCTTGCACTTGTCCCACAAAAACATATTTCTGGAATGCAGCTTGTAAACCATACTCTTTCCCTTCTAAAAATGATTTTTTAGTGGATTCGGCTTGTCCTTCTTCGAAACCTTCTTTATAGAATCTGATTTAACCAGTTAGCAAGCGACGTATGAGCTAGTCAACTTTTCAAATTCACACTTACTGCTCTTCCAGGTTCAATACTTCATCGAAATCCATTTTCAGTACTGTGATGTTGGTGTTGTGTTGAACATAAAATCTCATGTAAAGTTTTTTTTTCTGTCATAAATGACTTAAAAGTTATAAAATCCAGAATTCCTCGAGCCAACCAAACGAGGTGACAACCAAACGAAAGAATTAATAGAAAAAACTTAGAGTTACCGAGTTAAAAAGCTTTATATTTCACAAAGAATTAGTTTACCCAAGGTCAATATGGAGTCAGATTTTGACAGCTTACCAGATAGCTCAGCTGCCTCAGATATAAACACGGTCCCACTTTCACAATCAGATTTGGCTCATTTCTTTAGATGTATCCCATACAGATTGTTTATAAATGATGAAAACTACGAGCTGGACTCTGACTTTCTGAATTTTGTCTACAACTTGGTGTTGAATAGTGATATGGATTTTTATAGTTTCAAACTTTCACTCCCTAATAACGAGCTCATTTCAGTTTTGAACAATTTAAACAGAAGACTTCAAATAAAAAGTGATGATCCAATAGTGGTTAAGGAGACCTCTGAAGAAGTATTTGATGATTTGAAAGAGATGCTTGTGGATATCCAAGGTTTATATTGGGATAATGCTGAGCAACGTGAGAATTTCTTGAGAATAAGAGAATTGAAGCATAACTCATTCACCAATATTTCAAACTCCAAAGATGAATCAAAAGAGGATGTGAATCTTGAATTGATAAATGAGATGGATAGTTGGAAGTTTAGACAATATTTCAAGATACCCAAACCTAAACTTTCCCATTTCCAATTGAGAAATAATTTGGTTTGTTTAAACAATAAGAAGGAGATCTTTTATAATGAATTATCAAATGATAAAACAATAATGGATCTTGACATGTCTTTACCAACTCTTCACTCAGTCATCAAGAAGTTGAATCCTTTCAGTGGCGAGATATCATCTGTGCTAAGCTTGGAAGATGATCCAATAGAAAGGGTCTCCACTTTGGAATGCAATGATGAGTTAGTAATAGCTGGGTCACTTTCAGGATCTTACTATGTGAAAAATACAGAAACTCAAGAACTTACAAAGAGGGTCTTAACGACAAACTCAAATGGTATAATCAACTTTGCTAAAGCTATTGGTGATTCTGTTTTGTTTTCCACAAATGATAGTCATCTAATAACCACAGACTTAACTTCACTCAAAGTCAAATCTGACGTGGAGTTCCCATGGGCTATTAATTCTGTCTCGGTTGATCCACAGAATCAACATTTGAAACTCATAGTTGGTGATAATATCAACTCATTCATACTTGATGACAGAGTGCATCGTTACAAACCTGTCAATATTTTGAGTGGTCATAAGGATTTCTCGTTTACTTGTGATTGGTCTCATAATGGTATGACAATAGCGACTGGGAATCAAGATTCCACAATGAGACTTTATGATATCAGGAATTTAAGAAAAAATACATCATGTGTTAATGGTGAAATTGAAAGTTCAATTAGAAATGTTAAATTTAATTATAATGATACAGTCATCGCTTTCAGTGAAAGTATTGATTATGTGAACATATTGGATTTGAAAAGTATAGATGAGGGAACAGGCTCCAAACAGGTGATTTCTTTATTTGGGAAAGTTATTGGGTTGGATTTTACGAATTATGATGATGGGAATGGTGAATTGTTAACAATTGGTGTATGTGATGATGCTATTGGTGGAATTTTGCAATATGAACTAGAAAGTGACTTTAAATGCACTGACTACGACTTCCTTTAATGAATATATGTCCTTAATTGAAACAGAATTATATGAAAGATACCTTGTAATATTGTTTAAATTATTAATCAAGCTCGAAAACACCCTTAAGCGACAGTTTTACCACTTAGAACTTCTTTACCAGTCTTTTGAATTGTGGAGAGGACAGTATCATAAGGCAATGAGGAGACCACATTCACTGATTGGTTTTCTAATGAGATATCGACATTCTTAACACCATCCACTCTGGTTAAAGCTTTATTCACAGCATTTGAACAGCCTTAGACTTGATTAGTAACAAGCTCTTCTTAAGTAAACGAATGAAGTGATGCACTTACCTGAACAAGCCATTTTGACATTGAATTCGTATTGATGATCGGACATTATTGATCCTACTTGGTATCTTGTGTATGTGTATACCTTTGTGTCAGATCCTTTAGATTAATGATCATCATGGATATTTACAACTTTTATACACTTTATAGGCGTTGATGCGGCCACTACCGAGCCATCAATTTCACGTGACTATCTTTTCAAATCGGTACAATTGAGCAAAATTTACACCATAAAAGCGTTTCATCAGCATAATTCACGCAAGTTGGAAAAGTAATGGAGGAAGACAAAAGAGTGTTTTTCGCTGTAGAGATAGATGGGAAAACGGTAAATGTGGTTATCCAATTACTAATAGAACGAGCTGCTAAAGAATCGATCAAAAATTTCCATAAATTATTGACTTCAAATAACGGTAGCTCATATCGTTCAACAAAACTTTCCAGAATAGTTTCACCAGAATTTATAATCCAAGGTGGTGCAATTGATGGTTTCAATGGGGACTTATTAGTGAAGAATGAAGTCACTCCAGAAACGACATTATTGGATCAAAGAGGTTTAGTAGCTATTGCAACTGAAGTTGAGAATCATGAACCGTCAAGTGAATTTTTCATTACTTTAGAAGACCTATCAGAGTTTAAAGCATTAAAAGGTAGGTTCCTTGTTATTGGTAAGATAGTTAATGGATTAGATCAATTGATTGAGCTTACAAAAGATGTTGCAGTTGATGAAAATGATAGACCGATACATGACATATACATTACAAGAACTGGTGAACTAGTGAAAAAGAAGAAAACATCTGCTCAAAATGATACATCAAAAGTTGAACAAAAATCCAACGAACTTCATCAAGAACACAGAATCACTGACCATGAACATAAAAAACACAGAGATTCTGACGGAGATCGTCACAAATCACATAGACACCATCATCGTCACAGGCCAAGAGAGACCAGAGATGATTCAAGAAATGAAAAAGATGGGAGAAAACAAGGTGAAGACAGAGATAGACATAGGCTATCAAGAAACAATGGTTCCAGAGATCACTATGGTTCAAGATATCGTGACCATCGTGAAGAATATATGGACAGAGATCCTAAAAGGCTCAAGTCTTCTAAAAGAGACTCCAATAACGATGAGATACGAAAAGGTAGAGGTTTTAGATAACTTTTAATGAATTTATGAATTGCATAAACTACGAATGACTTTTGTTTGTAGCAAAATGAAAATAATTTTATTCAATCATATAGACGGACAAAAACTTCAACAAAATGTTAGTTTTCTATAATATAATCAAATAATTATACTATTGAAATTGTTTGCATTTAATGTTAATCAGATTTTTGATGAATGTTGGATTAGGAAAGGTTATCAGCATCGCCGTGACTCTGAGTGAGCTGAGAAAGGTTTTCATCACAACAAAATATGCAACCAGGTTTTCAATATGAGCTTAATAAAATGAAAAACTTACTATTCAAGTTGCTTCTGTAAAGTCAATTGAACACCTCGAAAAGAATGTTTCAAGAGTAACTCTTTTGTGAAGAGAATTGTTGTAGTGTAATGGAAAATTTTTTTGGTGTTGAAAATTTTAATTTATAGGCCGCGAAACATGTTTGGGCACACTTTTCAAAACTTTTAGGGCCTGAGGTTGATCAGAATTTGCAACTTATAAACAACTTTCGATTGGCAGATTCGTTATATGGGACCCACCTGAGTATGTTTATGGCTAGAAAGATACAGCTAGAAACTGCTAGCTACTCTAATGGACAGGTTGTTTCATTATCAGCTGGTGGTAAGCACTGTTATTAGCTAGCAGTAAACTCATGACTTATGCGATGAGGACGTCGATATATGCATGGATATTATGCTCAACACTGATGTTGGTTGCATGTCTTTATCTTAATCAGATTGTTACACTCAAAATTATAGTAATATATTGCTTCACAATATCGAACAACCTGGTTAAGAACGTCAGCTGGAGGACCATTAGCTTAGTTTTTGGGCCCAACATAACATTTTCGAGTTTGAATTTCTCCTGGAACGTCACTGAGACTGAAATATCCATTAATGAGAAATCAGACCCTGAGAATCCAGTTTCAACCTATAATTTCCTTGTGTTACTTCATACTAGAGCCGGAATAACTTTTGTATGTGGTGAAGTCTACCCGTTCAGTATTGGCAGAAAAGTTTAATCAAAGAAAATTACTCCATAAAAAACCAAATTCAAACATCAGGGAGAATGCCAAATAACTAATCCAAGGCTCCATTTACCTTTAAACCAATCATCAACCGATCAACAACCGCCTCACACTGAACCAAAATGGCCAATGGCAACCGTGTTCAAATCCAAGAACACTCCAAGGAGCACAAGGATAAACTCAAGCAAAGTGCGGGTGAAAAGGCCAGGTCAAACAATACACCAAGATTGATCAAACTAATATCAATCAAACTAAAAGAAGCTGCCTTGGACTCTCCGACTTTTAGAACTGGTGTCAACTATTTTAATTCACAGATAGATCATACAGAACAATGGATTGAAGGGTTGTTAAAATCTTTAAGGAAATATCCGCAGCAATTTAATGATTTTAAGGAAGTAAACAATGTCTTATTCAACCAATTAATACCCGACTTCTTAAAAGATGGATTAATAAACCAGGACAATTCTTCATCGATATTAGATACAAGCAAAACCAATTTGAGCAGTTTATGGGAGGGAAATTTGAAATTATTAGATGTTAAAGAGACGGAAATTGTTCAATTGCTTACCGATCTTCAAAGAACACATCTAAAGCATTACAGAGAGATTAGAAAAAACTTTGAATTCTTTCAAAACAAATTTGACTCACTGCTATCCAAATATTCTTCACAGTCTAAAACCAAAGAACCTTCAGCTTTAAGAGAAGATGCTTTCCAATTGTTTGAAGTTCGGAAATCATATTTAAACGCCTCTTTGGAAATTTGTGTCGAGATTTCAAAACTACATCAATCTTTAGACTCTTGCTTAGTGGAACTTGCAGAGTTATTATTTAAAGACAAAGATTCCTTTGATGAAAAATACTTTGAAAAAGTTAAAGCTTGGTCTGGTGCAGTTGCTGATTCAGTAAGCACGTTGCTGGGTGATATGATTCAGTCTAAAAACCAAATAGAAGACGCAACAATATCTCAATTTGCACCATCAAGAGATTTAATACAACATAATCCAGCATTGATAAATCCTAACACATTGACTGATCCAGATCCAGAGAACCCTGATGATAAATCATACGAAAAGCATGGTTGGTTATTCATGAAAACTACTGTTGGTAAACCCGCCAGACAAATTTGGGTTAGAAGATGGGTGTTTGTTAAAAGTGGTATTTTTGGTTTATTTTCAATAGCTCCTTCAAAGAATTTCGTTCAAGAAACTGATAAAATTGGAGTGTTGCTTTCAAATATAAGGTATGCCCCGGATGAAGATCGAAGATTTTGCTTTGAGATCAAAACTATTGATGCAACTATCATCTTCCAAGCTGAAAATTTAAAAGAGTTGAAATCATGGTTACGTGTGTTTTCCTTAGAGAAACAAAGAGCTATAGAAAATTCTGACTCTGAAGCTGGTGAATATGCATTTGGTCGTTATCCACCTCTGTTGTATGAGTTTGCATCAACCTCTTTAACCTCTGTTGACCTAGAGTTAACCACATCAAGAGCTGAAAATACGAGAAATGACGATTCTCAAACAACTGTTGTCTCTTCATATTTATCTCAACTTGTCGGTGGAAATGAAAACCTTGATTTCAGATATTCTGGGTCGGCTGGTGAATTTCAAGAACCTGATATCAATACTCCAATAACAACCAAAATGTCAAAGTGTGCAATTTTGGCCCATGCATTTTTAGATTCAACAGTTATTCCAACCGCTGTTACTGCAAATATCTGGGGAAGTGTTAATTGGGGAATGTATTATGTTTCTGATTCGTCAGTCCAACCCAATAACAAAGCTAAAGCAATACAATCAAGAGAGAACAACTTGGGATCACTTTCAAAAGCTGAAAGATATCCACATTATTACCCACAACACCTTAAAAATTATGACGTTCAATTGAAAGCTTTGTTTGATACTGGTATTCCCAAAGAGGAACTTGTTGTAACACATTTTTCATGTTTATGGTCATTAAACCCCAAGCAAGAATTATCTGGTCGCTGTTTTGTTACAACTCAAAATTGTTACTTCTATTTGAACAGTACTGGATTTGTTGCGTTGTTGAAGAAACCACTTGTCGAGTTAGTTGCTGTGGATGTCACAGTTGAGAAGGATTGGGATACTTTGAAGGTTTATGATATTGAAGGTTTAAACATGAAGGGTCGTATATTTTTGGATGATGGAAGATTAATTCAAAAGAAAATTGACCTTCTAATTAACAATCTGGCAAAGGACAAACCAAAACCTCAAAGTGAAATTATCCCATTACTGGAATCAATAGAAAGTGAAGAATTGCAAAAATCTGAAAGAAAGCAATCATTGAGGAGAAAAGATGGTGCTGATATTACACCACCACTTAATAGTGAATTACAGTCGTTCCAACCATTCTCAGGTGTTGTTTCTCACAACAAAAGTATGAAGACAAACTATTACAATGAATTTGATCAATCCACTGTGAAGACGCTTGATGCACCTGCAAAAGCTGTTTTCCATATGCTTTTTGGAGATCATTCTTCTATTCTCAGAGAAGCAATCACGTTCTTAATTCATGATGAATTCATAACCACTCCTTGGTACCAGAATGGCAGTGAGCTTACAAGAAACATTACATTCAAAATGAGATTATCGAAAAAGTTGGTTAGCATAAGGGATAGTGATGGTTCTGTTACAAGTGGATACATCCAATCCATTGAGGATTTTGTCGACGGGAAATATTATAGAATAAGAGAACAAAGAATACCAGTCAAACTTGCATCGGGTGATTCTATTCAATTAATCAAAAAGTATGTTATTATAGAAGTTGATGCAAGAACCTCAAAGCTATTTATCTTTTCAAAAGTTGCACATACTCAAAGCAGCTACAAAAGTTTTTTGGCCAGTTTCATTAAAAGCTCCACAAAGCGTCTTGTGAAAGATGAAGATAAATTAATTATTGATAGCGTGGCAAATAGCATACAAAGACTAGGGTCACATGGTAAAGTGATCAAGGCAATCAGAACTTATGGTAATTTAAGTAAAGCTGAAGGTAAATATACTGAACCAAATACTTCTATGTTTGAGTTTACTTTCAACATGATGCTAAATTTTTATCTCAAAAGATTTTTTTACGTGTTTGCTGCAGGTATTCTGGAGTTTTCAAAGCTTTTCTTTTCAGGATGTTTCCGCTTAATCAAGGCCTTGTCAATGAATAAGTTGATTTTGTTATTGCTTGGTATATCTGTGTTTTTCAATATTTTTCTAAGTGGAAGATCAACAGTATCATTTTGGACTGCAAAGAGAGCTGAGCATTTGGTTAAAGATTTCGCTCATGAGTTGAGTATAAACAAAATGGAGAGATCAATTTACTTGAATGATCTAGATGCATTGTCAGGTTTCAATTTTAATGAAAGTTCAGAATGTTTTGATAAGTTTATGTCTTCTAAAATTCGTGACGACTCTGGCTCTCAAACTGATTCAAGATTTAGAGAAGCTAGACATCAATTAGCTGTTAAAAGAAATGAATTGTTGGTGGAGCTCAAAATTCTGGAAAAGGTGGAAAAAGAACTCGTTGCAGGAAGTTGGAAAAATTTCCTTTTATCAGAACTTCACCTTTGTAAAGTTTCTCTTGATGATATGAATGTCAAAGATCCAGCGCTTGAAGAATATTGTTCTAGTTGTATTCAAGAGTTTGAAAAGGTCTCTACGTTTGATGCTTCAAAATGAATGTATCGGAGAGATCGATAATGATGACGCCAATGTATTTGTACAAATAGATTATTTTAAAAAGATGCACATTTGTTCTTAATTAATTCTATAGTCCCCTTTTTGCTAAATTATCAGCAATATCTAAATATAATGCAACTGTATCAATTTGTGGCCCTAAATCTCCAGGTGATATACGACCCATCAACCTTTTAAAACCATTTGTCCAATTGATCAAATCTAAATGATCAACATTCACCAATGTACCCAAGTAAATACCCCATTTAGCAGAATCCACACTAACCATACCATCATTTGGACCTGCCTTCTCATTTATAATTTGCCAAGTTCCGTAAAATACGTTGAACCACTTGGGTATAAATGAAGCTCCGTAACTTAAATATTGAACATTTGGATCATTTAAAACTTCTTTGTTAAACCCTTTCAGATAGTTTGTAGTGAGTTGATAGATACTTGGAGGTAGTTTGATATCTTCTGGAAGATTCTTTGCAAGATCCACAACATGATCAGCAACCTCAGAACCTCTATGTGGTGTTGTTATAGTAGTTAAACTGACAACCTCAAAATTCTTATTTTCAATCTTTGAGATAAGATATCTGCAATCAAGACCACCCATAGAATGTGCGATTAGATTGACCTTAACTTTCTCTTGTCTTTGTTCGAAACTTTCATCAGTCTCCTTTCCTTGATCTGGATGAGCATCTTCGTGATAAATTTCAGATTTTGATTGTTTTCTTAAATACCCAGTAGCTCTTGAAATGAAACGATTTAGTTCATCAGCCCTTTCCTCTATACTTCCAAACCCAGGCACTTTCGCCACAATAACAGTTGAGCCTTTTGCTTGTAAAGCTTCTTGAATACCGAACCAATAATCTAATGCTACACCACCATGATCATTTATGTGAAACTCTGGCTCGATTTTCTTACCAGATACAACGTTTGATATGAGATTTAACGATGGTACAAGGATTAATCTGTCAAATCCAGAAAGTCCATGGCAAAGAACAATAGGCTAAATCTGTTAGAGTGGTTTTATTTAATAAAAGCATATAGCGAATGTACTTACGTATTTTGGGGCTTGGTACTCATCTTTACGTCTAAGCTCACTAATTATTAGATTATCTGGGGTACTATTATCATCTTTGACAATAGGTGTAGTATCTTTTCTTGACCAGTTGAAAAATCTTTTGAATGAATTAAATGCTTTCTCATCTTCTGAATAATCTTTATCATCTGAATCTGTGAAAATGACTTTGTTTGTCAAGACTGTAGTTGCTAAGCCTGTGGTCACAAGAGCGGAACCGACCTTTAGATACCGCAACCTGCTCATTTTTGTTGGTGCCTAGGATTTTCTGGTGAGATTTCTTGAAGTTTAAGGGTCTTTTAACTCCAAATAAATGATATTTATAGGCTAGAATGGGTTTATGAGCTCTTATAAGCAGCTTTAAAAGATTGTGTCAAAAAGTTCAAGGTTTAGATAAAACTTTTTTCACTTTGCTTTTTCCATTTTCTCGAGAAAAACCGTCAAATTTCGTTGTTTCGGGACACACGATTACGATAAGAGGAAATATGTCACACTACTCTCGAAATTGTGCTATTTATTATGATGATTGTCAACTAATAACGATCTCTGTGGTGACCACCATGTCTATGAGAGCTGGAGTGATAACTATCTCTTTCTCTTTCACTTCTGTGTCTCTCAGATCTGTGTCTATGGTCTCTCTCCCTATCGTTTTTGTACCTGTCATCTCTATATCTTTCGTCTCTTCGACTACCATCACCATGTCTTCCACTTCTATATCTTTCATCTCTACTTCTTTCTTCACCACTTTTGTATCTCTCACCGTGTCGACTTTCTGATGATTGGCCACTTCTGTAAGGACCTCTTGAAGAACCATGTCTGTTATAATCGCGGTCTCGATAATTGCGGCTTGTGTCAGAAGTTGATCCACCATGTTTCTTTTCACGCTTTGCATTTGTTTCATTTCTCCAGGCTTCACTGAGCCTGGATACACTTTGACTGAAATCCACATGAATTCTTCTATCATCAATTAAAACCCCATCCATTTTAAAATAAGCAGCCTCACAACTCTTCTTTTCCTCATATTCAATAAATGCATACTGTAAGGAGTCACCAGTGCTTTTATCTTTCATAACTTCACAAGATATAATTTTACCAAATCTTGAAAATATAATCTCCAAGTCTTCATCTCTTGTTAATGGATTTAATTTACAAACGAAAAGCACATTTTCCATAGGTTTGACTTCTGCAGATGGTAGATCCCCGATGATTTCCAAAGTTAACGCCTTTGAATCAGCTTCTCTGTTTTGTCTCTCTTTGAATCGTTCCTCTGTTAGTTCTTCTTCTTCATCTAAATCAATATCTTCAATGTCTGCCAATTTAACAGTAGACAATTGTTCAGCTGTTGGCTCGGGACTTTGCGGTGGTATAGCCAATCCTTCAATATCATCAAATGGATCTTCAAGGATGTATGTATGATGGACTCTTATATCTTGTAATGGGGAATGATCATCATCCAAATATGCATTATTTATTGCTTCTAAAATTTCAAACCCTTCAGTAACCTGGCCAAATACAACATTATTTTTCAAAACATTTCTATCCTCAATGTCTTTCAAAGTTATTGTGAATATAGATGTGGCAAATCTCTCATCAGGATCGGTATTATCAGATTGTGTGATTAATGAAACCGCACCAATTCTATTCTTGGGTAGTTTATTTTGTGAAGTTTTGAACGATTTACCTCTGGATGGATCAGATAGACCCCAAGCTGAACAGCCTGTTTTATTTATTGGATACAGAGGATCCCCCAATTCCACTATAAAGTCTTTTTGGATATTGTAGAATGGTGCAAAGTTGTAGTATTTAGCTTTACATAACTTGATGAAATTTTTGGATTCTGTTGGAGCTTGCTTTGTGAACAAGTCGATAACCAAATTACCTAGAATTTGTTAGCACCAAGAGCTTGAAAATGATCATTGTTAAACTTACCTTTGGACGTCTGTAATATCACACTCATTGTATTTGTTCTTTCAAAATAATGTGGTTTCCCATAGTTAAGGTTTTTGTTTTCATTTTCTCTATTTTCTTAAAAACACCACGGCTTCATAACCATCAAGATTTACTACGAGGAACAGAACTTGCTCATAAATATTTCATAAATTACTGGATATATATGCGTACTTTATTTCCCAGAGACCTTGGAGACCATCATATTTTTCAAAAATTGCAATTGATTCACTGCTTTAAGCCCCAATGTTCTTAATGCAACAATTGGTTCTGCTGTCGTAGAGTACAACTTGTGTAATTTATCAACAACACCCAACAACAAGTTGTTTTCTGGAAATCTTTCGGCCCAGTATGGTTCCAATACTAGAGTATTACCAATATCCAACCCCCTGTTCAATCCTCTTTCGATGGCACCAACTAAAGACTGGACATCACCTTGGCCCATATTCAAACCTTGCCCAGCTAAAGGATGTGTTGTGTGTGCAGCATCACCAACTAGAGCAATTCTTTCAGAGACATAAGTGTCAGCATGTGACAATCTAAGTGGGAATCTAGCTCTTGATCCTGAATCTATGGATACAACTTTCAATGGATAATTTTCTTCTAATTGTTCTTCATTGAATTTTTGAGTAGCGTGATTGACTCTCCATTGGATATCTTCAATAAGACCTTCAGTTTTGCCTTCTTTGATAGCCTTGTAATAATATTTCATATCAACATCCTCTAGAATAAATGCAGCATTAACCAAATTTCTAAACAATTCATCATCAATTTTAGTTAAAAGCTCTGAATTTTCAATGGTTTGTGACCAAACTAAGGTGGCATGATCATCAGGTAATGGTAACAAAGCAATTGGACCAGTTGGTAAGAATCTTTGCCATCCAACTGTTTTAAAAGGTGGATACTCTAACTTCATGGTTGCAACCACTCCAAATCTATTATAAAACCAACCTCTTGATTCAATTCCTGAAAATTTACGGACTGGTGAATTGAACCCATCAGCACCAACCAACAATCTTGTTTTGATTTGTTCACCATTTGATAAATGCACAATAGGCCATTGATCTGTTTCATCTTTGGTGATTTTTTCAACTTTTGTATTATCAACAAGATCAAACCCAAAATCTGGGTTTTGAGATTCTAGCTCCTTTATTCTTTGATATAAAGATGATTGCAAATTGACATTTTCACACATTGTGGCTAAAGAAGGGGTATCAATCTCAAGTCTAGCATCTGTGATACCTTCTGTAACCATAATGGAATCATATGGTTGTACTCTATCTTGTTTGATAAATTTCCAACTACCAATCTTCTCGAGGTATTCTATAGATTGTGGAGTCAAACTACTTATTCTATTTGTGAAATTCTCTGGAGTGTTATCATAAAATTCTTCAACAGGCTTCAAATTGAAACCTTCGACCAATGAGATTTTCAAGTCTCTAGCAATTGGTGAATTCTTTAGAGCAGCTGAAAGTGTTAAACCAGCTGGACCACCACCAACAATCAACACATCCACCAATTTTGGTTCTGGAACTTTAGGTATGCTTTTAGCAGCAGTGGCTAAGGCCCTTTTGAAAACGAGCGACATTATTCAACCACAATTGAGCCTTTGTTTCTGTCGACAATTGCTTTCGATATTCAATTCAGAATTCACGTTCGATTTTTCGTTCGTATAGGGCAAAAAAAAGTTAAGGGACCCAGTGCCTCAAACCATTGCAAAGGATCCGTACTATGTTGAGGGTTCCAAAAGCCATGAAATCCATATATGAGCTTGGAAATGGGTATAGTTTTAATCTAGATCCAAATAACTCGCTAATAGAAGCTGTCTTCAAATATAAACATGAAATAATTGCTGAAATCATCGTTTTCATCTTTTGTGTATGGCTCATTTATCTCATCGACTTGAAAAAAATTTACCAGTACAATCTTCAATACTTGTGCAGCCAAAAATCAACACAACTTCTTTAACCAACTTCAACGACCAAGTCAATCAACTTTCTGCTATTTAATATCTTTCAGATAAGTTAAATACCAAACTGTTTCCATTCAGAACTTCAAAGTCGGTCAGATTCCCGACTATAAAGCAGCTTATCAGCCTAAAAAGGTTTGTACCCATATGATAATCAACTATGATCTTGTTTACTAACGAATTGAAAGATTTCATTCCACCATGGATGAGGATATAGTGTTAATCAATAAGCTACAAGTTCATGCCATCACTGGTAAAGATTTCTGGAACCGTCCATTCCCACAACCAATTGACGTTTCTATCAAATTGAGAACAGATTTTAATAAGGCAAGTTCTTCAGATGATCTTAAATATTCATTGAATTATGCAGTCATTTCGAGAAACATTACTGAATATTTCGAAAAGAATAAACATAGAAATTTCAAGTCATTAGAAAATATTGCAAATTCTGTCTCTGAAGTCGTTTTGGATGAAAAGAAAGGTGGTGGTGATAATGTCGAGATCAAGGTATCTGGAAAGAAGACAGAGATACGTGCTGAGAATATTGAAGTCACAATTAATAGATTGAAGCAAGATGGTCAAATACACAAGATACCGGGTACGGTGGATAGACTAAACATCTCATCCTTGAAATTGCTAACCTTGATTGGTGTTTTCACTTTTGAAAGATTCAAGAAACAATTTGTTACTATTGATTTAGACGTGGAATATGATCAAGCTAAACCATTTGATTACTACAAAACCATTGCTGAAGTGGTTACATACATTGAAAATGCAAATTTCAAAACAGTGGAGGCTTTGATTGATTCTGTCGCACAAATTGTTACCCAAAATGATGTTTTACAAGTCACTGCTAAAGTGGAAAAACCAAATGCTATAACGTATGCTGATGGTGTTGGAGTACAAGTCACCAGAACAGCAGACCACTTCAAACATTTACCAAAGATTGATGCTCAAAGTGTCACCACTACAGAAGACTATCAAGAAACTTTCAATTTACCATCTGCAGAAAAAGACCACAAGCCGACCTCTGATGATCATTTGGTGTATTTGGCATTTGGTTCTAATACGGGTGATCAAATTGAAAATATCACTGCTGCTATTGATGCTTTGAACTCACTTGGTGATACCAAAGTTTTGGAAACTTCTTCATTGTACGAAAGTGAACCAATGTATTATCTTGATCAACCCAAATTTGTTAATGGTGCATTGAAATTACAAACATCATTATCACCTCAAGATTTGTTAAAAAAATTAAAAGAAATTGAATATGATTTATTGGGAAGAGTGAAACTAATAGAGAATGGACCAAGATCAATCGATTTGGATATTTTACTTTACGATGACCTAGTCATCAATGAACCAAACCTTATCATCCCACATATAAGAATGATTGAAAGAACTTTTGTTCTACAACCATTATGTGAGCTAATATCACCTCAAGATATACATCCAGTCACTGCAGAGCCTTATCATAACCATCTTGCCCAATTATACAAATCTTCAGTTGATCATACCAAGCAAAAATCAAATCTTTTACAAACCCTAGTGCCATTCCATAATAAATACTCTAAATATGACCAATCAAGAAACTTGACATTTGATTTGCTAACAAACTCCCACAAGACAAGAATCATGGGAATTTTAAACACAACGCCAGACTCATTTAGTGATGGTGGTAAAAATGCATCTGTTGAAGTTGCCATTAAAAACGCATTACAAATGGTCAATGCTGGCGTTGACATTATTGATATCGGTGGTGTCTCCACAAGACCTGGTTCAGTTGCTCCATCTGAGGAAGAAGAATGGAATCGCGTTGTTCCTATTGTCCAAGCTATTAGATCCCATGAAAACCCATTGTTACAAAATGTTGTCATTAGTATTGACACTTACAGATCACATATTGCGTTAGAATCCATTAAAGCTGGTGCTGATTTGATTAATGACATCAGTGGTGGATTGTATGATGAGAAAATGTTTGATGTCATTGCAGAAACTGGTGTTCCGTATATTTTAAACCATACTAGAGGGACCCCAGATACAATGTCTAAATTGAATCAATATGAAGAAAACTCAAATGAATCTGTTACCGAATATGCACATCCTTCAATCCCAGTTTCTGAACATGATGAAACTTTGTTAAAAGCCATCTCTAGAGAATTGGTTGTTCAATATAAAAAAGCTATAAGTCATGGTGTTAAAAGATGGCAAATCATAACCGATCCTGGGATTGGATTTGCTAAAAATTTAAAACAAAACTTGGCTATAATCAGAGGAACACCATTGATCAAGACTTATTCAAATTATGATCAAGAAAATAAAGAATTTGGAAGTTTAGCTGGTTTGCCAATCTTGCTTGGTCCTTCTCGAAAGAAGTTTATTGGTACATTAACCAATGAAAAAGACCCGGCTGATCGTGTTTTAAGTACTGGTGCTGTGATTATGTCTTGTATTGGTTATCAAGCCGATATTGTAAGAGTACATGATGTGGAGGAGATTAAAAAAGTTGTTGCAATTGGTGATGCCCTGTATAAAGATTTGATATAGTCTACATTTAACAACCTCTTTAAACCATAAAAAATATATATCCCATTAATTAGAATGCTTCTTATTGATTTCTTTCATTCTCTCTTGACTCACAACCTATTCAATTTAAAACGTCACTCACACTTTAATTCTTCTTTGAACAAATTTGGGTAATGTACCAGATCGTACTGGAAAAAAGCATTAACCAAATCATCAAACATCCAAAGTCTTCTTCACCTGCAACCAAATGTATATACAAAATTTTGAACACAAAAAACAGAAAGGACTCAAAATAAAACTAGTAAAATAAAAATAAAACATACAAAAAAAATATAATGATAGAAAAAAATTAATAATAATAATAATAACCCAATGAAAATTCAATTCGTTTTTTTTAAAATAACCTAAATGACAACGTCGAAATAAAACAGACAACCACCACCTTAATTAGCTTGAGTTTCAGCATCTTTACAATCACGGGAAATATGACCAACACCACCACAAGTGTAACAAGTTTTAGTGTTAATGTTAGCACCACCTGAAGCTGAAGAACATTCTTTTGAGATATGACCAGTTTTACCACAAGCATAACATTTAACTACACCAGCTTGACAATCACGAGCAAAATGGTTTGGACCACCACATTTGTAACAAGTGGTAGCTTTGTTGTTAGCTCTTGGAGCAAAAGTTTTAGCTGGTCTTTGTTGATTTGGTTGTTGAGGTTGGGTACAATTTCTAGAGATGTGACCGAATTGGGAACAGTTGTAACAACGAGCACCATTAGCTTGTTGAGTACAGTCAGATTGAACATGACCGACACCACCACAAATGTAACATTGTTTTTGAGTATTTTGACGAGGTTCTGGACATTCAGTTGATTCATGACCTGGAAGACGACAGTTGTAACATAAACGTTCATCTTGAGTACAAGCTTCAGCAAAGTGACCAACTTCACCACATTTGTAACAGGTTCTTGGGAAAACAGCAGCCATTGTTATTGATTTAATAAAGAAAAAAAACAGATAGTAACTTGAAAGTTAATCAGTAAAAGATTACTTGTATCGCTTTCTTTTTTGTTAAAAACTTTTCCAGATTTTTTTTTTTTTTATTTTTATGGCAGCTGCCAATTATTCGCTCCGAAGAAATTTACCCGGCGCGATGAGTGGAAAAGTGCGGCGCATAACAGATTTTCGCTTATCATATTGAGATCAATTTTAGTTTAAACTTGAGTTTTTAGGAAATTTGAATGGAGAAGATATGTAATTTATGAAGTTAGTGGTAAATTCAGTATGAAATTTAGTTAATCTGCTTTTTCCTGAGGCTAAAACACTACGGAACGTTGAATCGGAGTTGAGTTTAGCTCAAGATAAGCTCCGAGATACATAGAGAAAATCAATTCGATCTGAAATTCTATGGGTCGTTAATTAATTAAATGCTATGTACTAATGCTTTTTTCTCATGCTACCTCTATACTGGTACTGGATCCGTAATATACTTCCCATAGTCAACTGTATCAAATAATACATCAAATGCCTCACCAGTGGAGATGTCCAAATCACTGGCTGCCATTCTAACTGCAACATCACAAGCTAAAACATATAAAACAAATGAATCTTTCGACCAAAACTTCATGGTTCTATTAGTTAATAAAGCTTTATTCAATTCATCTTCAAATGTATTTTTGATCAATGAAGCAATAACAGCCTGTCTCTTGGCACCATAAAATCCAATAGTAAATTCACCAATAGGTAATCTCAAGAATTCACTTGATGAAAGAACTGTAGATGCTGAGTTTTTAGCAATATCTGAAGCATGCCCATAATAAGGAGATTCAATTTGCCCACTCAAGATCTTTGGAACACATTTCAAATGTTTTTGAGCTTTAGCTTCCAATTCTTGTTTATTTAAAGCACCTGGATATATTTTACCATCATATTTTTTCTCCACGATTTTTCTTTGTTTTCTGAAATTTTTCTCTTCATCAAATTCTTCAAAATTATTCCTCAAACCAGAATCAATTTCTTCATCAAGATCAATTTCCAAAATGTTTCTTTCTTGTTCTTCTTCTTGTCTTTTAACAACTTTATTCTTAATCAATTTTTTAGCAAAATCTTCATTTGAACCAGTGCTACTTAATCCTTGGACAAGTTTACTAAACTTATTACTAGCATTTTCAGTTTTGGATTCTTCTTCAGTTAACGATTTTTTCAATTGTTTCTCTTTTTCTAGTTTTTTTGGTATGGATGTACCTGGTTTTTGTAATGAGTTGAATTGAGGGTCACCTAAATTTGGTTTTTGGTTTAATTTATCCATAAGTGACTTATTACCTTTCATTAGTTTACGTTCTTCTTCGGTCATAAATGCATCCAAACCCTCATCTTCATCTTTTTTCTTTTTACCAATCGTGGATTTGGAAAATGGCATTGCAATAGGAAGCTTTCGCTGTTTTATCTTTTGGCCAAAATCATCTTTTGGAAGCTTATATTTGTCTTCAATTTTTCCATTCTTGTCTGTTTTAACTTTCTTCACCGCGTTGGATTTAAAGCCACCAAACAAATCAGTGGTACCGTCTTTACGACTTCTTTTGAACGTTTTGACTTTCCTTTCCTGTTCATCCTCACTAACGTCAGAGTTCGTGTCCTTTAAAACTTCAATATCATCATCATCCTCATCATCAACTGAAATCGCGTCCACCTTGGACATTTTCTTGGGTCTCGCATCTTCTTCTTCTTCGTCTGATGAAACAATATAAGCTCTTGAGACAGACTTGGTCTTTTGGTCTTTATGTGAACGATTACTGCCATATGTTTTATTGCTTTTGATTGACCCTAATATTGGCCCACCTCTTCTTTGCATCAGCAGATTGGGTCCCTTTGGTGCCATGTTCAGTGTTTGTTGGCCATTCATTTTGGCTCCATAGTGACCACCCATATTGATATTCACCTTCCTAAGCACCTGTAAATACTAATTTCGACAACTTTCAGCAGTTTAAACAGCAAAAGACACGCTTTTCAATTCGTGTCGATGATTGAAATCTATTGTTTTGGTATTTTGTAACTTTAGATTTTTTGTCAATATGGGAAAAGGGGGCTCGTAACCACTTGGAAAAATTCAAAACGAATGCGAATTATATGTGTCGCATCCCCCAATGTAAGAAAACCCCCGAAGGAAGTGTAGATTGGTGGTCGACCGCGAAAGTAGACTTACGTTGGTGGATGGCTTTTTAAGCGTCCACCAATGTAAGCTTCCTTCATGGGTCAGCCCAGAATGAAGACTTACTTCTGTGGTTGGCCTACAATGTAGAGTCTTTATTGTGGTTAATCTCTATTTAACAAGCTATAAATGCTAACTAGCTAGTGTACTGCTGCTACCTTCAAAAAATGAGATCTAGCTACACATTCAGGTATTAATTTGCGTCGTACTTGTTAGTTTTTAGCTGGTTGATTGCCTGTTACATTCTCCATACTATAGTGTCATTTGCTGGTTAGTCAATTTGCAGTGTGAAAAATGCTCTTTCTATCTCTGAACATGATCTCGAGTAACTTTAGTCGGTATATTTCAATAATCTGGTGATCATAGGTGGAAAGTCAGTAGAGAATATGGTACTTGATTTCCATATGAAGTATTACGAGGTTTCTGCGCTACACTTTCATTTACCATTAACCCAACTGTTTCTTCATTCTCTCGGGTTGAGTACTTCACAATAGAGATGTTGACCCCAGTAAGTCAAGCTATTTACAGAATTTAGTGAATGACTTTTGAGAGCCTCAAGTCTTCAGTGTAGATAATTGATCAATATAATAGCTGTTCAAAATTTGTACAGAGTATATTTGTGATGTATATCTGCTACGAAACCATAAAAGATGTATCGCCTCGTGCACAAATAGATACTATCCATAAATATGACCATCATATTTGACTGTACTGTCACCTTTTATGGCTTTAGATTAAAGAAGTTGTTTCATGTTGTGGTGACGGGCCAATGTCCAATACAGTGATGTTTGATGCCCTTCAATGGGCCATCAAAATTATTGCAGAAGTAGTGGATTCTAAGGGGCCATAGGCCTAAAATTCATCGACTAACCGCATAACATGCTTTTTTTAGGTGTGAAATGGGATTTTGAAAGTGTTTGGGCAGTTAAACCTGATTTACTACGTTGTTGGATGATGGTCCACTAACAAATTTTTTGATCTGAGAAAGTACACTTCCTTTGGTGGTCGCGAGTTTTCAACACCAACCACCAATGTAAGCACCATACGTTTTGGGGCAAAGAGGTGTAGCTGTTACCCAATGACATTGGTTGAAGACGAACAAGATGAGCTAGAAGCTTGTGTATGAACTGGTATCGAGCAAAGCACACTTTCTTTCAAGTAAGGATTGTTACTTCATAGGACCTTGAGCATAATCTAGTAAAATGTACTACTCTACATTGTGGGACAGCCTAAGAAATGAGTGTAGTTTGGTGGTTGGCCTTGAAGGGAAGCCTCCTTTGGTGGTCTGCCTAGAGTGTAACTCTACTTTGGTGGTCTGCCTACAATGTATACTTCCGTTGGTGGCAGCGTTTTTTAGCCATCCACCAATGTAGAACTTCAATTTCGATTTTCTTCCTTTCGTGGACGCGACATATGAACATCAACAACTTTGGTCTAGATAATTATTTAGAGAACTACACATAATGTCCAAAAAGTACTTTCAAGATCTAGTCACCACAGTGGTTCCAGACATCAAGAGCTCTGCCAAATCAAGTCGCTACCGTAGCGCAAATGAGATCATCACAGTGGCTTGGAATAACCCTGCAACAAGAATAGCTTATAGTCGAACTGATGGTTCAATAAGAACATGGAAATTGGCCAGCTGCGACCTAGTATCAAAACAACCAGTGATCATTGAAGATTGTCATAGAAAACAAGTTGAATCAATCTCTTGGAAACCAACTAGTGAATCCACTTTGGCCTCTGTTGGTAATGATCAAAATGTCAAGCTATGGAACACTGCTAGAGGTTCTTTAATCAAAGAAATTGACACTGGTGTATCTAATAACATCGTGGTTCAATACTCGGGTGATGGTAAATTTATTGCCACTATAAGTAGGTCTAATGTTGTGACTATTATAGATGCCAATGCTTATACAATTGTGGAATCTTTGAAACTAGATGAAGATATTTATTCAATTTCTTGGAATAACACTTCTTCATTTATATTCTTAGGGCTGGCTGATGGCTCAATTCCAATGTATCGCTTTGATAATGGGAAATTAGAACATGTCCTTTCTTTGAAAGGACACAGATCTTCTATAAAAAGTTTGAAAGTTGAAGCAAGAGCAAGATACTTAGTTGCAGGTAGTAATGAAGGTGTTATATCAGTTTGGTCCTTACAAACTTTAGCTGTTGTCAAAATATTTGCTGATATTGATCAACCAATTGCACAAATTGATGTTTCAAGAGAAGGTACTTATATTAGTGCAACTTATGAAGATGGCCAATCTAGTAGAATTTATGAAATTGAATCAGAAGAATGTTTCCATGAAATACCCAAATGTGTTGCTGGTTCTCAAACGTTCCCAAATTTGCAATTTTGCCCAATCAAAACTTTGTTTGCTTACACTTCAGACGATGGTGATCTTTACTTGACAAATAAACCTGGTAAATCTAATCTAAGAGAAATGAGAGACAGAGATCCAAGGGATTCTAGAGATTTAAGAGACCGTCCTAGAGATTCAAGAGCAAGAGCTGATATGAGAACTAGAGATAGACATTTTTAAAATTAATCTTAATGCTACGACAAATCATTTTTTTTTCTGACTATGCCTGATATATTGTTATGTAAAGAAGTATTATCTCTTTTCTATTGTATTTACAAGTTCACACATATACACCTTTTAAAAATCTCCCCCTGTATTGTACACTTTCCATCACTTAAATATCAGAAAATAAAAATTCAGTAGCTTCGTAATAAGCTGGTGAAACTTTTTCTTTGATTTCTTCCTTCACCAACCATTCATATTCAACAGCTTCCGGATTGAATAGACCAGATAATATATGTGATTTGATAATGTATTCTCTAGTTAAATCTTTTGAAGGATCTTCACTGCTTGCCAATTCAGCACCCCTGAATTTTAAGACAGCAGCAGGTGTATTTGAAACGGTCCATGTATTTATTGCTTCACCCCCAAGTTTTCTTAGACCTGCTTCTGCTGATATGTGCAATGGAGTTTCTGGTGGAGTTGCAAATGATGGTAATCTCCAGCCATTTGAATCTTTGGTCAACAAATATAGTGTTCTTGGTATTTTACGTTCTAAACTTTTCAAATCCTTAGCTTTATCTGCTTCAGTGATTCTTGGGTTTGGAACAACTGGTCTAGAGATTTCATCTAAATTACTATCTTCTGAAGTTTCTTGTTTTGGAATAGTAACAACCTGTTTTAATCTTCTTTCTCTGTTGTGAGCAACATCTGGAATACCTTTAGAATAGTAAACACCTGGCTGTTTTGTAACTGGACCCTTTTGAGCTGCCACAAAACGACGTTCAGAAAGAGTACCTTTTCTAAAATAATAATATTGAGGAAATGTCCACATCAAACGACGCTCTAATTCTTCTTGATAGTTGTAATAAACTTTTTCAAATGGTGTAAGTTCCGGTGTAACAATTGGATTTCTTGATAGAAGTATAGCTGTCTTTATTGATTCCAATGGGAGTGGTTCATATTTGGTCTTAGCGACAGTCGCTAGACATCTTTTGAATGCTAATTCATTAGTTAGTATTTAAATGATCTGCATTTCAAAGATGGGTGAGTTTCCCTCATGATAGAGTTTCAATTTCACACATCTTCTTTATCTGTGACCAACATACACAATGATCCTGCATTCACCATCTTGAACAGCTGCTCAAAAGTAAGTGCCTGAGTTATGTTCAATTGAATCCACCTTATACCTCCAATGATCTTTGAATTTTTCACTTCAGTCGAGGAAAAAAAAAACTCTATAAAAACACAGAACGCATTCGCGAAACTGTGTAGCAGGGTAAATCAGCTTTTCGCGAACTATTTAACTACATAAACTCTGGTAAACTACATGTATAACTAATCTCAGTGAATAATTTTGTCTTAATAGTATACAATATTTTTTGTCCAATGATTTCAGCTTAAAGCTTATTATTTTTGTTGTTGCTGTTGCAAGAATGCCATCAAGTTTGATAATTGGGCATTGGCTTCACCACCAGCAGCTGGAGGAGCTGGGGCTGGAGCTGGAGCAGCTGATTGTGATTGATTAAACAAATTGGCCAATGGATTAGCTTTGTTACCACCTTGCATGAAGGATGGAATGTTAGAGTTGTTTAATGGATCAGTGTAAATATCATCTGGTTCACCTGGTTTAGTAGATCTTGGACCGTTTCTTGAACCATCTGTAGGCATTTTCTTGGAGATAGCTTTTGAGGAAACACCTTCACCAATTTCAATATCTGGTTCTTCCATAACAAGACCTGAGGTCAAAGGTCTATCAAGACCAATACCACCCCATTCAGCAGCATTAACCCAACGTCTATCAGCATCTGTTAATCTTTCAATTGGAATCAAACTAGTACCATGTTGATAATCACAACAATCACGAGGACCAAACCCAACACCCCAACGGGTTCTTAATGATAAAGCACCATTTTTGTTGAATGATGAAATAACACTTTCAGCCTCAGCTCTTGAATAAACTTTTACAAAAGCATGTTTACGTTCATTATTCAAAATGACACTTTGAACTTCAGCATATGGTCTTAAAACTGACGCCAATTCTTGATCATCCATATAATTTGGAACACCACCGATGAATAATGTACGACTTAAAACTTTAATTGAACCATCAGGAACATTAGGGTCAGAACTGACAAACTTTTCTCTGTAATGTGGAGTACCTGGAATATTACGTTCACCAATAACATGTCCTGGTGGAGGAGCATTTCTACCATCACTTCTAGGTGATCTGGATCTATCACGGCCTCCTCTTCTTGAATATCTGTTATTATCACGTTCACGATCTTGACTGCCTCCATGGTTTCTGAAGTTTCTGAAAGCTTCTTCTTGTGATAAACCTTGAGCAGGTGGACGCCCTGGTTGTTGCATTGGTGGCTGTTGTTGCTGTGTAGGTAAAGGTGGCATTTGACCAGTCGCTTGCAATGTTTGCAACATTTGGAACAAAGCAGCTTGTTGAGCATTTGGATCACTAGAGCTTAAAGCTGCTAAGTTTGGTAATTGACCTGGAGCTGGAGCTTGTGCTTGAACAGGAGCTGGTACAGGAGCTGGTGCAGGTTGATTATTACCAGCTAAAGCTGCTAGGTTCTTCAATATTTCATTTGGATCTGTTGGTTGAGGAGCAGGAGCAGGAGCAGTCTGTGGAGTACCAGAGGCTGACGCAGCATTAGATCCACCGTTACTAACAAAGTACTTATTTTTAATTGGTTGTAATTGTTGCGCTTCAAATGTAGCAGATTTCTTCCAAATATCTAATAATTTACCAACTTTTTCTTTTTGCTCTGAAGTAACAGTATCAAGAACAATTGTAAGAGCTTCTGGAATAAAAGTGTTCAATTTGTAAAGCGCATCTGCGTAAGTACCGTCTTTTGCGCTTGCATTGACAGTTTCACCCAACTTGTTCGCTTTTTCTTTGTAAGCTCTTGCAATGGAGTCAATAACATACAAAGCACCAAGTTTATGGTTTTCACCGGCCTCTTTCAAATACTTCTCAGCTTTTTCAACAAATTGAGATTCTAACTATATAAGATTTACTTGTTAATACGTGAATTCTTAATAATAATGTGGTTATTGACGATAATGAATTACTGAATTTTTTATATGATACTGATATCTCAAATACAAGAGATTCATTATCTCCAACCAGGGTTTAGATGATCCTACTCATCTCAATCCCTTAAATAACAAAATAAAAGAACAATACTTACGCTAACATTGTCGACAGCAAGTTGCGTTAATTTTCTGATACGAGTACCTGAAATACCAGTCTTCATAGACTTTAAACCATCCAAAACCTCTACAAAGTTTTCAACAGCTGACATTATGGAACTTAATTCTTTCGGGTTATAATGGTAAGGTTGGTGTTTTTTGATTTATAATTACAATGATAATGTGACTTAAGTTACAACTGGAATTAAAATAGCCCTCTCTTTCTGTTACGACGATTCCTCCTATTTGAACCACTGAAATACAATTGTCTGTGTTACAAATTTACTCTAAATCTACCTTGCTGAAATGATTGATAGATAAAATACGTGAATTTGATGCCTGAAGCCCCTTATGAACACCTTATGGATTATAAGGACTTTTATAAACAGGAGGCAAGGGCGTTTGATGTTGTGTTGAATTTTTTTGTCCACCTGTCGAGAAATTAAAGTCGCTACGGGACACATTATTAGTAGGGTAATACAGTATATTGACTTCCCATTTAGGAAATTAAAATGTTACTTCTATATTGGTATATTCATACACCTATTGAGCTCATATTGATGCCAAATATTCAGAATGGAGCTTCTTTTGTTGATCATATTGCTTTTGTAGCTTCTTTCTAGCACTCTTTGTGACTTCATTACCTTCTTTGTCTTTAGTTGGTAAGCCTGCTTCATCCCATTCACTATATTCAGAAGTCTTGAATAACTCAGATGGTGGTACTTTAGATTTCTCTAATTTCTCTTTTTCCTGTTGTTCTTTCAATTTTTGTTGTGCAAGTTTTTTAGCTTGTTTCTCTTGTTCACGTTGTTGTTTTTCCTTTTGAAACTTAATTAGTTCTTCCTTCTCACTTGAACTCAAAAATTTAATCAAAGCTGGTTGGCCATCAGTACGATCATCTAATGAGACTCCTAAATTCAATAAATCATTATTACGAATTTGATCAGTTGCTGTCAAGAACACAGAATATGATTCTTTTGCAATAGCAGCAGAGCGAACCTGGTCCCTAAATGTTGACAGAGCTTTAACAAACGGCATGGCAATTTCCTCGACTGAATTTGAAGAACCATCTGTAGCATCTCTATCATCCCAACCAAGGTTATCAGAACGAGATTGGAGACCAATGATATTTAATATTCTTGTTATCCAGTAAGTCACTTGAAGAATAGGATCAATTCTCAAATCTGACCCAGATGTAACGATATATGTGTTTGTTTTGGTAACCAACTCAGAAATTACTTTCAAAGCTTGAGGAGTTGATAAATTATCACAAAATGCAGCATTAACACCGGTTTTAGCTTCGTTTAAATCTTCTAAAAGTTTCTTTTCTAATTGACCAGTCTTCTTGGAAACGATAACATTACTTTCCAAACGATGCTTGTAGTCATTATATAGAGCTCTAACGTTCAAGAAGTATTTGTTTAAAGAGTTTTCAAATGATTTCACTTCATTGATTAGGGCTTCTTTGAAATCCAATTGGTTGTTCCATTGTGAGAAAGCAAATGCTAATCTTAGTTGACGTGGGGAGTATAGCTTCAATGCCTCTTGGATAGTGATGAAGTTCTTTAAACTTTTACTCATTTTTTGACCCTCAATATGTAAATGACCAGTGTGTAAAAAATAATTCACCCATTGTTTATTATCAAAACATGCTTCTGATTGAGCTAATTCATTATCATGATGTGGGAATGCTAAATCAATACCACCTGAGTGAATATCCATTTGACTGCCCAAAATGTCACTAGCCATGACGGAACATTCAATATGCCATCCTGGACGTCCTTTACCCCATGGTGACTCCCATTCTGGTTCACCTGGTTTGGAGGCTTTCCAAAGGGCAAAATCATTTGGTGACCTTTTACCTGATGCACTTGTTGATAGAGAACCTTCACCTTCAGCAATCAAATCAGCTTGTCCTCTATTCCATGGTTGTAACTTAGCATAATCATGAAGAACAGCCTTGTCGAAATTAACAGTATCAAAATAAACAGAACCATCATTTGTTGAGTAAGCATATCCGTTTGAAATAATTTTTTCAACAAATTCGATAATTTCAGGGACATATTCAGAAACTCTTGTTGTCACTGTTGGTTGTAAAACATTCAAAGCAGCCATATCTTCATCATACTTTTTTTCCCAATATGCAGGTAGAGCACGAAAAACTTCAGGGTCATTTATGGTGGAACCTAATTCAGCATCTAAAACTGGAACAATAACATCTTTAACTGAATCCAAAAACTCTTTTTTAGAGATCTTTTGAGAACCAGAGATAGCTGAAAGGGCAGTTTTAGCAGACATTAGGTACATTGGAAATTTTGGTTTCTCAATTTGCTTTTCAGCCACATTGACGGTGTTTGACCAGCTTTCGAATCCATCCTTGGTTGAAGGTGCTTCTGGTAAATTGGCTTCAACAAATGACTTCCAAGCAGCATCAGCTTTTTCTAACACTTCTTTGGAAATTTCATCATGATTTTCTAATTCTTTAACATATTGATCAAATAAATAGGTTTGACGAGCCCTTATGATAATTTTATCGTCAATATCTGTAACATTTTGAACAAAAGTAACATCGTAACCAAAATAATCCTGCAAGATTCTTCTATTGATATCAATTGCTACGTAGTTTCTAGCATGACCCATGTGACTTGAATCATAAACAGTAGGACCACATGAGTACCATTTGACTCTTTTTCCCTCCATTGGAATGAAGGGAACTTTTGTTCTGGTCAATGAGTTATAAACTTTCAACACTGGTTCATTCTGAGCAGTTTTTGAACCGGGCTCTTGCCATTCAGGTTGCACAACTTTTGGTTTATTGATAGTTGCCATTTTTCTAAGTGATACTCCGAACCTTTTTAGATGATTTCGAAGCATAAAAATGTCCTCAAGTGATGTTAGTCACTTTTCTGACTTCACGAGCGAGCCCATGTAGTTTTTTTTTTTCAACATCAACACAATTCGCGAAACAAAATTCGCGAAGACATTGGTGAATTTTGTTACGCGGTCGCCTGTATAAAGTTGGTGAAGAACAGTGAAAGCCTACAACTTGGTGCTTGTTTTTCTAAGTCATTTCTGGGGATGTATGTATTGCTATCAGGCTATATATTTTGAAAATGCGCTAACATTTTGTCTAGGTCAGCTATCTATAAGGTAGGTTAAGAGCTAATCGCCTCCTATATTCTTGTCATTAACATCAACGCAGTTATCCATTCAAGGTGTCAGATCTTTTGATCCTGGGTCCCAGGAAACAATTGAGTTCGGTAAACCTTTAACTTTGATTGTTGGTCAAAATGGTACTGGTAAAACGGTAAGTTGAATCTTTGAGAAGAGATGATGCACTCAAGACTAACATTGCAAAGACTATTATTGAATGTTTGAAGTACTCCACAACGGGTGATCTACCCCCAAATAGTAAAGGTGGTGCTTTCCTTCATGATCCAAAGATGACAGGTGATAAAGAAGTAAGAGCTCAAGTCAAATTGGCTTTCACTAATGCATCAGGAGTGTCCATGATTTGTACAAGAGCCATGCTCTTGACGCTAAAGAAAACCACATCTACATTCAAGACACTAGAAGGTCAATTGTTAGCTTTACATAGAGGTGAAAGAACCACTATCAGCACAAAATGTGCTGAGCTAGATGTCCAAGTTCCTAATTACCTTGGTGTTTCTAAATCAATTTTAGATTATGTTATATTTTGTCATCAAGATGAGAGTCTCTGGCCTCTTGCTGAACCGTCTGTCTTGAAAAAACGATTTGATGAAATCTTTGAAGCATTGAAATTTACTAAAGCTTTGGATAATATCAAGGTGATTAGAAAAGATATGACAGTGGAGATCAAACTACTAGATCAATCAGTGAAACACTTAAAGCAAGATAAAGAAAGAGCAGATAGAGTTAGAGAGAAGATGGATGCTAGTTATAAGACTGTCGATACATATAAGCAAGAGACTGTGCTATTGGAGGAGGAGTTGAGACGTATAACTAAGCAAAGTGATGACCTTTTCAAATCAAACCAAGCGTTCCAAAAGGTTTTATCAAAGCTAGAAAGTTATAGACATTCTCAAAGGTCACTCAATGAACAAATTGATAGACTTGAGGACTCAACAACTTTACTCCCAGATACTGATGAAGACCTACAGTATAAGATTGCTAATTTTCAAACTGTTGTGAGAGATGCTGAGAAGAAGGTCGAAGAGCTTAAGAACGAAGTTGGTGATAAGCAAGCTAATTTAAGAACACTCAGAGAAGACTATAGTCATATGATCAGCGAGGAAGGTCAATTGAAAGGTAAAGAGGCTGATTATAAGCTGAATTTACAGAAAAGATCTGACTTGGTCAAATCATCTATTACTGAACTTGATATGGATGTTTCTCCTGATGATTTTATAGAGTTTGAAAATACTCTCAACACTCAGACTCATAGAAGCCAAAGGCAATTACAGAGTATGACTTCTGATTCTAAAAAAGAAGAAGCTGTTGTTGAGCAAAAATTGAAACTTGTGTCTGATTCTAAGCTAAAAGAGAGTCAACATAGAGAATATGCTAATAATGATATTAAATCAATTGAAAATGAAAACAAATCTCTTGCAACAAAAATCAACAGCTTGGATGTCAATGAAGGTGGATTGGAGTATGAAAAGCTAAAGTTGGAGGACTTGGAATCTAAATTGAATGAGTTTAGAAATCAAAAGATTGTGGAAAAACTTGTCAAAGAAATACGGGGGAAAAACACTGAAATTTCTTCTTTGGAAACTGAAATTGAGACTATGAATCATGAGATTTCTCAAAGCCATAAACAATCTGATACATATGCCAAAATTTCATTACTCAACGACGAGAAAAACTACAGAGAAAAAGCATTAGCTAAACTCATTACCGCAAACGAAAATATTTTCAACTCAGAGGCTTTGGACTTAGAAGGTTTGGAGAAAAGTTTCAAAGAAAAGGTATCAAAATTACAAAATGAAGTCAAAGAAGGTGAAAAGGAACTTAAAAGAATTAATGACCGTTCCTATAAACTTGAATCAGAGTTTCAGTTTAAAAAGTCAAGTATCACCAACCTAACCAAGGAGCTTGAAACTTCAGAGAAGAAGTTCAAAGATGAGCTTGAAGATGAAGATGTTGAAGATTATGATGAAGTCTTAGGATCAGCAGAAGATGATTATAAAATTGCTCTCGAAAACCTCAAGATGAGTAGCACTACATTACAATTCAACAAAAAAGCACTTGAAATTGCTGAGAAGGACCAATGCTGCTATCTATGCTCTCGAAAATTTGATGAAAAATCAGTTCTTTCAATATTTATAAAAGAGTTGAAAAGTAAAACTGAAAGTGGATTTGAAAAGCAACTCGAAGAACAACTTCAATCACAAAAGGAATATCTGAATACAGTGAGATCTTTAGCATCTGTTGTTGATAGGATTGTTACCACTAAGAGAAAAGTTGCAGAACTAGATAGTGAAATTAAATCAATCACACCAAGTTTGGAGGAATCTAAAAACAAACTAGATGAACAAACAAAGAAAGTGGATGAAATAAGGAACAAACTTACTAGTTTGGAAGATATCAAAGGTTCTGTTAATGAAATTTCAAGGATGAGACAAGATTTGAAAAACATTGAAGCCCAAGTTGCTGCCAAAGAAAGAGAATTGAATGACTATGGGTTCTCTCCAAGAAGTCTTGATGAGCTTCAAAAGGAACAAAACTCCAAAAGCTCTGAACTAAAAAATCTTCGTAAAGAAGTTGCTAATTTACTTGAGGATAAAGATAGTAAGCAGAGGGAACTATCAGTTTTAGAAGGTAATGTCAAAGATATGAGACTAAAAATTAGTAACATTGAAAGATCACTTATCGAAAAGGAAAACTTAACAAAGACCATAGAGGAGAATAAAAATAGAATCGTCAAGTTACATGAAATGGTTGAAAAATCTGATGGTATCATCAGAGAGCTTACAATGGAGATTGACTCTGTGACAAAAGAACTTGAGACTTTACGCAAAGAAAATGGTGAAAAAATCACTAAACAACAAAAAGAACTTGAAGCCTTAACATCCCACAAGAATTTGTTCACATCACTTAATGACGCTATTAAAGTTTATATTGAGAGAGATTCCAAACTTTTGGAAAAATGTCAAGAAGAAGTCTCGCTGATTGGCACTTTGATTACCGAGCATGAAGAAGCAATTGAAGCTGCATCCATCAGAGTTTCAGAGGAGGAGAAGAAACTAGCAGATACAAACAATGAAGAGAGAAATTTGAAGAATAACCTTGATATAAGACATATGCAAAACAAATTGAGAGAAATTGAAATTGAAATTTCAGAAATGAATGTTCAAAATGCTGAAAGTGAAAGAGATAGATATCAAGAAGAATCTTCAAGATTACGTGAAGAATATTCCAGTATGAATGCTGAACTAGCTGGTAAGATGGGTGAAATCAAACAAATTGAAGATCAAGCTAAACAGTACCAAAAGGAACTAAACTCTGAATTCAAAGATATTGAGAAATCGTATCAAGAAGAATGGGTCAAACTACAAACCAAAACTTTAGTTTTAAATGATTTGGGTACCTATTCCAAAGCCCTTGATTCTGCTATTATGCAATATCATAGTATTAAGATGAAAGAAATCAATAGAATAATCGATGAGTTGTGGAAAGGTACATATAGTGGTACTGATGTTGATACTATTATGATTAAAAGTGATCAAAACACGGCAAGTAAAGGTAATAGATCCTATAATTATCGTGTTGTTATGGTGAAACAAGATGCTGAATTGGATATGAGAGGTAGATGTTCTGCTGGTCAAAAAGTTTTAGCGTCTATTATTATTAGATTGGCTTTAGCTGAATGTTTTGGTACAAATTGTGGTGTTATAGCACTTGATGAACCTACGACAAATTTGGATGCTGAAAATATTGAGTCTTTGGCAAGATCATTAGGTAACATTATTGAATTGAGACAAGCTCAAAAGAATTTCCAATTGATTGTTATTACTCATGATGAAAAATTCTTGACTTATATGAATGCTGCGAAATACACTGATCATTTCTATAGAGTTAGAAGAAATGACGCTCAAAAATCACAAATCGATTGGGTCAATATTACAAGGGTTTCAGAATAAATAACCATCTTCATTATCAATTACTTTAATGCAGTAGAAACCCAGCTTCTATATAGTCTTTGTCTTTCAGCCATATCTATCATCACTTTATACTTCACGTCTAACAACCTCAACAGTCTTTCATCACTCAAATCTGGTGAGTATACCGTACCTTCTTTATTCAATGATTCAATAACATCTGTTAATGGAATATTTTTGTAGCCTGAAAGACCCAGGTAAGCAGCCCCTTTGACACCTGAAAATCTAGGATCAGTATCACTTACTTCAACGGGGAGCTTGGTCACTTTAGCCAACAGTTTCACAAATCTTAAATTTTTTGCCTGACTCCCTGAAATAATGATTTTGTTTATATGATGCTTAGTTAACATTGACAAAATTTGTCTAGTTTGAAGAGCAAGAAATTCTAAAATACAGATATATCTTAGCAACAAGTCACGTAAAGAATTATCTGTTGATTCACCAATGAATACACCTCTCATATCACCATCAGCATATGGTGTACGATTTCCTGAAAGGTCACCGTACAAAAACATGTTCTTAGTGAGATAATGTATACTTCCTTCCTTCTCCTCGATGATTTGTATTTGCTGCTCTATATTCTCAAACACATCAGGACCAAGTTTTTCAAGCTCTTTAAAGGCAGGATGAGTTTCAAAGAGATGCTCAAGAAGTTTCCCCGTGGTTGATTGACCTCCTTCTGAAACATAATGATCATTCAAAACGCCTTTAAATGGACCCCAAATACCAGTTATAGGTTCAGAAACTTTGTGACTTAGCAAGAAACAAGTTGAAGTTCCTGCAATCATTGTTAATGAGTTTGAAAAATCTTTACCACAAGACGCGATCCAACCAGAGTAACAGTCAATAACCCCCTGAGTTACAACAACACCATCATCTGCAGTTGCAATCCTAGACCCAGCTGGAGGGATTGATATGAATGATTTGTATGGCGACTTTTCAACTCTTCCAATTGCCCTGAAATCCTCATCAACGAGTCGAGTCAACCCAATTCTTTTCAAAAATGATGACGACCAACCTTTGAGCTCACCATCCAGCGCCATTGGGTTGTAAAAATTAGAAACATTGATTGCATTTTCAGATTTCTTCCCACCAGCTATCATAAATGTTAAGAAATCATGGAGATCGAAAAACACAATACTGTCCAAATCTTCTTTGGGTATATGATCAATCAAATACTTCACTTTTGGAATGCCCATCTCCTGGATGAATGCACCACCATAATAATCTAGTATAGGGTCTCCTTTCAGTATTTCATTTATAGTCCTGGTCTCCTCAGATGCTCTTGAATCCATCCAGAATACAACATTTTGATTGGGATCTGAAAACCCATAATCAGCAGGATAAGGATGAAGTCTGTCGTCCTGGCCCCTTTTCAGAACAACCATGGAACAAGTAGCAGCACATCCGATACTTTTGATTTTCAAACCAAAACTGAGTTTATCGTTGATTCTCTCCATACATATTTGGTAAGAGTCCCATATTTGCTTTGAAGATTGTGTCACAAATCTTGAATCAATATTGCTTTGGCTGTACACCAAGGGCTCCGTCTCAACCTGGAGAATCACACCCTGATCATCAATGACAGCGACACGGATCGAAGAGGATCCCACATCAACGCCAGCGTAGACATCGCCAATTGGCATTCTCCTTTGATCTCAGAATTGTGCTTGTATATTTCAGTAATAAATTCTGCTGATGTTTTTCATACAATTTTTTTCCACATGGAAATAGATCTGCGCATCGGAATTGTAAAGCAAAAATCATAACAACGAAAGTTCCGAAAACTGATTTGATATAACCGAATATTTCCAACTTTTGATCAAAACAAAGCTCAAGTTCAGGAAAGTTGAAGTTCATATATTGTTCCAACAAGAAAGAGAAAGGATCAAGTTAGTTTAGTAAAGGAGACCACAGTATCAACAGAATCAAGCTCCAGGTTTTTCAACATCGATCTGCGAAGAGTTAACCAGTGAAAAAAGTTTCAAGCACAATGGCTATAGGTGCAACATCAGAAGAGGATAAAGATCAAATCGAGAGACAAGACTTTGAGCCAGTGGACGAAGGCTCCAGTCCCGAGGAAGATGAAGAACAGGTCTATGACGGTAGTGACCAGTTAGGTGAAGAAGGGAGCGAGCTTGAGCTGAGTGAAGGTGCTGCCGCCTCTTTTATTGGTGGTTCTTCAGTTGTGTCAAGAACAAGAGAAGATGAAGATGAGTACGACAATGATGAAGGTGTGCAAAGAGAGGAACTATTACACGACCAAGTGACAACTGATGATTTAGAATCCAACAAATTCAAGAATGAGCATAAAATTTTCACCTTCTCATTGCCGTTTGGTGGTAACGCACTAGCATTGTTGCCTTCCTTCAAACACTTTAGACACACCTTGCCAATAATCGGAAACAATTCAGATGATGAAGATGAACTAACTTCTAATCTGTCAAGGGAAGATATCAAATATAAACTAAAGAAACAACAATCAATTAGTACTTTAGAAGAGAGTTATCTATTCAAAAACAAAAAAGGTGCAGATAACTCTAGACTTAGAGCTGTTAAAAGAGCTTTAACTCCAAACATTGCAATCGATGCTATACAATTCCTATCAAATGATGATAAAAAACCTGATGAGTCTGTGTGGGATGAATTGGATGGTGATGTTGTTATTTTGGGTGGTTATAGAGGAAGTATCCTAAGAGATGCTCGTACTCATAAAAGGGTATGGATTCCCCTAAGAGCGGGTTTCAACATCCGTAAAATTAATTTGAATATAGGTCCAACAGATGAAGATGAACTAGATACACAAAAGAAGATTATCCCAGATGGAATGTTGACCCATGTTGGTCCTATTGATATTGCAAGAAAATTGAAAGCCAAACTAAGTAATGGTAAAACAAGAGTTCATGAGTTTGGTTATGATTGGAGATTATCATCAGATATAAATTCTGATAGATTGTATGAATTTCTGTCTGGTTTGGAATCTAATAGAGGAGTAAATAGAAAAGGTGCTATAGTGATTGCTCATTCTATGGGTGGATTAATCACACATCATGTTATGCAGAGAGACCCAACTTTGTTTAGAGGTGTTATATATGCTGGTGTACCTTCAGAATGTCCAAACATCTTAGGTCCAATTAGATATGGTGATTCTGTTCTTTTCAGCACAAAGATCTTGACGGCTGAAGCAAATTTCTTTATGAGATCTAGTTTTTCATTTCTCCCTATTGATGGTCGTTGTTTTATTGATAAAAAGACTCATAAAAAATACAATTTGGATTATTTTGATCCAAAAGTTTGGACTGAATTTAACCTATCACCACTAGTCTCAAAAGAAAGAAAGAAGACTCATGGAAGACGGAAAAGTCTGGAAAATGAATCTCAGCAAAAACCAACTCATATTTTAAACATTGATATGAAAAGATCAGCTTCGGTGATAACACATAGCAAACAATCTGAAGAGTTCCATGCAACTTATGAAGAATCAATGGATTACCTTTCCAGAACATTGAAAAGAACCAAAAAATTCTTGAAGGAACTAGAATATGATCCATCAAAGAAATATCCACCTTTAGCTATAGTTTATGGTAACGAAGTTCCAACTGTAAGAGGTGCTAGAGTTAGTGGATTACAAGGAATCAAAGACGGTGAATATGATGACTTTTATTATGGTCCAGGTGATGGTGTTGTCCATCATAAATGGTTAATGCCTGAAAGACGTGGTTTCCCAGTTGAAGCGAAAATTGCAAGTGAAGAAGGTCATATATCCTTGTTAACAGATTTACCAGCCATGGCTGAAGCTTTGAATGCTATATTAGGTGCACAACCAACATCAGCAACTGAAGAAACATTTATGACTTGAAAAATGAAATGATTATGCATCTTTACAGTAATGACTTTTTTTATATATAGAACACATGGTGTTGTTTATGACTGCCTCAATAGAAATGGTAAATTTATGAATCTTCTTTATTGTACTTCATTCCTCCTCATCATCTTCTAAATCAAAATACTTGACTTTTAACCATAAACTGCATGCATTACATTGAACAATGATTTCGTACCCACCTAGCCCATCAGCAGTCCCACTTTCAGCTAAATCATCTTCTGTTAAAATAAAACTCCCAGTAGCAGTACATCGCGGACAATCTTTTGAAAATCCATCATCTTCAGAATAGCTAAAATCATCTAATGTTACAATATCTAAACCTTCACCGGTGCTTATAAGTCCATTTCTCTGAAAAGTTTGCTTGAGTTCTTCATCATACTGTGTCCTTAGGGTATCATTTACCAATGTGGCATATGCTAATTTGATCTGAGCAATTATATCTGAATCAATAAGCTGCTTGTTTGTCTTGTCTGGATGTGTATTTAATAGTTTTTCTTTATATGCGTTTTTGATTTCCTGGACATTTGAGCCTCTTTCCACGCCCAAAATTTCATAATGTGTCTTTTGAGATATGTTGGCCATTCTGAACACTCTTATGAAGCCCAAGACCAACTCAAACTAGATTATCTTCCTTTGTTTAATAGGCTTTTACTGCAATTTTCAACTCTTCCCAGGCAAAAAAATTATATGTAGTTGTTGAATTCCGGCTCATCGAAGAAATTCGAGGGTTTTAAAATTTTTGCTTCAAATTTTTTTAAAAGCGTACATGATGAAGCTATGAAATGATAGCTTTATAAAAGCAGAGAAGATCCAAGGTTTATTGAAGAATGAGTGTTGGTGGAAAAAGAAAGAGAGATGATGCTCCAAGTGAGGTCCGCATTGCCTCTTACAACAAAGACCCAAACGTGGCTGTTGGTTCCTTTTTCAATGGTTTCACAGCTTCTGAAGACACTGAATTCCAACTATATCAAAAAAAACATACAGATGATGAGTTTGTGTTCCATGGTGAAAGTGAAAGATTAGATTATAATGGTTCAACTTTGGAAGAAGATAGCAGTGGATATGCTGTTGCCGTTTATGATCCAGTGAACAAATCCATCGATCTTTATCAAGCTCCTGTTTTATTAGGATCAGTTACATCAAAAGCTCATAGAAAATTGAAAGGACCAGCTGTTAAACAAAACAATGTTCGTAATAACATTCAACGTAATGCCTTGGGTGAAGCATTTGGTACCAAAAAAGCTAAGAAAGCCATTTCAGATCTTGAAAGAAATCGTATTGATTCTGATAAATTGGCTGATGTTGAAACTGATATTGTTGATACCGTTAAAGCCAGTACAGGCACATTACCAACCAGAGAAGAACTTACTGAAACTGTTTTGAATGACAGACCTACCCCGGCATGTAACGCTGATGCCACTAATGTTGAAGACATTTATCCAGTTTACAATATAATACCGAAAAGAGAACTTACATTTATTCGAGCTGGTCCTATTTTGAGTGAAACAGACAACACTAAAAGAATTGAATTATTACCATACAAGAATTCAGAAATCATTGCAAGTCAATTAGCCACTATCAACAGTGACAGCCAATCTCAAAAATTACAACTCATCTATTATGCATCATTATTAATAGGTGTTTATCAACATAGACGTATACATAACAAAGTTGCATTAACTTCAGAATTAAACTCACCACCAGAAATTTTGATTGATGGTATTTTAGAAAGATTCACCATCTCTAGACCAGGTCAATTTGGTCGTTCAAAAGATCGTGGGTTCACCATTGATCCACATAATGAAGATAAACTGTTATGTTACCTATTAGCCACTATTCTCCATATCAATAACTTCATTGTTGAAGTCAGTCCATTGGCTCAAGAACTCTCATTGAAACCATCTAGATTAGTTGGTTTGTTCAAAGCATTAGGGTGTGTCGTTAAATCTGCCACTGTTGGTGAAGCTGAAGCTTTTGGTATTCCAAAGTCTCAAGCTGCCTCATACAAAATCGCATCCTTAAAAGTTCCTTTCAAGATGCCACAAATGACCAGAAGAGGAAGAAGAACATGAAAAGTTCTATGTATAGTAGTTTTAAAATATTAATGAGTTCACACAGAGTTTTCATTTCTATGTAAATGAGTTCGCGACTTTTAGCCATCATAAAAAAAATTGAGCTTCAAAGACTTATACACGTTCTAAAACAAATACAAACACAAACAAACAAAATGTCTGAAGATCAAGAATTGTATGTTAACTAGCTGTGCATTTTGAGCTTGAGAAACTAACAATTCCAGAAATATCGTTGAGAATGCCTTAATTGGCCTTGCTGATGTCGAAGAAGAAATGGAAAAAGCTGAACGTGAAGCAGGTAAGTGAAAAGTACAGAAATCTACCAAGCAAAAACTAATAAGTTCAGAAATTGCCCGTTTAAAGAGTGTTCAAGAAATTTACAGAAAGAGAAGTGAACATACAAAGAAGATTGATCGTTTTTGGCATATAGTGTTATCTCAACATCCAGAGTTTTCTGAATATATAAGATCTTCAGACTTCAAGTACTTAGAGCTAATAAAAGACATATATGTCACATGGGATGTCTCCCAACCTGAATCTGAAAGTTCTAATCCCGGTGATTTCTCAATCACTTTTGAATTCAATGCTTTAGGTGATGATTTTCCAGCTCAAATAATAGTAAAAAAGTTCAAATTAGAAAACATAGATCCAGAAGAAATCGCTGCAAAATCAAAATCCAAAAAGAAAAACATTGATGAGAGTGATGATGAAGACAATGCAGATGATACTGAAAGACTAGTCTCTGAAAATGCTGATATCGTTTGGCCAGAGTCTTATGACAGTATAAACCCAGTCAAAATTCAAGATAAAAAGACACCAGAAGGTAAAAAGAACTATAGAACAGGAATGAAAAGTTTCTTTGGTTGGTTTAAATGGACTGGCCGCAAACCAGCAAAGGAATTTCCAAATGGTGAAGACTTTGCGAGACTGTTCTCTGAAGATATATTCCCATATGCGGTCAAATACTACACAGAAGCCCAAAGAGATGGGTTAGAAGAAGAAGACGATTCAGACGCAAGTGAGCCATTGGATCTAAGTGACAACGACGATGACTCTAGGGGAACTAAAAGAAAACACGAAGAGGATGAGGAATGAATTTATATAGATGTTAAAATATCATTAATTAATTCACGCTATAAACAAGTAGTCAATTATCAAAGCCTCTCATCTTCGACCTCTGTGAGATCACCATCATCCAGTATATCATCTTCTATATCGGTTGCGTTCAGATTTTCTTCCGGTAAATCTGAATATCTTACCTCAGAAGAATCTGGATTCAAAGAGACTGACTTTCTTGATATCTTTGATGCGACCCAATTTAGGATATCCTTGGACGTTTCTGTTATCAAAGAGATTGTTCTCACAACACCAAATCCAACAACAGATGAAACTGTAGTGATCAAATTGGTACGGTCAAACTGGGCCTCCTCGTCACCTAACTTGATTTGACCATAAATTCCAACATAACGGTGATAAATAAAGTAAACCACACTAGCAGCAGCCAAAATTGGTAAGATTATGACCAAGAACAATGAAAGCCCTTTTAATCCACCATGATGTTCTCTAAACTCTTCTTCCATACCAGGGCAAGGTAATACTTCCACCTTATCAAATTCTTGTCCACCCACACATGTTGTTAATGGTATACGTCTATAGCCTGTTGGTAACCAATATTCTTCAATACCTTGCTTTCTACAAACCTCTGAATGATCTGGTGGTGAATAACCTGCAAGAAGTTTGCACTGGCCACTTGAATCGCGCTCATAGTTCCAATCACATTCGAAATCTTCTCTATTACAAGGACAATTTCTGAGAACCTGGAAAGGTTCACTCAACTTTTCACCAATGTAGCAATCTTTTCCTGCTATCTTTCTGTAATATTGAGCCTCATGACCAAATAAGCAGTTGTCTGGCTGATGTGGATGCTTTGGGCTCCATAGATCAAAATCATCTGTGTCTGGGTTTTTCAAATCCAAGTTACACTTTCTCTTTAATAACTGTGAAAAGTCAACTTGATATACAGTTGATTTATCACCTCTATTAGATGGTAACTTAGTGAATAACAAAAACTTTTTTGAATCATCGGATGGAACAGTGGAGATATCATTAACTTTGACGAGATCATCTGTAAATTGATAGTCTGACCAAGATTTACCTTCATCTAAAGAGTAGCTAATAGTGTTTGTTGAATCCTGACCATTAACCAAGACAATTATTGACCCTTGATCACCATATTCCCATTGATAAACACCTTTCTTGACTTCTTTCCAAGTAACACCACCATCTCTAGTTAAAAAGGTGGAACCATCTAGATAGGCACCTAATTTATCACCAACATTACCAACACCAATCATCATACCAATAGCTGAGCCTGATGAGAATGTATCCCTTGGGTCAGCTCTTTCAGTAAACCCATGTAAATGAAGCGAGCACTCGTTAATAGATCTACCCGTACATCCATATTTCTTCCCATTTGAATCAACACTTGGAGGTTGTAGGTAGTCCCAATCAGCACCATCATTATGAGTAATCATAGATTTCAATGCCTTTCTGGAACCTCTTTTAGCATCATCCGCATTACTAACTGTATTAATAATTGCAATACCTTCAAGATCAGCTAGTTGTTCAAAATCAACAAAGCCCCCACTATTTCTATTAACATTGGACGCTGTAACAACATATGATGTTCCATTTGAGTTGGACTTTAGGATATGGCCAAATTCAGTTCCAGCTCTAGTATTTGTAGTGACATGCATAAATATAGAATGTGAAGCAGCTGATAAAATGGTATAGGCTTGGTCTTTTGAGACCTTCATATTATTTGGAAAATGAGCATCAGTCCAATGCTTACCATCAACAGAAACATGAGCTCTCAAAGACCCATCTCCTTCAGCAGTAGCGGCAACTAAATAATCATCAGCTCGAGCAAACCCGATAACATCATCAAATGGAACAATAGTGTTTTGGAAGAAATCCTCGGTGACCAACAATTCAGAGTTTAACCCGCTGCTTTTGCTATCTTCCCTTTCACAAATTATCAACTGGGCGTCAGTTGGCTCTAACAAATGTCCTATATATTGACAAGTCTTAACATGATCGTGTAACTTAGCAAACCTTTTCCCATAAGACTTGGAATAATATGTCACTGTACGACATGAACCTTGATGTGAGATATTATCACAACCCAGTTGTCCAATATAAATCAACCAGTTACTATGCTTTGGATGAAATTGAAGAGGTTGAACACCTGGAATGAAAGTTGCTGGTGTTCTAAAAAATTTCCAATTGTCAGCCCTATCGGTAGAATAAATAATTTTTTGGTTTGTTGACAGCAAATAAATATGATTTGTGTTGTAAGGATTAACATAAAGGTCCAATATCTCTTCATCGGGTGCAATTTGCTCCCAAGATGAACCTTGATCATGTGTGACATAAGCTTTGTTGTGTGCTGTGAGTAAAACAATGGTTTCATCTTTCAAATTGGACCCCTTAACTCTATCCAAATAGGCATACTTGGTGATTTTCCCATCAAAAACAAATGAAGAAGTTTTGACTCTACCGTCATTTTTGCCTTCTCTAGATTTTTCTTTATCACCTTCTCTTTCATCTGGATTGGTATCTGGTTCAGTTTCATCCGGGGTATCATTATCATCATAATCAATCAACGAATGGTCATCTTTGTTTTTCTCTTTGACAAAATTTGGGCATTTCTTCTCTACTGTGACAGCTAAGTTTAATCCACCAGTTAAAGAACACTTGGATCCTGGTCTCAAGGTATAAGGAACTGGCTCAAAGTACGTCTGAGCGTTATCAACACAGGAGTTGGCTTTAACATTTTCTGGAGTCAATCCTTGAACAGCGGGAACACATTTACCGTTTGAGTCTCTTTTGAAGTTATATGAACAAACGTAATCTGATTCTGTACATGGACAACTATCTTCAACGGCAACTGGTTCTCTATATTCATTACCAACATAGCAATTAGCATCACGAATTCTTCTTTTGAATTTCTGCTTATGACCCATGAAACACAATGGTTGATTGAATTCAGGTCCCTTAACAAACCAATCCTCGTAATCAGAATCACCGCACTTATTTTCATATATTCCATCAAAATCTAGCCCATATGTTTTATACTGCCCATTTGAAGAGACACCACCGAGCAAAAATTTGAAGGTTGTAGAGTCAGGTGTAGTTGTTAACAGTTTTGCCCTTATTGTTGAATCTAAAGATACTTGTTGCCAAGTTTTTCCCTGATTTGTTGTAAATTTTAACGAATTGACATCGGCATCGTCTTCTATGGCAATAATGATTGTACCTTGGTCACCAAACTCAAACAAATGTGGACCATTCAGTATTTGAGTCCATGTTAGTCCGGCGTCTCTTGACATGTAAGTATCACAGCTTTCATAGGCATTCAAAGACGACCCCGTATTACCAACACCAATCAAAATACCTGGAACAGGAGATGAGAAATATTTACCTGGTGCTTCAGCATTTTTTGAGGCTCTATTAACAAGTGAATGAAGATGTAATGGTTGTCCGTCAGATTGTAAATGTTTCCAAGTAAGTCCTTGATCAAATGAAATTTTAGATTTAAGAACCTTTGAAGTCTCACCTTCCAATACTTTTTTACCGTTTTCAACAACATTGGCTAAAACAATACCATCGATACTCTCAACAACCTCATAGTCCACATTTCCAAATTCATCCCGATGTGTATAATCTAACGATTTAGTGAAATAAGAGCCATTCAACCCAATGGAGGTAAACAATTGACCAACTGACTTGGTGTTTGGATAAGAGACATCAACAAATAAGGAATTATCTGTTGTTTCAACAATCGTGAACCCACTTGAAAGCTCTGTCCCAGTCGGAAATTCAACCTTATCCCAATCATACCCATTATAGGACACATAAACGTTACTAGTAGTTCTGTCACTCAAATGAGAACCAATAGCTACCAAATAATGTGAGCTTGAGCCAATCTTGGAAACATCTGTGATCAATCCACCTTTGTACGTGGCAAATGATTTTGTACCAAACCAATCAGTTGATCTAGCCAAAGTCAAGGAGGTACCTTCACCACCATCAACGATACAAGTAACCAATTCGTCACCTTGATTAGCATCAATATTTGGTGCCGAATCTGCAAATATACAAGCATGGGCTTTTGTCAACTTCTCCAGACTGTCAAAATTATCTTTGGTATAATAGTATTGTCTTTCACAAGGAACATCAGCGCTTGAAGCATCTGAAGAGCAACGACCTGCAAAAATCCCAAATTCAGATCTTTGGCCATGGAAACTAATCGGATAATGTTTTGACGTTAATGAAGGGATAGACTCTAATGCTGGACTTTCTGGAGATGTGAATTTTTTCCATACAAGACCTGATGAGACTGTTTTAAAGTGAGTCAAGTCATCAGAAATAGCATAAGCATGACTAGGTTTAAAAGCATGTGGAACTAGATATTTGATCTTTATGCCTTCAGTATCAACCTGAGTGAAATGAGCACCACCATCTTTTGAGAAAAAGAGATCATTCGAACCTGTGTCTAGGTAAAGAACATTCTTGAAAACTTGTTAGTATTGTAAACCTCGAAATTCAAAAGATTGTAACATACTGAAGTATCTTCAAAATAAATGATTTCTGGAGCTCCAGTGAATGTATATGAGCTGACTTTTGGAGTGAATAAAGCATTTGCAAGGCAAGATAGTAATATAAACGACAGCAACAGCCTCTTAAATATAAAAGACAGCATTTTGCTATTGTTCACGCGTTTGCCAAATGTTATAGTGAATGGAATATGGAGCAGAGAAATTTGAAAACTTGTTATTTAAGATCTATTGTTCATGATATTGAAATCCACATCTTCACCAGTTTTTCAAACTCAAGCTAGGGTCTAAATTGGGGCGTATAGGGTGTATAAACTTAAGACCTTGTTACTAAATCCACCGATGTCTCCGTCTCTTCTAGAGAGGAAAACCGCGTTTGAAGTCTAATCATCTAAAAATCTTGTGACATGTTCAATTGTAGGCCAGCCAAGATTGTTTTGGTACGGTTTTCTTCAAATCTAGCGCCAACTGTTTTGGTGTTTGTTGTTGGTGACATTTATCGGAGATGTTGATGTTTTCCAAAATTTGGGTGCAGCCGGATTTATTGGTAGTCAATAATCAAGATTCAAATACTCGAGCCAATTACAGAATAAATGATTACAATTTGGTCATATCACATCAATTAAAATCTATAAATTAGTCCTCGATTATTCTCTTGGATCTTTGAAGAAACTCAGGATTCTCATTCCCAGCTGTTTTTGAGTTTCTTGCAGCCAACAGTTTGTTTCTGAGTTCTTTTTCCCTTGACATTTGAGTGCATTCATCACGATCATTCTTCAGCTTCTTGGACTCCAAAAGCATTTCTTTCAATTTAGCTTCCCTTTCTATATCTGAAACGTTACTCTTATTAGCATCCTCTCTGCTTTTATAACCATCACGATCTCTATAATCTCTATGGTCGTCTTTGTAACTTTTCAGCTCTCTGTAGTCGTCCCTTCTTCTACTTGAATCCCTATCACTTTTATGTCTCTCATCTCGACTTTTGTGGTAATCGGCGTCTCTGTGTCGGCTTGACCTATGTTCATCCTCTCTGTGATTTCCATCCCTATGTCTATGGCTTCTGTGATGTCTGTGCTTTTCATCTCCATATCTGTCAGATTTGTGTGTTTCATCCCTATGCCTTTCAGATCGGTATCTCTCATCTCTGTGTCTCTCAGACCTATATTTGTCATCATCTCTATAGCGACTATTCCTTCTTTCATCATCTCTGTGACTGCTTCGATGTCTTTTCTCATCAGTGTGTCTGGTGCGTTTTTTCTCATCCTCTAATCTTTTCTGTAGTCTCATCTCTTCTAATTTCTTCAACTGTTGGGCTTTTATCTTTTGCATAGGATCTTCCCTGCTTTTCGTTGCCTCATCTCTTTCATTGACATTAACTTCACCTTCTAATTTATCAAATCCCATCTTCTTCTCTTCGACATTATTGCCCCCACCATTAATGATTAAAGAATCAACTCTTTTCTTACCCAATAAATAATCTTCAGTTTCACTAGTGATTAATTTCCCACCATCACCAACACCAGACTGATCATACATCCATTCCATACGATCGGTTGGTCTTTCTCCAGTTTTAGCATATTGTAGAGCTTTTAATTCTGCTAATTCCTTCTCTTTGGCAATCTCTAATTGACGCTCTTGAATTTTTTTACGTTCTTCTAAAGCTTCTTGTTCTAATTTCCAAACCTTTTCTTGATTTTTCATCAAACCTGGATGCCAGGATTTCTTTAAATTTAAATCACCAGGAGCCATTTTGAACTTTCTATAAGGTTTGAATCTTGGTTATTGGAATAAAGATCAAAACCAAGATGTTTTCAATTTGAATTGTTTTTACCGTACTTTTTTCTAGTTCGCGATGAGCTGCTTACTAAGCAGTGGCGTATTAAAATTAGATGAGGTTGAGGGTTGAGGGTCATATTGTGAAGACATTAGCTATTCAAAATTATCTACAACAGTTTAATGCTTTCCATGGTATATTAAAAACAGTAGTTACCTGAAATCCAAAATAACAAAACACTAAAGAAAAAAATAATGTTACCAATAAAACCAAAAAAATATTAAAAATAGCCCTCATAACTTCAAAACAAGACTAAATTTAAATCAAAATAAAATATGAACTGCAAACTGATTAAAATAAACGATACATCCACTGATTTGAATACCCAAAATAAAAATGATTGAAAAAATCACAACCTTGGAATTCTTGAAGACAGCCGCTTAATTCTTTCATTGAACCATTGGCTAAACAAATAAGAATCCATAATTCAGAAACCATGGATTTTAATGTTCTTCTTTTGAAGAGCCAATTGGGTGGTTAAGAATTCCATAACTTTGACACGTTGGTCACCTTGTAATTGGATAACTTCACCTAATTCTTCATCTTTAACGATGTTACCGTTACATGCAAAATCTTTCTTTAAAACACGTAAGATTCTTTTCAAATCATATTCATCTGGTAAACCTTGAACAGTAGTTAATGTTTTACGACCATTTCTTTGTTGGATACGAATATGAATGTAGTTGGTTGGTTGAGTATCGTCGTCACCAGTGTCGGCGAATGGATCTTTAGCATAATTGTTAGTATATTCTCTTTTGAGTTAAAATAAGAGGTGACAAGAGTGGCCAAAATTTTTGAAACTTTGACATATCTGACACAAGCACAGTAGTAGCACCAATTATAAATTGAACAGCAATATCAATACCATCATGGTGGCCAGTCTTAACACAACATACAAAGTCCTTGTCATGGACCCGCCCATTAACCCATCAGCCAACCCAAGTTGTACCTTAATAACCTCAAACACTTACCAAAAGATTTCAAGTTTTGGATAGAGCTCATATAAATGTGTAACTTTGAAAGTTAGGTGATGTAGATTGATTGAAGTAGAAATCTAAAAGGTGTTGAACTTCTTTTAGTTTTTAATCACTGTCTTCACTATATGATTCAAGTAAGAAATCCATCAGTACAAAAAATCATCAACAAAAAAAAAGTTCTTGTTCGAAAAAAGCAACTCCCCCTGGTTCGCACCGCATGCGGAAAGCACAAGTGTCAGCGACGCCGTTGTTGCACTTGTGCACAGCTGTCTAAAAAGGTATATTTCCTCTTTAGGTATTTTAAATATTTTTTCATAAAAGATCTAATTCGCGAAGAAATCTCGACAGCTTTCGAAGGAGATTTGGTTTGATTGGAATCAGCGGTTATTATCATAAAGAACACCAGGCTTAACAACCAAAACCAAGACGAATCATTTGCCAATTGGAAAACTTGATCAAGGTAAGTAAATGGGTTATTGCTCTTGATGATTTTTGGCTCGCTACTCGATAAATTGATATAAAAAGTGACGTTTCCCCTTTGATTCAATATTTAACAACAGCCCCTAAATCAAGAGACATAAATGAAAAATTAATCGCAATTCAATAATACTAACGATAAATTTAGTCATGTCGAAATCAGAGGCAGATTTGCAAACAAGTATCAGAAAGGCATGTTCTACTGATGAAACTGCCCCAAAGAGAAAACATGTTAGAGCTTGTATTGTTTACACTTGGGACCATAAGTCGGCCAAAGCATTCTGGAATTCAATCAAAATTCAGCCAATTCAAAGTGATGAAGTTCAATTGTTCAAGGCATTAATCACTATACATAAAGTGCTACAAGAAGGACATCCTTCTGCTTTGAAAGATGGTATCAGGAATACCGATTGGATTGAAAGTTTGGGGAGATCTATTCATGGTGATGGATTTAAAGGCTATGGTAGACTGATTAAAGAATACACCTTGTACTTGCTGAGAAAACTACATTTCCACAGAAACCATAGAGGTTTCAATGGTACTTTTGAATATGAAGAATATGTTTCATTGGTCACTGTTCAAAATCCTGATGAAGGTTATGAAGCTATTTTAGATTTGATGGCTTTACAAGATGCTTTAGATGATTTCCAAAGATTGATCTTTGCTAGTATTTCTCATGACAGAAAATCTGAATGTAAAATATCTGCCCTGGTGCCATTAGTTGCTGAATCATATGGTATTTACAAATTTATCACTTCAATGCTTAGAGCTATTTATCGCTCAACTGGTTCTGATGATGCTTTACAACCTCTAAGAGAGCGTTATGATTCTCAACATTCAAGATTGTTTGAGTTCTATGCTGATTGTTCTTCAATCCGTTATTTGACCTCATTGATCACAATTCCTAGATTACCTGAATCTCCACCAAATTTGTTTGTTGAAGATGACGATACTGATGACAGACCTGTTTCAAGACAGGCTTCACAACCAACCACCAGTGCTCCTTCTCCGGAACCAATTTCAGCCCAACCAACAACAGGCCAATTTCAACAACCAATCCCAACACAACCAACTGGTGTTGATTTTTGGACTAATCAACAGTCAAACTATGAAGCTGAACAACAAAGATTGGCCAGAGAACAACAGCAACAAGCTTTACAGCAACAACAATATGCTGAGCAACAACGTCAATTATTTGAACAACAACAGCAGCAACAAGCTGAGCAACAAAGAGCTGCACAAGAACAACTTTATCGTGAACAATTACAAAGTCAAGCCCAAGGTAGAGTTGCTGAATTGGAACGTGATTTATTGGCTCTTAGAGGTCAATATGAACGTGATCAATTGCTCTTAAGCCAATATGATCAAAGAGTCCAAGCTCTCGAAACTGAAATTGCAAACACTACTCAATCAGCCACTCAGCAATTGGCTTCAAAAGATGAGTTGACTAATAGTTTACAAGAACAAATGGGAATCTGGAAAAGCAAATATGAATCTTTAGCAAAATTGTATTCACAATTGAGACAAGAGCATTTGAATTTGTTGAATAAATTCAAAAAACTACAACAAAAAGCAGCATCTGCTCAAGAAGCTATTGATCGTCGTGAAAAATTAGAAAAAGATTTGAAAGCTAAAAATGTTGAACTAGCAGGTTTAATCAGAGAACGTGATAGAGCAAGATTAGATTTGGAAAAGATCAAAGGTGGTAAAGATAGTGAAATTGATAAGTTGGAATTACAAGTTAGAGATTTAACTTTGAAATTAGATGATTCTGAGAGAAGCCAATCTTCCAACTTATCTTCAATTTTTGCTCAACATAAAAAGGAGATTGAATCATTAAAATCACAATTAGAGCAACAATCTCGTTCTTTTAATCCAGATCTAGAAAGACAACTAAGAGAAAAAGATGAAGAGTTAGAAATCGTTCAACAAACAATGGATGATGCATTACAAGAATTGGCAAGAGTTCAACAAGAAAATGATACCGCAATTGATGAGCAAATCGATGAAGTTTTAAGTGACCATTTGAACAAATTGGTTTCATTAGTCGATGCTATTCTACAAAGTGGTATTAAAAGAATTCAAGACTCTGTTTATGAATTAGATTCACCAATGCAAGCAGGTAATCAAAACTCTTCACCAGAATATCTATTATCTGTTATTGAAAAAGCTTCATCATCTGCTACTGATTTTGCCAACTCATTCAATGATTTTATCGCTGATGGTCCAAACGGTGATCATTCAGAAATTATTAAATCTATCAATGACTTCTCTTCAGCTATTTCTGATGTCTTATTGAATGCTAAAGGTATCGTAAGATTGGTTAAAACTGATGCAGAAGCTGATAAAATTGTTATTTCATCAAGAGATACTGCTCAAGAGTCTGAAAGTTTCTTCAAATCATTGTTATCTACAAATTTGAAAGGTACCGAAGAAGAGAAAACTGAAACTGTCATTACAGGTAATTTGAATGTTCAAGAAAAATTGCAATACTTGATCAATTTAGCTGAAGGTTTAGCCCCAAGATCAGTCATCACCCATACTGCTGGTGATTTAGGTGAAGTTGTTGATAATGAGTTGAACTCTGCTGCAAATGCTATTGCTTCTGCCTCTTCTCATTTGAGCTCATTATTGAACAAACCTCAAGATCCTTCATTGTCCCAAATTGATTTTGAGATTAATAAGGCTATCCTATCAGCTGCTATTGCTGTTACAAATGCTATTGCTCTATTGATCAAAGCTGCTATTGCAACACAAGATGAAATTGTTTCACAAAATAAAGGTTCTCAAACTCGTGCTCAATACTACAAGAAACATAATAGATGGACTGAAGGTCTAATTTCAGCTGCTAAAGCAGTTGCAGGATCCACTAAAATTTTGATTGAAACTGCTGATGGTGTTTTGAGCAGCAAAAACTCTCATGAACAATTGATTGTTGCTTCAAATGAAGTTGCAGCATCGACTGCGCAATTAGTTGCAGCTTCAAGAGTTAAGGCAACGTTTATGTCCAAAACTCAAGATCAATTGGAAGTTGCAAGTAAAACAGTTACATCTGCTTGTAGAGAGTTGGTTAACCAAGTTCAAGATATTTTATCCAAGAGAACAAATGGTAGTGCAGATGAAGTTGATTATTCAAAATTATCAAATCATGAAAATAAAACTGTGGAAATGGAACAACAAGTTGAAATCTTGAAATTAGAAAATGCTTTAGGCGCAGCTAGAAAAAGATTGGGTGAGATTAGAAAATACAGCTACAGAGATGGTGATAGTGATGAAGAATGAGCATTATAACTGTGAAGGACAATTGAACGAAATGATACATCGCATTTTGAAGCTTATGGTCAGCCCAATATGAATCCACGTATTTTTATTTTGATCTCATGCGCTTATTTGTAAACTTTTCTAGTTAGTAACTTTGAAATACAGGTAACAAAAAGAATTAACTTACCCAAACACGAACTTGAACAGGCGTTAACCCACACTTCTCAGCTATAATTTTTCTTTCTTTACTATTAGGAGTTCTTTTTGAGCTGAAAACGTTCTCCAGAAAAGCCTTAGCATCCTTGGAAATTGATGTCCTTTTCTTATTTTTAGAATTCTCATCTGTCTTTGAATTTTGTGCTTTATGTTCCTTCTTTTGATTACGTGGGACCAACGACTTTTTAGATCCATTAGCAACGCCTATGTCACCATCGTTTGCCTGGGTTGGATCCGAACTCTGCCCAGATAAGTCAGAGTCTAATTCTTCCGTACTCTTGCGATCTTCTTTATCCATTGCGGTTTCAATGGCTTCATTGATTATACTCTTGTAGTTATGAAGTATTGTCTCCTTGGATATGTATCTTGAATTCTGCAAAGGTTAGTATTCGTTTTCAGGGAAGCAGACTGAATAAGAACATACGCTAACTCTCTCTAGCGAGTGTTCAAAACCATGGATCAACTCTATGATTTGACCTCTATTCCTTTCTGGGACATGCTTCTGTACCTCTCTTTTCTTGAATGGATCATCTATTAGAACTGTGTCATATATGATTCTTTCATTTTTGGATGAATATTTTGTGGAAAACTGAATCACTGAATCAAGTTTTTCGACAGCAAGGTCATAGTTGGAGAAATCAGACGTCGTCATTGGCAATAAATTATAGATATATGTGTAATATGTTACTTTCACAGAAAATTGATTCTTTTTAAACTTTTTTAATTTTGTAAACTGTTTGGTATTTGTTTTATATTCAGTAACGTGTTGTAAACGGTCAAAAAGGGGGGTTCAAAAAAAGAAGAAGGAATGTATACTTTGGATGGCTTAGTATAATCTTGATGATAGCAAAATGAATGTGATAATAGCTGATGGCTTTTGAGTAGAAGTTAAGTGTGATCTTAATGTAGCATGTATGTGAGATTCAATAAAACAGTTCAGAGGTTGTTCTAGAAATCAAAAAAACAAATTCCGAGGGCCCTTTGAACCTTTCACTGATTAAATTCAAGAACAAACAAAGTCCAAGATCTCATGAAACTGCTACACAGATTCAAGAAGCTACGCATTCACATATAGTTTAATTGTGAAGCATTGAGGGCAAACCTGTTTTATACATACATGTCCAACCGAGATAATCACCTTAAATATTTATGGTGATGCAATTGGTACATCTTGGGTTATGTATTAGCTAATCAGTTACGAAAAAAAAATAAGAAATATCCAAACGTTAGCCCCATTTCACATAAAACATATAAACCGTTTCATTCGCAAGTAGTACTTCAATAATCAAAAAAAAGTCTTATTTATGCTAGTTTCAAAATCGTTTCATAAATGGATAGCAGTGTGATAGACACAATTTTCTCTGAAGAGTGTTTAGCTTCAGTAACCTTCAAGTTAAAAAAGAAAGAAACCTCAAAATCCAAAACATTTGAAAAAAAAAGGTTCCCAGTTGTTGTGAGGCCAAAAGTTCCTGTCATACCAACGGATAACCACCAATTTGTAAACTTCACAGAAGAGTCCTCAACTGTTCCTAGCTCAACTGTTTATTGTCCCAAAAGTGATGTGGCTCGTCCTAGGAATAAATTCATTATAGCCAGAAGTGTACTTAGTAAGCCAGTTAAAAGCATCTTCAAAGGGTCCACAGATGATGTATCCAGGATAATATCTATAGTAAGTATTGAATAGCTTCAGCATTATTGGTGTGTGGTATACTAACATGGCCTCAGATATGGCATAATCATTCTGCAGGTAACTTCCAATTTTACTTTCAATATCTGTCATTTTTGGAGGATCAATGGCATGAATCTTATTACCCACTCTATCACTATCATCCAAAGAAAAAAACACAAAAGCACTTGTCAACAGCATCTAACACAAGAAGAGGAAACATGTCGTCTGTGGTGTTCATTAATGATACCGGCAATGCTTTGACTAAAGAGCATTCACCATCCCCATCCCCATCAGTTAACTCAGCAAAGGATATCAACGATGTGTCAAAGTACGTGGACTTGTGTACTAGCACATATATGGCACCGCCCATAAATGAGAGCAAAGACCATGGTAAATTTTCTAAGCCATCGTCTTATAAAGATTGTACAATGAAATTTTCTTTAAACAAAGTGACAAAACCCAAAAAATCTAAAAAAACAAAGCCTCAGAATGATGATATGATGAAGCATTACTTTCAAACATTCAAGTCACCATTATATGGAGATAGGGGTGAAGACATATGTTTCAATACTGAATAGTGTTTCCGCTGGCTCTTTATTCCAGATGTTTAGTATCAACCATTTTTTTCAACGAACTCCATAATGTTTAATGACACTTCTAATACCTTTTCTTTCAAAAATTGAAGTTCAATTTTATGGTAGCTATCGAAAATATATCTACTCTATAGCATAGATATACGCTTTTGAAAATATTCATCGATCAGCTGTGTGATGGGCTCAAATGTGGAGGATATATGTGTTGCATGTATAATTTCTGTCTCTTCAGTTATCTTTGCACCGTCCTATTTAGACGTGTTTCTAGTTCAGCGAAATACGAAAGTCGGTCGTGGACTGTGATCCCAAGGTTCATGGATTTCACCTTAATTCAGATCTGGAAATGTGTACACTGTATGTTAAGTAAAGAATGGATCTTCTTCATCAAGATTCTCGATCCGATTTCTTCAGGATAATTTTTCTCCTCTTAAATTTTCCGAATTTGATCGTTCCTAAAATCTCCATACAAATAACAATGCTGACATAATCCACTCTCCCACAATTTTAGTACAATCACGGCTGAAAAAATTTTGTATAAGTAGAATTCACAATCTTTTAAAATTGTTTATTGTTTCAATTCACTTCAATATATTTATTCAATCTTTCAAGCAAAAATGTCCAAGATTGTGCAAATACAACATCAGCAACAACAAGCTGAATGCACAACGAATTCCCAACCCTCAATCCCATTAATTTCCAAACCAAAAGAGAAATGGCCCTTTTGGTATGGTGGATTTGGAGGTGGTGTTGCATGTTTATTCACTCATCCTTTAGATCTTGCAAAAGTTCGTTTACAAACTGCTCCGATTCCCAAACCTACACTGTTCCAAATGGCACTTTCCATATGGAAACATGATGGTATTTTAGGTGTTTATTCCGGGTTAAGTGCAGGTTTATTAAGACAAGCAACTTATTCATTAACAAGATTTGGTGTTTATGAATATTTAAAAGAAAATTACGTGCCTTCTGATAAGCAAAGTTCAATGGCTTATTTATTACCAATTAGTATGATTAGTGGTGGTGTTGGTGGTATTGTGGGGAATCCTTCAGATATTGTAAATATTAGAATGCAAAATGATACTGGGTTACCTTTAGATAAAAGAAGAAATTATAATCATGCTATAAATGGTGTGACAAGAATCATTAAAGAAGAAGGTGTATCAAGTTTATTTAGAGGATTAGGTACAAATTTAGTTAGAGGTGTCTTAATGACTTCATCACAAGTTGTTACTTATGATATTTCAAAAAATTTATTAATCAAGAATTTACAAATGGATAAAGATTCAAAATTAACTTTTTTCAGTGCTTCTTTAATCGCTGGTCTTGTTGCTACAACTATTTGTTCACCTGCTGATGTTTTGAAAACAAGAATAATGAATTCAAGTGGTTCAGGTGAAGGTGTTTTGAAAATCTTGGCTCATGCTTTTAAAAATGAAGGTCCAAGCTTTATGTTTAGAGGTTGGGTTCCAAGTTTTGTGAGATTAGGTCCAAATACAATTATAACTTTCCTAGTTGTTGAACAATTGAGAGAGTATAGAGTTGGTTTGTGAAGGAAGTAATGGGAAATGAAGATGTTTCAGTTCAATTTATAATAAGTAATACATATATATAGATCAAATCATTTCAGGTCTACATGTAAGATATTTTGTCATAAATAAGTCATTAAATAAGGGTTGAATATTTAAAAATGGTAATTCATAATACGATTGGCTTCAAATAACACCAATTTTTTTCAAAACATCATCAGGGGTCTCTTTTTTCCAATCAACATTCTCTAAAATCATTTGAATATCATTCATCTTTGGATCAATTGAATTTTTTTTATTCAATATCAAATTCATTATAATATGTTGAGATTGGAAACAACTAAAATTAAAATGTTCAATATTTGGTTGAATTAATTCATCTTTTGAAGTTTTGAAAAATTCAATCAATTCACAAATACTTTCATTGTTATTAATTTTAAAACTTGTTAGACAATCTAACAAGATTGAGTTGAAATCTTGATGTCCTTCATTTATAAATATCAAGCAATTTATAATAAATATTTCAATAATAAAATCATCAATAAATAAACCTAATTCTGATTCATAAAATTGAAAATAATTACTCCAATTTGAAATAAATTTCTTAAAACATCCTTTTAAGGAATTTAATGAATCATTACTAGGGTTTGAAATTGTTTGATTGAATAAAGATTGATTTTTTTTAAGTTGATAATCATTTGTAAAACTCAAATTAAAGTTTAACAATTGTTTGAAATTTTCAATTGGGGAGTTTGATGACACTGCTGTTGTTGCTGTAGATTCTTCACTTGATTCACCAAATGTTTCAAATAATTTGATGTAATGATCAATAAATTTTAAATCAACATTTTTTTCAAAATTAATCTTTTTTCTATTTGAATTGATATTGATCTTGACAAATTGAATGAAATCTTTTAAAATCTTGAAATGTTCATCTAATCCATATATCAAAACATTTAAAAACAAAATTTGAATGATTTTTTTCAAATATAATTCTGAATTGAAAATTTCACAATCAATCAAATCTTTTAATTGATCTTTATTAAAAGTCAATTGATAACTAGGATTAATTGAATTGATTAAAAAACTTGAATAAGTTGATGAGTTCAATGCCTTGTTTTGATTCTCCATAATTTGATAATATGAATTCAGATAATCACTTAAAAATAAGTTATAGTTCAAACTATTGATTGAATTATAAGCATCTGGATAGAAAAACCCAACTAATAAAATCAATAAAAACTTGTTATCTTTGAATAGATCCAACACTGAAAACTTTAAATCAAAAAGTTTGAAATCCGGTAGTATCTCCACTGATGATGATGGTGGTGTGGCTAAATGATTTTCAGGTGTAATTAAAAATTGCATAATATTATTGTTCTGGGGTAAAGTTATACCCGTGTCAAATTGGCAGACGTCATTAATAATTTCTTGGTCAATAGCCGAGATTGGAGATGCAATTGAAGAATTATCATCTGTACTTGAATTATTATCTGGAGTTGATGGATCAGTTTGTTGTTTGGTTTGTGATAAAGTTGCTTGGAATAAATAGGTTAATCTTTTGGATAATTTATTCAATTTCTCTTGAAATTGATCAATTTGAATGAGCTTGTTATTGATCAAAAGTTGATTATCTTCAACAAGATTCATTGAAATGAATGAACCATCTGATAATTTTATCAAGTTATAGGAACTTTTCTGTTCTGAATCTTCTTCTTCATTATTATTATCAATTAATTCATCTCTTGTTGATTGGGCATTTTGCAACTTCCATTCTTCAAAGCTTTCAATCTTAATGTTTAATCTATTTGAAATCTTTGTATAATAATCTTCTAACAATTCGTAATTTGTCTTTATAGTTTCCACTTGACCAACAAGATTTTTCAAATTATCAGATCTTTGAGGAGGTAAAACGTAATCAATTTTACATTGAATACCCTTTTTAGCACATGATGAACAAGGGTTTGGAGTCTTTTCACTAGCATCACATTTTGTTTTATGTTTTCTGCATCTAATACAAGATTTCAAAATTTTTGGTTTTGGTAATGTTGATTCTGGAATCAAAGGTAGATTGAAAACAGAATTTGATATCATAGGTTCAAGTAGGGCAGCATTATTTTGGATAGGGCTTGAGCTTGAGGATGAAGTTGTTGATAACGGTGAATTAAGAGCAGATGAAGACAATATTGATGATGTTGAGCTATTTGAACGTTGACCACTGGCGCTTGTTGGTAGTTTGGTGACACGATGGCCAGCACCAGTGTTATTGTTCAGTGATTTTGGTTGTATTGGTATTTGTTTCTTAGCCATTCTGGTATCATAGCAGTAGCGTAGTGTAACCGCTGTGTCTATTCATCGTCAATAGGACATTGCTCTGATTTGTTGAAATCCTGGGAAACACTGGGCCTATATACAAGTTTTTTTTTAGGTAGATTTAGGCGCTGTAGTGCTTTGCTGGTTTGGTAGAGTTTTTCCCCAGAGCGTGGTCGCGAAAGGGAGCTCCATGATTTGAATTCTGACATTTTATTGAGCTGTGATTGGGCCTTTTGCGATGTACTCCTAAATGCTTAATTGGAATTTTCACGGCCTCCTATACATATTGTTACAGACTGGTAACTATGTTTTCAGAGTTTATAAAGGGCTCTTTTTTTTTGCGTGGAAATTCAGGCTAAAAACCGTTTCCAAAGAGGACCTTAGATGTCCGAGATTTGAAAAAGAACGCCAAAATTCTATTGACAGTTTTGGTAATATTAGACTGAACACTAAGTGCAAACAGGTAGAAGCTACACCTATGTTAATGAACGTTTAAAATTAGAAATCACGGTTAGCCACGTTCAGAACCGATCTTGATTCATGATTCATGATCCATGCTTCATTAAACGCATGTCTTTGGCCTGAAAGGTTGTTAAAGTAATTGAAAATACCTCGTTCGCTATTGGAAAACTTTTGCCGTGTTGAAAGCATTACAACTTTGCACATAAAATTCAACCTCTGCTACAAAATTCTATTGTTTTAATTGACGGAATCCGTATTGAAATTGATGAAAAGAATTTTCATGTTTTTCCGCGAGGGATTTTAATGCCGATTTTCGCTAAAGCTCAAAATTGGTCAGATTTTGGTGGAATCGCGATTCGCGAAATCAAGCTGTGTATGTAAACTTGAGCTTCCAGAAACAAAACACAAAGAGTGAAGAGCAGAAACTGGTAATTAGCATTAACGATTGAGCCTCTGAAGGTTAACTCTTCCGAAGGCCCAACCGGCACTATCATGAAGAAAGAAGAAAGACTCAAGCTTTAGAATAGTATTCTTGAAACTGGTGAAATTTCGTGCCTGTTTATCAGCTTCTTGAACCTTGAGCACCAATTGCCAGCAATGAACACTATGCCTTCCTGATACTTCTGATACCTACGTATTTTTTTTTTTGTCTTTTTGTGATTAAAATTCCATCTTGTTCAAATTCTCTCTAGAAGCAGTCAAAATCAACTATAGAAGCCTAGTAATGAACTTTGCCATTTCTCAAAATTGAACTACTCCAATATTTAAATAACATACTGATATTCATGGAATCATGGAGCTTGACATGTCCAGTATTGTGATATGACTTTCAATTGGATTGGGAATGAAAATATGAATTGAAGATGATAATTCATGATCCTCTCTGTCAGCGCTTTAATTTGATCATTTCTTTGTTAGACACAAAATGCTATTAATCACAGAAAGAATCAATTCAAGTGACTGTGCAACTTGTTATAATCTCAAGCATTAGATTCATAACGAAGACCATTGAAAGATACATTAATGATCGAGATTTAAGACGAGATAGTCGCTCTATAGCTTCATGTGTTTCAGCGACACATTCTATTTAACGGGATTTCAAGGCCCTCGACTTAATTAAGTATGACATTTCTAGAAGCGCAAGAATCTTCTTATCCACCCTCTCAAGATTCAAGACCCAACAAAATAATTGTGTACCTAGTGTGCACACAATATTAAGGTTAATCAAATAAATTACCTTACTTTTTCGTTTCAAAAGGGCGTAGTTCTCCAGCTACATTCAGTTCTCGATAAGAACTGAAAATTGCTCCATACGCTTTGATTATCAACCAAAGAACGTCCCTCGAGGGTTTAATGCAATATTCAGAAAATATCAATTGTACACTAAACTGCATCTGTTGGGTCGCAAACAACAGGATTGTAATTTAGGTTTTTAAAAATTGTGATGATTGACTGTCACTAATTTAGGAACTTCTACATCATAATATCATGAATTCATTTCTAGTTTGGGTTAGAAAATTAGTTGAATTACAGATAAGAGTTGCAATCAATTCAATTTACTCTGTTCTTAAGCTACCACAAACCAATAATCATAGAGATTAGGAGTCAATCATGAATCGAATTATAATTAGCGGCCTAGTGTAACAATTAACAAAAATTTCCAGTCTTCAATTCCTACTAGTGGTGAACATTAACCTATAGCTACTGTTATTTACAATAATTGATGATCAAATAATTAAATAGCTAGTCAATTATCAGTTCTTTTTTTTTTTTTTTTTTTTAATGTATCTGATGTGTATTTATAAAATGCTAAAATAATGTACAAAATCACTGGGGACTCAGTCTATGACTGATTTATAATAAAAGGGATAAATCAGAATAAAAACAAGTAAGAATGAACTAAAAAAGATATTTCATAAACTAATTTTTTGCACGATCTTTTAAGATTAATAATGTGAGCTTCTTAATTTTTAATTCGAAAATTTGAAAACTCTGTTTGAACCAAAAAAAGATTTCTCGAATTAGGGGATGAAAATACTCTTATTTGATAGCCAGATTAATTTCTAGAGCAAATAATAATTTAAAAAGGTAACTTTACTTTCAAAATTCAGTAATAGATGAAGTTGAAAGCAATTGATTTTTTTTCGAATCCAGCCAAACTTTAATCCCGCATTTCGGATTTAATATGCAACAGAACAAGCCATTTTCATCTTTTCAAATCAATTAACTCCGAAAACGTAGTACAAATAGAGTTTAGTTATCCATCTTGTTTCAGAGCTTACTTTATAAATTACGTTTTAAATAGGAAGCATTTTGGAATGTACCAGATTGTTTCTAGAGTCAAGGATGTTTTGGAACACTGGAAACCAAGAAAAAGTAAATGTGGACAAAATCTTCATGAGTCAATTTGTTAAAACCTTTTTGTTGGGAAACCAAACTTTATTCAATTGAATATAACTTGATGGTTGTTCAAAAAGGTATAAAAGGGTACCACATCATCTTAAAAACTATGAAATTTTTGAAATCTTTCTTTCTTTATCACCTTTGGTATTTAGCTGATATTCATTAGAGTGCTGATAGAAAATAAAAGAACAATACTACTATACAATGTTCACATTCACTTTGATCAAGCAATTTATTTTGGCTTTATTGGCCATTTCAGTCGTTCAATCAAGACCTTTAGCTGAAGAAATTGATGCTGCTGGTCAGCATGGCGAGAGACATAGTGAACCTTTTGGATTAGTTGCTATTCGTTCAGGCTCTCCATTGCAATACCAATTTGCTGTTGTTTCTCATGGTGAATTATTTTTGAGTGGTAACTCTTCAGACCCTTACACTTTTGCTGGTTCTTTGTTTTGGGATGGAAGTTTGAAGGTTCTTCCAGATTTGACTAGATTCCAACCATTAGGTGAAGGAAAAGACTTGTTCTTGAGTGCTGATAATTCTTCAAGCTTAATTACTTCTCCAAAAAGCGACACATCATTTGCAATCAAAGGTGGTGATTTAACTTATAAAGGTGTCAGCGGTTTTTATGCTGTTCCTGATAACAGATATGGTTACCAATACTCTTTGAAGACAAGAATTTCTTGGACATCCTAGATTTTCAATATTGTTTAGTACCAAGTTCCAACTATCAATTATCTATTGTCCATGCTGGTGTAGCTCAAGACTTGCCCATGAACTAATCTAATTCACCAATTGCTGTATTTTATGAGATAAGCCTGGAGCGTACATTTTTTGTTCATGAATCATGACAAGCATTTGCAATTGTTCTTATTTTTCTTCATGAGAAATTGTTCAACGTCGATCATGCATAGTTGTGGCCCCGTTCATGATCTTTAGTAGGAGGAGGCTTAGACTTCCAGTTGTGCAACTTGTAACTGAAAACAAGAATGGGTAGTTTTTCCTTCCAAAGCTTCCTTATTGATAGTAATGGCTAATGGCATTCAATATCAGCTTATATTTTTTCGGTACCACTCTGAATTTTGGGTGCGTAGTCATTCCTGAATCCTGACTCCTGGTTTTAATTCTTTACGACGCGTCTGCCGGTGTTTGCTCGGTGACTGAAAGCCTTCTTGGAAATCTCCGGTGCTGTCCAGCGAAAACCAAAGTGTATAGAAATCCAGCTGCAATAAACAGTGATGTTCCTGAGTCCTCCTGAAATCCAAAGCTATTTCACAGAAATTTGAAGAAAGAGGTGCCATCTTGAAATTCAATCTGAGTTTCAATGGAACGCGTACATTTATTAATTTTGCGCGTTCTTACTACATTGTTCAGCTCCAAGTGAAAACAGCCCATACGCGGTGCTATGAATGTCTTGAAACTCCAATTTCAGCTTAGTCTAAAACCCATCTGGAGAGTATGGTCAATATCCATCTATATCGTTAGCCCCATCGAAAGCTTCTAAGTGTTTCTAGCTAGCTACAGCTTTGTATGGTGAAAAGCATTAAAAAATATATTGAAGAGCTCAATGGAAGTTCATGGCCCAGCTCGAAAGAAGAATTTAATTGAAAAGATGAATAATTGATCTTGTAGAAAGTAAATAGAAAAGTAATTTGAACATGGCTTCAACTTCAGAAATTTGAGGTTTACTATCCATGTCCCAGAAATATATGTATCAAATCAAAAACTGGCAATTTAGAATGGGAAATCACCAGGGGTACCACCACTTTGAGTGGTAGCTCTCAATGCAATTCCGATAGCATCTGGATTATCAGATTAGGGGGGCCATAGATCAGAAATATACAAGTACACAACAGTCTGCTAATGTTCTACACAAGAACATCATTACAATCCAATAAGTATTTCAATCAGTTTTGAAAAAAAGTACGTCAGACCCACAATTTATCACAGTTGAGCGGACTACAACTCTCTACCTTCACTACAAAGGAAATAGATTGCCTATTCAACTATATCGTGCACCCCAAAGTCCATAATTATTGCAAATAGTCTCTGTACTATCTATTTTGAGGTGAAATGCTACTCAAACTTGTAGCTCAACACGGCTCAAATTCTTTTATACAAACCTCAATTCAATTTCAATATTACCCACTGAATCTTCGCTTCCATCACTGACCACTGGCCCTTGAATCTAGAAATCACCTCCCAATTAACCAAAACGTGCTACAGCATGTGCTTTACACTTTACACAAAGGTTGTAAATGGTTTTTGAATCTTGATTCAATTTAAAAGTTAAAACCTTGCTGTCACCGCGATAGATGACAAATGTTGACGTGAAGGATCAGACTTGTTACACACAACACTTTAAATCGTTGATCTGGTGAGATCGTCACCAGTCTAGAGCACCAAACAGATCTAGAGCACCAAATTCAGTTAAATTATGAATTCTCTATGTAGCTACATCACAGATGTGTTTCAACATTCAAGCATCCTCCGCACAAAGATCGTTCATAACAAAAAATTGAGCAACAGATTCTCATGCTAAACTGATTTAGAGATTCGAGAATTTCACATTTCGGTATGTAGACAATAGGGAATTTCCCTTCCTTTGAAAATAACTTATTTTACTCAGATTTCGAGAGAGGTGTGTATATATTATGAAGCCACTTTAAAAGTGTTGTAGCTTGAATGATTGGTTCTGGGTTCTGAAAGAGTAAAACTCTGAGACATTTGGTTATCTAGAATCAAAAAGCACTTTGACATATAGGTACCTAGAACTTGGCTTTCAAATTTTAATTCTCGATTGACCCCTGGTAAGATGTGTGGAATTGCGTAGTTGATTATAAAACGTAAGGTGAGGTGACGACTCAAGAAACAAGAGTGAAGAGGTGGAAATTGGAAACTGGCTATGGCGACTGGTAAATTCACCTCATCATCAGCCTTCTAGCAACTGTTCAACTCTAGTTCAAAAACTGATGTTGATGAAACGGTCATAGACATGTACAAGGTATACACAGATTCAAGCATCAAATTCCACAAAATCCACAGTTGTATTTGAGGTTTTGTCAGAATTTAATGCGGTGTTGCTATGTCACCGGCTTTTGACAGAAAAGAAGGTTGAGTTTTTTCTTGTTCTCGCCCTTGCAGCTTCCTGCGCATAACGGAAAAACACACCAAATCTTGCATGAATCTCTCTATAGGTTGCTTGAGCCAGATACAAATCACAGATCTTTGTGAAAGTTTTGGGTAGATCTTCTAGTAGAATTGATCAGAAGTTAAAGTTGACCTAACATACTGTTGCGATACTAGACATATCTACAGGTACCAAACATGAAGATATCCAGTGAAATTGTTGTAAAGCAAGTTTAATGAATTGCGGTGCAGCAGTTAGAGATCTAGGATTGAGGAACACAGCTACACTAGATATCTATATAAAGGGCACAAAGGTACCACTTTTTTACTTCACAATCAATGTTTTTAATAAAATATAAACCAAGAATTTATATCAAGGATATTCAATCATTAGTTCAAATTGTCATCATGGTTGCCATTAAAAATACTATCGCTTTAGCTTCAGTCGCAGCTTTATCATCAGCAGCTGCTATTCCAGACGCTCACTTTGGACATGGATGGGGTGGCGATCCAGGCTGGGGTGAAGGTCCAAGACCAACTAAATCATGGGGCCATTTCCCTCCAACTAATGGTTCATTCCCAACTTTCTCACATCATCCAAAACCAACTGGTTGGGGCCATCATCCATTCCCAACTCACCAATGGCCAACTGCATGGCCAACTGAATGGTCTTTCTCATGGCCAACAGCTTTTCCAACTGACTGGCCAACCGAATGGTCTGCTGCTTTCCCTACTGGATGGCCAACTTCTTGTCCAGATTATTTCCCAGATTTCAAGAATTTAGAGAGTGCTCCGTCACAACCAACCATCTCAGCAGCTCCAACCGTTTATTCAGCTCCAACTGAACCAGCCAGTGGATCTCCAAGCGGTGAATCTCAATTTATCTATGCTTGAGTGAACCTCAAACAATAGGGGTGTGTTTTCTAGTTCTCATTTGTTTTTCTGCTGTTATAATTTGTTCTTGCTTGGGTTTTTGGTACTTTATTCAACGGAGAATTTTATTTCATTTGTCTCATTTTCACTTCTTTATTCATGATTAGATCATTATGGATTTTATTCTCAATTTTGGTCAGGTCAGTCTCTTATTGTCTCTTGCTTCTGGTTGAGTGACTTCTTGACTTCAAAGATGTTAACAACTGGTGAACGAAAAGAAAGGACAAAAATTTTCATGCCTACTATATACCTTTAAAAGTTTTCAATAGAATTGATACACATATTTTATAAAATAAAATCTAATAATAATTCTGTAGAAACATTCTAAACTGAGTTTTTAACTTCTCTAATAACATCTTGGACAATTGTACGGGTCATGAATTCATGTAAGCCACCAGTTTCATCAGTGAATATGTTTTTAGTTGGAGCGGTAAATTGACTCACATTTGTCAATCTAAACACCAAATTCTGTTCATGTTTATGATTCTCGACAACCTCATACTCAAACCTGTGAATCATGGTTGCTGGTAACAAATCACTCCCAAAACTGACATCATAATAACCACCATTTGTACGTTTACCATAATCTATAACATCGAACAACCCATAGACAACGGTGTTAAGAGGTAATAAACCTTTTTCTTTCTCAACAGCACTAGCCTTCCATACGTATTTCAAATCTTTATTTTCTGGCAGCAATGGGAAGTCAAAGATAGCTGTCTTTGGTAATTTGGAAACATCTAGTTTTTTCAATTCAGGTTCCCATGCTGTGAACCCGGCAATTCTATTGAACGGACTTTTGAATTGAAAATAGGCAGATAAAGCATACTGATGGAACCATAGAGTTGGACCTTTGAAATAGCCTTTTTCAATAAGTTTCAAAATCTCTTCATTTGTTTTGTGTTTAGCTAAAACTTTTGCTGTGGTTTCCTTATCTAATGTTTGTTCATAGTGATCAAAAGATGGAGTGTTCCCATTTGGGTTAGTTAATTTGAAACTTTTGGAGTGAATAACGTTATCATTGTTTCCCAAGATTTTATATTTCAACCTTTGAGCAAGTGAATACTTGGATTCATCAAATGGGTTCTTTTCTAGATAAGGACCTGTATAGATCTGAGTTTTTTGGGTATAATAGATAGCAGTGAATGTTGGGACTGATGCCAATAACGTATAGTTCAAAAAACGACCCATGATAAGCTAGTGGAACAAAAATTGAATATGAAAGTAGTTCTTTGTAGATGATATTTATATAATATTTGAGTATCAAACCGAATTGAAGAAGCTGTGACTCTTTTCTCCTTTAAATGTTTGTAATTTGAAAAATTCTGGAACTCCCTCACGTCGGTCAATTTTTGTATAGGCTTTTCTGCAGGTGAAGAAAGTTTAATTTTAGTAAGGCCGCTCGAACTGGAAAAACGTATAACCTGTCAAATTTAAGAACCGCTTGAGCTGGAGAACATATAATGGGCCTACAGAGGGTACTACTATTTACAGAAACAAAGGATATCGATGTGTTTATAAAGGTTCAGGTGTCTTCCATGTCGCGTTCTAATTGGTTGTGTCAAACACCCGGCAATAAGTGCATCTTGATATTGATTGGTGAAAATTAAATAGCCTACAGAGCATGAACACGAGTGAAAAAACTTGAAAACAATATGAGCTGGGAGGCAGAGCTACATATAGCCTATGAGTCAGCGTATCCCACGTATTTTTAAATTCAAACAAAGACAGCCTTTTTGAGGACAATAGTAGGTCGGTTAATTATAGGTATGGAGAAGACCAGCGTACATAACCACTTTTGTTTTTCTCAATCGAGCTTTTGTTGTCCTTCAAAGAGCCCGCTTAATCACGATTCACACTCTCCAACTCATCATTTTCCTAAACGTTCTTGAATGTCGTTATTAGATAAAGACTCAAAGTTTCCAAGGAATACACTGAGAAGTCACACATCACCAATCACATCTCTGGAGTTTGTGAAAATACCCATTTCCACCACCAAGAAAACCATCACTTTACAAAATGATTCAAACTCAATGATACTTAAACCATTCCTGTTATCATCAGATGAATCAGGGAAGCTACTCTTATGGGATCTAACAATTCTACGACCAGTCAGGCAAATCCAAGCACATAATTCGCAAATTTTGACAATAAGGCAGCTAGGTATCCGGGATGATGTTGTTGACTCCAACTACTTTGGTTTGGTATTGACACATGGAAGAGATCATTCAATCAAGTTTTGGAGATTGTTCAATGAGAAAGGAACAATTGACCTAGTTGAAGTTTCAGAATTACCAGTGAATGCTTTGAACTTCAGTAATGTTGACGTTTTTGACGATTTATTGATCACTCCAAATACCATGAACTCTAATACATTTGATATATATGACGTTAATTTCATATCACAACAGGACAAGCTAGATGAGACTAGATTGAAAAGGTTATTTGAAGCTGGTGATGTATACCAAGCTGCGGTTGATGCAAAGTTTTCAAAATTTGAAGAGTTCAATGTTCAAAGAGAAAATACAGATGATGGTGTTGATAGGGTTGATAAGTTCGGGATAATTATGAAATTATTGTTTGTTAGTAATAATACTGTTTTCATTGGATATGAATCAGGTCATGTTGCCTCAATTCGATTGAATTTTCAGAGCAAAACATTTGAAATATTGACCATTACGAATCATCATTTTCCGAACCCTGTTCTTTCATTAACGTATGACCGTTTCAACTCAACTGTTTTATCCACTTCAGTTGATTCAAACCTGGTTGTCCATGATATCAACCCAAGATCATCAACTGCAATCAAACTGGAAAATTTTGGGAAGATTTCTGGCGTGTGCTGTCTTGAAGATCGTTATGTGTTATCATCATGGAATGGATACATCAGGTTTTATAAATTGAATCCAGACAAATCAGATTTAGTTTATTTATCTAATTTTAAAAAGCCAAAAGGTTTATTAGCTGGTGATCTGAATGTTATAGGAAACATAAATGATGATGCTGGGTTGAGTAAAGATAAAGGTAAAATAGTTAAACCAAATAGTTTGGCTCTTACGGCAAGAAAAGAAATTGATGAACGTTTCAAAAAGTTGCTTAATAGAAGAGACATCAAAGTCATCGAGAACTCATATTCAGCTGTGGGATATGACGACGGTACAATTACGTTATATAACGATTTATGATCTAATGATAAATATTTAAACTAGATAACGTCTATGTAGTTGTGCCTTTAATTGTTGTTATCTTTTTCTTCTAGGGTATCTTCTAGTTGTGTACTTTTCGATGCGTTTATCTTTGGTTCACTTTCCTCAGCAATACCATCTTTCAAGATAGGCTGAGTATCTCCAGTTTGTGGTTCCAATTCCTTTTCAGTATCCTCAGTATCCTCAATTTCAACTGATTCTTTTTGATCTTGGAGCGTTAATTCATCAAATTTTTCTTCAGATTCTTCCTTGATTTCGTTCAACACTTCTGTATCAATAGTCTCTTTCTTTTCAAGATCTTTAGTCTCCACATCTGACTCAATAATGCTAACATCTTGATCATCACCACCTTCTTCGTTATCATCTTCTTCGTCATCATCATCCTCACTGTTGTTATTATTCTCGTCAGCTTGTTGATGTTCACCCTTTCTACCTCTTCTTCTTCTACGTCTTCTTCTTTTGCGCTTTGGTGCTTCCGCCCCATCAGCATTTGATTCACCAGCACCAGCTTCTTTATTTTCAGAGTTACCGGTTTCTGTCACTTGTTGATTAGAATCAAAGACTCTTGATGATCTTCTTGAAGTATTTGTAGATCTGTTCTTATTATTGTGTTCATCAAAGTTTCTTGAGGTTCTTCTTGAGTCGTTACGTGATGTGTTTCTTTGGTTATTGGAATCACGATCTTCATAGTTTCTTGTTGGACGTTTCGCATCGTTTGGTGTGATTCTTGAAAATAAAGGATTGGATGAATTGTTGGAGTTGTTGACTTGAGAGTTATTATGACTTGAGTTACGTGAACCTCTCATACTTTTTGATCTTGAAACATTTGAGGTATTTGGTGTAATTCTGTCCTTCAATGGAATTGACTTATTCAGTTCCTTGTCCAATGATAAAACTCTCTCCTCCACACTTGGGATTCTTCCATTAGTTGACGATGAAGATGAGGTTGATCTTGAGCTTGTTGTTTTTCTCTCATTTCTCTTCTTTATTTGGATAGGTTGTTGAGTTGGCGTACTCTTGACCTCCTCTTCTTCTTTGAAAGGATCAACCCTTGAAGAATCTTGCTCCAAATATGTCTTCAGAAGTTCCTCCTTATCAATTTCCAACTTGTCAGCAATTTCGTTGAAGAGGTCTTTAGAAGTTTGTAGCAAAAACGCAGTTTGATCGTTGTTATTTCTGTGAGTAGATGCAATGTTGTCAATTTTTTCCTCAAGTTTTAAATTTCTATCTTCATAAAGCTTTTCCAAATCATTTGCTTTATTGGTGATAGACTTGACCGATCTTCCTAAAGTTGAATCACTTTTGGCAATTAACGTAATATTTCTGTTTATTTGATCTTCTTTGTTCTTCACGAATTCATTCAATCTTTCTTTCAAGGTTGCAATCTCTTTTGAGTAATGATCTCTGTATTCCTTTTGACTTGTTACTATAGTCTCGTAAGCAATCTTCATTCTTTCATATTCAGCAACAGAAGAAGCTTCACTTTGTCTCAATTTTTCACTTCTTGTCTCAAGGGATTGAAATTTAAACTTAAGATCATCATTAGAACTTGTAATCTCATTCAACTGTGATTCAAGGTCATTTATTCTTCTTTGTTTCCTCTGAAGTAATGAATTGACGGTTTCATTTTCATGCTTACTATTTGACAGTTGCTCCATTAATTGGTCTCTTCTTTTCTTTACCAGCTCATTGGATTTCTTCAATTCTTCATTACTAGATTTCAATTTCAATACCTCCGATTTCAATTCATCAATCTCTTTGTGCAATGATTCAATAACTCTAGTTGAAGAATTGGTGGCTTTTCTTGGACTTATGACACTTGATCTAATGTCTTTTGAAGGTGAGATCATATTAGAAGCATTTAATGGTGTTCTTGTTGGTGAACTTTTGGTCGGCGACGAGGTCTCGCTTTCTGGTCGTGCGAGCTTATGATCTTCAATCCCTGTAGTACTGAGCTCTTGATCCATTGCCGGTTCGTTTTCTTTGTTATTCATTTTGAATATGAGCTAGCAAAATTTTCTGTTAATTCACTTTTTGTATAACTTTTCAAAATTTTTGAGTATCTTGGTCTAGATTTGGGCGGTTATAACACTCTGGACACAACTCAACGCCAACGACAATAAATGGCAATAGTTAAAGAACAACTGAAGTTATTCTCTTGAAAACAGAAATTGGTTATTCCCTGTTGAAGCAGCTTGCAAATGAGTACTTATTGAGGCACCTTTCCGTTCGTTGAGAAACCTGTTTTGCTCTTGCAAAGGAATTTTAAAGCAAATCAACAAAACGGTCAAGTTGGTGTATTTTTGCTGAACTCGAAAAATTCCCAAAAAAAAAAATTGTGTTTGTTTACACATTCTCGCGTTTCCTAGGCAGCACACGTAACATTTATTAAATCGTTTTCTTCGGAATGTTTCATTAAATCTAAAATTCAAGCACATACACACGTTAGCACATAAACTACACCTTGCTGCTTCAGTTAGACGTAAGACATGACCAGAATTGAAGTAATATTATACACACATGACGAATTAAAAGTAGTTGTAAGATGCAAATTAACGAACGAATAAAATGTACCTAACCCATACCAAATTGCTTCATCATTTGTTGCATTTGAGGATTATTCATGGCTTGTGAAATATCTGGCATACCACCTGCTCCTCCCATCATCTTCATCATTTCATTCATATCTGGCATACCACCTGCACCTGGGGCACCACCACCCATCATACTCATTAGTCTATTCATCATTCCAGGATTCTGTTGAAGTTGTTGCATACTTTGCTGTATTTGTTGTTGAGATGGTTTAAATCCACCAGGTCCCATTCCTGGTAAGCCACCAGCACCACCTTTCTTAGCATCCAGCATACCTTTAGTTCTTTGAGCCATTGTAGCCATCATTCTTTGTTGAAATAGAATCATTTCAACTTCAGTAGATGAAGTACCAGAACCTCTTGCAACTCTAATTATTCTTGAAGGTTCATCAACAAAAATCTGTCCATCACTATCTAGCTCTTTCTTAGTCATTGAGTCCATTATATAAACCATTCTTTTCAGTCTACTTGAAGCTTCAGCTTCACCATCTTGACCCATCATTTGTGACATCCCTGGAATCATACTTGCAATTTGAGACAGTGGACCCATCTTCATGATATTTTGCATTTGTGTTTGGAAATCATTCAAAGTAAATTTCCCCTCTTGTATATTCTTCATTGTATCTTTATTATCCAAATCTAAAGATTGCACATGTTCCATTAAACCTTGAATATCACCAATTCCTAATAATTTGGAAATAAAACTTCTTGGTGAGAAAGTTTCAAAATCTTGAACATGTTCACCGGTACCAATAAAGACAATTGGTGTATTTGTAGCAGCAACTGCAGAGATAGCACCACCACCTTTAGCATGACCATCTAATTTTGTTAAAATAATTGAACCAAAGTTTGAAGATTCTTTGAAAGCTTTTGATTGTGATTCTGCAGCTTGACCAATAGAAGCATCTAAAACCATAATTGTTTGGTTTGGTTGCACAGCATCTCCAATTTCAATCATTTCTTGAAATAAATCTTCTTCTTGTCTATGTCTACCTGAAGTATCCACTATGATAATATCAAATTTTTCCTTTTTGAATTTATCAACACCATCTTTGGAAACTTTTACAGGATTTGTTTCAGTATATGACCCATAATAAGGTATTCTAGCCTTTGTAGCATTTTGTTTCAATTGATCAAAAGCACCAGCTCTGAAAGTATCAGCACACACTAACCCAACTTTGAAACCTCTTCTTTGATAATAGACAGCTAGCTTGGTACATGAAGTAGTTTTACCAGCACCTTGTAAACCAACAAACATTATAACATTAGTTTTACCCTTTTTAGGTTTATATGGTTCAGTCTCTGTATCCACTAATGAACATAATTCATCAAAGACAACTTTTTGAATCAATTTCTTTTTATTTACACCTGGTTTGGAACCATCATCATTCAATTTTGATTTTATATCTTTTCTTAAATTTGCAACCAATTTAATATTAACATCTGATTCCAACAATGCATTACAAATCTCTTTTAACATCAAATCAATAGCATCTTCATTGACATCGTTGGATTTGATAGCACCGGAAACGGCACTATTAATCCTACGTCCTAAATCAGCCAACACCATTGTTGTCTAGTCTAAATACTTTATCTAGAGATGAATTATGTCCAGCTTTCTTTATGTTCGATGAAGTTGATCAAAAAAAGCCAACAGCGAGAGAAAAAGATTTCGCGAACTTTACCCTGAGTTATGTGGTCCCGTGACAAAAATTAGGATTTAAACGACCCCAAACTTCAAATAGCCATCTTTTACCACTTAGACAAGTATTAATGATGCAATGGATTTCTTCAATGGCAAGATAGATGCTCAGATAACACCTGCCTCTTTACAATTCCTGGCAATTACAAACCCTTCATTGAGCAAGGATGAAGAAGATTCAATAAATCAAGTGCTAGCATTCATATCAAATGAACAAGATGAGGAAATAACCGATAACTATAAACTAAACAAAATTGGTATAATCCAAGGGATAAACTCATTAATTGGAAATTTTGATAATAATGATTCGTTGAATTACATTGAGCTGGACAATCAATTGATAATATTTGATGAATTTGAATCAAAATATCAAATAATGTTGAGCTTAAACCTTACACAGATTAAAGATGATGGAGTGATTGAACATACAAGCCAGGATATAGCACCTGTTGAGTTCTTGATCAAGATGATCTATCAAGGTTATAATGACTTCAGACTACATAATGGTTCTTTCGGGAGTATGAGCTCTGAAATACCCATTTTCAAAGAGACTTTAACAAAATGGTGGACTATATGGTTTAAGAATTTACCATTGGGATTAATAGAGAATGGGTCTTTAAAGCTTTACCCTGGATTCAAGAAGGCAAACTCATCGCAGCTGGAGGCGGTTGCACCATCCAATTCAACAAATTTCTATATATTCAACACTTCAAGAGATAATCCTGAAACATATGGACTTTTACATGATTCTCAAAATAATCTAACCATTGAATCCAAACTAAGATTTTTAAACTGGATAGAAGAGCAAGATAATTATACAATTTCTTCACAATCATTGATTTTACCACAAGTTTTGAAAAACATTAAGCTACCTGATGATGCTTCAAGTTCTGAGATTGTTTATGATCCATTCAAGTTAGTTTTCAATACACTTAGTGATATATCAAGATATAGTGGTGTTACTGGTGGTGTTAATGCGAGTGTGAATGGTGTCAGTAATGGGTTTAGTAGTATTAATGGGTATTTGCCTAGTTGGATGGGCGGTAAATCTCAAGAAAGTGGAGTTGATGAAGATACAGATGAGAGAGCTACTGATAATGAAGAGGATACAAACAAAGATATGGGATTTTTGATTGGGAAAGTTGGTGATGATATTTTGGAAAAAACTGTTTGGTTGCAATTGGGTGTGAAAGATGAGGAACAAAAGTTTAGGGTTGTTGTTTTCAAATATTTTGAATTGTTGTTCATCACCATTTATGAAGATGGTTATTCAAAATTAGATGATGTGGAATTTTACAAAGACTTGAAACAAGAGTTTGTTGAAATTGGCCAAGGTATTAAAATTGATGAAATTAAGGAAAAGAATTTTTACTTCATGATTTATGATAAATTCGAACAGAGTATATCAAGCAATTTACCAGATATTCCAAACTTTGATGATGATGAAGTTAATGATTTGAAATATTTCCATGATTTATCTAAATCTCAAACACAATCTAAAATGTTGCATAAAGAAATCATCAAACTTCTTGAACCTGAACTGGATGGTTCTGACCATCAATTGGAGAAATTGAAAAGAACTAAGAATGGATGGTGGATATATAAACTTAATCATCAAAACATTAAGGAGATTTTAATTATAAAGAAGTGGCAACTATTACACAAGGGCGGTGCCGGTTCAGCTGATGGGATAAGAAACAAGATTTTAGATAATTCAACAAGTATTTTGGGAAGTATTGGTAAAGATGCAAAGTTATGGCTAGAGGATTATCTTACAAAGAATCAGGTATAATATAGATAGGTATATTATTATTATGATATTAATGAATAATGATGAATTTTTTATAGATCAAAAAAGACGTAGAAAACAAAATGCAGAACCTCAAAAAGCAAACCCAACAACCAAACAATAACTCCACCAACATATAATAAAACTAGAACCTCATAACCGCCGTATGCATTAAACCATTAATTCAAAAAAACACAACTCTCAAATCATCTATTTGAATCAATTATATTGATCAAATTACCAATAATCTTATCATTCTTCAAGAACAATCCATCTTCATTATAATCTTGATCGACACAAGAACCTTCATCATCATCATCAAAGATATCATTGACATAATAATCAATCTTTTTTATAGTTTCTAGTCTAATATGATTTATGATTGAAGGATGAACTAAAGGTTTCAAACACGGTTTAGACATTTCTAATTGTTTCTTCTTGTATAGGTCTCTTAATTGGTGGTATTCATCTGAACGTGGAGTTTTATGATCATGGTAGTTATGATGTTGATGAGCGGCAACAGCTTGATTCGCTTGTTTATTTATGCTGAACAATGACTTGTACGAATCATTACGTTTATCCTTCTTGAGATAATCATTTAGCTGTCTTGAATCATGATATGTGTAGTTGTTATTGTTGTTGTTGTTATCTTCATCATGGCCACTTGAATCTGAATGATGTTTTGTTAATCTTGGTCTTTTAAAAGTATGAATATCTTGTTTGAACAAATTCTCAATCTCTTTTATCGATTTATCAAAGATTTCAAATTCATAGCGCTGGCGCTTTGAGTATGATTCATGAGCAGTCTTGGGTATTGTATTTATGACTGTTGACATGGTGATGAATTATAGTGAAGTAAAGTGAAAAACTATTTTGATTGATGTTTTGACAGGATGATTGCAATATATAATGAGCTTTTCCAAGATTTCAGCTGGGTACTAAACACGTCAAACCAGTTAAAGTTGGCGTACCTAATGGAGAGATTCCCCAATAAAAAATTGGTGTACGTTGTATGGAAATGGTGGAGGAGATTAGGAGGAGTATCTCAACTGCTGATGAAGTGAGAGGAGACTGGGCTGAAATAACGTAATTGTAAAGTCAAAATGTATCGTATGAGCTATGATTGATAGCTTCTGGATGATGGTGATGATGGTGGGAATGGCTCTTTGTAGTAATTGGAGAAGCAAAGAGCAATTGGTCGCTTATGATAGAGCACTTATAATAGGAGTACAGCATGTAATAATAATATAATCGGGGCCACTGAGGAGTTTTTAAAGGATTAATCCAGATTCCATCAACTTGCTTTTGACTTGAATTGTCGGAGAAATGAGGTTCTCGGAGAGATAATGATGATAGCGATCACGATTTCACTGATAGCTCACGTTTGAAAAACTACACACTTGAGAGTATGGCCCCGTGTTGTAGCACCTATCAGGATTCACGGCTCTCCTATTCTCTCATCAACGATCGCATAAAACTGTAGTCATTGCGATGATTTGATCATGGCTTATGTCCCCATAGAACATTACATGTTGATGATGGTGATTAATTGTGGGTGTGTGAAGGTGTAAACAGCTGGAAAAAAACACTGATTACAATTTCGCTCCCTTTTCGCATTTCAGATCATCAATCACAAAACACACCAAAAGTTCAAAACAGCCACTGCAATTGAAATTCTACGTGGTCATGATAATGTCTAGATCATGGTTCTAACCTTTGATCATAGGGTCTTTTGTAATGGGGTTCCCCTTTCTTGATGATGGTGTAATGGTATTAAAAATTGGTTCCAATCAGCACTATTCTCCTCAGCACCAATTACTTCATACGGTAATAATGGCACAGAGCCCCTCCACAAACCTGTCAAACTTTTACGCAAAGAACATTCTACGGCGCAGCAAATTCCTCAAGTGGGAAAGACACACCTCTGTCGCGCATCTCCATGAAAAAAAAAAATCTTCTTATCAGATTCTTGAAGATAAACAAAAACAACTAAATTTGAAACTACATTCTGGTGATGGTTTCAAGAGATTTGATATGTTTATTTACATGCTTATCATGAGCATATTACAGTGTTAAGTGATTGCAACGCTATCGAAGCCACAATAGCCGTCCCTTGAATCGTGCTACAGTTTGTGATAGCGCAATTCAGCCGAAACGTGATGGGCTCGAGGCTCGAGTTGATATGATAACGACCAGCTATTTTTTCCTTTTATCAGCAATGAGTTCATGAGATTGTAATACTTGAAACTACGTGTCATAGTTCCTATGTACTAGTCACACCCTAGTGGTTGAAGATTCAACCAAGTAACTCAACATTAAAACTATACACAAGGTATCAAATCTTCCACCATCCGAGGTGCCTCATGTTCTCCAACAATCACATTCCAACGGTTGAATGAAATTTGCACCAAAACACCTTCCAATACACAAAACTTTGTGAGAATGTGTAACCTCAGAAAAAAAATGTCATCATCTTGACAGGTCTGACTCTTTTCCCTTGCATTATCTTTTCCACTTTCTAATTATTTTGCATTGGTGTCTTTTGTAAAAAAGTGATATGATTATCAATAAATTTACATACTGATTCTTTATCAACATCTTCAAAATAATTCAATTTGATTTTCAAATCACACAGTAATGATTTCATTCTTCTATATTGAACTAATTCAAAATCAAATGGTTCAGGTAAGAAATTTGAAATATCTGAATATAATCGAACTTCTTCATTCTTGGAATTGAATAATTTCTTCTCTTTCCACAATAAATAAGGATTCAATTTAGGGAAATTAGCGTGGACAGTGAAGATTGGTGCAGCTCTTGTATCATATTCTTCAAATTTAGGTTCTAGAGTTTTCAAGAAATTTTGATAATATTCATAATCTTGAATTGGATTTCTTTGACCCATAGAAACACCATTGAAATTTCCTTCATCAAACCATCCAAATGATTGAATTTCACTCTTAACTTGATAAAATGGTTCATTCGACTTAATAGCAGCGGCAATAAAAGTATCTTTATCACCTTCACCACTTTGTCCCTGTGATAATAACTTATAAAAGAAATTAGGACCATATAAATTATAAAACAATGATAACAATATTGTCTTCAAATGATCTGTTTTTCTAATTAATAATTGACCACTTTCAGATGATAAATCAGGTATGGATCCTTCTAAATCATGCAATGGAACTTTATCCAATTCTTCCACAATTTCTGAAGGGATTAATGGCCATTTCCCCTTACGTACTCTTGTGTTTGTAACATTAATACCAGCAATATCATAGAATAATGGCGATGTAGTTCTTGTCCAATAATCAGGCCACAACACCATACCAGATGTTTTAAAAGGTTCTTTCACAAATAATTCATCTGGATTACTAACAAGTATGTTGTCACTATCCAATAATAAAACATTTTCAAATGATGAAGCAATTAATGCAAGTGATTTATATTGATAACCTGAGAATTTAACAGTATCCATAACTTCTTCGCCGAAAACGTTATGAAGTAAAACACATTTAGCATTCAATGAAGGTAATACAATCTCACATAATTCCTGTTCATATTCTTCAGGTGTTGGAATAATCATTTCTATTGGTAAATTTGAACCAAATGATCGAACAGATTTGATTGAAAGTAATGATAACCAAGAATATTGAACACCACCAATTAAAACAATCCCATTACCTCTATATAGGTTCTTTGGGAATTTATATGGCAACTGATTGAAAACATCTTCATGAATCTTGTGCAAGTTTTCAACTTGTAAAGGGTCCAATTTTAAAAATTCTGATAATTTTGATTTGGACCATATTAGATTAGGATCTCTTGAATCTGCTTTACCTATCAAATCCAACGCCGGTATTTTGAATTTTTGTTCATTCAACATCTTGAACATCTTGATGTAAAACTTTTGTGATTTTTTATTATAACGTTGATCTTTAATATGAGATTGTAATTCTTTGTTCAATAAATCATCACCTAAATCAATTTTGGAATTCGTGACATGTTTCAACAGGCTATTATTATTATCATCTTCATAAAAATATGTCAAAATTGATTGACGAATACTATTAATCTTTGCTGATGAAGCTGGGTTATTTGTTGATACTGAAACTAATGAATATATGAAAAATAAAATCAGTGTTGAAAGTATCAACAGTCTTCTGAGTCTAGGCGTGAGCATGATGATGAGTATTCTATGGTTTCAATTATTCATAAGCCTCTATCAACTTCTCAAATGAAGATCAGTGCATTGTTTAAAAAGGGCATTGTTGTTGTTCTTTTGTACCTGTCTTGCTGAAAAAAAAACGCGACGACAACAAAAATTTCTGGGAAAGGCCAACACCATACTAAATTTTATAGAGTTCAAAAATGAAAGAGGGCTAAAACTACAATTTTTATTTTGTCAGTCATGGATTAGAAATATCTATAAAAAAGCGAATGAATCTGAATTTAATTGTTAGTCACTATTAAGCCATTGGTATAGAAAGGTCACAAGACTTGAGATTATTAATCAGAGTCATTAAATCAGTATTTTTGTTTGTTAATCAATGAAAGCAGAAACTTTCTCGTACAGTGTGAATATTAAAAAATCATCACAATAATCCATTCATGTCTTGTTTTGACCCCCGTGTTATAACTTACTCATTGAGTTTTATAAACCCAAGCTTGAAAAGAACAAATATTCTTTCGCAGCTCTAAAACATTTGTTAGTTTTCAAATTACTTCAAAAATGAATTAATTGGAGACCTTTTTGAGTCAGTTAAGCGACCTTTCATCAATTTCAACCCACCAACATCCTAATTTTGTACACAAAGAATGCGACTACCAATAAAATTGGTGATGGGTCAAACACCTATGTCCGCCCGGTCGAAACAGATTCCTCATTCAAAAAAAGATCCTCCACCAAAAATTTTGTAAAAAAAGACATACTATTAAAACAATTAGTAAATAAACTCCACAATCAAAAAAAGCAATCTGTTGAAATGATGAGTTGAATGAAAGGCTCATACAAGGCTGAAACTTAACGATAAATGCAGTTGTCGACAAACGGTTATTCAGTTGGAACAATTGGTAAAATGCAAATAATCATAGCCGATCAAAAAAAAAACACATCAAATACAATCAACAGTTGATAATTCTAATCACATACCTTTTCATAGATACCAATCCATAGCTTCCTTGATGTTGTACTCAACAACAAAGGATGTTGATTGTTGTCGAAAAGAAGGAAAAGTTTTTTTCATCACATTTTTTTTTGAAGTTTGAAAAAGTACTCGCGAAACACACAAAGCGGTACGCGCAACATTAGGGCATAACCAATCATCTATTTATGGAGCTAAATTTTAGTGTAGCTATTCCTCTGAAACTCGAACACTGGAGAGATCCACTTTCATATGAAACTGTTCATCAATATCCCTCACCAACTGAATTATACTGAAAGATTTAGGAACCGACATTGAGATGGAAGTACCATGTGTAAAAATTGGAATACGATCACCATTACTATCAATGTCAACATTCTGAAGCTGCATACAATATAACCCAATGAATAAGCAAGTGATACTGGTGATAATCAATGTAAACTCCGAGCCTAAAGCAGCTCCTGTTGTTTTCTTGATCAATTGACCACTTGGTAATAATAGAGGCGTATTGATGAAGTATTGCTCAATGCATCGCCAAACCGCTCTAATTTCCCTCTGATTTATGCTCAGTTTATCTGGACTGTTATCAATATCATCAATTTCTGCACCAAATACCCATTTTTGAAGAACTCTAAAGCCATAGTAAATCAAACGTTTTGGGAGATTTGGGTGCACATCAATGATTTCGAATTCACAAATCATTTGATTGTTTTCCAGTAATTTCGATCTATCCCAATCTTCTATCAATTTGAATGGCAGTTCTTTTTTGGATTCATCTGTTAATATAGACTTGTATATTGGATAAGAGAATCTTCTTTCAAGTAGATTAACAACCGAAGGATACACCCATTCACCTTTTGGTTCCAAGTCACCTTCTATTACAGATTCAGCAAAACAAACTGGTGGGAGCGTGATGCGTTTTTCAGACTGTTCAAGTGCCTTTTTCTGTGTGATCCTCAAGCTCAACAAAATCTCACCTAAACATTCAGCTTTCATTTCTTTTGTTCTCAAAAATGGCAAACCTGGTGTGGCAAGAAGGTCAATTGTGTTGAACATCGTTGTCGCAATTATCATTTTTGTTGACATTGGAGGACATTTTCCATCCAAGCATTTTAATAGTTGGTCAATTTTTTTATAGGCAATGAAACTGATCGAACTATACTCCAAATATCTTTCTTCGTGATCAAATGTTTCGATGTGGGCAAGTAGATTATTTGGTATTGAGATATCACTTATCTGTTCAGGCTGATTTCCAATGGATGTAAAATGTAATGGTGTTGGAACTTTGGGGATTTTGTATGGTTTGAGATATCCCGAAACTCTGATAAAACCATTAATATTGGTTGTTGCAAGTAAATATTCCGAGTTTTCTGATGGCTCAAGAAATAGAGAAGTTCTCTCTCTACCAGTACCACCACCATAAACCTTACCGTTATCCGATATATTAAATTCTCGTTTAATCGCTTCATACCCTTTTGAAGATTCTAACTTTCTTCGTTCTTTGGCGGGCAACGATTTGATTTGTTCTACCATCTGGATTTGAGTCTCTGATCTAAGGAGTTTGTAGGCAGGTATCAGTTCTAAAACCAGTCGTTTATCGGGATCACATTGCAACTCTTGCTTATTTCTTTTTCTGCCTTTTTTTTTCTTAGATCTTTGATTATCATTGATGCCCTCAATATCCTCGATATTGGGAGCTCTGAGTCCTGCTTCACCTTCCCTATCATCCAGTGGTATCTTATCAATGACAGTATATGATTGGATTTCATCTTCAGTTTTGGGAACGCTTGAGGTATGGTTGTAATTTTGATCAACGGGAAGCTCATCTCTTTGTCTCTCTCTGGTTTCAAGAGTATTAGATTTTTGGTTATTTTTGATATCCTCAAAATTTTCAATATGAGAGAGCTTGGACCTTTCTGCTTCACCTACACTATTATAAGACGGTGTCTTATTGATTTCCCTGTGTACTTGATTTTGAGGTTCATTTCTGGAATTGTTTCTATAGTTGTAATTTTGATCATCTGTTGAAGGAGCTCTGTAACAACAAAGTAGCAACAGGCTGTAGCAAGAACGGTACCAAAGCTGATGCTATCGCCAAAGCTGCAGCAAATTCCAAAACCATATAGCTCTAATTCATTAATCTCCAATATCTCAGCGCCTTTTTTCAACTTCACCTGAATCACCTCAACATTCCATGAAGTGTAGAATTGATTTTTTCAACGAGTTCAGTCGAGCGGTACAGCCACTCTTAACGGATTTTTGACACAATTTATGATCTGCCGCTTTGGGTATGGGTTGGAAGCCCTGGCTTATTCTACCCAGGGGCTAGTTGTGTAACTTGTAACTGAAGAACAAGACAAGATGATTTATAACTCTTCCAAGAACAGCCAAAGAGCGTTAAATTACTTCAAATAAATTGTTCAGCTGATGAACTAGATCTCACTAACGTTTTAAATTAACAAAATCATGAACAGGGTACATATTCCAATCTGCAGATTCAGCTGATCAATAATATAATATGTCACGTCAAAGAACAAATCAGCTAGCTTATCACCAATAATTAATTCTGTCTACGTTCAAGAATGGACTTTTCAAGTTCACCAGCTGCTTTTGTCATTGAGCAGTATGATTTACGACTTTTGCAATATGTAGAACAGGAATCTGGAAGATAATTCTTGAGTGATAAACTCAGGGGCTAGTTCTTCGTTTAAAGGTTCAAGGTGAGCTGTTGAGGCTAAATGGGCACCTTAGAACTAGTGCACATAGCTACCAAACTACACTGACAAGTCCATGTATATCCTCACCAATCTCTAATCTTGCACCGTGATATGTCTAGTATTTTCTTATCTTCGTTTGATCCATGATCTGACCATGTATAATCGGCCATAGAATGTATAATACATGTGCTCAGCGATAATTAATTGATTAATTCAGTTGCTGAAACTCAGCTCTTTCTCTTGTGAAATTTTCAATTTCAAAGAAATTATGCTCATCATGTCAAAAAATTGGGTTTTACTGATAACGATGCAATATATCATGTCATCATGTCAAAACGGTTAAATGGCCGAATGAAACAGCTTGAGCACTTAGAGAGAAATTAAATTTTGGGCTATATCCACCTAGATACGTACATGTGTAGTCTTCTAGCACTGCTAATCAATATTTCACCCAGCTTAACGTACTCCATACGACATTTGACACGTTAAGCAAGGTTTTAATTATACTCAGCAATTGATGTCGATAACACATGATGGAACGATGGTATACATCGTGGGGTTTTCTTTAATGACATAACGTGCAATTCACGATTCTTGGGTGTTTGTCATTTAGAGTAAGTTTCACGTAAGTGTAATATTGAACATGTTTATTCTCGAACTTACATTTGGGTTACCCATCAACTTCGAACTTGTTTTGGACTGTCTGGAATACCATATCCTTATACGTATAGAAGTATTCAAATTGGTGGTAGTTGAATTTTCACCCTTTTCCAGACATTTATCAGACTGTATCTCAGTTGGTTTATCATGTCCAAACTTGAGATCTCGAATCTCAAGACATGATTACATACAACTGAATATCTATCTGACAGCTAGAATTGAGAACAAATATCTTAAGAGTCAAAATGTAGCTGGTTCTCATCATTTGTACATGAATATCCTTTTTACAAGAGTTGCTGAATATAATGACATTTATCAAAAAGGAATTTGGGGTTCTATGGTCTGTAGCAAGTGTACTGATGGGTACAAACTCTGTGTATACACATGATTGACCATATTCTTCGTTCTTTCTTTATCGCAGATCTGACGGATATTTGAGCACCTGTACTCCTAATTTGCTTCATCACCCCTCCAGAGATATGTGTGGTAAGTGTGAATGCACAAAATCCAATAGAAATAGGTTCATGAGTTCATGATGGGAAAATTTCATCGTAGGTCTATCAATTTTTTTTTTGATTGAGGAAGTGGTTGCAACTTGCGAACCAATTGAATCGTTGATATGTGCGGAAATGAAAACAAATACCACCAGCATTTAAACGATGCACAAAGAGTTACCTAGTACACCTATTCAGATTATTGTCACAGTAAAATTGTAGCCAGTCTATGCTTATTTCTGTTGAATGCCGTACCTTTTGGTTATAACTTATTATTTCCTCTTAAATTGATTGGCTCGTTTCTGGGAAAGAGGTGCAAGAAAAAAAAATTGTATGTGCCCCCTGCCTAAGGTTCTCTTTAAACTTGGCTCAAGAAGTTTTACCTCTAGGCGGGGCCTTGCCCAGCTCCTGCTGGTGTTTAGCTGTGCTCCTTCTAGCGCCCTGTCTAACTCTAGGCGGACCGTTTGGCGATGAGCTCTGGGTTAAGAGAAAATTTTTTATCAGATCACCAAGGTAACCTCTTTCCGTTATGCAAGTTTTGCAGATTGAAAAAAAAAAAAATTTTTTTGCCCTTCGTTACCAAAAACAAACAAAAAGAAACTTAAAAAGAAAATTTTGTACATAAACCTCTACAATTTTGGGTAAATCCAATACAAATTTTAAAACCTATATAAAACTCAAGGAATCCTTTTTAAATCAAGGATCATTGGGTAAAACTTTGTTCAACAAGTCACTTTCCCTACTTCTCAACAACAATTCATTGGTTTTTGGAGTTTTTAGAATTGAACTAATAACATCCTTTTCCCAAACAATTGCTTTTTAATAAACAGTTTTAGATATCTTTTATATTCAATAATATATCTTTATACTGTTTTTTTCCAAAACTAAGTGGCAAACCTCCCTCCATCCCCTAAAAACTACATCATAATTCAAAGAAAGGAAATCAATATAACAATCAACATGGTCCAACAAACTCGTAAGTCTACTCGTTCTCGTACCCTGACAACCAAAGCTAAACAATTAGAAACCACAATCAAGAAACCAATTCTCAGATCAATCACCACTATTGATGATGATGAAAGCACATATAACAATGTTAGTTTCAAGAAAAGAAGAACATCTCCATCTCCAGTTGAAGAACAAACTGAAGAAGTTTCATATTTCAATTCATCAGATTACAACAATGACATTGATGATGATGAAGTTAATGATGTTCAAAGTGATGTTTTTGATCATTCAGATGATGAAAACATATTCAATTCAGATGACGATGATTACTATAGTGCAATTTCAGATTATGAAGTGGATTCAAAACCAAAATTTATCACCAAGAATAAACCATCAATTACATTATCCAACAATAAAATCATCAACAAGAAAGCTCCATCAACTGATAAAGATGAACTACATATAATAGATCATATGAAATTATCACAATCCAACTTAGAATTTGAAGATGCTCTCTTTGACAGTGATGCATCAGATTCTTCCAGTTCCTCATCATCAGTCATCACACCAACCTCATCACATTTCAATTTCATTCATAACGTTGGTGAATTAAAATCATTGGAAGAAAATTTCCAAAAAATCATCAATGAGAATAAAAAATTAGAAGAACAAAAACCAACAATGAAAACACCAATTGAAATCATTCAAGAAGATGCAACACAAGATATCAAAACTGCTGTTAAATTTGATGAATTTGTTAATTATACTGAAGATTTATCATCAGAAGAATCAGATTTAGACTCAACACATACAACACAATCTAAAAAACCATCAATTTTGCATTATAGACATGACGAAAAGCATAATTTAGCATTTCCAGATGTCTCAACATTCCCAATCAGATATGATCCAATTCTTAAGAAAAGAACTCCAAACAACAAGTTAAGAGCTTTGAATAGAAGGGCAATTTTGTCTGGTAAAGCTAGTGAAATGGTTGGTACTGGTGTTGCTATTGGTGATTTCAACTTGTTATAGATTATTATCTTTGGTTTTTGTTTTATTTTTCAATTCTTTCATCACAACTTATTATTAATATCATTCATGTTTTTGTCATTTATTCATTCATTTGATTTTCCAGCTTATACATATATTTTTGTCGTTTATACTAATGGTTGTGTTTTTTATGGGTACTTTATGAACTTTTATTTTTTACATTTGGGATATCATTTCTGTATATAGAATTTGTTTTTATTTTTGATTTGAACTACAAGGAGTACTTAGTTAGATTTTTCATTATACATGCTTTTAACTTGGACCAGTTCGGTTCCAAGGTTATAAATATTAAAAAAATCGTGTTTGTAGTTTTCAAATGTTTATACTTTCGAGGTTTTTCACCCCCGGATAAGCCCCTTTGAGAGAATTTCCCTTGTAAGCGAATTTTATTCATTTTTTTCAACTTGATGAGCTCTTGCAGCAGTCTGGCGCCTTAAAAAAACTCTGTGGAGGGAGCCAAAATAAAATTTTCGAGAAATACAACCAACCGAACAAGTGGTTTTATAAAGTGAAAATATTTGCGTGATCATTATTGTTTTGAAATCATACTTAAAGAGTCAGATTTGGTCTCGAGAATTGATAGTCCATCCAAACTAGCTACAAGATCTTTACATTCATTCATTAACAATCAACTACACTTCACAGAGTCTCTCATTTCTTTTGACATTTATTATTATCATCCCACACTTTTCTGATAAAGGGTTTTCAGTGCTGTACAGTACAGCCATACAATTTGCATCAAATTCAAGTTATGGTTTCATTCACATCGGTATTGAAGGATACGTTCTTGCCCATTGCTCCTCCAAAAGTCAAACCATCTGATCAAGAGCAGAACTATGAACTTTCTTCAGTTTTCGTTAATAAAAATGATCAATTCGATTATGTGAAGCCGATTGATAATCCGGGGGCAGTGATCGGAAATACATCAGGTCAAAAAGAGGAGCTTTTCCATACCGACAATTATTCATTAAGTGATGCTTCAACATTAGTTACTCAAACCCAAAGAAGATTAAAGAATAGACATGTTCAATTGATTGGGATTTCTGGTGTTATTGGGACGGCTTTGTTTGTTTCAATCTCCAATGGTTTAGTAAAAGGACCTGCATTTTTGTTAATTGGGTTTGCATTATGGTGTATACCAATCTTGTGTATTACTGTATCCACTGCAGAAATGGTTTGTTATTTACCAATCAATTCACCATTTGTTAGGCTAGCTGGTCGTTGCTGTGATGATGCTTTAGAGTTTATGGCTGGTTGGAATTTTTGGTTTTTAGAATGTGTTCAAATTCCTTTTGAAATTGTTTCTGTTAATACCGTTATTCATTATTGGCGAGATGATTATTCACCAGTGATAACATTGGTTATACAAGTTGCCCTATATTTCATTATTTCAATTGTCACTGTTAAAGTTTATGGTGAAACTGAGTTTTGGTTGGCTATTGGTAAAATTATACTGGCTGTCGGTTTAATGTTTTTCACTTTTATCACGATGGTTGGTGGTAACCCAAAGCATGATGCGTTTGGTTTCCGTCATTGGAGAGATCCAGGGCCATTTAACACTTATTTATCAACGGGCTCATTGGGTTATTTCCAAGCTTTTGTTGCAGTTCTATCTCAAGCAAGTTTTACAATTGCAGGGCCAGATTATCTTTCAATGGTTGCTGGTGAAACAGTTCTACCTCGTTCATCAACATTACCAAGAGCATTCAAGCAAATTTTTTATAGGTTAACGTTTTTATTTCTTGGGGGTTGTCTATGTGTTGGTATTCTTGTTGCTTATGATGATCCTGATTTAACCGCTGCTATCAACAATAGTAGACCCGGTGCTGGTTCAAGTCCATATGTCATTGCAATGGATCACTTACACATAAAAGTTCTGCCACATATTGTCAATGGTGCATTAGTTGTTGCGGCTTTCAGCGCTGGTAATGCTTACACTTATTGTTCATCAAGAACTTTATATGGGTTAGCATTAGATGGTAAAGCTCCATTCATTTTTGCCTATTGTAATAAAGCTGGGGTGCCGATCTTAGCAGTTCTGGTTTCTTTAGTTTGGTCATTGTTATCATTTTTACAATTGAATAATAATTCAGCAGTTGTTTTGAATTGGATTATTAACATGATTACTGCTTCACAATTGATCAATTTCTCTGTTATGTGTCTTACATTCATCTTTTTCCACAAAGCAGTTAAAGCTCAAGGATTGGACCGTGATAGTTTTACTTTTAAATCTTGGTTTCAACCTTATACTGCAATTTTTGGTTTGATTAGTGCTTTCACTATGATATGGGTTGGTGGTTATAAAGTTTTCTTGAAAGGTAATTGGAATGTTGAACAATTTCTTTTCAGTTATATAGCTGTTTTCATTGATATTGCTCTTTATATTTTTTGGAAAATTTTAAAAAGACCAGCATGGAAAAAACCTGAAGAAGTTGATTTAGTTAGTGGATTGAAAGAAATTGAAGATCATGAAAGAGATTACTACCAAATGTTGGAAGAAACCAAAAAAACCAGTCCAGAAAAGACTAAAGTTCAAAAAGTTTGGAGTTCTGTTCTTGGAGTTTTAGTTGGTAAAGATTGATTATATTCAATTAAATTACAGCTGGTGTGGTTTATCGTTCACTTCTTATTTTAACATTTGATTGCAGGTTTCAATGTGTTTTTCGTTTTTAGTTATACATTTATTTATTTATATAGACACATAAAGGAGCTAGACCGCTCGTTATTGTGCTTTATACTGTTATTTATATGTTTTATCAATATTATATTCATCAAGTCAGGTATCATCTGTATTCTACAAACAGTACAATTCGCTTTTGTTAAATGTTACTTTGAAGCTTCCAGTACCTTGTTTGTTTTTGTTACGAAGTTGTCATAGTGACACAAAAACAATGCAGTGTTGCCCCATTCTCAAAAAGATTTTTCACCAGACGGTAACGAAGGGAAACTTTGAGGGCAAAATTTCACGACATCACATCGAAATCAAAACTGGTTATAACCTGTATTAGAAGGAGATGTCCTGGTTACAATAACCAGCTTTTTTTCATCCATTTATACTCCAAAATCAGGCTAGTAATCCATTATCCAACCCACTTGTTTTGGAAAAAAAAAGCATGGTAACGGGCACGCTTTGCCGACGTGATGGCAGATTTCTTGCAGGTCTGGGCTCGATCTTCATGAAGTTCAGGTACCGGCTTGTGATCTCTTGGTGGCTGGAGGTGCAAAAGTAAACAACAAACATAAAGATCAAGGCTCATGGGAGTGTTGTTAATCGTGCTACACAGGAGCCTGAACTGATCTGTTTTGATGAGTTTGTTTCACACAATTATCCTCGTCTAGGTGGGTGGACTGGGATTGCCGTTTCTATATCTGGTCTCGAGCCTACTAGATTCGGAACTCCAAGATAAAAATAGATCCTGATCACTCAGTTTTATAGTTTTCTTTCCGAGTAACAGAAGAGGAATCCAGAACGATCCAACCTCGAAGGAGCAGAAGCTTGTTTTATTGGCCATATAATCATGAGTTCTAGCAACAACGACCTTATGAGTAGTACCGCAGTACCTTCCCCTTTGTAATCAATCCCTTTGTAGACAAGCAGCTTTTGTTTTTAAGCTTTAACCCTTTCAAAAGTGGCTCGCCTTTTGGGGCTTTTCGGGTCTTTGTATCACACAAACAATTTACAAAACACAGCATGTACGCTGCTTTCTCAGCTTAGAAAACTTCCATTTCCAGGCAGAGATATGCAAGAATTGTAATCATTTAGTCAAATTGCAAAAAAAAAGAATTTGTATACGTTAAAATGGCGAGCATTTGCAACAAAATCGAAGATCAATTAAAGTTTTCCCAAATAAAACTGTGTGAATCATTTTTCACCAACACATCCAGGGTATAAATACCCATGAAATTCCCTCCAATTTTCCACCTCTTGTTTATTCCCTTCTTTCTTACAACAACAGTCAAAGTTCATTCAATCGCTTAATTTATCACAATGCAATTCTCATCATTCGCTGTCTTAGCTTTATCATCAGTTTCAGTCTTAGCTCAATCATCAGCTCAAGCTATCTCCCAAATTGGTGACGGTCAAATCCAAGCTTCCACCAACACTGAAGCTCCAAAATCAACCGCTCAAGCTATTTCTCAAATCTCTGACGGTCAAATCCAAGCCTCAACTGCTACCAGTGCTGCTCCAAAATCAACTGCTCAAGCTATCTCTCAAATCTCTGATGGTCAAATCCAAGCTTCAGCTACAGCCAGTGTTCAAGTTCAATCTGACAACGGTGCTGCTCAATTACAAGGTGCTGGTTTCGCCGCTATCGCTGCTGGTGCTTTATTATTAATCTAAGCTTAGTCTGTTGAGTTTTGTTTAATAAATATTAATACCTTTTAATCACTATTCGTTTGATACGTCAAAATTAATTTTTCAAATCTTTAATTATACCCTAATAAGACAAGTTTCAAGATTTAAATCTAATAACTGTAGCTTGAATACAAATTACTTTTCTTTGTTTTTAGGTGTACATTGATTAACATACAAGCTGATAAACATGATATTGTTTTTGCATTTTTTAGGCTCAGATCTAAAAATCGCTTTTAGACTGGGTTGCTAATTTTGTTTGGTTTTTGAAAGGGGGGGCCTTTCAGATTTATTTAAACCTACAATATACAAGGAATGAAGACTTAAAGTCTATAAATCTAATCAGTGAAAGGAATTGGGCTCGTAGCATTCAGGAGTTGGTCAAAAGCTAAAACTTTTACATGTTTTACCTTGGTGGTGAGCAAAATATCAGCTGAAGCGATCAAAAGATCTAGTTTCTAGCTCGGCGCTTAGAGCCGGGCATGGCACTTGGAAATATTGGTATAGTTGGAGAATTGGCATCCTTAAATAACATATTCAATATATTGTAAGCTGCTAGCTGATAATTAAGGTGTCGCTATAATATTAATCAATATCAATAATATTATTAACCTCCCTCATTTGTAATTGATTCATTAACAATTGTTTTCCCAATTATTATCCCAAATATTTTATCTCTATTCCAAGCTCCATTAAATTTTCCTGATCAGTTCTTTAGCTGGAGGTTCAGTAACCTTAGAAGCAACTAATAAACAAACCATTTGGACTTCATCTGCAATGCGAGCACTTGAGCGCCAGCTCTGGTACACCCCAGTACAATTTGGCACGTCTGGTCACATGACTAGATTTTCAAACGTAAATAATTAAACAACCCTATATGACACAAATATAAATAAAATACATGTATATAATATTCAGCTTCGAAAGATCACAATAATCCACAATTCGTGTTTATTTTGGACTTTTTGTTTTCGTTCTTACAATTTCAAGAATTTTAACGACGTATGTATCTTTAATCTATAATACAAATAGGGGTATCACTCTGTTTCTTACACAACATTTCTTGAAACACCCCAAAAATACATTCATATTATAGATATTTCACTTTTATAAAGACTGATTAATTTTAATATATATATTATCTAGCAAAGTATAATAAATAATTCTGCTTGAAAATGAGAATTTCGAGTGGTAGGTTTTTTTTCATTTTCCAATAGTTAATTTCGGCCGCGAAATCGCGAACTAAGGATATTTGCACAAAGAACAATAAGTACGGAATACTGAGTTCAGTTCATATGCTGGCCTATTAAAATTGGTACCATTACGATATTTGGAAGTTAAAGTTCAAATAGACAAAAAATAAAGGATCTTTGTATCTATACATTAATAACTTTACCATAATTATCAATTCTCAAAAGAGTCAATCACCAGAATCAAGAACCCATGTTATCCCATGCGAACCATTATGATGTATGATATGCCTCCTGTCTAAGCTGCAAATAAATTATTTTGTCACCAAAAATGCTTGAAATAGATTATATCAAACTTAAATATAAGATTATCTTCATGGAATCAATAAATTTACTAGTATAGCTTAGAGCGTGTTGTCCAAACCGCTTTATGACTAAGCGAATAGGTGAGTTTCAAACAATTGGGTATACCAAGCATTAAATTCATCCAATGTTCACTGAGAACTATTGCTAAGTGTATTAAATACAACCAGAGCGCTTCCTCTAAAACTCATTGGAATTGAATTCATCAATATTACCCATCAATTCAACCGATTGAAAGATCAACAGAGATAGCTGCTTTTTGAAGGTCATATTTCTTGTTTCAAAGGCATAATAGGACAACAACATCCTTGTCAACACATACATGATGTCTTTCAAATCAATTGTGATAACTTATTTGATAGGTGGGCTAACTCTACCGCCATTGCTGGTAATTGGTGTACTCTACCTTTTGAGTGTTACTTTACCGTACTATGTTGAAGATAAAGATGATCAAAATAAAGAAGATGATGATGACTTGTCTGAATTTTCGAACCTTGAATACAAGAACCTCAAAATGACTGAAATTGAGGATCTCCAAACTAGCGGTGTCAAAGCATTCAAGGCTGGCTGGATCACTGTCACCAGAGAATACCACACTTTTGTTACTAATTCTAATGACAAACAGCTGGAGAACAAAGAGAATGAACCAAAGTCAGCATATACGGCATTATACAGGTTGGTGAAGAATAACAAGAAATCAAATCAATCCAATGATACTGTTGACACATCAGTGTCTTCCCCAGCAGGATCAACAACAAATGTTGAAAAAAATATGAAAAAGGCTGTTCGTCGGAAAAATAGATACTTTGGAGTCCTAAGGCACGGGAATTTATTTCTATACAAGGATGAGAATCAACAAGATGTACAACATGTTATAGTTTTATCAAACAACATTGTCACTTTATGGCCAAGAGACCTGAGAGATGGTGAGCTATATACTAAAAGAAGTGCAATTTGTATTTTGAAGAGAAATCCAAGAAGAAATTCAGATTTACCTCCAAAAGATTCAAGTGCATCTTTGAACTATAATAATGATATTGAGTCAACTCTAGATATTTTGAAGAGTGGTGTTATTCCTCCAAAAAGCATGGGATTTTTCATTTATTGTGACACCAACTATGAAAAAGAAGATTGGTATTTTGAGTTGATCAAGGCCACTAAAAGAGAGAATTTTCAACCAACAGGTACAGATCTGGATCTACTTGAGCCTTCAATCTATGCAAATGCTTTACACTTTAAGACTGCGGATATGATCAATTTGATTCAAACTTTACATTCATCAGAAGGTCAATTGCAAACTCGTTGGTTAAACGCTTTGATTGGAAGATTGTTTTTAAGTGTTCAATTCACAGAATATTTCGAAGATATTGTGAGAACCAAATTGTTGAAAAAGTTGGCTAAAATCAACAAACCTGGTTTCTTGGATGAGGTTAAGGTAAAGAAGATCGATGTCGGTAATTCCGCTCCTTTCATCAGTTTTCCCAAATTAATTGAGTTGAACCCGGATGGTACACTTAAACTATCTATGAAGTTTTCCTATACAGGCAAATTATCATTACAGGTTGCTACAAAAGTCAATATCAATTTAGGCTCCCACTTCAAAACCAGGGAAGTCAGTATTTTGCTAGCTGTCACGCTAAATAAGCTTGAAGGTCCATTGCTTGTTAATGTCAAGTCTCCTCCATCAACTAGAATATGGTATACTTTTGAGTCCATGCCAACAATGGATTTGAAAATTGAGCCTGTGGTTTCTCAACGTCAAATTACATATGGTATGATAACAAAAGTCATTGAAAACAAGTTTAGAGATGGTATCAAAGAATCTTTAGTACAACCGCATTGGGATGATATCACATTTTTTGACACATCGGAAGAGATTTATAGAGGTGGTATTTGGGATACTACCAAGAGACCGGACAATGATACCCATAGTGTTTCAGATCCTGAGGAGGAAGAGATTTTAGGTGAAAATGAAATCGATGGGAACTCTGAATTTGGTGTTGATGATGGCGGTATTGAATCCCCTACAAGTACTGCTGGAAATGACTTCAGTAAGTTACCTGATGATACAAGCTCAGTGAGATCTAGAGGAACCTTGGGCTCCAACACCGTGAGATCCAAAGCATCATTTACAAACAGCATCACAAGTGCAAAAAAGACAAATCCAACGATTGGCACCTCAAATGAACAGTTTTTGTCCAATGGCTCCTTTGTGTCCAAAGAATCTAGCGCTCCCTCTTCACCAACAAAAGAATTGAATAAATCAGATGAAACATTGTCAGAGAGGGAAAGAATTGGTAGAAACAGCACAATGCAACTGCTATCTGAAGAAGCTTCAGCATCTAAAAAAACAATTTCAAATTCATTCAAAAAGATTGGAAAGTGGTATGAAAAAAATCGCAATAGTTCGTCAAATGCATTGAAAACTCCAGAAACCAATGGCACCACTAAACATTACACACCACCAGAGATGATTCAATCTAGAAGGAGAACACATTCAAGCACAAGTCATGATTCCCCAAGAGCTGCCACGAGATCAACTAGCAATGGTGACCTCAGATCTGTCGAATCCCAAGAAAGTTATAATATGAAGGCAGCTCCTCAGGCACATACATTCCCTGCTGAGTATTTGTATGGCCTGGAAACCAAAGAACCAGATTCAGAAGTTGGAATGAAGCATAACCTCCCGCCAAAGATTCCAGAAATGAAGTCACCCTATGCGAATAGTGATATTCCTACATTCAAGGAAGAAGATTCTAGCTCACAGAAAAAAGTATTTTATCCCAGAAGAAAGCCAGTTGAAGAAGATCTTGCTGCCTCAACACCAATTGAGACTAACACCAGAGCCAAAGCTGTGCATGCTGTTCCGCCTCCTCTTTCATCTTCAGGCACTACAACAACAAACACAGCTCCACCCCCTTTGCCTAAAAGAGATTCATCAGAAGTCTTGGAAACTTTGAACAAGAAAGACTCAGAAGTTTCAAAAAGCGTTGGTAATGAGACATTGAGCTCAATTTCATCAAACTTGCCAATACCTCCTCCTTTACCAGCTAGGGAAATATCTGCTGCTTTACCGAACAATACTGACAATACCGCGTCTGAAGACGTCACTGAAGAGCGAGAAATCGACAATGGTGATTCACAATATAATAAAGACCTCGAAATCGCAATTCAAGAGAGCCTCATGGAACAAGAAGAAGAAAATGTTCCAAATATTGATGAAAAAGTCGAATAATTTTCAAAAATAAAACGATGTTACGAGTTGCTTGATGTAGAAGCATAGTTATAAATTATTCATTTATATCACCAGAATGCCATCCAACCTATATACATTTGGCATAAATTCTCTAGCGATGTTGCTTGTTGAATAAGAAATTCAGCTTGACCTTGGATACTCATTGGCAATCCTTCTTTATCCAAAATACCTCTGATTTTTCTTCTGATTGTTGATAGTGCTGATTGCGGAGTATTTCTTGTCTTTCTTTTGTGAGACCAATCCATAATAGGATCATGCAAGAAACTTTCCAATATATTCATCAAAGTTGTTTCATTACCACGCAATAACGTTAAAGTGACCTCACAAGACTTTCTAAAAGTACCCTCTACACCAGTAATTCCGAATGCATCAACCATATTTCTAGTCAACCTGAAAGGTACACGTTCGGGAACTGTCAACTCCAAACCTTTCTCAAAAAGACAGTCAAAGTCAACATGTAAAATCCCACCATCTTTTTCATTGAACAATAAGTTTTCACCATGACGATCTCCCAAACCCAACATATAACCAACCATAGACATTACAGCTGTAGTTCTAGTGTAATTGTTTCTTGCGTCATACCAAGAAGAAGGATCAGGGAAATTTTCAATGAACCAATGGTATAAAACAGGTGGATATTGGTCTAAGATATCCTTTTTAAATAGAACAGCTTTCTCAGAAACGTCACAATCCTTATCCAAAACTTTTCTAATAGTGGCTATATCTAACCCCAAATTGACATTAGAGTAGTGTACTTTTAAAATATCTCTCATAGTACGACTATTTTCAACCCATTCAATAATACCATAATTTTCATTCAAAGGGATAACAGCATACGTTTTGATGTGTAGCTTCCGCTGTTCTGATTCATAATCTTTTCTTAGCAAGTGATCAACCATGGTAGTGAATTCCATTAATTTTGCATCTTTCCGTAAATCATCATTTGGTTTACACAAAATACTATAGGTTTGACCATTTGAGCCTCTCAAGTACAAGTGTCTAGGCTGTTGCATTGATGATAAAACATCAACCCTGTTATCAAATCTGTTGATTGTTACTCTTGATGTACTAGGGAAAGGGTTATGGTATTTCAAGGCTTGGACTGATGTTGGCAAAGTGATATCAAAATTGATTTTTGCTGGTACAACCAATGGACAAGGAACAGATGTATGGTCAAAGCCGAAGTCATCTTTTAACGACAAGGGTCCTTTGACTTTTGGTAGTTGCTTCTTGGAAACTTCAATGAGTTCATTGAAAATTTTCTTTGCAGCTTGAACAGTTGTTGCATTGCTTATACTCGAGTTTTTGGACTCTGAGGAAGTGAACAAATCTATAATTTTTTTAGCCTTTCTTGATCTTTCAGCCTGTGTTGATTTATACTGAGCTAAAAGGGACCACAAAGCATGTTCAGGATATTCCAAGACAACTTGATTTGCAATCATAATGATTAACTGACTTGTGACCTTGTTTGGATGAAGAATCCTGGATAGTAACTGAGAAAAGACCGTGTACCAGATGTATTTAGGCAGCTTTTCTGAAGCCTTAGCAATATCATCATGTATACTTTGCAGATGCTTCCTTCTTTCAGCTAAAACAGTCACTTTAGTTGTATCCTGTAGCTCACCTGGAACTTCGGATATGTTAGCTGAAAAGTCTAGCCAAACAGTAACGACTTTTGGTAATGCTTCATATAGATATTTGATTCCACATTGCATTGCTTTGAGATAAAAGCTGATTGTTTTGCGTTCATATTCTCCAGATATATCTCTTGGGTTTATCTTTTCAGAAGTTGGTGAGGTTTTTAAATCCAAAAGCTTATTATAATATTTACCTAAAGCATAATAACCCTTTTCCCAGGTCGAATCCAACTTGATCGTAGCACTATACTCTTCAATGATCTTTGTGGAGCTGCTGTTATTGGAATAGTCTATCCATTTGGTGTATTTCAGTTGTATTTCAGCTTTTCCTCTCTCTGATAAAGGTCTTTCTTCATTTTTCAAATCCTCCATGAATTTTAAAGCTCTTGAATGATCACCTTGGGCCCATAAAAGCTTAGCATATTCTAAGTCTGTATTGGAATTACCTAGTCTGATAGCATTCATAATAGCAGAGCTTGAAAGATCCAATCTGTTATGCTTTCTAGCGATTTTGGCAGCAGACACCCATGTGTCACTAAGATCAGTTAAATTAAAAGAATTCCCAGCCAAAAAATCAGCAACCTTTCTCAAAGATGAAATATACCAATTTGCCATAAAGTCATTCCCTGTATTTTCCAGTCTAAGATCCATCAATGAGGCAAGGCTATTAAAAGTATGTGTGCTAGATTGATGTGAAATTGCAGTTATATCACTCAAAGAATGAAGGACAACCAACATCGGACGACTTTTGTTCAAAGTAACCGGTCTGTTCATACTTAATCGTCCACCAATTAACATATGAGCGTTTTCAAGAGAGCTTTCAAACATATCCATCTTTTGGTCCTTCCAATATAACAAAGCCTTACCAATATGATAATTAACAAGTAGCTGACTATCGTTTATTTCTTCAGAGCTTTCAAATAAACGAACCCATTTCAGCAAGCTTTCAAGGTTTCCAGATAACATGGAAGTTTCCATCCCAATATTGAGCCAATCTTTTTTTAAAGGTTGTGAAGTGATGATCAATGAATCCAATTTTTGCAAAGTACGGTCATAAAGATTATGGTTATAAAATGAGTTGAGAAGCCTAGTATTAGCATCGATATCAACATATTCACCATTTGAGGAGCCCAATGCTTCAAAACAATCTTGTGCCATTTTCCATTTATCACTGTATTCAAGTTCGGTAATTCTATCATTCAAGCTCTTTGTAGAAAAGTTTTTCAAAACACCATCAAGTGCATCAATATCACCAATGTTGGCATACATGTTTTGCATAGTTGTGAAAAATGAGTCACCGAAATAATCTTGATATGAATCAGTTCTATAACACTGCTCCATATAAAGTATAGCTCTTTCATATGAATTTGACTGTAGAGACCTCATGGCCATCAACTGCTGTGGAATACTGTCTAACAAATCCGAAACGGCCTTTATTGCAGGATCAGATTTCTTTATATTTCTTCTCTTTAGCAATTGTTTTCTAGCAAAAATCCATTTTCTGAAGTAATCCAACAAGTTGAAGATTGATTCATAACATAGTCTCAAACTATCAGCAGCTAAATGATGAACTTCTTTCAAACTGACTGATAACACCGCCATGATTTCTTTCTTGATGTTTTCAGCTTCATGTCCATTAGTTTGTGAGATTGTCAGATTCAATGCAACATAAGGAAGAATGAAAGTACAAAATGATAAATCTTGATCCTTAACAAGAGACGAGCACACAAAAAATATCGGTTCGGCATTATTACCCTTGGCTTTCTTCAATAGATCAAGTGTGAACTGGCGTAACCATTGGGAATGCTCTTTGGTCACTTTGTAAATTGGATACTTCAAAGGATCATAGTTACTGACACTAGCACTGTATTTGGACGAAACCAATGGTGTTAAAGTGGACTTTGAAATATCAGTAAATTGAGACCAAAGCAAATACTCATGAGAGCTCTTATCTAAGCTATCAACCTTGATTCTTGATGAGTCTAAGCCACACAGTTTTAAAAACTCTTGCATTGCATACGCCAAAAACAACTGCTTACCAGGATCCTCAGAGGCCCAGAAAGCCGGAACCAAATTCTGGTCAATGAACTTTAACAAAAATCGAACTGTCTCTTTAGGATCTTCAAAATCAGAAGCAATAATCAATTGATCTCTCTTTTTCTCAATCTCATATTTAGTTGGATCTAACGCACCAATTAAACCTAAACATTTTGAGCATTGGATAGTGATATCATTGTTAGATTTGAATTTATGAAGAATATCCAACAAAACAGCATACAAGGTGGAAACAACTGCTGCGTATGATTGTCTTGGTAAGAATGTAGTGTAAAAATCAGTTTGATATTGAACCAAAAATCTATTCAAATCCATCAATGCTTGCTTAACAACAAATTTGTTATCATTTTTACATCTTCTTGAAATATCATAAAGTAAAGAGTTTGGCCTCTCATTCTTCCTTATTATTTGATGAACTTTGGTGTAAAGGTCTAGCAACTCATCATTGTCAGACAATGAGAAAAAACAATGAACGTGTTTTGTTCTGAAAAGTTCTGATTTGTCAAAAAAAGCTGACAAAAGAGTTTTTGCTTCCTTTCTGCACTTAGAGTTGAAGCTTTCCCATCTTTGTAAAACAATGGCCAAAGAGAGATCCAATATAGTGACTAAATGTGACTCTTCTAAATGTTGCACTAAAATTCTCCAGCACCTCAAACAAGATTCTCTCAACAAATCTATCTCTAAAGCAGCTTGAAGACATGTACTGATTTGTGGTAAAGCTGATACAATAGAGGAGCCAGCAATTTGTACTAGCAATTCAATGGCATTTAAAGCTTTTACTTTCTCCACGTAAGGTTGCAAACCCTTGGTATCATGTATAGCGTCTGAAAACTGCTGAACAACACCTAAAATATGCCTTTGAAAGAACTCCGCCAACGCAGCCGATGTTGATTCCCCAGTAGAGGTGATATTAAAAATGAAAGCAATTGCTTTTTTAATCTTTTCTTGGTTCTTCAATTCAATTGAGTACATTTTGAGCAATTCCCATACAGTTGGAATCAAAACAATCAAATCTGCCAATGCTAAATTTTTAAGTTCGGGACAAACATTTGATAAAATGCTATGGAGCTTACCTTCTGTCACATCAACAACACTAGTTAATAAAACAGCGAATATTTTTGCCCTGTTGTCTAACACTAATTCAATTTTCTTCTTTCCAGTGGCTTTGGCAATTTCACTAATCAAATCATTCTTGTAATATGTCAAAAGATAAGGAACAGTTTGAGTTTCAGTTCTTGCCAAAATCGTACTCACTGAAACACCCACTAACTCTGAGACTCTTTGTCCCATTGTTGGCTTTGTGAGTAGTTGCTTGGCTATTGTCAAACTGAGGTTGGACATGAAAGGTGCCAATAACTGCCAAGGGGTTTTGTCTTTAGCAGCTGCGATTATTTGAAGTTCATGGAAGGCAATTGACGATTGAAACGAATTCTGGGATCCCAAAAAATCAATCAATTTGAACAAGATTGCATTTAGCCTTTCTCCTTCAGACGCTATTGCTAGTTGACCCCAAATCATTATAGTTGACTCCGCTAGATATAAATTCTCATGCATATTAATGCTATTTAACAGTTTGAAAATAATTTCAGAATTGGAGTCATCAATATTATGCTTTGAGATGAAATATAAAGGCATGATTCTAGCAGCTAGTAATCTTATATCTCTATTTTGTGATTGGATATGGGAAGCAACGAACTTGTAAAATTCACAATTTGAGTCAGCTTTTGGTGGTTGATAGTGTGCAAATATTTTATAAATTGTGAGCAAAGTTGCCATTGATAGTACAGTGTCCCCATTTACCAATTCATCAGGCAAAAAATATCTGGATAGTAATAAATATGCCAATTGAACATCTTTGTTTTTTTCAATTGGTGAGCGATCTTCTTTAATGTGTTGAAGATTTAGAGTAGTTTTGCAGCAAACCGAACAAAGACCAGTTTTACCATTATAGAAGTTGTCATTCATACAAAAGAAATCACCTAAGGAAGTAATTATGTTATAATAAAACACCTTTGGAGCAGCTTTATATTTCTCAGGTGGTTGTTCTAATGATTTTTTGGCAGAGTTGATCCATTTAGTAAGTGTATTGCAATCAGGAGGTATTTCCAATCTCAAGTTATTCATCATAATCAGGGTGTCACTCTTTTTTACCAATTTGGAAATGATGCTGAGCCGTATTGTTTCAAGACTTTTATCTTCAAAGGCAGTGGTTGTGGAAGTACCACAGTCTTGCCCATTAGCCAACGCCAAAGCGTATTCAAGAAGCTCAAAAGTTTTGACAAATGAGGAACTGAAAGATGACACACGATCAACAACCTCTTTGGTATTCTTCAAAGATAATGAATTTTTGAAAAGATCTTGATTATTTGTATCTAGACATTTGCTGAGTGTCTTGAGCAATGCATATGAAATAGTGTACTGTGTGGATGGATGTGATGGAAGAGTTGGTGAATGAATAGTTTCATAGCATAATCCTAAAAACAGCTTTAGCCTTGGATACATGATATATTCGCCATTGATTGTGTAGTTGAGGATACTGGAGATCAAATGGGACCTTATAGCGTCAATTTTGTCATTTTTTATGGAATTCTGTAAGCCTGAAATGATATAATCCAATTTTCTTGCTGATGATTCAAAAGTCTGATCATAGAATGATTCAATCATCATCTTTGCCCGTAGCTCTTGATCTGTAAGCAACGAAAGCAAATTTGTAGATATTGATAATATGTTGATGAGTTTTTCTTCAATGGAAGTTTTGAAAAGACTTGTCAAGTAAGAATCAAAGGTTGTTAGAAAAAAAGTCCTTATATCTTTTTTATAGCTGAAAAGACGTAGTTTTGCTGTAATGATATGAATCATGGTTATGACAGTTTGTTTCACATTATTGACCAAAACAAAATCATTTGTAGCAAGCAATGGTATTAATGAGTTCAAAATCCACTTGTAGATCACAACATTTTCATCTTCTGATTCTCTATTCAATAACAGCGGTTCTCTTTCACAAATCAATTCAATAGCAGAGAGACATTTTCCGACCCATTCGGTTTGACTTGTACCTAAATAATGTTAGAGATAATGAATTCCAGTTTTGTTTTGCAAAAATACACACCTTTTGGCCTATGTTTCGATTGAATTCCGTGTTTAATGATAATAGTAAGTAGCTTGAGTTGGGTTTCTGAAGAATCATCTTCTGAGCCGCCACTCAGCACAGTATCGACGAGCTCGTTCAAAGCATCAACTGCTATAGTGGTTCCACTGGACATTGACTATTGATGGCAGCAGTCATCCAAACGAGCGTCGTTAGTGCGGTTATTGGAAGCTTTTATCAGCTGAAAAGGTTGAAGAGTGAAACTTGCAAAAGTTGTTTACTCGATTTCAATACGCGAAAAAAAAATCTAGCTTGGTGAGAAATCTGAATATACGATACAACGAAAAAGTTCTACAGACCTACACTTTCAAACAGTTTTTTGCTTTTAACTTTTTTGTTTGTTCGTATTAGTTCGTTTTCTTTGTAAATAGGCTCCATTTTTACTTTAATCTACTTGATCAACAAATTGGATTATTCAAAACTGGGAAAATTATGCTGTGATTTGTGGAGTATTTGTGATTGGGGAAAGATGATGATCCAACTTTTAAAGTGCTTTAGAATTTGTGAGAGAAATAAGGGTATACCATAGGTATTTGACTGTTTCTTGAGTTGATAAAGGACATATTCAGTGATTTGGAGCTGAGATACTTGTTGTTAAGATCTATTGCCCAAAATTAACAGGACGTCTTTGACTGTTAGTACTTATCATAAAATGAAATTCAATTGAATGGTTACTCACTTGAAAAGAAGGATATGTGGTTCTGGAGCTGAGAAAAAGGGATCAGTTAGTATTCAAATTAGACCTAGAAAGATAGCAACAACAACATACCATGAATTTCATAATGTTCCCAACCTAATGATTGTGTTATACCTAAACCACGCCATTCATCTTCAGTTAAAATTCGCAATGTACCAGTTTCTGAGTTGAAATAATCACTTGGAATAACTTTTAGCATAGCTTTTGGAAGCATGACATGACTATTATTTCATTTTGTTAGAACTGTTCAATTAAATTCCTATCTGAAAGCATAGCATCCAAAAAGAAGATCTTAGACATACCGGTATTCATATTCATCATCAGAGTACCTGATGGAAGGTTGTTAGTTAAAGATCAAGAAAGAACGATTGTGTCCTGTGATGAGGAAACCACAAACAAAAGAACAACAACAACACGTACCTTGGAGAATAATGTATTGAGTCCTGGAATTCAAACACTCTAACTCGTTCAGAGTCTGTAAGCTGGCGGCCTCTGAAACTCATTGCAATACACAAAGTAATTACCAACGAATGTGTGAGTTATAAATCTATCTCAACCTTGGTGTTTCTTCTTTACGCGTATTTTTTTTTCACCAAAGTCAAAACACAATGTGGCATTTACCGATTAATGGATAAGATCGGATAATTTCCTAATTTGGGTTATTATTGATGTTTTTCACTTCGATTCTCGACGCGTCTGTTTATTTTCAGTTGAAAAAATAACAAGCCGAAACAAAAGCATCGAAAGACAGACTTGAAACAGGCCTGTTTCATCATAAAACATTAGTAACAACAGGTTTGGAAAACTTTCTGTGTTAGTCTCATTTTCTCAAAGCATTCATCCTAATTTGCATCCTTTCATATTTTTCAGCCCTCCTCAGCGAGTTTTCCCCTTCAGAAGTTTCTACGTTCTTTTCTTGCTTTTTGTTAAACTAGACATCGTTGATCTTCACTTTACCAAATTGAGGTTTATATTTAAAGAAAGCAGGTAACTCTGTTTTGAGATTTGAAACTCAAGAGATCTCATAGGAAGGAATTCAACAAAGTCCATCCATAATTAAGACTGTTACCAAAGAAGTTTTGACAATATTGAGCTTGTTCAAGATATTGATGTTCTATATAAGATGTCAAATGATCTAGGGTCCCCATACATAGGTATTAAACCCACTTTGTCAACAAAAGCCACTGCAGGTAAAAATATTGTTTTAGTTGAGCAATATGTTGAAACTGGTTATGATTATGTGCTATTAGCTATAACGAATCCAAATTATCGTGAGAAATCAAAAAAGATCTTTCACAGGGCTAAAACCTCAAGTGATATAACTGTTCCTTCCCCAAATTTGAATGATGTAAATATATTTGCTGGTTCCCAAATCAGTAATACTATTGGGTTACTATCAAGTTGGATTGAACTAGAGAGTGATGATGAATTAATAGCTGAATTTTCCAAACAAGTGTTGATTAACGAATTGGAATATGCCAAATTCATTGGGCTTAAACATATTATAATGGCACCACCGAAAGACCTTTTGAAGTTATCAAACTATTCCAAGAGCATATATGATGCGTTAGATATTACAGAGTCTCACCATATCACTATATCAATCTCATTACCTTTGTGCGAAGATATTGAAGGTCTTTCAAGTCGGCCGCAACACATCGATTCCTTAAGCACTTGGGATATGTGGAATTCAATTAGAACTAACGCTGACTATAACCCAAGATTGAAAGTTTCATTGGCATTACCAAAATCAGGAATACCCATTACAGTTGTTGAAAGGTGGTTTGCAGAACCTGTGTCTGTATTGTTAATGTCATCATCGATATTCATTTTGAATAACAAAGGTTATCCTGTTTTATCAAAAACAAATCAATCTTTATTGCATCATTTTCATATTAAAAAACCTATTTATTTATTGCATGGTCTAGATAAGATCCCAGAAGAAGTTGATCCTTCAGCATATATGACTTACATCAATTATATTCTTGTTAGAAATCAACCACCGATGTCAAAAATTGACAAAGTTTCCTCCAAGCATCATGACGTTTTATTGCCTCCATTACAGCCACTAGCCACTCATCTTGATGATTTCACTTATAGTGTTTTTGAAGAAGATAATGTGAAGTATGATCTATATGGGAAGGCAATATATTGTGCATTGTCAGATTTATCTCATTTGAATAATATCAATATAGCTATAGTGGGTGCTGGGAAAGGTGGATTAGTTGATGCTGCTTTTGATGCTGTTACTAAACTTGGAATCAATTCTAGAGTCAACATAACAGCGATCGAAAAGAATAATTCTGCTGTTATTTATTTAAGCAAAAGAAATTTTGATAATTGGAATCAATCAGTTGATATTTTAAATGTCGATATGAGAGATTGGTCTCCCAAAGAGAGTTATAATATAATTATCAGTGAGCTATTAGGAAGTATGGGATGTAATGAATTATCACCTGAATGCCTTTACCCTTTGGAAAAGTGCTTGGATAAAGTTCATGGTTGTTTCATTCCAGAATCTTATACTTCCTTCATTGCACCAACATTCACTCCAAAACTATACAACACATTGAAATCAGAAGGGAATGAGATCGCATTCCATAAGCAGTATGTCGTGAAACAGTTAGAATCATGTTTATGTTCCACAAAGATCAATGATATATGGACTTTTCATCACCCCTTTTCAAATTTCTTGAAAACTCACAAGAAAAGAACTATTTCAACATTCAAAATCCGTCACAAAACCGTCATTCATGGTATTTCTGGATTCTTCACAGCTAAGCTGTACAAAGATATTGAGATTTCAATCAGACCAGATAATCATACACCAGATTTAATCTCATGGTTTCCCTTGTTTTTTCCTCTAGAACAACCATTATATGTAACTGATGATACTGAGCTGGAGATTTTGATGGTTAGAGAATCCTCCAACGGAAAAGTTTGGTATGAATGGAGTATTGAAACATTTATGTATCTGGTTGTACCTGGTGAGAGTTCAAATGAATTTCAAATGCGCGTAAGAACTGGCGTAACGAAATTGCACAATCACAGGGGAAAAGGTTTCTCAATGGATTTGAACTTGAATTATTTAACGAATTGAATGAATGATAGTCAGTCTCATGAAATCTTTTAAATATGTAAATAGCAATACCTTTCAATCGATTCACTATTACCGGCATCTAGTTGGAACTTAAGTGTCAAATTCCAGTGATTCAAACCTAATTTAACAAATTTGATAACTTGATAGCTGAGTCGCTAGACACACCATTGACTTGGCAGCTGACTTTTCACTTAAAATGTACTTAGATCATACAGCGGCTGGTGGAGACTGGATTCTAGAGTAAATCGAGCTGTGTATCGTAAGTATCGAGTAATGGGAATCGAATTAAAATCAGTCAAGAATAGAAGAGGGTTATTTTGCCAGTTGTAAAGTTTTTCAACGCATACCAGCTTTTATTGACAGATTGGAGCATTAAAAGAATTAGAAAAGAAGTTAGAATCAAGTAGTAAACAACAAACAATATTGAACCTTATACTGAAAATCTCAAGCAGCACCGAACTTTGAAGTCTGATGCACACTTCATTATTCAAAAGTTGCACATGTAATTGTAACCCTATAGATTGCCCTTCCACAACCGGAAATATATATGACCTTGTTACTTGACACCCTTTAATCGTGACCTAAAGGCCATCACTTAGCCTCTAGATAAAATTAATGGGTGGTTTGATCATGATCTTCGAGATCTTGAAATTCTGACACAAAATTTTGGGCCAACAGTTTTTCCGAACACCTGGCGCAATAATTCCATAAAAATCCGCGCCATGTACCACTATAACTTACAAGGCGAACAGTGAATCATTGTTAATTGGTATTAGAGTAGCGTTAAGCTGTTTTTGACCTGGGTCATATTACACAAGCTGCCACATATAATCGACCACAACTTAATATAGCCGTGTCATTTCCTTGGTGTTCATTGTTGTTGCTGAGTCAAAAGTCGATATGGCCCATGAGGCAAAGAATTATATCTGGTCAAACATAACTCAATGTTGATTGCAAGTAATCATAAACTAGATATCTACTCATGATAACTCAGCTTATTAATTTATGCGGGAATTAATTGAAACACCGAGCTATCCAGATCAATGTTTGAGTATGCCTTAGATAACTTCATCGACACTATTCAATTGGAAAACTAATTGATGTCCGCAGTTTCATTGAATTTATCAAAAAAACTCTAGTAGAATTTTAGGATCACATTCTACAATTAAGTATAAATAAAGCATTTAGACATTTGCTTTAAGATTCGATCTTGGTCTAATTCAATTGAAGATACTGATAAGATTCAATGTAAACAGAGATTGTCAAATTTCAATACAATCAAGGTTTGAATAGTATTTTGAAAGCCGTCTTTTAAGCTTTGCGACTGTGATCCTAAAGAGTAAAGAGTCAACACTCAAGACCATTTAGAAAAATGCTTTATTTGCTCTTCGAAGAAAACATCGAGATCAGTTCGAGCTGCTGTACTTGAGCTTATTTCGATTCTTCCTCTAGAGTCTAGAGTCGACATTCAAACCGATCTGAAGCGTGATTCAAAGGTAACTATGGGGTCATATTTCTCTAACGTACCTATGATTCCGACTCAACTGCAGCACACTAGGTGAAAGTCAAGCTACAGCTTGTTGTTCTAGCACAAAAAGCTAAAAGACTAAATCATGTCATCTTGTTCGGTGCATGCCTTATAGTTATTTGTGTACAATTATTTAATTTTCGCGTACGTATTACGGAAAAATCTGACGTTTATTTTCGATTCGGAAAAACTTTAATGGGGCGTTTCTTTTTGAGTGGAAGCTTACACCTGGGTGTAGAACATCAAATAACTCAACATAAGAGATCTATTCTTTGTTTCTCCAATGTTTTTATATTTGATTGAGAAAGATTAGTTGTAAGCCATTCAGATTGGTACCTTAAACACCAACTAGTACTTTATTGTTTGTTTGTTGTGATCTCATCAAAACGACCGTTGTTTCTCGAAGCTCTTCCTCTATGATTTTAGTTGAAGTTTTTCCGAAAAAGCGGTAGGGGTCACAATTTGTCCGATGAAGCATACATGAAACCGCTTTTTGTCCATTCTTTGATGATAACTTCAACCAAAAATAAAAAAATGATCATTCATCAAAGGAAAAAAAGTATCATGATTTTTCCAGTGTTGAACAGAACCATAAACATCAACTTTCAAAGGCCTACAAACCAAAATGAAACGTTCACTATCAGTACGATGCTAGCCAGCTTTTGGGTGGTTGAAAAAAAATTTTCACTCCGTTGTAACCTTGAAGCTTGAATATCACGATTCACAGTATAGTATCTAGTTACACGTTCGAACTACTTGATCCAGCATCATTAACACTGGTGGTAGATGACTACATACGGTATAGAGTCTTGATGTATATCCCATCAAATGAAACTTGTTTTCTCGTGGCATTAGCTATGTGATTAGAAGTGTCTTTTAGTACGACGTTATGTGTAATTACTGTGTCTCTTTTTCTTTGAAAAGTGGTGTAGTTGAAGTGAGGAGTCTTGTCGATGTTGATGTTGAGCTTCGAGTGTATGTGAAGATATGTCAATTGTAATAGTTTAAAGGGTTTTGACGTTTTCTTTGTGTGGTGAGTTTTCTCGAGAATTTCCAACAAAGTCGAACTCCGATAAAAATAGACGAAACGGGAAAATCTAAGAGCACTAGCTATGAACCGAGAACGTTTTTTTTTGATAGATCGTAGGAAGTAAATTTGAACAAAGAAGCCGAGTGGGAGAGATCTATTTTTCCGTATTCACTGTATTGAAACTAAAATTTGAATCGAAAAGTGGGTAGCTTTTTTTTTGCGAGAGAAGTTGTAGAAATGGTGAAGTTCGTGGGTAGGAGTCTTAAATCAATCATATGTTTTTTTGCTCAGTGCCATCCGCGAATTCTAGAAGGTGTATAGAAATCCAGAACAAATTCGCGGGTACTTTATGAAACGAAAAACTTGTTGAGAAGGAAGATACGTACACAACAACTTCAAAGGATAAAAAGGTGAACGAAGCAACGATATGCCAATTGAGACCCATAAACCTGATTCAATCTTCAATCTCATAGCTTTTGAATAACGAATCAATTCTTGAACCAATTGATGTACGCTTGTATGTATAATTGTTGAGTCTCTACAAAAAAAGTTGAACACGTAAGTACCTTCTCCCCCCCTTAAGTAAAGCCTTATTATTTTCCAACCTGAAAGAAAATTTCATGATTGAAATATTTGTACCTACAAAATTGATTATACTGCTTATCTTGATCAATTCTTCTCAACTCCTGTTGAATTGTGAAAGTGAGGAATCTCCCCGCTTTTGTATGTAATCTAGCGAGAAATTATATTTGGAACAAAGGCTCCCGTCCAAGGGTGAAGTTCCAGTTGGTGCAGTTGATGTGGTTGAAGGCAGCGTTTGTTGCGGTGAAGCTGGATAGGGAGCTCAAGCCTCGAGAAATCGAGAACCAAGATCCGAACCAGCCTGAGCACCAACAGCAGAACAAGCTCACTACAGTTTCAAAACCCTCACAGTCTGATCGACCCATAGACATGTTCACCTCAGAATGAACTTATGCTCAGCTTGAACTACATCAAACCCAACTGATCCAGCTCAACCCAAACGCTCTGTCCCCTGTCCCAATCCGGAATAATCATCTGCTTTTGCTGCACTGGACATTTTGCTTTCTTTTTTTCGCGGACGATCCCAACGTGCATATGTCCCGGTGGTGCAAAAGTGATTCAGATAAACTTTGAAAATGAATATGCTCTTGGGTGGTGGAAATTGAGCCATCTCATATAAAATAGAGATGAAGGTACCTGTTTGCAACCCTATACACCTTTTAATGAAACCAAGTTCTTAACTTCTACAAAGATTAACAAAATCTTCCTTTGGAAGCAAAAATATTTACAACAACAACAATCTTCTTTTCATCCATACTTGTGTTGGTGAAAGAACAGATATAGCAATTATAAGGTTAAAACAGAGATAGATTCTTCGTGGCCTTTCAATTACACAACAACTATAAATAATACCCTTTATTCCAACAATGACAACTTTTGCTGATATCAATTCATTTGACTGGTCTTCAATGCTAAGTGATATTCAACAACAACGTTCAACAATGAATTCAACTGCAACTAACAACAATCAATTCCCAATGTCTTCAACCATTCAACCAAAACAAGAATTCTTTGCAGTTCAACAACAACAACAGCAATTGACTCAACAACCTTCACCAGTTAGCTCTGATGATAATGACATGTGGTTTGATAACTTTTTAGCTGAAGGTGAAAACCAATCAAACAATTCATCATCAAATACAACCACAACCACTTCTCCATTAGAATTCAGCTCATTGTTTGATGTTGATGACAAAAATGATGATCGTGAAAGTTTATTTTCTTCAACTGTTACAAGTCTTGATAATACTCCTTTGATTAAAGCTGAAGAAATGAATCAACAAATTCCAAACATGGACTTATCTGATGTTCAACACGATGCCCCTTCATCAACCACCACCACACCAGCTTCAACTGAAACCAAAAAGCCAAAAAAGAAGAGAGCTCCAAGAAAGAGATTAACTGCTCATCAAAAACAAGCTCATAACAAGATTGAAAAAAGATATAGAATCAATATCAATGCAAAGATTGCAGGTTTACAACAAATCATTCCATGGGTTGCAAGTGAAAAGACTGCTTTTGAAACCGGTGATGGTATCAAGATTGAACAAGATGGTGAAGTTCCAAGATTAAACAAGAGTATGATTTTGGAAAAAGCTACTGCTTATATTTTACATCTACAAGAGAGTGATGTTAAATTAAAAGAAGAGAATGAAAAATTAAGAAGAGAAGTTGAAAGATTAGGTGGTAATGTGAATTAGAGTTTTATGATACTATTATTATTATATTTATAAGAATGACGTTGTTTTTTAATGTTAGTGTTTTGTTTTGGTTTCAATTGTTTATTTGATTTTTAGTGTGTTTTTCCCTGTGAGTACTACTGAATATATTTAAAAGAAAAAGAGATTGCTTAGGTCAATCCGTGATGAATTATGGGTTTACGTTTATAGATTATAGAATGAAGTTTATTTGATTTTTAAATTGAATGTTGTAGAGCACATGGAGCTAATTGATCAAGTTGTAAAAAATTAAAAGTTTATACCCATGTGGCCCCGACTGGAGATGAGATGAGCTTCTCGTAAAATTTCGTACGTATCTTATCGCGAATTAGTTTTGCAAATTGAATTTGACCCCTTGAAACATTTTTCAACACCTGCACAACTATTTTCAAGATATTTGTGTTGAAGCCAGAATTATGGGACAAGGTTGATATAGTATTTGTTATAGCTTGCCTCAATAAATGAATCTCCTGGAAGGTGTTGATGGTATCCGTTCTCCTTTGATCTATTAGCCGTGCTTTCTATTCAAACTTCAACTTCAAAGTACAACTCCCGGAATAACCACAACTTTTGAGCCTTATACTGGACATCCGCTCCCTACGCTGATGATCATCAATCGCACAAACCTCTTTGAAAGAACTATGCTGCATCAAACGCACTTATCTTTCTTGGAAGTGTACAGCCAATTGGTGAGATAGCTCCGTTTGTGATGTAAATACATCAATTTGTTTTGTGTTGGAAAACAGATTGAGATGTTTGGGCGGTTCACATAAGATAAGGAGCTCATGTTTTAAACAGTTGTGCTTCATACAAGTATGATTCTCAAGCACATATTGAATCAAAATGTCCACTCTTCATCAAGGCTTATAATAAATAAATGAATCCATGTGACAAAAATATCTCTTGGGTATAATACGGTGAGCACTGGGGCGGGCGCACTGGATATATTTGACTAGTAGTTACGTTTAACTAGTACCAACTTATAATTATAGCTGTATCCATTTCTCCAAGGTCCAAGGAGCACTACGGTACAATTAATTAAGAAACAGACAGGACAACCGATTAATTAATCATGTAACATTTTCACCTCTATGATCATCAACAGCAGCAACTTCAACACTGTGCCCAAGTGAAAGACACCCCTATGGTCAGGCAGAATCCCTTTATTTACACCTATAACAACCTTCAATTCCAACCTTCCGCGTCCAACATGAATTAATTCTCCAACTTGTTTGACTATTATCAATTGTGTTGATCAATGTGATCAATTTGTAAACGCCTGAGCTTCGACGGCATACAGATCAACTTGAAGGTCACCTCGGTTGTTTAGTTACCCAATGCTATGATCTGTCCCATGCTTTCAAGGAGTATGCTGAAAGGTATTACTATCATTAATTGTTTAAGTTCAAGTGCATTTTCTAGCTTATATGTGTGGATTCTGTACTGACTTGAGGTATTCAGGCTTTGAAAAAAAGGAGGAAACTCGCCAGTTAATGATAATAATAGCATGGACGTGTTCAATGATGCAAATTCAACCAGATCTAGGGTGTTTCAGTTGATCCAATTTGCATCAGATTACTGAAACAATTAAAGAAAAAACAAACAAAAGAATTGATTGAAATGTTATACATGTAGCCGTTGAAAATGAGATTTCATACAACGCTTATAGACTTAAATCCGGCTGCAGTCAAAAACATCGGTGATAAAAATGTAGGTATAAATTCAACTTGATCTTGATTCTTGAATGTCATAGATTAGGACGCTTGTGTATGATTATTGTCCAAGGTAGTGGAAGTTCTACTAAATGGCTGCAGAATCATGAAATGCCAACTAACTCTTTAATTCATGACTTTAGCTTGTCAAAATTCATCTGGTCAAAAGAATTGTTCTCCCCCCTTAAAACGTGTAGTGTAGTTACTAGTGTAGGCACTGATGTTGGCTCGAATCAATAAAGGTGCTAGAGTTGGTTTGAGATATAAAAAACCACACGCTATAGAAGGCTAATTAATTTACCCCCACTATAATGTATTCTTGTTGTTTGATTAGCAGTGCAAGCAAACATACAATTGAAATTAATGGTGTACAGACCATGCTGTAGTAGTGCAGAAAACAGTGAACTCCAATTGAATTTCTGGCGTTCTGGGCCTCAAATCCTCAAATACCCTTTATACTTTTGTGCAAGCTGATTGTCTGATTTGTCCTGAAACTTCAACTGGAGCATTTTCACCAACCACAACACCTCCGAAAGCAACTACGTTAACTCGAGAAACACTAGTACAAACTTTAAACCCGGAATTCTAACTTCTGAGTTCTACAGGTCGACGTTCTAACAATAAATTAGTTCCTTATCTATACATACGATCAATTAAATTACAATTAAGGGGTATCTTGAATCTTGACTTTGAACATGTACACCAATTTGTCCACAACAGTTCAACTTTAAATTAGTTATCCCAAAAGAAGGTTAGATTGGTTGGAATACCAGATTCAATACCACAATCCTTAGCATAGGTGTGTCCATCAAGCTTTTCACTAATATAATCTTCAAATTCCTTAACAGAAATGCTAAAACCAGGGCCATCAGAATGACCAGGAATTGGAATAACAGCATCATTTAAAACAATTCTGACATAATCCCCATCAGAACCCTCACATTCTAATCTTTCAATGATCAAACGAGCACCCATTGGTGCAATATTTGAAACTTTCCATAAATGATTGAAGTCAATATGTTTAACTGACAAATCACCATCATCAAATATACCCAAGTTTGAGATAATATAGAAGATATCTGAATCATGAGCAAATGATAATGTCAAGTTTTTAGTATCATCTTTCAATAGCTCAATAACGGCATTGATATAAACTGACCCGATGATACTTGACATATTATTACCTGGTCCCTTTTCATAATAATACTCAACATCTTTACCATAAGAGTAGCTTAAGAAATCAGTTGTAGTGAAAATATCACAGATTTCTTTTGAGCCAACAACATTTAAATCATAACCACAATAGTACATTAATGATTCAACAGCATCTGCTGTCAAGTTTATACCTGGAGACTCATTATTCAATCTTTCAGCAATTTGATCCAAATAAGATTCACTAAGTGATTTGATAGTGTCCTTGTGTAGTTTCTTATTGTAGTTTTTACATGAAGTTACTGGTGTCAACGAGTTGGCGCCTAATTTCTCATCATCTTCATCAATCACTTTGACAAAAGTTTTATTATAATTTTGACCCAAAAACCCTTCAGCAAACTTGTGAGCAGATTCAACAACACGCTTAGAGCTTGCCGCATAGAATTTTATATCTTCCCCATCCTCATATAACTCATAGTAATGATCTCTAAACAATGAACCTAGTTTATACATCTCCAACAACCCAGCATAAGGACCTGAAGAAGTTTCTTTCTCAAAGCCAGCAGCATCAAGAGCTCTGAATTCATAATCTTTCAAAAATGCTAAAGGACCTTCAACTTGTTCTGTATTATTTCTGATACTAGCCAAATTTTTAATCATTTTTTCACCTTTTTTCTTACTTGGATATCTTTCACCATGTCTTGCGATCATGTTAGCTTGAGAAACTTTACATTGAGCAAGAGCATCTCTTTCAATACCATAACCTGGATTAGCAACGTATGGTGAAGCGGTACCTAAGAAACGTAAAACGTTATACTGATCAAGCGCTTCTTGTGAAAATGGTTTCAACGAAAATTGTTGAATTGGTAAAGCGTCAACTGAAGCAATTGATAAAGCAAGTAACGACAAGATTGGTTGGGATAGAAGCATCTTGGATATTCTCTTGACCTTGAAAAGAACCTTGTTGATGGAATAAAGGTGTTTTCAATTGACTTTGAAATTTGATCCACTATTTATACATGGACGATCAAGGCTTCAAAAGAAGTGAACAACACTAGACTCTGATCCTATTGGCCCTTTCGAACTCTTTTTTGCAACCATATGCAGCAGTATTCATAGTCTTCTGATGAAGATGAAGCGGTTTCAGTTTGTAAATGGGCTGCTTCACATGTTTGATTCTTTATACACGTTTTTGTTGGAAAAAAAAACATCACCGTTTTATGTTTTTCGGTTTAGATGATGCATCAACGTGTAAATCATACTCATGTTATGTCTATTTACTATGGGTTTTGAGATCTTTATGAAGAGTTAATCCTGTTCTATGCTTCATCAACTTTTGAATTACATTTCGAACCCTTCACTGGCTTTTAAAGAGCTCTAAACGGATCAGTATTTTCGCAATTGTTGGTTCGCCTGTCAAACACTGTAACGGTATTTACAGGGTCCTCCGTTTGAAAACGTTCCCAAAACAAGCATAATTAATCCGAAAAGGATTGAAAATTCCGATTTTATTGCTTAACTATACACATTGGCTCATTTATCTTTCTTACGTCTGATGACTTTATCAGCAGCCCAAACACCTCTATCAACAACAGCACCAACAGTTAAAACACCACCGATAGCACTTATAACATCCAATATGAATCCACTCCAAGTGCCTTCATATTCTTCTTTATTTATAATTTTTAATGGTGACATTTCAAAGTGGAAAAATAAGCCAGGAATACCACCTCTAGCATGGAAAGTATTTGGATGGTCATCATCACGACCACCAACTAATGGACGATCATGGTAGGTTGAACTGTATTGGTTTGTTTCTATAACAGTTCCATTCAAGTATTCATATCTGGTTGGAACAACTTTCAAGAAGTATGAATATAAATGCTCTTTACCTCCACTTGGTGACACTCTTCCATCTAATGGATGGTTAGATAATTCCAATGGTTCAGAAGTATATTGAGAGTTGACATCTGGTCCAAAACTGAAATGATTGATTGTATGACGGAATGAAAAATCACCTTGTCTATTGTACAATGATAAATCATGAACATGTCTTGATGGTGCACTATAACTTGCACCTGGAGCAAAGTGAAGATTACCATTGATTCTGTTCAATTTAGCTGTACCGCTAACTCTACAACCTTCACCTAATCTATCATTGATCTTCTTAACATAACCTTCTCTTTCACATTGTTCAACATTTTTACCATCGAAAAAAGCCCAACCAACAGATGCATATGCTTTACGAACACTTTCACAATCATTACAACAAATTTTTTCATTTTGAGCTTTTCCTTCATTACCATTTTGATCTTTGGCTCCATAACAAGGTCCACAGTAATCTGCTGCAACTTCAGAGTTGGCAAGGTCTTGATCATCACCAATCTTCATTTCTTCTTTTCCAATTTCTTCACCACTCTCTGTTAACCTTATTTTAGTGAATCCATATTTGGCAATATCTAATTGTAATTCACCACTAACATCCATTATATCAAGTGACATCAAATCACAAGGTAGATCTGGGAATGTGACATCAAGGTTGATATCTAATTTCAAGTTATGATCACGGTCAACAACTAATTCTGGGTAGATTGATATTTCATTGAATTGTCTCCATTCACCTATTATCAAGGTGATCAATGTCAATATACAAGTAACAGTGATTAAACCACCAGAAGTTGTCTTGATTTTTGCATCTTCGACGGTCTTGGAGAAGGCATCAATAGAAAGCAATCCGCTTTTCTTAGCCATTATGAAATGAAGTTAAATTGGTCCAGCCTTTTTTGATCTGTTTATCTAGATCTTTTTTATGAACACGAAATAGATAATTTTTTTTCTTCTCCGAGCTATATCAAGGCAAAAAAACACACTTGAACGGGGCAACAGTACAAACTACACTTATAATTGGAAAACTAACTAATTAATGCTTTTTTTATTTATACAAGTTTAATGTTTACTATCAAACCCTGTGATCAAGTCACCACCAACGTTCAACACTTCATTGAAGATTGCTTGCTTGTTGATAATGACCTCATCTTTAGAAACTGGCTCGAAATTATAACCTAATTGAACTTTAAACTTGGAAGTTTGTAACTTGTTTGGTATGAACAACCCTGTTATAACGTTTTCACCTGTTTCCTTGATGGTATGTTGATGATGTGAGAAAATGATGGATCCTTGAAATTTCAAGTTGAGTTCTTTAACAAGTTTCAAGATTGGATTGAATTTTGATGTAATGTCTGATGGATATGAATTACTTGTGTTCAATAAATTCTTGAAGGCTGAAGTATTTGGCAAGACACCAGAGGAAACTGTCAATGGAATAGTTTTCAATTTGACCACGAAATCATAATCACCCAATGATGGTGTAAATAACAAATTTAGAGTTCTTTCATTCAATCCGTTGGAATTGATTAATTGAATTGCAACTTTTGATAAGGCAGTTAATCTGGTGGCAATTGGCAATGATGAATTATTGGACCACATTATACCTGATGGATCAGCTTTCGTGGCAACAAAGAATTGAGTTCTTAAACCTTGAGGATCTTCACCACGGACTTTTTTGAAATTTGATTGGATTTGTTGATAAGATGCAAGTGTTAATCTATCTGACAATTTGGATAACACGTTCGATTCATCATCATCAATTCTCTTGCTAACATCTAAAATTAATGGATCTTCTTTCCAATTCCAATGTGAAATGAAATGTAAAATTCTCAAAAATCCATTCTCCACTGATGCTGGAACATCAAATTGTGCAGGATCAATGAAAGGTTGTAATGCAATTAATTCAACTAATTCTTCACTCAAATGACTCAATAACAATTGATCATCTAACCATTTCTTGAATAAACGAACAGTTGGTGAGTAAAACTGAAATTGATGTGCTAATGTTGAAATGGTTCTTGTATGTATAACTAAACCCTGGTAATTTTGTGCAAATTTAAGATAAATACTTTCCAAAGCTTGTTTTTTTTCTTTGCTTGCATTTTTAACAGCTCTCAAATATAACTCTTCATCTTTCTCAGTTAAAACACGTAATCTGAAACCATAACCTTCTGGACTTAAAATGTTTAATGTGGTAACATCAAAATTATATGGAATCAAATCTTCATCTTTTGTTAAATAACTCTTATAAGCAGTCTCTTCAGTTAAGATTTCACTTATTTTCAATAAAAATGCAGTTTTAACTTTTTCTAATGCAGATATTTCATCAGGCCATTTGGATGAAGTTTCAAATTGTAAAATTAGGTCATTGTAGAAATCATTATTTGAAACAGCAAATGGAACAGGTTGTAAGAATGATGTATATCTTAATGCTGGGCTTATTGGTAAAATGGACTTGACGGCTAATGGTAATTCAGTTTTGATCAATATTTTGTAAAGTGAATCATAACTTCTCAAAACACTATTGAATGAGTTTGTAGAGATAACAGGTTGCTTTGTTGATGATGGTAAGTTTGGTAAAGGTAATAATTTATTAACATTGGTGACATTAGTCTCTATTTTTAAATCATCTCTAATATGAGTCTTCAAAATATATTTAATAATGGCAAGTACAATTGGTTCTTTGTAATCACTTGACCAAATAACAGAATGTGTAATCGCACCATCTTTGAATCTTCTCAATGATGATTTTGGACCCCAAAAGTTTCTGAATTGTGAACTATCTTCTGAATCACTTGGTCCTCTTGTAACCAACTTTTCAGATTCCTGAGGATCAACAAGAATACCAATCTTTATAGCTAATTCATTTTGACTTGATGGTTTACGTTTTGAAGTGTCAAAATCCCAGACTCTATCGAATGTAACATTGATACCACGCACTCTATCAGATAAACCAAATCTCAATGCACTTGAAATCTTATTAGCAATGTAGTTTTCATAAGTTAAAAATGTGATTTTCTCAAATGGAGCAAATGATGGGTCATCATTATGTGATAAATTGAACTGAACAGTAAAATCATATTTTAAAAAGTCAACATTTGAAGATTTCAAAAACAAAACATCAAATCTATCTTTAATGTTATCATTTAATAAAGCCAAAGTCTTTTTAGCATGCTGAACTAATAAATTGTATGAGTTTCTTGTGACTTTGTGCAATATATTAATTTTGGTTGTTTTATCAAAAATTGTTGGTGTATTAAATCCACCTTTGACGTATTTTGAAGTGTCATTTGAATCTGAGTGAAATTGTAAATAACCATCCGATTGTAAATCTTGTTCGGCAATGTATTTTATGACACCTTTAAACAATTGATAACTTGAAAGACCGTGCAATAAAACTTTATCACCTTGGGAACCACCACCATTCAATAATGCAGCAGTCAAGGCAGCGAATTCGAAATGGCCAAATCCACCAGCATCCATTGTAGAATCTAATCCTCTTTGAAATAGCCATAATCTACCCAATATGCAGGCCTCTTTGAAGAATTCAGCAGATTTCTTAGCTTTGTAAAGGTATTTCAAATAATGATCATGACAAGACATGGTCAAAATAGATGCATTGTATAATGGGGTGGCAGGTAAATCTAATTCTTCATTCTTTTGCACTCTAATACAATTCTTGTTTGGTAACAACTTTTTTGGATCAAAAACTCCAAATGGGAAACCAACAAGTATATTGATTGAAAACTTGGTCTTGAAAAAATTGTATTCAGATTCCAAGTTTTTGTTTGTTGCTTGAACCTTCAAAACGGGTGTAAGTATATCACCATTTAAGTAAGTGTATGATAATTTCAAGAAATCCAATCCTTCTCTTTTGAATATAGTTTTCAAATTTTCTGTTAAGTAACCCAAGTAAAATGAACGTTTGTGCAAAGCTCTATAGTTTAAGTAATCTTTTGCTTGAAACAATTCTTTTGGCATTGTAATGTTAACATCAATAGGTAAACCGTGTGGAGATTGAATTGCAGTCTTTAATCCAAATGAACCAACTATTGACATGTTTTCTGGTTTCTCGTAACCGAATTTATAATTGATATTTGTAGGTTTTGGATCATTATATGGGATTGCAGTTTTCTTATTCTTAAACCAAGATTCAGCTTCTTCTAAAGTTTGGTCTTTCAATTCTGGGACAGTCTGAATCAAATCATACAACTTGTGTAAAAACTTCTCTATCTTTGCGACTTTGGTATCTTTCAACTTCACTTCCTTAATCAATTCATCAATTTGTAACTTGAAAGCATTTGATATAAATAATTCCGAAGCTTCTCTAGCAAGCTGAACATCACGAGCTGATAGTGTGCTTTTATTCTTTGGTTTTGAATCTTTTGTGCTTTCCTCTTCTTCATCTTCATCTTCTTCACTTTCCTCCTCTTCAATACTTTCATTCTCTAATTGGTCATCATCACTTTCAGCATCTGCCACATTCTTTGTTATTGTTTCAATGATTTCAGCTTTTGATAAGGCTGGTTTTTTTGACAACTGAGCATCATCAGCGATCTCTTGCTCTCTAGTTCTTTTAGCCATGTTCAAAAATAGTCTTGGAGTGTGTTTTGGTGCCAATATATCAAAATATGCAATATTAATACCAGTGACAATCAACAGCAAAATAGAGGTAACTCAATACCTTTCTTTCTTCCCTTGATTTTGTTTTTATCCGTTGAAATGGGATGTAATATAGTACAGACGACCTATCAGAAAGATCCTAATGATGTAGAGGATCTTTTCTATAGTTGGTGATGGCCTTTGGGAACAGTTTGTGTTGTTTAACCGCTCTATACCTGACATACCAGCTAAAACAATTTTTTCATAAAATTCTGCCATCGCGTGGAATTCTCAGCACGGCCAGCGTGTAATTTCAAGCCCTAACAAAAATCGTTGTCGTTCGCGATTTGAGATTCGGCTTGGTGTGCGGATGTCCTTAACCCCCATGGACGTGCCTTTACCGGGAGGCCAGGCCCGATTTCGCGAAAGGTATTTGGTGTTTTGGCTAAAAAAAATAATGGGAAGTAATGCCGGAGAGAGAGATTCCATGACTTGAACTTTCAAAATTTGAAAACTCGTTGTTGTGATTCAAATCTGGCTCTTCCTTTCAAATACATCTTATTGGATTAAAGTGTTATTTCGGCTGCTGCTATTGCTATCAAGTTTGTTTCAAAGGAAAAGAATTAGCTATCAAAAATGATGATCAGGCAAATAATAGGCTCTCAGAGCAGAAAAATAATACCATCACAATCAATATACTCAAGACCATTGATCTATAGAACTATACATTCTTCATACCCTAAGTTTCAACAAGATGTCAAGCCAACTAAAGAAGCCCCACCATCAACCCCAGCTAAACCAGTTGAAAAGAAGAAAACATTATGGGAAAAAGTTAAACATGAGGCAAATCATTATTGGGATGGTACAAAATTACTAGGGCTAGAAACTAAAATTTCATTCAAGCTTTTGTTGAAGAGTACTGCTGGTTATGAATTAACTAGAAGAGAACATAAGCAATTGAAAAGAACTACACAAGATGTTGTCAGATTAGTACCGTTCGCCATGTTTGTTCTTGTTCCATTTGCTGAATTATTATTACCAGTTGCATTGAAACTTTTCCCAAATATGTTACCATCAACATATGAATCTAAGTTAGATAAGGAAAAGAAAATGAAAAGATTAAGAAAAACCAGAGAAGTTGTTAGTGAAGTGTTGAGAGATACCGTTCGTGTCAAACTTCCAAGTTATGTTACTGAAGATCAAAAGGCTGATTTCAGAGAGTTTTTCCGTTTAGTCAGATCAGGTACAGAATCTCCATCAAGAGAACAATTGTTAAGAGTTGCTAGATTATTCAAAGATGATATCGTACTAGATAACTTGCAAAGAGCTCAATTAGTTGCTGTCTCTAAATACATCAACACTTCACCAATTGGTACTAATCAAATGCTTAGATTTAGAATTAGATACAAATTATTAAAGATCAAACAAGATGATAGAGCTATTGACTATGAAGGTATTGATTCTTTATCCACTGTTGAGTTACAAGCCGCTTGTGCTTCAAGAGGTATCAAGGTTAACGGTGTTCCACCTCATGAATTGAAGGATGATTTATCAATTTGGTTACATTTAAGATTGAGAGAAAAAATTCCATCAACTCTATTGATTTTATCCAATGCTTACACTTATGGTGATATCGAATCAAAAGAATCATTATATGATGCATTAGAATCTGTCTTGAGTGCTATTCCAGATGAATTGTACCATGAAGCTGAAGCTGATGTTGCCAAGGATGACGTTACAAACAAACAAAGATTGGAATTAATCAAGGAACAAGAAGAATTGATCAAGACTGAAACTAAACAAGAAGATGAAAGTGGAACCATCATTCAAGTTAAAGATAAAATTAATTTGGATGATGCTGATAAAACTCAACACCTAACACCAGCTCAAATCGAAGCTAAAAAAGTTGAAGCCGAAAAGAAAAATTAGTTCCGTGTAAATAAACTACTTTAAAATAGACAAACAAATAGTTTTCTTTTTTTGATTAATTACCTTCTGTCCAATCGAACTGTCTCCAAATTTTACTCATTTCATTAACCCTTTCATCATTTTTGATCCATTTACCTTGTTTCCTGATAATATAAGGATCAACATTTAACACACCGCCAATAACTTCTCTTGCGAACAAATCCCCCTTTGGCCAGCTTCCAATATCCTCCACAATATGACCTAGCCCACCATTTAGATTAAACCAAACATGGAAATATGGTGCTTCTTTGGCAATGGAATACCTAAACGCGTCACGACCCATTTTTTCTGCATTTGACATTGTATCAATAATTGCTGAATGATGCTGCTCCAATTCTGAGGAATGCTCAAGTATTGACTGTTTGAAAAAACCTTGGATTGTAGATGATAATGTCATTGGAATAGGCACTGCAATAATAGCTGCGTGGTTATGTTTGTAGATTGAAGTCTCATAAAAAATGACTGATTTGTTTAGCTTTGTGTAATAAAATTTGGATAATGAAATCATATAATTTCTTATTTCATCCCATTCATCTTCATCGCACTGTATTGTATTTTGGGAATGATTTATAGGAACAATCATTGTTGAATATTTGGCAATTGATGGATCTGGCGGTAGTGTAAGATAAACTTTATCAGCCATACTCAAAATATCACAACAATTATCATTCTCAATACATAATTGACAGCGGTCTAATACACTAGCTAGTTTCTTTGCCTGTGAAGCTTCCATATTTTTCAAATCAATTGATCCCTTTTGAACATATTCAGCAAGTTTGTTTGAATAATCATCTTGATAGTCTAGGTCATTAGAGTACTTTTTATCTTTAATGATGCTTTGAATTGAGGATTTTCCCAGCCCACTGGAGGATTTCTCCTCGCGTACCATATCTTGAATTGTCATTTCATCTTGATTGATTGCAGAGTCACCATAGTTTCGTTTCAATGATAAAGCATCATTTTGTCTCTGTATATCCTCACCTTGTTTCTGTTTACCGTAAAAATTCTCTTTCATCTTTTCATATTCAGCTTCAAGATCTTTAACATCACTAGACTTTCGTAGTTTAGCTTTCAAGATCTTTGCATTCATTTCATTAAGCTGAGTCTGTGTAACTTGTTGACTTGAAGGGTTTTCATTAGAGTTGAGATTGTCTTCAACATTACCACTCTCCACCCATTCATACTCATCACCATCAGCATAAGCAGAATTATCTCTTTTCTCATACTTTGATTCTCTATCTCTGTAACCCGAATCCCTATGTCTATTACTCTCTCTGTGTCTGTCTTTCTCATCTCTTGAACCTTCATGTCTATCTGACCTATGACGGTGGCTTCTATGATGGTGGTGGCGAGACCTATGCTCATCTCTATGCCTATGGTCACGATCTCTGTCTCTATGATCTCTTGAAGACCTTCCCTTGGTTCGTTCTTCTGACATTCTGCATCTATTTGAGAATAGGCTAACGATTGAAATTTGAGATGCTTGTTGTGAGTTCTGTCAAAAGAATTGGTTATGAAAAAAATTAGTTCGGAGCTCTTTCAACTAGGCGACTACAGTACACATCAGAACCAAAAGATGGCAAGGTATTGGTGTAAACAGTGTGAAGTGGTGAGTATTTACTGATTAGAATGAGGCCTTAAGATTTATACTAACCTCGTTATTGCATAGTTTGTTGATGATAACAAAATCGCCAGAAAGCATCATGAAGATTCTGCAAAACATAAAAACTCATTGATACGATCAATCTCAAAATTACATCAAAAGAACAAGGATGAACATAGAGAAAAGTTTTTAGCTGAAAAGGAATTACGTGAAATAAATAAAGAGCTGGGGATTAAACCAGTTTTTCAAAAGAGACCCAAGGTTGAAAAGAAGGAAACAAAATCAGAGGTTAGTGAAATAGAAGAGAAGAGTCAAGAACCAGTGATTGGTGAATGGAGTACCGTTGAAACCTCAAAAGAAGTTACGCCAGTTACACCTATTGAAAAAGAGCCAGAGAATAGAAACAGCATACCCAAACCTTCCAAGAAACAATCAGCAGGAGATCTTGAAACTAAAAATTGGGATCTGAATACAAAGAAACAAATTGACACATTTTCAAGTGATGATGAAGATAAACCAAAATCAACCTTATTCAAAAAGAGGAAAATAAAAAAAACTACATCAAACTGATAGTCATCAAAAAAAAAAAAACACAAAATATACTTATTTGTCATGCAGTAAATCTATATACAAAGGATCGTAGAATTACAAAACTTTTCTTTCTCTTTGTTTCTCATTAACACATCCTAGGTGAATTGTCTTGAACCACCTCTAACAAACTCCATGATTTTCCAACCTTCAGTTTCTTTATTATCAACATCTTCAGCAACTCTAGTTAAAACCATAGCATAAGAACTCATAACGATATTTGATTCAGTACCTGCTGCGATTTCACCAGTTTTAGCCTTTCTATATAGATGAATTTCTTGAGCTCTGCAACCAACGACAAGAACTGGGATATTTGAAGGTAATAATTTAGCACTAACGATTTCAACACCTCTAATATCTAAGATTTTACCATCTGCAAATAATCCTTGTTCTCTAAAGATTTTTTGTTGAGCATTATAGACATTGAAAGGGGCTTCAGAGAACCAAGTTTTCAAAACTTCTTCTTCACCTTTAACATAAGCATCCAAGACTTCAGGAATGATATATTCACGTAATTGCTTTGTGAAATCCTCGGTATTAAAAGATGGATCAATTTGTTTAAATAATCTAATAACTTGAGCTGATTCAGTTTCTGCAAATAATCCACCAACTTTTTCGAAAACGGTTCTAATTGAAGAAACTAATGGATTTTCAGATTCATCCCAATATTTTAATTTTAAATCAGAAAATTGACGACCCACTGAAGTATTTGTTTGGAAATCTTCAATTTTTTTACCTAAAGATTCCTTTTCAGGTGCAATATCAGTGGCAACTAGGGCATTACCAGCTTCTTCGTTTGATTTAACAGCTTTTGGTCTTTTCCCCGAGGCCAATTCTTTTTCTCTTCTTGCTCTTCTTTGTTCTTTCGATTCAAACCCACCATATCTTGAAGCAGAACCATCATCTAAAACTTCTGCAACATCTTTATAAACTTTTGTTTGTCTGACTGGATCAATGGCTTTATCAAGAGAATCCACTGTACGTTCAACTGTTTTTCTTGTATATTGACCAGCTTCAGAATCCCAAGCGGTAACCGCCACTTTTTCAACAACTTCACCAGTTTTTTTAATACTTCTTCCTATAACAGTTGTAGATTTTTGAGCTTTTTGATAAGCATCTCTTGCCTTTTTATATGCATCAGATTCACCGATTTTACCAGTTTCATCTTGTAAAGCTTTAATACCATCTTGTAATTCTTTTGATTTCTTCCATTCTTGTCTAAATGTTTCTGTAAAGATTTGTAAAGGAGATTTTGGTGGAGCGTTTCTTGAAATGAAAGAGTTGTGGAAGGCTCTTGTTATCACCAAGCTTGATGCTTTGGATTTGAGAACCTGGTTCCTCAACATCTTGATGATTTTGGATCTATATTGGATATTTACTTATGACTTGACGTTGAGTCTTCCATCGATTTTTTTTTCACCGCTTTTTTTTTTCATCTTCAACATCCGGAGAAAGAGAAGGATGACACAGCTGGAAACTCAGGAACAGGACCCATGTTTTGCAACTTTTTGGTGAGTATAATGCCTTCGAGTAATGTCTATTGAGCTTATTGAATTATATTGCTTGAAGAATCGAAGTATAGAAGGTCAAATTGAAAATTTAGAAACGAAGGGTTTCATCACGTGAATATCACGTGAACCAGCCCAAAGTTTTTACCGTGGCAGGGAGGAAATAATAAAGTCACTTTCTAAAGAATAAAGCAGCATTTTACAAGGTTTAGCTCAAATATGTTCCGTGACATTGTACAATGAGTTCGTAAATGGTAAATTACAAGCATTTTCTCAGCTTGGGCAAACTGTGGAGTCTGTTACTTTTTGAGATCTCTTTAATACTACATCAATATCATGATAAAAGAAGCAACCAAAAGGATATATTGAAATCATTAACCCTAAACACAACGCCATGCAAATAAAAAACCAATTAAAAAATGGAAAGGAATAAATAAATCTAGGAATTGATAAAAAAAGTCATTAAATGGGAGATTCAAACTCAAGAAATTTTGAGTTTGATCAAATGCTGAATAAACTTGAACTAGTCATCATAAATGTTTGGTCATATCAAGTTTCTTTTGGCTAATTTGATAGAATCAGCTTCATTTTTAGTTTCAGTGTGAGTTGATTCTTTATTTGAGTGTGGGTAATCATCTTCATCAATGTATCTAATTGGAACATCTGAGTGTTCAGTAGTTGATTCTTCTTCTTCAAGTGGAGCAGCATCATGTTCTGGAATGAAATCAGGTTTTGTTGAATCAGGACTCTCTGAGGAAAAGATTTCTTCACGAACGTTTGAATTCATTTGAGAGTGATCATATTCACCTGGGAAATGACGGTCATATTCAGATGGGTAATCATCATCTTCATCAAAGTATTGAGCAGTTTCATAAATATCAATGGCCAAGTAAATGAATGTAACGATAGCCAATGTGTATAGAATCAAAATAAGCTTTGTTTTGAACTTTTCCAAATGTGAAGCTTTAGTTCTTAGTTCAACCTCTTCGACATCCCCGATGGACTTTTCTTCGTCTTTTATCTTTATGTGTTGTTTTCCCATGATTACTATTGTTGTTTGCGTTCACGAGATGAGTAGCCAGAAGAAGGATTAACAGGAATCTCTCAGAGTATTTATACACCTCTAGCTCCCTTCCCGTGTCTACAAATACGCTATCTCTTTTACTGTGGGTACATGTGGGCTTCACATCCAAATGAGTCCACCATACAAAAATTTCTCGTTGAGGCGTAGCGCGGGCAAAAAATATTTTGAAACCAAAAGGAAAACGAAAGAGCTCATACAAATTCGCTTAATTTGAAGAAGCACGTTTTCATGACAATTTATTGACAACAACAAACAAACAAAGAAACAAGGGATGTGGTAATACAATGGTGATGGATGTGATGGGTCTTTCAAAGCGTTGAGCAACGAACGTATCTTGTGCAACCTTTGACTGGCTTATCGTGCCGAAGGATCTCTTTGGAAGGTGTATCATGTATGGAGTAAACCTCAGAATTACCATCAGACTGCTCCTCAAGTGGTTGAAACAGTCTCCAATTGGCCAACACATACTGCTTCATCATGAAACAATCTAGAGAGCTTTGGGGTCCATGTACACTGTATAGACGCTACAAGGGGTAAATTTATTTTTGAATTGTTCATCAATGATTACAATTGGTGGTCAACCAATCTAAGAGAAAGACTACAAGTTTATGCCATTCATTTATGTTATACTATTAGAGTTGATATTGCCACCTCAGAAATTTTTGCCACTCCATCTTACAGTCAAGACGTGACACATCTTCTGAGCTTCTACGGTGCAAATGGTAGTGAAAGTTACTTAGGTTTCCCATGGTACAGAATACTTGATGGTACACTTCTAAATTACGTCAATAGCTTGGAAAATAGATCTCATAGATTAAGATTCAATCTCCATGAAGATGACTTCAAATATACATCCACAATGGAGATGTTGAAAAAGATCAAATCCTTAGCATCATCACCAACCATTTTAAACCTGGATAAATACTTCACAAAATGAATTACAATGGATGGAGTCTTGGTTTGAAGTTGTCACCATCAAGCATACAGAAATAGATTAGATTTTTTCAAGTTTGATAGAATATGATCTACACAATACATCGCCATGTTAGAACAGCAAAGCAGTCTTAGTTG